ATGAGTTCGCGGGATTGCGACACTTTTACTTCAATCTCTTTATAATTATTATACCGAAACGACATATGAAACGCTTTATTTCGTATAATTCTCAACGTAGAGTGTAAATGACTTCGACATGAATACAAATGTCGGTAACGTGGCGCGCCGGCTTATGGTACCACTTGAATATCAAAAAGGGTGTAGATGAAATTTGTTTCATCGACGTCTATTAAAATTCATAGCGCCTTTCATATCACCTTAAGCCGATTCGACCATGCCTGCGGCCGTCGGTCTTTTCCTCCGGGGAATTCTCCCTCGGGTATTCGGTCACGGGCTACGATAATTACTCGAGTTCCCCTCGAGTTGTGGTTATGTTGTTTCGGCGTTCCGAGAAACGTTTCCACAATACCTAGGATGAATTCATGCTTAACGCGTTCCTACGAATCATCAAAGAGTCTGCGGTCGTCAACCTAGCCTTTGCGGCTCTCCAGGCGCTAAACTCGTCTATTGGTAAGTCCGGCTCGCCAAATGCACCGGGGTCAGTGTCACTTTATTTCAGGAGCCATCTTGCTTGACGACTATTACGAGTGCGTTTACGAGCGGCCCGAGGCTTTTCGTTAACCGAAATTAGAGTATCCTCCGCGAGATTCCTATACGCGACACTTCTGCTTTTCGCGCATCCCCGTGGCAATAATCCTCTCGAGTGGAACCATTAGTGTCCAAGTATGGCAAATAAATTAAAATATCTACGCGAACAATCGCAACAAGCGCTAAAATAGTGAAATGCACGTTTCATACACTTAAACTGGGACCCTGTTCTCGAGTTCATACGATCAACTGTTTGTAATTGTCTATTTCTCCCCTAGCTATTTTTAATAGGAAATTGATTACATTTTCATCATTAAAACGTATAAATTCCCCTCTCGCTATGTTTAATATAAAATTGGTTACATTTAACGAGTACGTTTTCTCAGGGCGGTGGAGTTTCCAAGCCGGAGTGTACGGCTGTGGTTGCCGCTCTCTTGCACTCCGCTTCGATCTTGCTCGGGACGCTGAACAATTCAGTCCCGGCCAGGACTCTCCCGTGTCATCCGAAAATGAATTTCATACGACGTATAGCGGTCGGATTGCGCCGTGACTCATGCGCATGCGCGACACGCCGCGAACGCCATTGGATATAATTAGACCGTGCATTAGCGTCACGCGTAAGAACCGGGCCACAGGAATCCGCAACTTTCCAACCGACTTTCTTTGCTCGGTGCGACGACTCAATCTTTACTTACTGAGAGAAAAAGATCCGGTAAGTGTATATTTGGCGCGATACTCTGCCGAGTTTCATGATCTACGTACTTTTACGCGCATACATTGCACGCATGATCTCGCAGATAAATGAAATATGAATTCCTTTACTAAAATACCCTGCCGAAACCATTTCCATCGGCATTTTTCTAAACCCGGTACAACATACCCAACATAACCCTACAATGAACGATAATCGATATTTTTCTATCTAGGGCTTCCACGCGGTGCGCAGCGACTCACGACATCGCAGGGCCTCCTCGAGGCGAGTCGTCCGAATAAAAAAACGTGACCGTTGGCTTCCGAGCTTCCGCCATGGAAGCGTTCCCCGAAAGCGCCAACGTCCGCCTTACCTCGCGCAACGGCGACGCAGGCCTAACCTCAAATCCCTCGTCCCGCGTCTCGTGCGGAGTGCCCATCGACGCCGTCGATCCTCCTAGGAGGCGCTGCGATCGGGCACGGTTTCTTTCCCCGTCGAAAGAAACGCTCTCACGGGTCTTGCTTGAGCGAGCCCGGTCTTGGTTCAGTTCCCCGCGGATTCCTTTGTTTAATGCCTTATTGCGATATTTTACGTGGCGACTCGTGGGAGGGCGCTGGCGGCGCTCCCGGCGCTGTTGCCAAGCGCTTCCCAATCGGCCGCCTCGGAGAAATCCGAGCCTCCTCGCGCCGCCACCATGGGCTAAGTATACTCGGACGGGGAGGGGGGAGGCGCGGAGACTCGAGGATATCCGGCGGATCTCCTCTGCATGCGCATGCGCACGAGCCGGTCCTCGTCCTTTTCCCTCTGTGTGCCACTCCAGGCCCTCCTTCGCGGTACATCAGCCACCGCCCGGAATCCTCCGAGCCTACGCTCTAACGATCGCACGCCGACAGGTGTACAGTTATGTACAGTACAAGGAACTAATTACGATAACGGTAGTGAGCGACAACCACGGCAACCATTCAGCCATTCTTCGAGTGCCCCGGTGGTCCAAGAACCTCTCGGAAATAGCCGAAATCCGATTGTACTGGGGTAAGGCGATATGAAAGTGTCATCCTATATATATTGGTATTTATTGGTATTTTTTGGTAATATATATATATATATATATACTGGAACTTTATTCCATGAGGGTTGAAAGTGATTACTTTCCTCCCACAGGAGGTTAAAGTGTAACTGCAACTTTCACCATGCTCGACAGGCACTGAAAGTCGGACTTTCGCTGCAGGGAGGATGTAATAGAATATTACGTATAGCGGGGGAAAAAAGTAGGCAATTGCGTACTAGTGTGAGTTTGTCATACGAACGAAGCGAGGACGGCAAAACCCGAGTCGTAACCTCTTATTGGACTCCCGAGATACGTATGCACTGAGAAAAAAAAAATTCATCCATCAATTTGATTCCATTAACAGCAATCTTAAATTTAAAAAAATGATTCAAATTTCGAACCAGATCTTTAAATTAAATTCGACGAGACAATTGTATCAATTTTAACAACAGTTTTGGTAAAGGTATCAAATGTTTCGGTTGCATAGCAGCATAAATGTCATCCACTGTACGCACTCGCGTGTCATGAGGCGTAGGCTCGCACCCTTTTTCTAATTAACGGTTTAATTAATACGCGAATATTTCTGTCACGCCTCGTGAATATAACAAGGAGCAAAAAAAAGAGAGCGAGTATCCAAATTCGCAGCCTGAACATCCGGCTGGTATTTTTGAACACGGTTCCATTGCATACACGGATTACGTACCCAGATTTTATTCCGAAATTTATAGGTTAGTTTCGATTAAATGTAACTCTGCAAAAGAATGTATTTCGCGCAAACTAGTTTTACACCGATATCCAGAAATAGAAAGGTTTTGTCAGTGTTCCGTAAAATGGAAAGTGGAAAATGAAAAATAGGACATGGAAAGAAAATGTGGAATATGAAGACGGCATCGGAAGGGATGATAACAAATGGCGCTCAGAAGTGTGCACGGTTCCGTGCGCTTAACCGCTTCACGGCGGCGCAACCAGCAGTTACATCAGAGAACACCCAGGCACCGGGGGAACGTGGAATATCCGTAAATTAATCGTATATAAATGTCCATTGAACGCATGTAAGATCTATATGTGCGCTAAAATACATTCATAACCTAGTGGATACGTATACCATGTACCTACGGCATTCGCCATATTGGAAATGTAAAATTGTAAAGAAATTTAAAAGCACGCGCCAAAATAATTTATTTTTGCTTAAAAATACTTACGTGTTTACATATGTGTTAAAAGACGTTTACGACCTAGCCGATGCTTTATATCGTTCATCTACGGCATTCTTCGTAGTGGAAACGTAATTAACTGGTTTTCCACGATTTTCTCCGGTAAACTACTTTGTTTACGTAATATACGTGGAAAAACCGCGAAAAATGGTAAATTACCCGAGAATGACGGTAAGGAAAGGATGCATGCGAGAGAAAGCTGTGACTTACCTAAAGGCAAAGGCAAATCTACGAAGGAACGCAGGTCCTCGATCACCCCCTGGGGATGGATATCCTCGTTTCCCGTTCCCGGACACGAGATGTCACCACGTAAGAATTACTCACTAGGCCCGTGTGGGGTATTTCGCGGATGCGAGCTCTTGGTCGCAGTCGTGAATTTTAGGTTAGAAGAGACTAGACGGCAGACGGTCGATGGGCGGTTAATGGCGAGTCCGTCGCGCCTCGCGGTTCCGGAAAGTGCCGCGGGGGTGGCGAAGCGCTGCGATCGAAATCTGCAAACTGGCGCGGCCGGGGTGGGCCCACTCGGTCGACGATTGACGAGCGAATGAACGGCCAGAGGCTCGGAGAGCTCGGTCCGCTCGGCCAGGAAGAAGGAAGAGAGAAAACCAGCCGAGCGAGCCGCGCAGGAATACCCCGAGGGAGGTCAAAGGAGGCTTTTTACCGGAACGGTCGCGGCGTCACACCGTTTTCGGAAACCGGCGCGAGAAAGCGCAGGGAACTTTCACATCCTAGGGTGCGGAAGGACTACTCGGATGGATTATCGACATTTGGAAAAAAGAACTGTGTATCCGTATCCGCAAACACTTTGTACCCCGAGAAGACAGTTTATTTAACCCAAGCACAAAACTAGGTTTAAGGGACTATACCACTGTGAACGTCGAAAAAATTACCCATTTTTGACAATTTTTTTAACGTTCACAGTGGTATAGCCCCTTAAGGGACAATGAATTAATTTGCCGCTTGTATTCAAAATTTTTTAGAATTTCACGTTTTCAATTTGGCGGAGTCCACAGATGCACGATACATGTATTCGCAAGGTTAACGTCTTTTAGCGGACATATAAATATGTAAAATAATCAGAAAACTAGAGACGTATTATACGTTGTAATATACACGTGGAAAAACACGTATATTACATGACGTACTATACGTACCCAATCCTGTTTCGAGCGTCATTAGGAACTCAACGTTTGGACAAGCGTTCGACTCGTGAAAGAATCTCGGAACAATAGAAGGAAATTGTTCCCCAACGCTATGTGCCACTGCCCCATTCACACCGACATAAAACCGTTCGACCGAATTGCTATAATTGCATATGCGAGCCGGCAAGTCTTCCTAACGCTTCTTTTCTTTCCGCCCTCTTATAGCGCATCTTCAAATGGCTTATTAACCCTTTCGCGACCGCGAAACTAGTCTTAATGTGTACACCGTACACATAGATATATCATATATTCGATAATAACCATTGGGTACTTACCAGAATTTTTGAAGATGAACTTGTAAACTTCCAACATCACCCTCTGCGGTTTAACGTAGTCCCAAAGGCCGTCAGTGGCAATGACGACAAAGTCTTCCGTCCCATCCAACAGTGTGCACTCGACTTCCGGTTCGGCTATAATACACTGTTTATGACTTACGTCACCTGCAAATTAAGCAAAAATCGTCATCTTCCACGGATAGTTGCTGCGCGGAATATTTTCAAACTTTATTTCCGTGTCAAAAAATATCATTCAGATATGTACATGACATGCTACTTCTTATGTTCATACAATATTTCGTTAAACATATTTGGAATTTAGAAAACTGACTAAAAGTACGTTCATCCTATGTTCAAGAAATGTACATAGCACATAAATCCATATCCTATTAATATTGAAATATTTTCAAAGAATATTCTATGAACTTCTGTGCTATGCATTTGTGCTGTCTGGGTCATGCATGGAAATGTAGATGTTTGAGTAGATTGGGACGTTTCATTAACTCGGATTCAATCCTAACCATCCATTCAAACTCGATACCGTTCCTGAATGTTCACACAAACGAAGGAGACGTGGTTTGAAATACTCCCGGTCAGTAGTTAGCCACGAGTAATTCTTACGCACATAGAAGGCACGCGATTACCGGTAGAACGGGTATGCCGCTCGCTTATAATTAAGTTTAATTAACTAATTAAGGAATGAAAGGCTAATTTTAATAATGGCGCCAAAGCAGCGTGGGCGCTTCCGGCTATTACACTACGTGGCCTTTTCCACTGGTCTAATATCCCATCTCGTAGAAAGTACCATATTGCTATCATGAAACTCGGCAGAGTTTCGGACAAATACATTTTCGTATTGGGACAATTAAACGATTAAAATTGAGCAAAGCCGATTGTAGCATGATCGAAGCGAGGCAGGGGTTCATTCAAGGCACACTAGCGCCACTACGCATGAACTGCGATACTAAATAAGTAACGTCTGCGCAAGTGCTAGTGATCTCGTTCTTTCATATAGCGAATACGTAATTCGGCGAATAAACCCACGTGAGATGAAATTGCGAGACGTGAGCGCCCTCGAAAAAAATACGTAATAAACGCCTAGATTAGTTAATATATAGATTAGTGAGGAAATCTAATGAGCCCAGTAGAAGAATTAGCGTCCGGTATGAAGTTTGTCCCATCGGTCCATGTCTCAAAGTCAAAGCACGAAGTCAACAGGATATTTCGCACGCATCCAGAATTAAGTCGCACGGCAGCGGATGGCATTGTCACACGGCTGATCACTATACTTGGTAACTTGTACCAAATTCGATACAGCGAGCTCATAAGTGACTCACTATCTTTACACGAACCACTGTACATCGCACAAAATTCCGCGAAAATCTAACGGTACGTTCGAATAACGCTTTTTCGGCGGGTTCCGGTTCGTATTTTGAAAATCGCCGAAAATGCTTACTCTTTAAAAACCGCCGCGGGCAGTGGCAGGTAATCTTCTAGTTATATATTAGAATGCAATTGTGAAAATGGAAGAAGCTTACCGATTGATCTCGTTACGCAGAGGGCACCATTTACGCGCCATCCGTGGTAATATATGACACTACCACCCATCTTGATTATTCGTTCCTTTTCATCCTGCAAAAAGAATATGAGAAGTATTTTCAAATTTTGACGTCTTTTAACGCTAAAAATGAGATATGAGTAAAGACCTTAGTATATAGATCAATGTTCCGATATTGCTCAGCTGGCGTCATTTATTTCTCTAATGGATTTCTCCTGTCGCAACGAAAATTCCCGATGAAGTAAAAATCCCAACGGAAGAAAATGATGAAAAATGTTTTAAGGATTCGGTAACAGTCGTCGATAGTTGGAAGGGTTTACTGTAAATCGCGTATAGGAGCTCGAACATGACTGTAATCGGCACGCAGATCGACAGCGACCGGAGGCTGTTGAAATTTCGCAGCTTCGAGGAATACCTGGATTCTCTCGTGACTCCGGTGGATCTATGCAATCTAAGGAGTACCTACACCGCCCGTCAGGTAGCCGAATTGGGGTACCGATGTGCCGGCGAGACTCTTGACAGAGAGTCTTTCGAGCGTCGCTTGGCCGCTGTCAGGAACCTGCTCTTTCCGGTACAACGTCCTTACGAGCTCTCCTCAGAATGCATCGTACCCACCGACCGATTTTTTCAAGAGCTGGCCTTGCGCGAGAGACCGAATCGCCTAGGAGTGATTTCGACGATCATCTTTATGCGCCAATTAACTAAGAAACAATACGAGGTATCCGGGTACATCGACTATGCGAGCCGGCTCAAGGAAGAGGATTGGGCTCCTTTCTTTGGGGGCAAAGAAAGACTCTGGCCGCGTCCCACGGACCTCTCGTATTATCACTGGCGGTTAGAAAAGACTTTAATCACGGAGTCCTCCAACTACCAACCTGTGATAGATGCTAAGCGCGGTTTACTCTTCAAGAACGTCCACGATCGAAAAATCGTTTGGGTTGACCCTTTGGCACCTTCCCCGGGAGTGGATACCACTCGCGTGCGGGTTTACAGTGATGACTATGAGCATATAGTACTCTATGACCATGTAGTTCGCGGTAAGATGTGAGAACTATGGTGTGCACGGTTGCACCGTTTTATGAAATAAAGACAGTTTCGGATAGTCAATCTTCATGTACGCCGTCGAGGAAGATGTAAATTCCAACTTAGGTATCTGCCGTGTTTAATAACAATGCAATGTAGGAAATTGATTATCTCGTGCCACAAACACTGCTCTCTGTTATGGAATTATATAAAATAAATTACCTCTCGTTCAAAATCGCCGAGTCTGTGTGGTTTAATTAACGGAATGTATTCACCACTTTTGACGAGTATCACCTGCGAATCTCCTACCCAGGCGACATATAGTTTGTTTTCCCGCTGAAGAACGACAGCGGCCGTACTTCCGCTACTAAGATTCTGTAAAAATCCAGAATTCACTATTAGTTTCGGCCTTGTACCATATGCAATTAACAGGTTAGGAAAATTCAGAGCCTCCCAAAACCTCGAAAACGTTAAAATGGTCAATATTTGTACAACATGATAATACGATACACTGATACGTTCTTTCATTTAGAAGTACACATTTACTTACACGCTTTTCAGCAAATTCCGCAAAGCCTGTGTCAGTTTTAAGGAAAGCATCTCGCAAAGCGAGCGCAGGATCCTTAGGATAATGAATACTATTCAGCAAATACTGTTGTAGGTGCAAGGCACAATATACGGCTGCGTATTCTCCACCATGCCCATCAAATACAGCATAATAATTTGTTACTGTATCGTCCTGCAAAAGCAAATATATATTCAATTTTTTATTTAAGTATTCACACGATTCTTAAACGGAAATTGGGTCATTTTGATTCAATATCATCGTATCATAAATCTGCACCTTGCTTACGCAATTTTACACTTTACCATATTCTCAAGTAGGTAGTTGCAATTAGTAATATGCAGAAAGAAAAAAAATGTGAATCTATATTTTGAAGAGAAACATTTGTCGCTTTTGTATACATTTACATGATGACGTTGAGTCAAAATGACCTAATTTCTGCTGCTATTTCTTCTCAATTTTGAGAATTACCTTATTAGACGTTATGTATCAAGAAGACAGCAAGACATTTCATATACGTACCGGTATGCTATGTATAGTGTGCAGATCCCGCAGAACTACAAATCTATCCTCCATCTTTCTGCAATTATTTTTTAAAGCACAGGCAGAAACTGGTAATCGTAACAAAGGTGGTGGTGGTGGTAGACGATCCAACTCCCCATCGTCCAAAAATCTTTGGATGGCTACATCTACTTTATCCTCAATTGTTCGTACTAGGCTCGTCAGAACGTACTCTGAAAGTCAGGAATCACGTTCTGAATCGACAATAACATTTTCTAAACCTACCGTGATCCCTAAATGTTGATCGAGTAACAACATTTCATCTTATTATCATAACCTTATTATTGAAGGGATGATTCTTATTCTATACCAAAATGCAAGCGTGATATTATCTTATGTAGAAAACTGGCATTCGAACAGCCTCAGTACTGATCCGATCGGCCTTGCCAGTGTGTGTGCAAACTGCCTTAGAATAATTGAATAAGATAACTAGGAACACGTACCACCCTTATCCGAATTGAAGCCACAGTTCACTGGATCGTCTTTACAGGCCTTCTGCACCTCTTCTACGATATAGTGCACTAAGTGTGCAAACAACCATGGATAGCGGTACCTGAAACAGAAATTAGTTTTGTCAAATAATGCAGAAGTCTTCACAGAAGCCCAGAAGTATATGGACATCTGATGGTCCACAATTAGTATGTTGGCCAACGGATGACGGCTCTGTAATCATCACTCTAGTTCTGTTAATCTTATGGCGATATACATATTCAATTTGGAATTAAAATAGAAAACCTAATTTAACATGCTGAATATATATATATAGGTCCATTTAGCATACCTCCAGTTAAGGTAGAGTTGAGCAGCATAAATAACATTGAAGATAAGGTCTTCCTCAGGTACACTGTCATATCGTAGGTAATTGGAAAGATGTTCAACCCTGATTAGTTCTTGTTCGTCAAAGTTTGTCTTATTCAGCACGAGTTCAAGTTGTCGCTGATACTCGTCCAAATAGTCATCGTTATCACCAACCAATGCCATATTGATCCAAAGACGTGGATCGACAGCAATCGAACCAACCGATGGTTCGATAATTCTGTAATCAACCACGATTTACATGAAGAAAACCAAGATCAATGCCTTAACTTATTCAGGTTACAACCACATGATTAACTCTTATTTAACAAAATTGACGACATAAATAAAAAAAATATAAAAAGATCATAATAAAAATGCATGCACTTATCCAAGTCAGCTAGTATTTCTTAAACCAACAAAGGAGTGGTCCTCACCTGTTTTACGGAATAAACTAATCGCGGAATAACCTCAAAAAGTATATTTCTTTCGACTGCGCGTTCGATTCGACCGGCTACAATTCGATGTTTAGCGATAATTTGTACTCAGGTTATGTCACACCTATCGACGCTACTAAACGTCAATTGAGCGTCTCTTTATCGGCCAACAGAACGCTCATTCTGTTGCTGCGTTATCACATACACTAACGAAGCATACACATCAGAGTTGATAATTTACTACACATCTCTGTCTGTACTTACCCACCTGCTCTCAAGCCATTGAATACAGAAGTTTCCATAGAAGCCCAATTCACATGTTGACGCTTGATATCCAATAAATAGTCACCAATCGGAACGCTAGATGACAGCACGACAACCTGAAGCATTACAGAATATTTTAATTCGCATTTAATTAAGACGCATTCGAGGTTCTTTACGTAAAATACTTAAGGAAAGTACAATAAAACATATCAATTTAATTTAAAGTGTATTTTATTTACGTGTGCTTCAATTTCCTTAAAATCAAAGAGGAATAATTATAACTAGACGATTTAAATGTCCCGGGAAGGGTGATGGCGTAGGAAAGTAATTTGAATGGGAACCCACGAGAGAGCGCTGAAATTCGTGTACGGAAAAACAATTTGTGGGCTTATGGAATCTTCCGCTCTATCTAACCCTCTTTGCTTGAAATGTTTGCAAGGAAATGTGGTTCATATTAACTGTGAAGTACATAATGCGTATCGCTGGTGTTTATGGTGTGATGTGAAAACGCAATGCTACGTAATTAAGGTAATTATGCGAACGCTAATATTCCATACATTTCACATACTTCGTGTATTCATATTGGTGGTTTTTCCGACACATTGTCTCCTGGCTTTTGCCAGCTCCAGAAAGTGCGTCCTAAAAGCTGTACCGGTCTTTCTTTGTATTATCTTAATATAATATACACACAGTATATCACAATATATTTACTTGAATCAGCTTACGTTTAAGTTTCAGGTAAATATACAGTTAAGTAAATGTATGTTTCCAGTTTATCAGGAAACGATGCCATGAGTGAAATAGTCGTGTCCATTATGCAGGTTATTGCCGAAGTAAGAATATAAGCCATCGTTTCATGAACTATTTTTAATTACGTCTGTGTTCGAAACAGTAGTCTAAAGGGTTCCAAACAAATAAGTGTAAAGATTTTAAAACGAAACACTTGTTTAACATTTTTTGCATAAATTGAATGGTCGAGTAGTGGAAACGGCTCATTAGCAAGTTGCCCATTTTTTTTTTATCGATATTCAGTCATTCTAAATGTGAATAAATGCTTTCATTTGGACTTAGATTTGTCACTGGTTTATCAATTGCATTCATGTGACAAAAATATAACTTTTATTTAAAAATTATTATTTCTATCGAACCTGAATATTATGCAGTTGAATTAATTTGTATGAATTTTGTTTTAGACACAAGTGGTGCAAATAAGGTGAATCATGTCTATCCCTCCGTACCTTTTGGGGCCCAATCCATGGGCTACCATGATGGCTCAGCAGCAGGCCCATGCCCAACTCGCAGCAGCACAAGCTCATGCCCAGGCAGCGGCACAGGCTCAGGCGGCGCATCATGCACACATGCACGCCATGGCAGGTCCTCCTCTTCCACAATTGCCAAAACAACCTGAAGTGTTGTCGGAAGATAAACTACAGGAAAAGGGTAACCTTAAGTCTTGCTTAACTCTTTCTCGGTGGAATATTTTAATGTATAGCATGTATAGCAAATGATACACTGAGAGAAAAATTTATATATAACAATAAAATTATGTAAGACGTATTTAAGGAAAATACTGAATATTTGTGTAACATATGTTTATATAAAGATAGTTTCGTATGAGATTACAGATAAGTAATTACAGGGTTAAAGGATTTTTATATATGTTAATGACGGAATGTAACTGTTATTTTTAAAACGTTTTAAGTTTAGACTGGTCGTCGTTTAAGCTCAATGTTTCATTATTGTTAAACATGCCAAAATTATTGGTCATTCAATTTTTTTTTCTCTGTGAGCAGCTCAGAAATGGCAGCAGCTACAATCAAAGCGCTTTGCTGAGAAACGTAAATTTGGGTTTGTGGATGCTCAAAAAGAAGATATGCCACCAGAGCACATACGTAAAATTATACGAGATCATGGTGATATGAGTAGTCGCAAGTATAGGCATGATAAGCGAGTTTATCTAGGGTAAGCAACATAATTTACTATTAATGAGTGTAGAGGTAAATCATGTTGATTTTATTTTTTCCTTTCATAGAGCATTGAAGTACATGCCTCATGCCGTAATGAAACTCTTGGAGAATATGCCGATGCCATGGGAGCAGATACGAGATGTCAAGGTCTTATATCACATTACAGGAGCAATCACATTTGTCAATGAAATACCCTGGGTTATTGAACCTGTATACATTGCACAATGGGGGTAAGTTCTGATTTTATATATTTCAAATTTTTGAACTGAAGCTTCTCATGTCACAGTAGTGTAATTTTGCATGTACATACTTTTATTCTGAAATCTGCGTATTGCGACCGTAGTTCTGCAGTAAATTGATAATCACCTTGTACATTATTTACCTTTTATATCTCATAGATGTTCTGATTTAATTTGCAGAACAATGTGGATTATGATGAGACGCGAGAAAAGAGATCGTAGACATTTCAAAAGGATGAGATTCCCTCCATTTGACGATGAAGAGCCCCCTTTGGACTATGCCGACAACGTCTTGGATGTTGAACCCTTAGAAGCGATACAAATTGAACTTGACTCGGAGGAAGATGAATCCGTGGCATCTTGGTTTTATGAACACAAACCTCTAGTAGGCACAAAGTAAGAACGAATTTAAATATTCTTCCTTTTTTCACCCATCTTAAAGTAACATATATGTGAGCTTTTACTTGAAAATGGATATAATAAATTTAGAAATATTTTTCTTAACTAGAATAAAATGAATAGATTTATTTTGCTAATGATGAATAGCGTAGGGGTCCTGAAACCGACCATATATGTGGGTTGGCAATTGCAGTGCCTTTGTAAGATTTGTCTGAGACGAGTTCTATAAAGCATTGCGATTGGAATGATAGCGCTACACTGAAAACTTTGTTAAAGTTTGTACATAATTAACACACTCGCAATGCTCGTTCTGTTTCATATTGTATATTTTTACAGACATGTCAATGGCTCTACTTACCGAAGATGGAACTTAACTCTTCCTCAAATGGCTACATTGTATCGATTGGCCAATCAGTTATTGACTGATCTAGTTGATCAAAACTTTTTCTACTTGTTCGATTTAAAGTCATTTTTTACCGCTAAAGCACTAAATATGGCTATACCGGGAGGGCCAAAATTTGAACCTCTGGTTAAAGACTCCAATGCTGCCGATGAGGATTGGAACGAGTTTAATGATATCAATAAAATCATCATTAGGCAACCTATCAGAACAGAATACAGGATTGCGTTTCCGTACCTGTACAACAATATGCCTCACTTCGTTCATCTTTCTTGGTAAGTGAAATAAAATAAATTGTTCACATAACATGTTCATCTGAAAATTAAAGTTGCTATTAGAGAAAAAAAGGATCGGTACCAATTCGTAATGAATCAAAATACGTACAAACGTAGAAATCAAACCGACCTTCTGTAGAAGGCATGCAATAAGCAGTACTGATTCTTGATGTCGAGTATTGATTAACAAAAAATGTTACATTAAGCGAAAATTGCTTTCAATTTTAGGTACCATGCTCCTAATGTGGTTTATATCAAGACAGAGGATCCAGATCTGCCTGCATTTTATTTTGATCCTTTGATCAATCCGATATCTCATAGAAATACATTGAAAGTAAGTAATGGGAAACCGTTTGTTCTGAATTATATTTGTTTCTAATTAGTGTCATCCGAGTTAGCAAAATTCCAATGTTTTGACACAGTAAAATGTTGATTCGTTGCAACTCGAAGATAAATGGTCACATTTGCCCTGTGTTAGTACTACCTACCTAATGCAGTTTCCTAGATGACAACAAATATTAACCTTTAGAGTACGGAGCCTTTTTTGGATATTTCAAAATTTCTTTTGAAAATGTTTCATGTAGTTTCAATACCGTCTTTACAAGTTAATAAACTACTTTAAAGGTTAATAAAAAAATAAAGCTATTTCAAAGTTAAAGTACTTATTCTTATGACTGCTAGAAATAGTATATATACGCCATTCATAAAGAGCACCCTATTTGTTTACAGGCTATGGAGCCCCAGATAGAGGAGGACGAAGATTTTGTGCTTCCAGAGGAAGTTCAGCCATTCCTTCAAGAAACTCCATTGTACACTGATAATACCGCAAATGGCATAGCTCTTTTATGGGCACCAAGACCCTTCAATACGCGATCAGGAAGAACGAGGAGGGCAATCGATATTCCTTTGGTAAAGTCTTGGTATAGGGAACATTGTCCTCCTGGACAACCGGTGAAGGTTCGCGTCAGTTACCAGAAACTGTTGAAGTACTTTGTTCTAAATGCTCTGAAACACCGTCCGCCGAAGCCGCAGAAAAAACGCTATCTGTTTCGATCGTTCAAATCTACAAAGTTCTTTCAAACAACGACTATCGACTGGGTGGAAGCTGGATTGCAAGTGTGCAGACAAGGATACAATATGTTGAATCTGCTTATTCATCGGAAAAACTTGAATTATCTTCACCTTGATTACAATTTTAATCTGAAGCCAGTGAAGACCCTCACAACAAAGGAGAGGAAAAAGTCACGATTTGGAAATGGTTTGTATCATATTTTAATGCGTGTTCTCAATCACTACTGGTTGTGCTAGAATTCTCGGGATTGATTTTCACAGTATTTTAAGGTGATATGAGGAGCGCTGAGAAATTAAATCGACGTCGTTAAAATAGTATCCATCTATACCCTTTTTAGCGGTAACGCGATATTCAATACTCAAGTGGTCACATAAGCTGATGTGCCATGTTTCCAACATTTGCATTTATATTGACCGATGTGTAATATGTCATTTCAATACTTTTGTAGCTTTTCATCTGTGCCGAGAAATTCTTCGGTTGACGAAGCTCATTATAGACTCCCATGTGCAGTACCGTCTTAATAACGTGGATGCTTTCCAACTTGCTGACGGTTTACAATATATTTTTGCTCATGTCGGACAGCTTACAGGCATGTACCGATACAAATACAAATTGATGAGGCAAATCAGAATGTGCAAGGATTTGAAACACTTGATTTACTATCGCTTCAACACGGTAAGATATCTTCTTTTAATAGTACATGACAAATACACATAGTGCTGTATCATTTGTAGGGCCCTGTGGGGAAAGGCCCCGGATGTGGATTCTGGGCACCAGGTTGGAGGGTCTGGTTGTTCTTTATGCGAGGTATTACACCATTGTTAGAGCGATGGTTAGGCAATTTGCTATCCAGGCAATTCGAAGGAAGACATTCGAAAGGAGTTGCCAAAACTGTGACCAAACAGCGGGTCGAATCTCATTTCGATTTAGAACTTCGAGCTTCGGTAATGCACGACATTGTAGATATGATGCCGGAGGGTATCAAACAGAACAAAGCGAGGACGATCCTTCAGCATCTTAGCGAAGCATGGAGATCTTGGAAAGCGAATACTCCATGGAAGGTTTGTACATGTGATATAATTGTGTAACTGTTTAATTTCATGATGCACCAATTATAATTAAAGGTTTAGTATTATTTTGGTTTAGTATAGTTTAGTGTTATTTGAATTTGAGTTTGACCTAATCGATTCAAATAAAGTCAGATATATATGCACATATTTATTTAATTATTTATGTAGCATTATTGAATAAGCTAGCTGTTCTCTTTGCATCTCTTTGTAAATTACAATACTCATGTTATATTATTTAATCAGGTTCCTGGATTACCCATTCCTATCGAGAATATGATTCTTCGTTACGTAAAAATGAAGGCTGACTGGTGGACCAATACAGCACATTACAACCGTGAGCGTATAAGACGTGGAGCCACGGTTGACAAAACAGTGTGCAAGAAAAACTTAGGTCGCCTTACTCGACTTTATTTAAAAGCTGAACAAGAACGGCAGCATAATTACTTAAAGGTACTAAGAGCTTTTGGAAACATATTTCCTGCGTTTGTGCTGAAAAAAATTAATAATTGTTTCCGTGCTTCAGGACGGTCCTTACATTTCCCCCGAAGAAGCTGTTGCAATTTATACAACAACTGTACATTGGTTGGAGTCTAGAAGGTTTGCTCCGATTCCATTCCCACCATTGTCTTACAAGCATGATACAAAACTGCTAATTCTGGCATTGGAACGGTTGAAAGAAGCTTACAGCGTTAAATCGAGGTTGAACCAAAGTCAACGAGAAGAGCTCGGGCTGATAGAGCAGGCTTATGACAATCCTCATGAAGCTCTTTCAAGAATCAAACGTCATTTACTCACTCAGAGAGCGTTCAAAGAGGTAAACCATTTATTTGTTTGTTACTTGGGGTCTCCGTTTATAAAATACTCATTGAAAAATTTCAGTCGAATTATTGTTAGACTAAAAGATCTGGAAGAGAAACGAATACATACGCTAACAGTACCTTTTGACTCTAATACAATGACGACAAATCTCACAAGTTTTTTTGTTTACTTCTCAGTTTGTTCATTTACAGTTTATTTATTCTCTTTACTAATTTATTTCATTCGCCGTTTTGTTCTTTACGAATGTTACGAGTATCCCAAAATATATCAGTATACTATAATTAATATTATAATACTATAATTAAAAGAATATACTATAATTAATACCTATATCTCGTTCGAATGCTTTTGCACGTTTAGAAGGTATGAAGTATTTTTTCGGGGGGTATGAGAATATTATTTTTCATCGTTCTAATAGAGAACGGAAAAAGAATGTTTTACTTTTTACGGAAGAGGGTAAAGGCGTGATACTTTAATGATGAACTTTTGTGTAGGGGTCTGATACCAGTCATTACTGAGGCTGGCTGTTGTGTCGATGAATGAAGTACTGTCCGAGATGGTCTTCATTATCGTCATTGACAGGAAAACCTTACTCTGATCGCTTTAAAAATAGTTTAATGTACGATCAAATATGATGAGACCAATTCATTAATGTATGTCCACGTTTTTAACAGGTCGGAATTGAATTTATGGATCTATACAGCCATCTGATTCCGGTATATGACGTAGAACCTTTAGAGAAAATTACCGATGCGTATTTAGATCAGTATCTATGGTATGAAGCTGATAAAAGACGACTTTTCCCACCTTGGGTCAAACCTTCGGATACCGAACCACCGCCACTCTTAGTTTATAAGTGGTGTCAAGGTATCAATAATCTCCAAGATGTTTGGGATGTAAGTGAAGGCGAGTGCAACGTCCTCCTTGAGTCGAAATTTGAAAAGTTGTATGAGAAAATCGATCTTACCTTACTGAACAGGCTTCTGCGGCTGATTGTCGACCACAATATTGCCGATTATATGACCGCCAAGAACAACGTTGTTATTAACTACAAGGTAAATATTGACTAATTAATTTTCATGAAAATTTAAATATAGATTATTAACGTCATAAGGGTTTTTTTTTTCCCTAAAAAATTGATACCTTGCTGAAGAGTTTTATTTCGATCTCTATAATTATTCTATCCTATAATTCTCAACGTGGAGTGTAACAAATGTCAACATAAATGCAAATGTTGGTAATGTTACGAGCCTGCTTATGTTACCACTTGAGTATTCAAAAAGGTATAGATGAATTCTAATTTATTGACATCGATTAAATGTCTTAGCGCCTTGCATATCACGTTAATGAATTTCTATTGATGTATACTTCTTTTCCAACGAATTGTTATCGGTAGATTCTATTTGGTAAAAAAAATTGCTATAATTACAGCATTGCCGTACATATAACATGTATGTTTGAATATTGCTATCAATCTCCGTTAATAATTTATGCTCTTTTCAGGACATGAACCATACCAACAGTTACGGAATTATTCGAGGATTGCAGTTCGCGTCGTTCATTGCGCAGTATTACGGTTTGGTATTGGATTTGTTGGTGCTTGGTCTTCAAAGAGCGAGCGAAATGGCAGGACCACCTCAAATGCCCAACGATTTCCTTACATTCCAAGATGTGGCTTCAGAGACCGCTCATCCTATCCGACTGTACTGCAGATATGTAGACAGGATTCATTTATTCCTTAGGTTCTCAGCTGACGAGGCCAGGGATCTAATTCAACGATATTTAACGGAACATCCTGACCCTAACAACGAGAACATTGTTGGTTACAACAATAAGAAATGCTGGCCCCGTGACGCTCGCATGAGGTTGATGAAGCATGACGTCAATCTTGGCCGTGCCGTCTTCTGGGACATAAAAAACAGATTACCTAGATCCACGACTACGATTCAGTGGGAGAATAGTTTTGTCAGCGTGTATAGTAAAGACAACCCTAATTTACTCTTCAACATGAGTGGCTTCGAATGTAGGATTTTGCCTAAATGTAGAACGACGCATGAAGAGTTTACTCACAGAGATGGCGTGTGGAACTTACAAAATGAGGTCACCAAAGAAAGGACTGCTCAATGTTTCCTCAGAGTGGATGACGAAAGCTTGCAAAGGTTCCACAACAGGGTTAGGCAGATTCTGATGGCTTCTGGCTCCACGACGTTCACCAAGATTGTCAACAAATGGAATACCGCCCTCATTGGGCTGATGACTTATTTCCGGGAAGCTGTGGTCAACACGCAGGAATTGTTAGACTTGCTAGTCAAATGTGAGAATAAGATTCAAACGCGCATTAAGATCGGTCTCAACTCGAAAATGCCTTCTCGGTTCCCACCGGTTGTTTTCTATACGCCAAAAGAATTAGGAGGTCTGGGAATGTTATCGATGGGCCACGTGCTCATTCCTCAGTCCGACCTGAGATGGTCCAAACAAACCGACGTGGGGATCACCCATTTCCGTTCTGGTATGAGCCACGACGAGGATCAGCTGATTCCAAACTTGTACAGGTACATCCAACCTTGGGAATCCGAGTTCATAGACTCGCAGCGGGTTTGGGCCGAATATGCATTGAAAAGACAAGAGGCTAATGCACAAAACCGCCGACTTACCCTCGAGGATTTGGAAGATAGCTGGGATCGCGGTATTCCGAGGATAAACACCTTGTTTCAAAAGGATCGACACACTCTAGCTTATGATAAGGGTTGGAGGATTCGAACGGAGTTCAAACAGTATCAGGTCCTGAAACAAAATCCATTCTGGTGGACGCATCAACGTCACGATGGAAAGCTATGGAACTTGAACAATTACAGAACCGATATGATTCAAGCTTTGGGAGGAGTCGAAGGTATTCTTGAGCACACTCTGTTCAAGGGAACTTATTTCCCAACGTGGGAAGGTCTCTTTTGGGAGAAAGCATCCGGCTTCGAAGAGTCCATGAAGTACAAAAAATTGACCAATGCTCAGAGGTCTGGTTTGAATCAAATTCCCAATCGACGTTTTACTCTGTGGTGGTCTCCCACTATCAACAGAGCCAACGTGTACGTCGGTTTCCAGGTCCAATTGGATCTTACGGGCATTTTCATGCACGGCAAGATCCCAACGCTCAAGATTTCTCTCATTCAAATCTTCCGTGCTCACTTGTGGCAAAAGGTTCACGAGTCGATCGTGATGGATCTTTGTCAAGTATTCGACCAGGAACTGGACGCACTGGAAATCGAAACAGTACAAAAGGAAACTATTCATCCCAGAAAATCATATAAAATGAATTCATCCTGTGCCGACATTTTACTGTTTTCTGCTTACAAGTGGAACGTTTCTAGGCCGTCTTTGCTGGCAGATTCGAAAGACATAATGGACAATACTACTACTCAGAAGTATTGGATCGACGTGCAGCTCAGGTGGGGTGATTACGATTCCCACGATATAGAGCGTTATGCTAGGGCTAAATTCTTGGACTACACGAACGACACCATGTCTACTTATCCATCTCCTACGGGATTGCTTATCGCCATCGATCTGGCATACAATCTGCACAGTGCTTATGGTAACTGGTTCCCAGGATGCAAACCATTGATACATCAAGCAATGGCCAAAATAATGAAAGCTAATCCTGCTCTGTACGTACTTCGAGAACGTATCAGGAAAGCCCTACAGCTTTACTCCTCGGAGCCGACGGAGCCTTATCTGTCATCCCAAAACTACGGAGAACTGTTTTCCAATCAAATTATTTGGTTCGTTGACGATACCAATGTGTATCGAGTGACGATACACAAAACATTTGAAGGCAACTTAACTACCAAACCCATAAACGGCGCCATCTTTATCTTCAATCCTCGAACGGGGCAGCTCTTTTTAAAGATTATCCACACGTCCGTGTGGGCTGGACAGAAACGTCTCGGACAGGTAAATTAAAACCGCTGTGTCAATCTTTCTTTAGTAGTTATACTTTTTTAATGGTTAACGATATTCTGTACGAATGTATATTTTTTTATGCAGCTAGCGAAGTGGAAAACGGCCGAAGAAGTGGCAGCCCTGATTCGGTCTCTGCCTGTTGAGGAGCAACCCAAACAGATCATCGTTACCAGAAAAGGAATGTTGGATCCCTTGGAAGTGCACTTGCTCGATTTCCCGAACATCGTAATTAAAGGGTCCGAACTTCAACTGCCCTTCCAAGCTTGTCTCAAAGTCGAGAAGTTTGGTGATCTCATTCTAAAAGCAACGGAGCCGCAGATGGTGCTATTCAATCTATACGATGATTGGCTGAAGACCATCTCTTCCTACACGGTGATCATTGTCACTTTTTTTTATACGGACATTGCCTTGTATACATATCAGGATTAGGATTACTATTTATATTCATTTTTGCGGTAGTATTATTATTCCTAAATTAACCATCACCGAACGCATAGAGCCATTTCTGGGTGAGACTGAAGGAGAATGCTTCTCAGATAATCTTTATTTATCCATAGAGGACCCTTATAATAGCTGGTATTCTTTGCAGGCATTCTCCCGTTTGATTCTCATTCTTCGAGCATTACACGTTAACACTGAAAGAACAAAAGTCGTGCTGAAACCAGACAAAACGACCATCACGGAGCCCCACCATATCTGGCCTTCTTTAACAGACAACGAATGGATCAAGGTGGAGGTACAATTAAAGGACCTAATTCTAGCTGATTATGGTAAAAAGAACAAGTGAGTAAATTTGTCGAGAAGCCCTTGACACGTCCACTTTTTCGAGAATTATGTCATAATTGTAATTGAATTTCTGAACAGCGTCAACGTGGCTTCGCTCACTCAGTCTGAGATTCGTGATATCATCCTTGGTATGGAAATCAGCGCGCCTTCGGCACAGCGTCAACAAATTGCTGAGATCGAAAAGCAAACAAAGGAACAATCGCAATTGACGGCTACAACCACCAGAACCGTAAATAAGCACGGTGATGAGATCATTACCGCTACCACGTCGAATTACGAGACGCAGACGTTTAGCTCAAAGACCGAGTGGCGAGTAAGAGCGATTTCAGCTACGAACTTGCACTTGAGAACAAATCACATTTACGTATCGTCGGACGACATCAAGGAAACTGGTTACACGTACATTTTGCCGAAGAATGTGCTAAAGAAGTTCGTCACGATTTCGGATTTACGTGCGCAGGTGAGAGATGTTTCCAGAAGTTACAAGTGACCTTTTATACTTCTTTAGATTTGAATCAAAATATTTGACTACGAGCTTTTTTTGGGGGGGGATTATTGCAAAGGAATACCAAAAATCGAAGGATTCGTTTAGTTCCTCGTTAATTCGAAATAAGGTACTAATGGAGGTTTATTGGAAATGTTGAGTAAAGTTTCTTTTATCACACAGATTGCGGGATACCTTTATGGTATCAGTCCACCAGATAACCCCCAAGTAAAGGAAATCAGATGTATAGTGATGGCACCTCAATGGGGCACCCATCAAACCGTTCATTTGCCAAATTCACTTCCAAATCATCAGTATTTGAAAGAGATGGAGCCTCTTGGTTGGATACACACGCAACCCAACGAATTGCCACAATTATCTCCTCAGGTTAGTACTATAGTAATTGACCACGAACATTATGTTAATCTGTATAGTAGGAGATACCTTTTACTCCCAATTATTAGTTTGTTCTCTCTGTTTGTTGACAAATCGATATTTCCTTAGTTTGAATAAGAGGAAATAAAAAAGTTCTCTCTTGAACGCAATCTCTTTCTTTCCAGGACATATCTACTCATGCGCGCATAATGGCTGAAAATCCATCATGGGACGGTGAAAAAACCATTGTCATCACTTGCAGTTTCACTCCTGGTTCGTGCTCCTTGACAGCGTACAAATTGACCCCAAGGTTAGTGCACGATCAAGGGCTTAGTGAAGGAAAGTCGGAGCTTACCTTTCTTGACCACTGTCCATACCAATCTGTACTAAATTAGTTACATCCATTTATATTATTTTTTCATATTTTCTCATCTGACTCTGTAATATTTCAGTTCTACGGTATTATAAATTGTTCGATATTCAAATATATATAGGCTGCCTCTTTCATATCACCTTAAGAGTCCAGTAAAAGCATGTCGACCTTTACTATTACTATTCACTCTACTGCCATATATACTAACTAAAGGGTTCATTTTTAAGAATATTTCAGTACCTCAATCGTCTTCGAGATGATTTTCGACATAATTATAATTGATATTAAAATTTAATAAATAATTTGAATTAAAAAATGTTAATTTTTCCGCCTTTGAATTTCAGTGGTTTCGAGTGGGGCAAGCAAAACACCGACAAGGGAAACAATCCAAAAGGCTACCTTCCGAGTCACTACGAAAAAGGACAAATGTTACTTTCAGACCGCTTCCTTGGTTTCTTTATGGTTCCAAGTCAAGGATCGTGGAACTACAACTTTATGGGTAAGCAAATAATGTATTTACAACATACTCAGTGAGTATGCAGGAACATTTGAACTGAAGATGATTTGACGCGGTTTTTGATTTCACCTTAACCCTTTCCTGAATGGGTTAGTCATTCAGAAGTATCGTTTACTTATCGCTAAACTCACGTTAAACAGTTCCTTTCAACTGAAGTTAAAGTTTTTATCCATACATGATGAGTCCTTAGATGGTTATTAGTAATAATGTAAATCCGTTTGTATTTATGCACAGGTGTGAGGCACGACCCGAACATGAAGTACGAGTTGCAGTTGGCCAATCCTAAAGAATTTTATCACGAAGTGCATCGACCGGCTCATTTCTTAAATTTCTCCAGTTTGGAGGATGGGGGAGACGGCGTGGGCGCCGACCGTGAAGACGTGTACGCTTAAAAACATAATAAGCGTAGACCTTGCTAAGAGATGAATTGTACTGTACAGTTACAAAAGTGATCGTACTCGTAAACGTCTAGACTTCTCAAGATGATGAAAAATGATATAATATTTTTAATAACAGTGCAGAATACGTACACTTGCTCAGTAAAACGATGCCATTGTGTTGCATCGATTCGTCACAGTGGAGTTATTACCAGATTATTGTTGCAATTGGTTTCTTTCTTGCGGGACGTCTAAAAGTAATCGAATAAATTAATTTTCTGTTCTGTAATTTATTAACGACAATATATGTCGGATAGAAGTAAATTTTACGTTTCCAATACTGTAAAGATAAGTCGACCCTATTGAATTATGACATCAGAGGCGAAAAAATGGCGTGAATATCCCAGGTGGTATTGGGGTACGTTTTTGACGTTTTCTTGAGTGTTCTTCCCTTATCATCAAAAGCTAGCAGGGTCGGTGAGCGTAGGTAAGCCGCCAATGGCGACAGGTAGATGGCACCGCCATCGCCAGGACGCGAGTCCATACCAGAAATTCGTTACGCCGCCCTTGGAGGCAAAAAACGGTGAAAACTGACGTATAAAATCAGAGGGCAGCACAGGATGCGATCGCACGACCCTACCCGTGAGCAATCTCCCAACTTATCTCTGGTATATTTCAGTGGACCCGATAAATTCTCGATTTCGAGTGCGATGGAAACGTGATCAATGTGATGGAGACATGTGATTTATTGGATCCAGACTCGATAAATCCGAGATTAAGGAGTACGATGAAAACGTTGTCATGGTCAATATGACATTTTTTTTTCCGTAAGTCTAAATACCGAAGAAAACTGAAAACAACAGTGTTTAATTATGCAGATACGAGGAATATAAATGAAATTTCGAACGATTCCAGTAAATTAGATGAACAAACTAATGCCGCACAGCTATTATTACAATTGAAGGTTAAACACTTTTATGGGTATAATAGGTAATTCCTTAATTTTCTGAAAATCAGTGGAATTTTATACACACATGAACGTAAAATAAAACAGTAATTGTTTCAAGAAATTGTAACAAACTATATTTACTAACAGCTAAGCTGGTTTATACGTACATTGAATAAAACCATTATGACAAGCTCAAGCAAGCTATGGTAATATTGGTTAAAGTTTTAATATTTGATTTGTATTTACATTTGTAATTGTGAAAATTATTGACTTGTTTAGTCAACAAGATTTATTTTCACAAAAAAGTGGTATCTAGACGATGCTTGGATAGTATTTAAAAATTCATTTGATAACGATACAAACAATTTTATATTAATTTAGATTAAAAGATTTGGGCATCATGACATCCATTATAAAATTACATGCAGTCTCCGGTGCTATGGATGAAAGTCCACCGTGTTATATATTACAAGTTGATGAGTTACGTATCTTGTTAGACTGTGGATGGGATGAGAATTTTAACCAAGATTTTATCAAGGAATTGAAGAGGTAATTCTTAGTGGTTTGATTAGTATAATTTCCTGATGTTAGAAATAATAGTTCCATTATCTACCCTTTAGGCACGTACATCAAATAGACGCGGTCTTGTTGTCTTATCCAGATCCACTTCACTTAGGCGCCCTTCCATATTTGGTTGGAAAATGTGGCCTAAGTTGTCCCATATATGCCACGATTCCTGTATATAAAATGGGTCAGATGTTTATGTACGATATGTATCAGGTATTGCTGCTCACTTTTTCCTGGATGTATGTAGAATTATGTATTTGTTATATTAAACTACATTCCTTTCAGTCACGTCATAATATGGAAGATTTTGATTTGTTTACTTTGGATGATGTGGATGCTGCTTTTGATAAGATTGTACAGTTGAAATATAATCAAAGTATTTCAATGAAAGGAAAAGGATACGGCGTCACGTTAACACCGTTACCAGCAGGTCATATGATCGGTGGAACCATGTGGAAAATTGTAAAAGTAGGAGAAGAAGACATTATCTATGCCATAGACTTTAATCACAAGAAAGAAAGACATTTAAACGGTTGCGAACTAGACAGATTGCAGCGACCATCATTATTGATAACTGATGCTTTTAATGCAACATATCAACAAGCCAGGCGGAGGACGAGAGATGAGAAATTAATGAGTATGTTCAATGAATTTATGGCAGAAATAATCTTTTAAATAATAATTATTGTTTTCTTAATTACAGCTAACATTCTCCAAACTCTTCGAGGCGGAGGTAATGTTTTGGTAGGCGTAGACACTGCAGGCAGAGTATTGGAATTGGCTCATATGCTTGACCAGCTCTGGCGCAATAAAGAATCTGGTCTACTGGCATATTCTTTAGCCCTTCTCAATAATGTAAGCTACAATGTTGTCGAGTTTGCTAAATCGCAAATCGAATGGATGAGCGACAAATTAATGAGGAGCTTTGAAGGAGCTAGAAACAATCCGTTTCAATTCAAACATTTACAACTGTGTCATAGTATGGCAGAACTCAGTCAAGTTCCAAGTCCAAAGGTAAGCGCAAAATGAAAATGACATCACGGAAGTCTTAAAATATCACCCTAACTTAATTTAATAATCCTAATCGTAGGTTGTCCTAGCCAGTACACCAGATATGGAATGTGGTTTTTCACGAGAACTTTTTCTACAATGGTGTAACAATCCTCAAAACAGTATTATATTAACAAGCCGAACATCTCCAGGAACACTTGCTAGAGATTTAGTAGAAAAAGGAGGAAATAGGAATCTTGTTTTAGAAATAAAACGACGTGTAAAATTGGAAGGACTTGAATTAGAAGAACATCAAAAGAGAGAAAAGTTAAAACAAGAACAAATAAAGCAGGAAAACATGTAATTATTGTAGTCTATGATTATGATTCATTCTTATCATTTTTTAATAACAGTATTTATATAGATGGAACGATCTTAGGGAAACTGCAAATGTCAGTTCAGAATCCGAAGATGAAATAGAGGTGGGAGGTGCAAGAGGGAAACATGATTTATTGGTTAAGCAAGAAACTAAACCAGGATTTTTTAAGCAAAGTAAAAAGCAGCATCCAATGTTTCCGTTCATAGAAGAGAAAATAAAAATTGACGAATATGGGGAAATTATTAAGTAAGAAGACTATCAAAGAATTATTTAATATTTCAATATGTATTTTGTATTTATGCATCTAGTTACATCGATATATTGAAAAGATGTATTTAAGTATTACTAAATTATTTATTTATTTTTCAGGCCTGAAGAGTACAAAATAGCAGAAACAATACCTGAGTCTGAAGATAACAAAGAGAATTTAGAAGTAAAGCAGGAAGAATCCTCGCATCATCCAGAAATAACAACAGATATTCCCACTAAATGTATTCAAGTCACTCGCACAGTAACTGTTAATGCAGCAGTTACATACATTGATTTTGAAGGCAGATCCGATGGAGAATCGCTTCAAAAGATTTTAGCACAATTAAGACCTCGTAGAGTTGTATTCGTACGAGGTTCTCCATCCGATACCGCAGTATTGGCACGACAAGCGCAAAGTGCTGGAGCCAGAGTATTTATTCCTGAAAGAGGGGAAACTCTTGATGCTACTACCGAAACACACATCTATCAAGTAAATTCCTTGATTCTTCTTTTACAATTACTAGTTTCCCATCGGTGGTACAAAGTAATTATAACAATTATAAATTTAGGTTCGTCTGACCGATGCTCTGGTTAGTGGGTTAAATTTTTCAAAAGGTAGAGGAGATACAGAAGTTGCCTGGGTTGATGCAATGATGACTGCTCGCGATCAAATTTGCCGAGACGCTGTTGCTGATAACGATCCACCCGATAAGGTGGTCCAAAATGACAAAATACTTACGCTGGAACCTTTGGCCTTTAATGAGGTATGCTTTCCTACTTACATATACAATAATTTTTAACTAATATATTAATCACACAATTCTGAAACCTTTTAGATACCAGGGCATCAAACAACCTTCATTAATGAACTAAAATTATCAGATTTTAAACAAGTTTTAAACAAAAGTAATATTCCATCTGAGTTTAGTGGCGGTGTCTTGTGGTGCTGTAATAATACTATTGCTGTGAGAAGGGTAAGTTCGTATCTGCAGAGAAAATATTTTAAAACTTTTATAGCCACATCCTTTGTATACATAGCTTCTCTTTTTCAACTTTATATTTTCGTATAAAATATTTTACCATTGTTGCAGCATGAAGCAGGGAAAGTTGTACTCGAAGGTTGTATTTCTGAAGAATATTATAAAGTCAGAGAATTATTATATGAACAATATGCAATAGTATAAAAAGCAGGTCTTGCTACTACGTTCTGTCAACTTTTTACTGTAAGTTTTGTATAATATTAATTATTATATATACATTCTTAATTGTACATAACTTTTTTCATCCCTGATGCACAAAATGTTGCATATCCTTATCCTAGGAATAAAATTCCATATTTCACTGTATTTTACTTAATATTGTACTGACTGCGAAACTTTTACCCCGTGTGTGAGCACCTGTTACCCCTCAGTGGCGGCTCAACTGATCTCTGCCAGGGGGTCTGTTACGTAAAGCAAATTGAGCGAAAATGTGAAAAATGACTAGCTCACGGTATTACTCGCGCACTCACGATGGCGGTACTATCTACCAGTAGCCGTTGACGGCTCACGTACTCGTGATGGTAATACCTTGCGGCTGTTGACGGTGGTGGCTTACCAACGCTTACCGACACTGCTCGATTTTGATGGTAAGGGAAGAACATTCGTGGCACCCACTTTGACTTTACCCTTCACTTACCTTACTTATTTTACGAGAAAGTGAAATTATACCTTAATTAAATTCTACTTCACAGCTAGTTCGCGGATCGGTATCATCCCATAAGGATGATACCGATCCCCCAGGTCCCGCCACGAGGAGGCCGCTGCGATTGGGACCCGCCTAAGCATAGGCACCTGGTTCCGTTGAGTTCCCGGCGTCCCGGGAACTCGCAGAACCAGGATTTCATAACCCATACAGCACACCACTCGCATACGATACGCATCCGTCCATTCAACGCATCACTGGCATACCATACTCATCCGTCCATACAACGCTCGCCGCAGAGTACAGGGTAAGTCGCCGAGTACATTGCCAGTTAGCATAGAATTAAGGATATAATTTGCCGGAAGGGCATACTACTTCTAACGCGAACAATTTAGCAGATTCCACCGTCACCGACGACTAACCCGGCTCGGCTGTCGGCCCGCGAATACGAGTTTCAGTCGACGGGCTTGTCCCGTCTTACAGCAGGCAGAGCCCCCGCGGGATGCCGCCAGAGCGAAACAACGTATCGCGCGACCGACAACCTGAGCCAGGTAGCCTTGCACGCCGTAGCTTAGCTACGACGTACTAGGTGCCGACGGAAGCTGCCGGATACACTAAAGGTACGGCCACGCCGTACCTGCAAAAATCTATTTCGGTTAACACGCACAATCCGGAATTACTAGCTGCATGGAAACGTACCCGACAACTTCCTGTCCGCAATTTACAATTACGCACGCACGCAACGAGTGCTTCCACTTTTAACTACGTTAAGCTAGTCATACAAAAAAAAAAACACGCTAAGTGGAATCACTCACGCAGCTATTTGCGAATCGGTGGTTTCGAACAATAGTTGGAAACCACCGATCCTCCAGGCTCACCACGTGGAGGTTGCTGCGCACCGAAGCCCTTTACAAACGTAATAAATTAGGTTAAATATATTAAGAAAGAGAACGGAAGGGAGCGGGAATGTCACCCATAAGGCCCGATTTTACATCCCAAGTTAACCGAAGTTTGATTTTTAACCGTTAGGTGTAACCGTAGGTTAAAACTGGGGTTAACCGTTAGGTTTAACCGTAGGTTAAAACTGAGGTTAACCGATAGGTTTAACCGTGGGTTAAAACTGGGGTTAACCGTAGGTTAAAACTGGGGTTAACCGTAGGTTAAAACTGCGGTTAACCGTTAATTTTAACCGTAGGTTAAAACTGGGGTTAAACCAGTTACGGTACAAGCAGGTAACCCGATGTTTACCCTTCGGATGACCAAAGGGTAATAATGCTCCGAGCACGCGCTCGGCCTTATATAGGGTGCCCGACCCCGGCATGCGCATGCGCAGTTCCTTATCACACCTGTGTATATTCCAATTTTGGAATTTCTTTATAATAACGGAATTTCATGGCTACGGAACCCTTTTTTAGGGTCTTTATATTCATGTTATAAAATTTCAAACGATTAGGTACACCTAGCTTGTGAAAAATGTCCTTATCAATCCACCCCTCGGTTGCCTCTTTCTCGTCACCTTAACGGAAAATCCGTAATTATAAGAAGATGCAATTAGAGTACAAGGGTACCTTTTTCAGGTATCTGCGGTCAGGTGTCGACCGGGAGAAGCGACGGTACGGTAAATGAGGACTCCCGATTATCACAAAATCCTTATCATCATAAAATCCCCAAATTCTAATAATCAATTTTGAAATATATTAATCAACTATGTATTAGATATTTTTGTGGCAAAAAACGGTGAAAGCTGACGTACGAAACGAGAGGGCAGCACAGAATGCGATCGCGCGACCCTGCCCGTGAGCAATCTCCCAACTCATCTCTGATATACATGTGGTTTAAGGACTGCAAGAGTTGGCAATGCTGATTGATTCTGTCCCTGTCTCTCTGTCCCTCTCTGTATGGAACATCTGTTAACTTCAGTGGACTCGAGCGATCGAAGAAGTTGTGTGCTTATCAATTTTCTAACCTACCACTTAACGAATGTTGCGCTAGTCTAGTGACAAATTGTCACGGGTACGCTTAGTGATAATTAATTTAATAACAATACCATGATGTCACGATCTGTGAGGGCAGAGACTCGAAGTCGTGCCAAGGACGATATTAAGCGTGTGATGCAAGTTGTTGATAAAGTTCGCCATTGGTAATTTAATGATTCAGTCGGTTAGTTAAACTCACAAAGATAGGGTTAATAATATTTCCTTTGCAGGGAAAAAAAATGGGTAACGATAGGAGAAACCACAATGAAAATTTATAAATGGGTCCCCATATCGACGCTTGAACAGGTATTTTAATTGACATGATTATACATTTTCTACAGATTCTTTAACATGGTAACGAACCTTTGGACGGCTTAGTAATGCGAATGATTTTTGTTTCAATTGTGTGCCTTGGTTCGTTGTCTGATATTCCCTCAAAACATTTATGTAATTTTAGATATGTTAGCATCCATGTTACGATTATACTAAATGCATTTTAAAATTCTATATTCATACTTTGAAGTAGTCATATTAAATTACATTGAGGTAAATATAATATAATTAATAAATTGTCCACCGACGTATGTTGTGATTAGATATAAATAAATAGAAAATTGAATCACGTAACCAGAACATATTTTGTATTAAATATTTTACAGAAAAAGAAGGGAAAGACGGTGGTTGATAAAGAAAATGGCATAAGTAGGAAAGGAGGCATAGATTCATGTAATTCCAATTTTGGTCTCACTGAAGATTCTAACACGTGTAAGCATTGTTTCTTGTTTTCTTTAAACAAATTTTTTAACCACTAACAATAATTAATTCATTGTATTTCTTTATAATAGGTTTCTCCACTGTAAGCGATTCTCAAGGGTTAACCGATTTCTCAACACATCTGGGATTCTCAGAAGATTCAAACTCACAAAATAGTGAACTTGCGCCTAAGAGGCTAAAGACTGATTGAATGGCTGTAACTTTTAACCTGTGAGTGAGAAACATAACTGCAGATTGCGTCTTTTGAAGTCGTATGCACACGAGATTCTTACATTGAGGCTCTTCGATGTCGAGTATCATAAAAAGAACCTTTTATTTGGACCAATCTACTTTTGCACTTTATTACAGACAACCATTTTAGTTTCAGTGCAGTCAATGTACTAACAAAAGTTTCAAAATTGCTGTGAATTATACATAGTGGTTGATTATAATTGATTATGACATTACGGCATTGATCACCCGATAATTGTTTTTGTTGAATCAGATATAAATACATAATTTATTGGAATTAAAAAAATCCGATAATGATATTAATGTTGAGTTTAAAGGTCCATTAATAGCGTATCGACGTTTGGGACATGATTTACAGCTTGTGTATACAATTAGTATATAGAAGCAATAAGACGATTGAGATTCATTTTGAGAATCCTTCAGTGCGACTGCCATGAACCAAAAAATATCAGATTATCATTATAAACAGTCTGTATATTAAATATGTTCTTAGAATCATGAGAGTACTATAAACGAGCTTATAGCTAATGCACTTTTTTGAGAAAATTCGTGTACACTTAATAGACTCTCATATTCTATGCTGGAACTTGAATTTTTTGTCAAAGGAAGTGAACGCATCAATGTTTGTCTTACGACTAGGTACGTACAAATAATGTTAAAGGAGAATGGTACTGGAATATTTAATTTATTAGAATTCATAAAATCTTCCGTGTCCAGCTCTCATACTAAATTGTTTATTTCTTGTGATACATTTGTACATATTTCCGATACGGTTTTAGCTAAATAACGCGTATGTATAACATCAGCATTCCCTGACATGTTCTGTTAGTAAGATATGTAAAAAAGAAACAATTTCCTATGAGAATAAACGTGAAAATCAGTATGAAACATCGTGTATAAAAATATTAACCTACAAAATTTCGCGTTACCGATTTATTCATGATTTTCCTATGCTATAACTATGAATTGGTATAAGGAGATATAACGCCAATGGTCGGTTTCACAGAAAGTAACCCCAGAATCAAAGTTTTAATCTCTTCTGTATACCCAGTTTGAAGAAAAGTTTCATGAACGAGAACTCTTTAACGCCATTTTCACATCGCCTTGATGTATCATTTTTTGCTCATCGACGGTCTAATCGCGTCTGCAGCCGTAATTACAATTTCTAGTAATTTACCAAGGCAACACTTTACCATCGTGTTGCACGTATGTGCCGTTATCATTCTCGGTAAGACCTTGTAAAACGGAGAGCATGCCGCTGACGCTGATATCGACGTCCAGAGTAGCATTGATTCCACCCATGTCGGTTCGAACCCAGCCAGGATGCATACACGCCACCAAAATGCCGTCATCTTTCAAGTCAATGCTCATGGACTTCGCCGCCGCATTCAGTGCAGACTAGTAATGACAAATGGTATCATTTTCACACAAGTCCCAGATGGAAACCCATTGAACACAAAACTTAACAGTTACGTAACTTAAAACTAACTAGTTACATCACATTTGTTACAATTCAGTAACTTAACAGTTATGTAACATGGAGCTAACAGGTTACATAACATTTGTTGCTATCATTCACCTTAAGCTATCACCTTAAGTGCTTCGATTACAAATCTCTAAGATTGATTGTTACGCGAGAAGCGAGCTATAGTAAAGAAGAAACGATTTATTGTTACGTGTGTAACCAGCTATAGTAAAAGGAGAATCTGCAAACCTTGCTACAGCGATAAGGATAAAATCCGCCGCTGGTATTGTCCGTAATACTGCCAAGCGAAGAACTCATATGGATAATCGCAGCTCGCGAAATGTTCATCGCACCCTTATCAGGGTATATGCTAGAAGCCTGCTTCAGTAGTGGTAGACAAGCCTATAAAAACATATTTTGGGTGATAAAAAAATCGGTACGTGGGTTGGTAAAATTATACATACCAAATTACACTTGATCAATTTTGTCTACCTCAGTTGACTAAAATGTATTGGTTAAATCATTTTGTTGCTTTTAGAAAATATCTCAGTGAATGAACTAAATATTTTGGTTACATGTGCCAAGTTGTTTTAGTGTTTGGTGCGATTTACCACAATATTTGATGTTATCAACCAAAAGTTATTCAACAAAGGATTTGGTCATAACAAAAGATTTGGTTCTCGGTATAATAACCATATTTTATAAACGAAACAACACAAGTTTTATTGACTTAACAAACAAATGTAAATTCAAATGAATGCATAAAGCTTTCTTTTTTTTTCTCTTACCTTACTCAACATTATTGGAGCGACCGTGTTGACCTTGAATGTATCCAGAAGTTGTTCCTCCTTGACTAGATTCAATCGTGCAAATTTGTTCGCAATGCCGGCATTGTTGATAAGGACATTAAGACCATTTTCTCCAACCTTCTCGCTTATGATCTGGATCACTCTGTCGTAACTCTTCGTATCAGTTACATCTATAAATGAGAAGAAAAGTAATTTTTTTCTTTTAAGTTTTCAATCTATCTAGACACTAAGTTGTTCGTAGAAAATATTTAAGCAAAGCATACGAAAAAATGTTTTTCTGAAACATTTCGTTTAAACGTGCGTTAAAAATCAATGAAATGTTTTTAACATACATGTACCGACCAAACACGGTAACGTAACAATAATATAACCATGTTGAAATAACTAAGCCTTGATCCACTTAAACCTCTCGTCCTACTTTTCCCTTAGTTATAATTCAATCCTCAAGCCAAAGGTAATAATATAATTACAGATTTTTAATGTTTCTGAAGCGGTGGACTGCTAGTGGTTCTTTTTACAAGTGATCTGCATATATCTTTGTATACATATGTATAATGCGCTCGTACGACTTGACAATTAACAAAAAAGTAATGGAATATTGTTTTTAGGACTAAGAACTATTAATCAAAGTGATAAAAGGAAATCAGATTTTTCCACAGCTCCATTGTGGTGTAACTCCTTACGTCTATATCAGATTAGTTTGCAGAGATTTATCGTAATTACTTCGTCTTACGTGTGCAGTCACTTTTACGCTTCTAATTTCAACGCGAGTGAATGATTCTCAGTTTCTTACCCAATTCAATAATGTGAACATTTCCCGACTTGTCAGCAATTTCCTTCAGCTCCTAGAAAAAAGAAATCCATCATCGCACCTTGAGATATGAGTAAGGGCCAAATACTTCATTTTCATTCCCTTGGAAATCAGTAAAAACGATTTCCTTCTTTTAGAGCCGATTGCCTTTGATTTCATATGATTCGATTCGGTAACAAGGGACGTTCGGCCTTAAAAGAGTGTAGCAAAAATGTTGAGTTACGGTTATTGCAGGGTCTCGAAGGTCCAGGAACTTATCCGGTAGTTTTTGTAGAAAGGGACTCATGGTTTTTAGGAAGAGGAATTTTGGGTTCGAGTGACTCATAAATTGTCGTTATCCGAGTTAACTCGTGCCGGAGCGACTTGCGTCGTAAAATTGCCGGTCAACAATGTGTTAATCAGTTTCTTATAAATATTCCACTTTCGTCGAGCACAAAAAATGAAGAAAAATACGAAGCCTTTCTACGTCCAAAATCCGAAACTACGGATTCAAGTGAAGAGAAGAAACTGAAATCAGCTGAGCGTATTAGAAAATTTCGTTCGAGGCAATTGTAATGTCCGCCCTATTTTTCATTAATAAGAATTGTTTTATTTAAGCTGTTGGATGATGCGCCTAAATCCCATTGTTAGTCCGTTATCAGGGTCTTCCGCTTTTGCGCTCTGTTAGCTAAAACTGATTTCTTGTCGAAATTTCTAAAGACCATGGCGCCTTCCGAGAGATCTTCGATCGAACCAATAGTCCGCTTCTTTTTCTAGGAAGAGAGACAGATTTTCACCAAACTCCGACTAGTAAGGACTAAAGCAGAAATAAAATACTCCAAACTCGTTCTCGTCCGCTCATTGCTTGTGGATTCATTACACAAAATGAAAATAAAACATTGTGCGGGCTAAAGGACATATACAAGACATACATATAAAAGACATTCATGATCCCATGTCTATCCCACGAGGGAAAGACATTTGTTTACCTTTTTTTTATCTAATTTGCGTATATTAAAAATGAGATATTTCGCGATATGTCGAGGACTGCGGACGTTATCGAAAGAGTCGAGGTCCGGGATACAGAAATCGCACTTCGCGGGATTATTAGCGGATTCCAAGAATGCCCATGAGTGGGCGTTTTCTATCCGGCTCTACGATGACTAGACAAGCAGGCGAAGGGGAGCGAAGGTCGGTTAGTGTCGCGCCGCGACACCAGAGGGCAGAGGAAGCGGTGTCGCCGGTTCTTGCTTCAGTTCTACCTATGCCCTAGAGGAAAGGGGACGTGCAATCGTAGTTCGCGTCCTAACAAAGTTCAACGGTTAACAAAAAGCACGCCGCGATATATATTACCCTGAAAGTTCTGATCTTGAAAGTATAGCCATGGCACCCATCGGTAAGTGATCTTGAACGCGGTTACATAAAACCGGGAAAAGTAGCCTTCCCATAATTAATCGTATTATCGATAAGACCATGCTAACCGATCCATACGGATTTAACTTGACTTATTAAGTAATTGGATTTAACCGCACGGGTTACAAATTGTTACGATTTATCGTAACGCGTGTACCCGCATTGAAATGGGCCTTGTACTCACCGCGGCTTTGGCAACGTCGCGGCAAGTCGCGAAAATGCTCTCCGGCGGCTGTGGCAACCTTAGCAGGTGCTTAACTAGCCCCAGACCGATGCCTCGATTGCAGCCTGTTATCAGGATCGACTTCATTCTTGCACTGCGTCGCAGCCGGCTTTGTGGGCTCTTCGAAACGTCGCTTATAAGTCGAATGCTTGCCCCCGAATGCCGGGATGCGTCGCAGCGCAGCGCGAGAGTCTCTCGGCGCCATTTTATTTCTGATGGGAATCAAGGTCGGTTTACTGCAACGGTTTCCAATGCGTATGGTGGGCCGTGACTCGGTGTACATTCGCGCAGGCTGGAATTCTCCGTGAAGAAGGGGACGCTCAAAGCACGCAATTTTTAAGCTAAATGGTGAAGCATAGACTCAAGTTCTTTTCTATACTTTCAACGGCTTTTCATCTTCCCGCCTATAACACACTACCTCTCAACAATTTTCGATTTACAAGATATCTACCTTTGTTTAACGATATTACTAGACCGAAAATGCTAGTGATCTCGTTCCTTCATGCAGCGAATGCGTGATTCGGCGAATAAACTCACGTGAGATGAAAGTGAGAAGTGAGCGCTCTCGTCAAAGATACGTAATAAACACCCAGGTTGGTTCGGCGGTTGCGCGGTGCGCGCGCAGCTGGCTGTCGTGAAGTCGGCGCCAGTCGGCGTGGCCAATCGAGATCGCGGCCATGGCGACGTTGACACTGTTCGCGAGGCTTGTGCCTTTTCGAAGGCCGCACGGCAAGCTTTTGGATTTGTCCTGGTCCAGGAGGAACGCTTACATGTCGGGGTTGACAACGGCGGCATGCATCTGCAGTGAGTTGCTTTCCACGTGGTTCCGTTACCCGTCAAGCCGGCCTGGAATAACTGTCATTACGTAAACTCGGCAAGTGAGAGAGCGCACGGGAAATCGGCTGCGCAGCCGGTAGAGACGTTCCATCGCGGAAGGGGAAAGTGCTTTTTCACACCTTTTGTAACCGCCCAATGCGCGCGCATTTTGCATCACCACTCGATAAATGAGGTTGGCGAAATTGGAATAGGTTAGGTTAGTCCGACCTATAGGGTGACCACGTGGTGGCCGATGGTCGTGTAAACTAATGAAGATGAGAAGGCGGAAATGTCACTGCTCCAAAACCCAATAAAATACTCACCAAAAAATATCTAAAAATCAAGGTTACGTTTTTTGTTTTCCACCTAGTTGAATATTAATTCGCCAATGAAAAAATATATTTGAATAATTAATTAAAAAATTCATTCACAATAGCATTCTCTTTTCTCTCTTAGTTTATCAATCTCTCACGTGTTCCCAAAGTTTATGGCGGTGATATGTAGACTCCCAATTATGCTAACTGAAATATAATAATTCTAATGATACTGATTAAAACGTTTCAGCGGAATCAAAGTACATGTACGATTTGCTTGTCATCGGTGGTGGCTCCGGTGGATTAGCTGCAGCTAAAGAAGCGGTCGAACATGGAGCTAAAGTTGCGGTGCTCGATTACGTTACTCCTTCACCACGAGGAACAAAATGGGGACTAGGTGGTACCTGTGTCAATGTGGGCTGCATTCCAAAGAAATTGATGCATCAAGCAGCGTTACTTGGCGAAGCGATACACGTATGTTGCATCATGTACCTATAGTCCCATTACCATGTACATTGACCAGTCATATATTTTGGGACAAATATTTTAAATCAGTGAAAGAAGTTGTCACAGCTGACTATTGAACTGAACTATTGTAATTCGAGCATTCAGATTGTAGAAATATTAATATTAATGGTGTGTTGTAATTTCAACAGGATGCGGCGTACTATGGATGGCGATTACCAGATCCATCCGCTATCTGCAATGACTGGGAGACTCTGAGGACTGCTGTACAGAATCATATAAAATCAGTCAATTGGGTCACCCGTGTCGAGCTCAGAAACAAGTTAGTTAACATTTAATTGTTACATTTGTAGTTAATGCATAAATGTACTTGTTAAAATTGCGTTCATACAGAGCGAGGCATAATTAAGTACCTGACTTGGGTTGTTTACATTTTTTTAATAAACGTTACACTGCAAGGTAAATAAGAAGGAGCAAAGTGTAACATTAATTAGCCAGCCACCTAATATTTTAAGCATTTCTAGAATCTGACTTATGGTGAATTTAAATTAATTAACTAATTGTTTAACAAGTTCGAAATGTGTGTTTTGAAAATTATTCGTTTCTTGGGTTCTGTTTTAATGCGATTATGTTACACAATTGCAGGAAAATTGAGTTCCTGAATGCTTTAGGTTACTTCAAGGACCCTCACACTGTAATTGGTGTATTAAAATCCGGAGAGGAGAAAGTTCTTACGGCTGAGAATATTTTGATCGCAGTAGGCGGGAGACCCAAATATCCTGATATTCCCGGTGCTGTCGAATATGGCATAACTAGTGATGACATTTTCAGTCTTGATCATCCGCCAGGCAAAACACTCGTCGTCGGAGCTGGATGTATCCTTTTCAACCTGGTCATTATATTCAGTATTACACCGTTAAAACCATCTGTTCGAAATATGGATACATTCGAAAGTGTTTGATATATCGAAACATTTTTAACGGTGTAGATGTAGATACATTCAAGCAAATAATCCTTAACCACGTGCATAGACATTGGCCTTGAATGCGCAGGATTTTTGAATGGCTTGGGTTTCGATGCAACTATAATGGTGCGATCCATAGTTCTTCGGGGATTTGATCAGCAAATGGCGAACATTGTTGCGACTGAAATGGAAGATCGAGGTGTCCACTTCATTTATCAAGCCAAACCGAAAGCCATCATAAAGCAGGACGATGGACGGCTTCTTGTACATTATATCGATAAAGTAAATACAAACTTCTATTTCATCGTGGAGCGTCTTTTACATTTCATGATAAATTTGTTTGAAAAAAGGATTTAATGCAAACACTTTACATCGTTAGGAAGGGCAGACCCAGAAAGACGTTTTTGACACCGTGCTTTTCGCCATTGGCCGGCGAGCTCTGACAAAGGAATTAAAACCTGAAAATGCTGGAATTGTTATTGTACCAGACACTGGGAAGGTGGAGGATCGTAGCGAACAAACTAATGTACCAAATATTTACGCCGTTGGAGATGTTCTTCATGTACGTTGCATGACCATATGATTAGTGCGGCGTCCTAAATGATTATGGAATTAAATGTAATTTTCTTTCAATTCCTTTAGAAAAAACCGGAATTGACCCCGGTCGCAATCCACGCTGGCAAGTTACTAGCTAGACGTCTTTTCGGCAACTCGACGGAACAGATGGACTACGATAACGTGGCAACTACCGTTTTTAGTCCATTGGAATATGGTTGCGTAGGTCTCAGCGAAGAACAAGCTGCAGCCATTCACGGCGAAGATAACATAGAAGTCTATCACGCTTATTACAAGCCCACTGAATTCTTTGTTCCCCAGAAGAGTGTGTCTCACTGTTACATCAAGGTGGTCGCGTTACGCCATAATGAGCAGAAAGTTCTAGGAATGCACTTTATCGGACCACAGGCAGGTGAAGTCATCCAAGGTTTCGCTGCAGCGATGAAGTGAGTATTATCAATGTATTCGCTTAAGAGGTCCCATTGTTTTATTATATTCTATAAATAGTCTATAGAAATTATTTTAAATTCTTTTACTGACCTCTTGTAACTCAAGGTGATATGAAAGTCAGCCTATACATATCTGAGAAGTCAAATCGTTGGAGAAAGTATTCTCCGAATTGAATGTATCGATTTCTTTCAAATTTTACCACGTGAATACTCTTTATAAAATTCCGTTATTATTTTTAAATATTTTATTATACCTTTTGTCTTGCGATGATGAATAATTCTGTATTTGCATTTCAGGTGCAACTTAACGTTTCCTATTTTGAAGTCTACGGTTGGAATTCATCCAACCACCGCAGAAGAATTTACGCGTGTTTTTATAACAAAGCGTTCCGGAATGGACCCCACACCACAAAGCTGCTGCAGTTAGATAATTAGTAATTATGATAACATACTGGAGTCGTGCACTGATTGCATTTTTGATGTCCAGTAATGCCAGAACGACCACTAGACTAGGAACTTATGCCGTGGCACTATCAGTGATATTTTCACAAGAAGTTTAGTAGTCTACACCTGCTTGTATAATTTGGTTTACTTCGTATCAGAATTGTAATTTTTGCATGATAATACGTACATGCTGCGATGTAATGACTTTGGTAAAATGATTTTATACGTGTATTTTACTTTATATGTATTATGTGTACATAATGTGGTTAAAATGAAGGCAACAAACAGATTAAGTTTCAAGCTAGGTTGTGTAAGAATTACCATGATCGACTTGCAGTTCGTGAAACTTTGTCGAATGTTATTTTGACGATAAGGGAGAAAAAGAAACCTGATGGATAAAATGTACACCCAATATTAATACCACCAGAGTATTATTAATTCACTTAGCTATCTCTAATACTTAGTATTTCAGTAAGAAATTGCATTGATATGCTGGAATTAAAAGTTACATTAAGGGCGCATTACATTACGAATTTGGTGAAATATTAAAGAGAAAAACTAAAGATATAATGTTCGATAGCATTCAGACTTCAGTAGAGATATCCATGTTTTCCGTATATTTGATAATATCATTAATATCCTTTTGACAAAAATTACACAATGCAGGTTCATTTCTTACTTGACTTTTCTCCGAGAGTTTCTCAATATGCAAACTCTTTAAACGAATAAAGATCTTGGGAGAAATAATTTGATGCAACACAGAGTTAAGTGTTTCATGACAAGAACACAAAATATAATAGAAAATACAAAATCGTCGAAGAATAATGAGAATTGTTACCATGTTTTCAATGTCGGAGTACAGTAACCAGTGTTAAGTTATACTGTAATTTTATTTGGGTGGATGGTATACAATCAATGCTACTTAACTTGGGAAAACCACCGAGTGATAATATTTATAAGAGAATTTAATGACTACGGCTCAAAAGATAGTTATGTTTCACTGTGACGTTGAATGCTGTAACCACATCGGTGATTTTTATACATGTTATTTTAACTGCTATTCCATTTAATTCATCTAAGATTCTTTTTTTTGTAAAACGAAATTCATTTTGAAATATATAATGCCTGGGCAATAAATGACAATAGAAATCTAGTGTATGTTATTTTCAGAAATTAAATATCGGAGTGTAACGATTACGGATTTGAGTTTTCCGATAATTGCACTTGTCTCTTTCCTTCTGGCAATTCGATTCCCATAATGTCCATTGCAAAGTCTTTGTACGATATCGTCTGCGCGAAAAAATAGAAACTTAGGAAAGAAATTCTTGACCAATGATACAAATAAATCTTAAAACATAAGTTTAAATATAAAAGTGTCTGGAAAAGTTATATCGTTGGGTAGTCACAATATTCAATTGATTCAATTGAATTAAATTAATTAAATGCTGACCAACATATCGGGCGCTTTTTAGATAAATCATCTTTCGCATTTGATGTGCGGAATAATATATTGCATATAATTTAACAGAAATTCTATGTTAACTGAAATACAATTACCGTGGGCAAAAAGTTAAATTGTACATCCAGGAAATCTTGGTCACTTGCAGCGGCGATTGATCTTATATCACCTTGAGACATTAGAAGAGTCAAACAAGTATGCGCTTCTGATACAGTTAGGGGTTCCCCTGCAAATAATATGTCGCCCATTAATATTTAATTTCCGTTGAAAACTCTTGTTAAAGATAGGTTCGTAGAGTTTCGAGCCAAATACATCTGAGTGAGAAACTCGTTCGTTTTGTCTGGTAACGGAATCGGGCGCTTTCTTTCTTTTACTATCAAATCTTTCAAGCCCCGAATAAGAATTCGTTACAATGTAGGACGAACCGTATAACTTATTTTCTTCGGATGGCAAATATGTGTGGGGCCCTGAACGACCAAGTAGCACATCGATGAAGGCTTCGAGAGACATTTTTGGATTTTGACTTCCTGCCGAATCGTCAAACGCCGAGAATGCTTTTTTCATTTCGTAGCTGGAAATGCCAAACGCGGGTCGATGATTTATGTACAGTTTTATCAATTCTTCGAACGAGATTTCGTCCACTCGTTGTCCAGTTTCAGCGTAGTTTTTGTATATCACTTCATTCATCATGTCCTCCAACTAGATTAAGAAATTATGCAAAATGGTGATCGAAAAGATGTGGCACGCTAATTTTAGAAGAGACGTTTTTTTTTTTTACATACACGAAAGTAAGCATTATCGATACAGCAATTGCGATAAAACCACGTCAGTAAATATAAGGGCATCGGTTCCGCAGAGTTATGTTCACTCTGCTAAAAGTGTAAAATGTATAATTTTAATAACATATACTTGATTTAAATTGTACATTTCAGCAGAGTAACTCTGTAGAACTGCTTTCCTTATATTTACCCGGGATGGTTGTTATGGTTAACAGAAATGTGGCAATGATAACAATTTCTTTGGGAGGGAATTGTTGATTCCCACCTCATAATTGCTGGGATAAAAGCCGATTGCCCTCATTAGATTCGGCAGTTGTTTAACGGATACTTTGTCCGTCACTATTCTCGTCGTCATTGTATTCTCACCCTGTTGCAAAATCTGAGCGTAATAAAACAAATCCTGCAGTTCTTGCACAAGCCAGCCGTTACTGCCTCCTTCTAATAGGCAATAATATGGCGAAAGTCCAGAACCACCTAAACGAGCCATAATGTCCACCGACCTGTTTGTTGAGAAGTATTAATGTTAACAAGTAACTTCATTTTTTATCAAAAATGTTAAGAATACCTATGAACAAATTTGTAAAAAATTGAAATTTCATGGGGGTCAGGACCTTCCTTGAAGCCTCCACATTCACGTTATAAAGTTTGAAGCGATTCGGTACACCCAGCTCGGAGAAAAGTTTCATAAACGAGACCTTTTTAACGCCACTTTCACATCACCTTAAGATATGGTTACCTTAAATTGATTTTCCACATAAACACACTGTGATCGTTATATCCCAAAGTAAACAGCTTCTTTCCACACGAACTGACGCATAATATTTTGAGCTGGAAGATTGATCTATTGTAAAATGTCTAAGATTAACGATAAAATGTAATATTACAACCTTTCTTGGATGACCAATTATTGCCACGTTCATGAAAGGGTTACCATACGAAGGAACCAATCGTATGGCGAGTTCTTTTTCGGTCGCGAAAATCATATGTGCGTGTGAATCCATGCCTTTGACTGGTAACATCTGAAAAAAAGGTTGATAAATCAAAATTGCTTTATATTATCTTTGTATTACCATAATATCAGTGTACCTTTATGTGCTGAACAGGTGAACTAAAGGTGGGACACCGAACGGTCCGACGATTCATTTTTGTTACTTCATTCAAGAGCTTAAACTTGTACTGAAATAATAATATGACGTTATTAGCACTGTATTTACATATATGTGGGTAGATTAACCCTTATGTTTGTGGTAAGATTTTAAACAAATAGGCACACCCAATTCGAAAAAAAGTTTCATGAACGACTGACCCCTAAGATGCCACTTTCACATCCCCTTAAACGTGAAAGCGGGAGAAGGGCTGTTTGTGTCGAGTCGATACTTCAATCCAACATTGAATTTGCGTAATCAAATTTTCGACTCGGGTACTATTTTTGAAAATAACGTCACTCACCTTGGAATTCGCAACGATAAGAAATCTTTCCACCATGAGTTGGGGATATGGCGCCATACAAAGTGGAACGGCGTCACGTTCTATTCGAGTGACTTGTAAAATTTTCAACCCTGGGTCAGGGTATGGTCCGCTAGGTTCGAAAGAAGTATATTCTTTGATTAATTTTTAAAAAAACAGTGGTCAGTTCGAGCGCGCTGCGACGTATAGTCGCTTCACAATGAAATCACTGACTTTACTTTTTGGACAAACCCTGTACTTTGCAAAATCGACTGATCACCTGTTTTCCAGATCATATTCAACGAGGTCTCGATCTTCTCCCAGCGAAAGAAGACGAGGAGTCGTTAGTCCGGCTGGAGGAGGAACGAACAATATTTCTCGAATGGGCATAAAATGCGAATGATATTTGCCCACGTAATACCAGATTGGGGTGTTTTCGTTGTTTGCTAGTGAAAAGGCACTTTTATTTCTTCTAAACACTGCAACTGCTGATGTATCGTCCTGTAGAAAGAAAATTATCATTCCGTTACACATTCATTCCTAATGCCACTCAGTGGTGGAAATAACGAAAAGATGATCAAAGCTTGAAAATTGAAGTTTCTATTTAGGGATTGTTATGTATACTGTCTCCACTCCCCCTTTAAATTATCTTCAAATTACTATTATAGTAAATTGTATTTTACTGTGAGCGTACGAAGAAATTCATAACAAAATTAATGGTCGGTACAACAATGTCCCCATCTGTTTCCTGAGAAAGATACAGTTCTTTTTTATACCGAGTAGGCCATGAATTCGGAGTTCAGAGAAAATGCAATCTTCAAAATTGCTCCTGGGGAATGCCTATATGGCGTATCGTCTAATGGTTCCAAAGTATCAGGATGCAGCGTCCATAACACACCATTTTCAAGTCCACATGCTAGCATTTCATCTACAGATAAACGAAAAGCGTCATATATGCAGTATTTTCTATCAAAGATATCGCTCGGTAATTATCATGGATTAGAACCATCGTGGCGTGGTTCGAGCACGTTTTCGATGTTCAACGCTTCTAAGGAATTTGACTTGTGAAGTGTCATTCATGTTAGATTATTTTCTATCATTGCGATTAAATATATTAACGAATTATTGAATGTTGTTCAAATCAAACCTCTCGGTGAAAATTTCAGGGCCGTTATACATGTCAGGTTTTCAGACATCTTAGTTTGCGTGATATAAACGATTTCTCCCTTAATCACTTCTCTGTTCAGGATCGATTGAAAAGACGGTAAAGGCGGCGTCTTCTTCGACAGGAACAGACTGGGTATTGAGTAGTTGTAGAGACGGAGCAGACCCATTGTATTACCGGTCACCAAATAATCTCTAATCGAGAAAAATATGAATAATTCCTCTATCTTTATCTATTTTAAGAAAAAGAAGAGTTTGGAAGAAAATGAGGGGAAAGAAAGAAGTACCTTTCTGTTTGTATGTCCATAGCAATTATTGGTACTTCCGAAGTGTGCATAATAAAATGGCATTTCCCTTTCGTAAATTCTATCCATGCAACTTGGCCCGTTTGCGTCGCTGGAAAATAATAAAATCATAATAAACTTATTAAGTCAATACGAAGTACTGTTCCGCAGTACTATCGTAACTAATTTCATTTCTGTAATTTTCTTCTAACAACATTACTGTAACTGTAACATTCTTCTTTCTTTTTTGAAAAAAAAAAAATAATGAAATGTCAGCCAGTCGTGTTACTGTACCATCAATATTTCTTGGTACTTGGCGCAAGACTCGACTAAGTTTTTCAAAAAGAATCCTCCCACGTAAAAACCCTAATGTGAAAACTGGAGACGCCAGTTTTTACAGTAGTAACAATTTTTTAACAGAATTAACAATTTCTATGTTAAATTTTCGATGTTACATTGTTTCCTAATTCTGTCATATTACATTATCTTTTATACTTACACACAATAAAGTTAGGGACTGCATTTTCTGATCCTCGAAACGAATTAAGGTTAAAACCTTGTCGTTTCGATGGGACTAAACCTTCATTATTGTCAATGGTGTGTGAACAATGTATGTCAATAGTCAGATTAGAAGAAACTGTCTTTACAATTTCTTCTTCTTTATCTTCGTTTTCTCCTTCCTCTCCCGGGAACTTCTCCACAGTTTTAAGATCACCTTCACATTCGTTTCCTTCATTTATATCTTTCTCGTGAACACTGCTGGATCCTTGAAATAATAGTTTATTGTGTACACCGGGAGACATCAATGCCCTCCCATCCTGCACAGGCGATGCCGTCTCTGCAGGGGAGGCATTCACGTCCGCCATTGTACCAATGAGGCAAATTTCACTTGATCAACTCATTAACCTACTTAGTTGTAGTTCCTCGACGTGTTTCACTTCACCTTAATATTTTGAAAACTTACGGTCCGATTCACCATTATGCTGATACGGTCGTGTCAATTTAGAGGGACAGTCGAAGCTGATGGACGAAATCGAATCGAACTCACAGTTTCGACATGAGTGGAGGTACTTCAATTGGTGATCATAGAAATTAATGTGCCCAAAACTGTTGCCCGTCACGATCATACTATTTGCAAACATGAAACATTTTTTGTCACTCAAATTTACTAATTAAATATCTAATAATATTTCAAGTTTGTACGGGACAATGAATATATGTTAAGCATACTCTTCGTGAGTGATTATTAGAGTTATACTGCAATCCTGTAACTGCACACTTTTTACATGCTTCATTACACTAGACGTAGGATCTATCGTGGAAGAACTGACGTTATCGGTATCGCTCCAAATCAAGAGAAACCCTGAAAAAAAAGACCTAGGATGTGCATTGGATTTTTTCATTCAAAAATTACGAAAAATCGGTAGATCGATTTAACAAAATTATGAAGGCTAAATACCGGCTGCGGTTCCGGTAAATGCTTCATGTGTTTTTGACACATACACGGAATTATTAAAGACGCCAAATTTTTGTAATCTTCCTACCACGGTCGGTTTTTGGACGTGGAAAGCGTTATGCTCCTGTAACCGATAAAATAAATTCTTAAAACCTTTTAAGACAACTTATTTAATAAGTCCAGAATTAATTAATTATAACGAATGTAACCCTAGTAGCACAAAAAAATATTTCTCTATACGTTTATAAATTATTGAAACTGAATATGTCATTGAGATTTTCAAGAAATATTTCAAATATCTTCGACTGAAATCAACAAGAAATCTTAAAAAATCTGTCGCTTGAGATATTTAGCAAAGATTACAAAGAAATATTTAGAAATTATTCTATGCTACTAAGGATGTAAGGAGTTCTTACTGCATTTTTCAACAAATGGCTTTACAAACCCATGCAACAAATAACACGTGAGAGTCTGAAGTCAAAATAAATTCATTCGACGAATCATGGTTGAAGCTGATATTCTTAATTCTATCTTGTAACATATCAGTTATCGTTACAGCACCTGAGGACATGAACATTGTATTAAAATTAGAAATTGACGCCGCACCGAGCGAAAAATTAATTACTTGCGGCAATTTAAATATTTCTTGCTAACAAAATTGGTCTCAAGTATGAGACGTCTTAACAAAATTTATTCCGTTTATAATAATATATACCGTTAGGTATATCCTTGCCGTAAGTCCAGAGCCAAATTTTGACAATTTGACAAGGCTCATTGCCTACGGTTACTATGTACTTGGCATCTGGACTGATCCGTACTGCGGACAATTCGCAACCTCCATGTGGATCAAAAAGCGTACAAATCGGAATTCTGAAAACATACGTATGGAAATAATTTTTACCGACGTCGATCAAGTTTCTAGACGTGTTTCACTTCACCTTAATCTAAAAATAAGTAAAGCGGTTACCGTGTTTCCGTGTCCCAGACTACGACTACGCAATCATTTTCAAAATCTGCCGAAAGCAGCCATTTTCCATCTTTACTAACCGATAAGGTAGCGACATCATTTTTCTGAAAATTAAGGGAGTGATTTAACGAGATTTAAAAAAAAAAAGTTCATTGAACTACATGTGACAACTGTTCTTTATTCCATCCCGTGTAATTATAATGAATTCAAAGGAAGGTCATTCTTTCATATAACAGTAAGTCTTCTTCAAATTCATTATAATTATTCTGCAATCATAAGAAATTAATCGCGAGAACATGTACAAATGGTATCAGAAATTATACCGAATAACGAAGTGTTGGTAATAATTATTGTCAATATACTTACATGACCCTGAAGGGGTATAACGTCTTTGTTAACATAATCATACAATATTCCTACATGGTTACATGCATAGGCAATTAAAGTACGTTTATCGGTCGTCAAGTTGATTACAGGAACATTTGGATTGATACCAAATGACCATTCTAGTTTCTAGAAATGAATTATTATTATTTACATTTGACTTTAATATTTTACAGCATTGCAAGTCTGCATTGGTTTTCATCCTTAAGATGATGTGAAAGGGTCATTCTATATATACATAACGTGAAAATATTTATGATACTTTTCTTCAAATTGGGTGCCTTCATAATCACGTGTTGAAGTTTCAAATGATTTGGAGAAAGTTTAATAAATATTTTAACGTTTTCATATATAGATCGACCCTTTCATATCACCTGCGTCTCCTGTTTATAATTTTACATAAATTGTTTAACTTACAAAGGGACACGTATTACCGTGGCCCTCTTGAAATTGTTTTTTCTTTTTCCCTTCGTCATCGGACACATCGGAATTCGTCGAGGAGGGTGTACTCATATTTGTTTCGAGAAAACTTTAATTTGAATAAATGCAGATAGAAAATATACATTGCGTAGCACCATAGCGATAAAAATTGCGACATTACTGCAGCTGTATTTTTACTCACGTGTAATTGCCTGTTATAGAATTTATAAAATTCTGAATGTCAGAACTGACAGATGATGGCTACAAATGGCAGACATTTTAATTCGATCGATCAGGACGAATACGTCATAGAAGTTTCCGCTAAATCGGGTAAAGATCTTCCTTTGTTAGGCGGTGCCAAATTCGCTTAAAGAAAATCACTTGAATAAAGAGTGAGCATGGATTTACAGACATACAATTGCGATGCAGTTATATTGTCCAAATAAACTAAGATAAAACATTCAATTGTATCTTTAAAATACTTTTATCAGCATTTATTTCTGACATATGTAAATACTGTAATTAAAAAAGTTTTGACTCAATCAGAATGAACTATACTATTTTACACCTGCATATGACGCTGCGATGTATTAAATATGAATTATCCGATCGTGACTCGTATCTCGACTCACGAAAGCAAATTACAATAGTTCTTTATTAATAATGATTCCACCTTACCTTTTAAATCCGGCGTTTATTTGAACCAGAAAAATAGTGATAAAAAATCCTGATTTTTATTGGCCCTGGACGAATGACGAAAATAGATGAAATGAATTTCACCTTGAAAAAGAAATTAATAGCGTTATGGGCTGCAAAAGTGTGTACACATTTTTTTGAGATTATATATGTATGTGTGCAAAAAATACTGAACTTCTCTTGTAAATTGTGAGGACATTACACATTACAGAGCATAATATTTGCAGAAATAAAGAAGGAATATCATTTCACAAGTAACAGGACGATTTCAGTATTTATGATGTATGTACGATATAAAAACTCTTTTGGTTTATTGTATGTCCCAATTGAGACCAAGCATTCTTCACACGGAATAGTTTACAATGCTATGAACGGTACAGGAAGTTATTCGAGGTGGTAGTGCTAAATGATTCATTCTGTAATTAAACTGAACTGCATCGTGTCCTTCTGATTACATGGAATATCTGACTAATCTTAAAAATCACGAATTAGCAATTAACTCCTCCCTGCTAAATGGTTATTCTGATTATCATTTTAAATATCTTATTATGTTCCTTCTTCATAAATTTCATTCGATGAAATTTTGCTTTGAATTATTTTCCAACGCTTTGTGTCTAAAAGGGCTAAAGAGCATAAAACATAGTGGATAAAACTTAACGCGTACGCGTGACATTTTCTTCAGTTTAGACTTTTGGAAGTGGAACCTTTAGTACGAGAAAGTGTGTATTTTCCCACTTTTGGCCAGATTTCTAATTCCAGCTACTCTTATTGTACTCAATTAACAAATAAATCCGTATCCATCGACCTAAATATAATGCGGAAATCTTCGATACCGAATCGAACTTTAAATTCGAATGATCTTCGTCTTGCTTCGAATATTTCGTGGTTTTACTACAGGGCGGTGCAAAATTCATTCCCCCTCTTGTAAGAAGCTGTTACTTTTTTACTTTCCCTATCTTCCTTTTTCTTACAGGCCTAAAAATAATAAGATATTATTCGTGGATAAATACACACTACATACCGTGCAAAAGTGGAGTCGATTTTTAATAAGAACAAAAAATAAGTCAGTTGTGTTATCTTCAAGAGGGTTATTTAAAAGAAACTAAAAGGAAAAGAAAAAAATGTGCGTACACGAATTAAGCGCAAACCCTTGACTAATAGAAAAATAGTGTTTAATAATAATTTTGTAATTTTTGAACATAAATTCAATTAAAATTGCTGAAATAGTTAGTACTAAATAGTAACAGCGGCAATCAGGAATAGAACTTGAAAAGACGTGAAAATATTTATAAGTGTTACGGATAAACATCCGGAAATATTACGGATGAGTAACCGTAAAGAATATAACTTGATACATGTAAAAATAACGGAACAACATCTATGAGGGTAACAGGAAATTTTTGTCAAGGTGTCACGATATTAAAATGTTAATACTAGAACCTCCCCAAATTCCTAATTGGAATTTCGAGAAAGTCCAATACAATCGGTACATTTTACAGATTTTTCTTTTTCTCCCTATATAGAACCTTTTCCATTTTATACGAATCTTGAAAACGTGCGTCAGTTGCTCCATGTGACGTTAAAACTGAGCATTTAGCGACGTATGGAAAGGTACCTTATGACTACAGCACCCTTTAACAGTGATCCAATGACCTTTAACAAAAAGACGCTAAAAAGCGTCCATAAAAGTGAGGTATGCGCTCGAGCGAAAATAAACCAACTATATGAAGTAAAAAGAAAAAAAAAGCATACCTTTTCCATTTATTTAAATATTTTAAACCAACTAGATCGGAGAATTAATTTTGCTCCACCCTGTATTTTCCAGATTCCGGAGGAGCCGCGTGTCGGCTTCACATAATATGCAGATTACACGACGAAGCAACTCTTCGCCCCGAAGATCCGCAAATTCTAACAATTCGACCACATGGTGTGCGTATAAAAATTATCAAATAGAAGAATAAAATGCGACGCAGTACAACTGTGTAAACAATTAGTCGTTAATTTAAAGATACACGAACGGCGTTAAACGGAACTTTAACGGCACAATTTGCACGAGTACTAACCTGCCAAATGTCACGCATCTTCTAATAATATAAATCCTCGAGACGTGTCGAAAGAAACACTCGATTTAAGGGCTCGGCTTGGTTTAGAAAGTGGAAAAATCGATTTTTTATTTATTAACGGAGCATTAAAAAAAAAAATAAGGATGTTCACATGGCCCATGGATCACCGATTAACCGGTCGACATAGAATTTCTCGTATTGTAAATGAAAACTTGGAACTTTAAACTCGTTAATCTCAAAATAACTTTATTCCATTCGTTCTTCTTTTCCTTCTAAGTGCCACCATTTTGTTACGTAGTTCATTTACCTTATGAATTATAAGAATTATGGATTCTTTGTTCCAGTTCAACGTGTCCGGAACATGTCCACGTCAGTATGGATTTAATCAGCTTATATTAGCCTGCGAATGTGTATCATCGTAAATATTAACCGTATACAATGAAATATATGCAAAATTTTCTCTCTTTAAATATTGTTAAATAAATACGAAAAGTTTAGAATTTTACTGACAGAAAATCGGGGGGGAAAAAGGCTGAATTTTCCGCTCGCTAGACCGAGCAGGGCCCTTAAAACGTGTATAGGCCCTTCAAGGTCGCCCTGACCTTCTACCCTGAATCTAAAATAGTCGCACCAGCTCGACAACGGTTAACGGTACTACCGCTCGTTTCCGTATCGCGTTGTTTCGCCACTTCCGGCGACATAGCGCAGTCTATTTCCGCACTAAAAGAACCGCGATCCTCCGAGGCGCGCCATCGTCTTAACCGACGCACGCTCCGACGTCGTTAAAAGAAGTACAAACGGATTTACACAAAAGAAACACCTTATTATCACTTTATAAACTCTAAGGTAATTATTTACAAGTATGTACAAACATGTGGCTCATTAGCTTAAGAAAAATATCAACATTGGAACGGTACGAGTCGTTCGTCGAGGCGAAAGGAGGAAAGAAGAGGGAACGCTAGCGAGATTATCTAAAAGCATCTCCAGCGAGGCCCGACAAAAGTTTAGATACGGAGGATCTACACCTCCACGGAGTTTACAACCAGCCCTTGAATCTCGGGCTCAAGATACAGTCTTTCCTGGTATGCGATACATGTAAACCTTAATACAATCTGTACAACACCGCTCGCCCGCGGGCACTGTCACACTTCCACGTCCAAAGGGAAACCGCACAACGGCGGAGGTTCTCCTCGTCGTCGCGGACTACGCCATAGGGATAGAAACGGTAGTAGCAATAGTGATACCAACATAGCAATAAACGTAATGCGCAAACGACGGGACACTTCGATATGCGGTGGTAATAATACGCCGAAGGCGCCAAGTCCGGCGATTAGTTCACGACGCCACCGCCAGAGCCCGCCACCGCGATTGGCACAATGCTCGGGAGGGACCCATTTTTCCACAGAGCTTTGGGCACTCGGTTATTGGACATCATTGGAAAGTGGCATCCGAGAAGTCAATCGTTCATGAAACTTTTCTCCGATCTGGTTGTACCGAATCGTTTCAAGATTTACAACATGAATGTAAAGGCCCTAAGGTAGGTCCTGAAACTCATGTAATTTCAATTTTTATAAAAAATTATGAAAGCATATATAAACAAATAAAAAAAAAAAATTGAAATTTTATAGGTATCGGGACCTTCTTCACAGAATCCACATTCACGTTGTCAAGTTTGAAACGATTCGGTACACTCAGTTCGGAGAAAAGTTTCATAAACGAGACCTCTTCGCGGCACTTTCACATCACCTTAGGTTCGGTGCCTTTTTTTTCCCACAAATTTGACCTTTTTCAGCCGTTTATCTATTTTATCGGTTAGTCATTAGCTATCAGCCGTTATACATGTTAAGATTATACGTTGGAATCCCAAAGTGGCGAGAAGAATTATAAATTTAAAATGGAATTATAATTGAATGTAAAGGCACCAAACTTATGTGTCTAGGTCCAATATGAAGTACCGTAGTTAACGTGTCCAATGCTTTGCGCCCAAACGGCTGTGTAGCGAAACGAGAACTACTCCAACACTCAAGAGCAATTTTTGGGATCCAGTGAGGACTACCTCGGACCACCTACCATCAGTCGAGGTAGTCCTCCCCGGTCTCCAGAACCCCGTGCTTCTTGCGACAGTCCGGGCAGTACCACTTGCCTTTCGGTGGCACCATGATGCCGACACATTCGAAGTGAAACCACTCGATGCGGCAGTCCTCGCCGTCGCAGGCGATCATCTCGGACACTTCGTCGTAAGGACATCGACAGTAACAATACACGTTATCGGAGCGCTCAGGAAGCGGCGCGTTGCCAATGGTTTGGGGTATCCGAGTCGGCTGGGGTTGAGGGGCAGGTAAGGACGCCTCTTCCTCGTCGCTGGAGTCACTGCTGCTCTCCGGTGGTTCGTCGGTGTCGCTCGCAGAGGCCGCCACCGTCGGCGTGGATACCACCACGGAGTGCTGGTGTTGCTGATCGGGAACGTCGCCGTACGCGTCGTGCTGCTTCACGGAGAAGGTAAGCTGCTTCGACGTGGGGCCGGACGCGAAAGCCGGGGGTTCCAGCTTCCTCCACTTCAACGTCGGAGGTCTGGACGTCTCGGTATCCTCGTCGCTGGAGTCCCCGTAGAAGCGCTTCGGCACGCGTTTCCTCTTCGAGGAGCGTTTGTTCTCCGTTTCGGATCCACTGCCTACGCTGCGGTCCGTCGGCTTCACCTGCTGGACGTCGGAATGGAGGGCTGCAGCTCCTCTTTCCGACGCTGGCAGCGTCAGGTTCGGCGTGGAAGACCGACTGTTCGATACGACCGTCACCATGGCGGGCGACGAGGACGCGAATGGCCTTCTCTGGTAAAACGACTTCGGAATGTTTAACTTAATGGACTCGACGGTGGGAGTGGAGTTCCCTTGTTTCGGCTTGTCGCCTCTTTTTCGCTTTTTCGTCTTGGTTCGCTTGCGCGATTGTATTATCTTTGGAGCGTTCTCGGGGGTGGTTGGAGTCGGCGCATGAGCGGCTGCTGGGTCTGGCGAATGGGTGGCCGAGTCGGTGCTCGCAACGCCGTTGTTCAACGGCGCCGGCACCGTATCCACGGACGCAGGAGCTACGGCGGCCAGCAACATCAGCTGGTTGCGTTTCTCGGCCAGCAGCTTGTTCGCTAGCTGTTGAGGATGTTCGTCGTAGAAGTCCTCGTCCGTCTCCGTTTCCTCCGTTTCCAGGTCGGACTCGCGCAGCTGCACTGCTGGGCGACTCGTCGCAGCTTCGCATGCGTCCGTGCCGCCGTTCTCCACCTGCAGGGGAGGTGACCCTTTACCTTCCAATTCGGTAGGCTTACTTCGTCGACTGTTCTCCTTTTCCCTTTTACGCTCCTTTCGATTCTGCTGCTTCTTTGGGGAGTTTTCCGAGGCCGAGCTGTCGCTGTCCGAGCTGCTGCTGGAGCTGGAAGAACTGCCGGAAGAGGAGCTACTGCAGCTGCAGTTACTGCCGCAAGAACAGCTACTCGAGTCGCTGTCGCTGGAGGACTCGCTCGACGACGTGCTGCCCGACTGTTTCTTCTTCTTCTTCGGGGTCTTAGACTTCTTCTTCGCGGTCGCGTCGTTCTCGGAACACTCGTTTTGCCCGGCTCTGCCGGAAGGACTCTTCCCGGATTTCCCTGTATAATCGTGCTCCGCTCCTCGTCCATTCTCGTCCTCCTTCGTCGTCCCATCTTCGTTACAACTCTTAGATCCATCCTTTTCCGAGACTACGCAATAATCGTGATCGGCGAGGATCACCCGCCTTAAGAATTCCAGCTCCGCGTCGTTCTCCTTCGGCAACATGTCAGCTACTGGATCTTGTTTCTCCAGACTCGCCGCATACGTTTTGAAGTTGTCCCAGATGCCGTCTATTATCTGCGCCTCCTCTTCCTTCTCTTCGTCGTTCTGCTCTACCTCTACGGTACTGTCATTAGCTTCCGCAGGATGTTCTTGTTGATTTTCTACAGGAGGTGCGACCCTCTCGGTCGGAAGTTCGTCGATCTTCGTCTCCTCCACGTTATGCGACCCCTTGCATTCCTCTTTCTCGTCCGCAGTGTCGCTATCGCTATCGGAAGATAAATTCAGAGGAGGCAGATCGTAGACATCCACGACCTTCTTCGCGGGTTCCTTGAGGTCCTTCGCGGAATTAAGGACTTCGGTCTTGTCATCCCCATTGGTCACGATGTTAGTATGATCCGTCCTCGACTCCTCCATTGGCGATTGCCGGTTAACTCCATTCTGGTTATCCGTTTTAGACGCCGTAGGTTCGTCATGACCCTCTCTGTGCCTCACTAGAAGCTTCTTCGAGACCAATCTCTCGGTACACTTATCACACGCATGCGGTGCATCTCCCGAATGCAAGCGTTTATGAACCTTCAAAGCGACGGCCCTGGTGAAGCTCGATCCGCACTCCTCGCATACAAAAGCGGTCGGAGGTATGCAAAAGTGGTATATATGAGGCCATTTCTTTTGGAGACACTTCTTACACAAGACACTCTCCGTGCCGTGCTTCCAGAAGAGGTGCTTCGTTATGTCCGGCTTGTTTCGGTACGCAATGCCGCAACGGTAGCACAGATGATGAAGTTTGTGCTTCCAGACGTGGTTGGAAAGTCGCTGCTGATTCCCGGTGGGCTCCAGACAAACGTCGCAGGCATGGTGGCGTTTCCTCAGGTGGACCATCAGCCTGAACGCCGAGGGCAGACTTCCGATGGAGCAGAGGCAACATCGGTACCTCACGTTAATGTTTGGTGAGTAGATCCCAGGGCACAGGTGACACAACAGCTCGCTGTAGCTGTAGAACGTCGACTTGCACATTATGCAAATCAGGATGGTCTTCTGATGCATCTTACGATTATGCAGGTACAACTCTTTATGCACCACGGAGTGAAACCTGCAATGGAAGCATTCGTAAGTCCTCACTTCGGGCACATTGTACGTACTGCGGACGCTGTCGTAGGAGTCCAGATTGAAGTAGTACGCATCCAGATCATCTATTGACTTTTTCACGCGGGCAATGAACTGCTCCCTGTGGATGATTATAGCCGGGTGTTGGGGCTGAAACCTGTGCTCGGCGAGGACATGCAAAGCCAACTGCTTGCCGTTAACGGCGATGTGACGTGCGTGGTTACAATATACACAAGTCGGACTAGCTACGTCTATGCAACGCTTCAGAAGATCCTCAAGTTCTATGCTCTCCAAAATTCCTTCCACATTCAGATCCAAGCTAGGTACATCCTCGCCAGCTAAGACGATGCCATCGCTCTCCAACGCCTTCTCCTCGGTCGGTTTAGCAGCGTCTTCATCTTGCATGCTCGACAGAACATCCTGGCCTATCTCTTCGGCGTGAGCTTCGTCTTGAGCTTCGTTCTTCTCTTCCGTGGCGCCTCCATCGGTCCTCGCCAAGTCAACGTCTCCAACTACCGCTTCATCTTCTCGTTCCGCTTCGTCCGCGTTGCTGTCCACTACCGCTAACTTCTCGCTATCCGAATCGCTATCGTCTTCGTCGTTCATCCGATAGCCGCTAATGCTCTCCCCTTCGTGGTCGGACAGATTCGATGCCTTCTCCTCGGAAGTGGACCCGTCGGCGTTGTTGTTCTCTTCGGAATCTCGGCAACCGTCGTGGTCGTCGCCACCGTGACCATTCACCGTCGTCACAGAGAATTCCGAGTTCCGGTTTGTGCGAATCTTGATGATCAAGCTGCGGTCGGATGTTGCCACCGCATTGAAAGAGACCGAGGAACGGGGCTCCGAAGGCGCCGCGACAACTTCCTGGGGGGTTTCTCCGGCCTCGTTCGCAGGCAACTCCTTCGCCTGCGATTCGGGAATTTGGCCCTCGCGTTCTGGACTGAACAAAGACCGCTCGAATGGACTGTTCGGTGGACTGCTGTACACCGAAGACTCGGAGTCCATTTCCGCTTCATTCGGGACCGATGTCCTTTCTGTCTGGGCTTCTAAACTCTCTTTTATTTCATCAGGTACCAACGTCGATGAAGACTCCCCAGCTTTGGTACCCTCCTTCCGATTCTCTGGCTCTTCCAGAAGCTGCTCGCTCTGTTCTTCTGTCTTCCTATCAGGATCCTGGATTGGTATTTCATCCGCATCAACGGCTCCTGCATCGGCATCAATGTTCTCGCCACTTCCATCGTTTACGCATCGCGAGACCTCCATTATCGTTTTGGATACGCTGTCAAGGGTATCTCCTTCGGCACTTTGTGCGGGGGATGCGGCAAGATCCGAGACCCTGTCCTGCCAGGAATCCTTGTCCTTCCCTCCGTTGCTGTCTTCACCCACGTACCTCGAAACCTCCATTATGGTTTCCGCAACGGTGTCTCTTGTGACGTCCAGCTGCACCGGTGTTTCAGAACCTGATAACACCGTGTTATTAATTTCGATCGCACTGTCAGACCTAAGATTCGAATGAAGTTCTGGACTCGACTCTCGCGCTTGTCCATCCATAATTTTTTGTTTACACGTACCCGGTGATGACTCTTCGTCATGTTTCGCCCGGTTGTTCTTAATTCCTCGTTTCGCCACCGGTTTAGTATTACTAACTAAAGGTTGTACAGTAGTTGGTACTGCATGCGGTAACGATGGATGCAACGACGAATCACGAACAGCCGAGTTAGCAACTTTGTTACTCTTCTCCGAGACCAAACCACAGGTGAGCAAGTGCGAGCCTGCTTGCTGCTTGCACATCGGACACGTCTTCGAAGGTACATGCTGCTTCTGCGTGTTTGAGCAATAATGGTTGTAGAAATTGTCCGTCTCTGAAAAAACCTTCTCGCAGTTACAGCACATTAAGTAGCATGAGCCCTTGAAAGCAGTGTAGAAATCCTCCACCGAGGAGAATTTCGTTTCCGGAACGTTATGCTTGCTCGACAGGTGGTAGGATAATCGTTCTGCCTGGCCAAACATGCCTAAACAAAACAAGCATATATGTCGCTTGTGCACTTCCCGCATGTGTAGGAATAAATTCCAGTTCTCAAAGTATGTCCCACACGCCGAACACAGGTAGACTTTCCTGGTGATGCGGAAATTCGAGGCAAGTGGCACAGGTGATGTCTCCGGAGCACTCGGAGTACCCTGGATGGGCGTCATGGCTCCGGAACATGCACGCTGGTGCTGCTTCAAGGTCGACACCGAACAAAAAGTTGCCACGAAACACTTTGAACACTTGTAATTTCCTGCCGGTTGTAAACCCAAGTACTGAGCATACTCCGCTATCTTTCCTCTCTTCTTGTCAGACCTTTTGTCCCTGACACCTCTCCCCGCTGAAACATCAACATGCGACGTCGAAAGCTCCTGAACGGTACTCCTTGACACAGCCGATTGATTAGCCCGTGTCTGATCAAGAATGCGCTTCTTGAAACCTTTGAATACAATGCTCGAAGACCCGACCGTGCTCTTATTTGTCAACTCCTCGTCGAGTGGTTGATCATACCTATCTTCCTTGTTTCCTTCGGTACTATCCGTATCCACCTTGGCATCGCTAGAATCGTTTACAATAACATCGACGTCGTTTTGCCTCCTTTCTTTTGGAACAACCCATGCATCAGTGTCTCCAGTCTTGCCACCTTCATCTTCCATAATAACGTTGCAGACTACCGTGGCGTCCCCTAAAAAATAATCAGACATGTTACTTTTCCTGGCATTTCTACAGCTGATTCATAGTGCTTTTCGGACTCAACGTTTTATTTTAATCTAATCCTACTACTGATTATTGATCGATATAATGTAAACTTATACTATAATTGCCTGGTTTGCTATGCGTCTGATTTTCCAGATTCTCTTAAATCACGGGAGTTTTATAACCGATATTACTTCAAATTATATAAGAATTTAAAAACCAGAATACAAAGACATATCCCATAAATAAAACAAAATGTAAGCTACAATCTAAACAACTTCTCTATTTTGATGTCATAACCTGTATCGTCTAAGGAGAAAAAACAAAAAATAGGAAAACACGAATGTTTCAATACTATGTGCCTAATATCCTGAAGTAAAGCCAATATAAACTGAAGTATGCACATGAAATACCCCTATCTTGCCATGAATAACCTATCTTTTACCATCACATAACCTTGTTATTATTACCACAGAATAACATATTTATGCCATCTTATGAACCGTAACTTTAAAGAAATAAACAATGTTAAGATTTTCATATCAATCAGCAGTCATCTTTTTCCTTGATAATTGCAATTATATGAAGTAATAAATCCTGAACAACAATATTTATAAAAAATTACTATTCAATCTCAAGAATTGGAAAATGTGCAAAGCATTGAGATGACAATACCGGAAAAATAGGTATTACAATGTACTACTCGCTGCCAGATACCTCTCGTCCCCAAAGTTCCAAGTGCTCATACATTATCAGTTTTACGAGTACCAGAAAGTGATTACTAGTATGCAACGGTAACGTAACGTCCAGAACATCCGCAATTTAAAACCAGGTTTCAATTAACATCTTTTATTTGTCACGCCAATGACCAGTGATGCAACTACGCAAGAAAATTAAACCATAAGACACGAAATCATCATGCAAGAAATGCATACAGGAATCTAAGATAATAAAATTAAATTACACGCTAATCTACTCGTAAGCTTATAATGCTAAGAATATTCTAGTCCAATTCTTATTTTGACGAAGAAGTGCTTAGAAATAATTCTCAAATAGTGGAATACTACACAACCAATTCCTACATAACCGAAAGGTATATATGGATAGATGATTAGCACATTCGTCAAGAGTAAGTAATTAACTTGGTAAATAAGTAATAAGGGCTAATGCAGTTATGAAAAAGCGTTTACAAAGGATTCACAAAGAATGGAGCTGAAGGACCAATTCACGTGCAATCTAAAGTCTGATTTATGCTTCCGTCCTAACCTTAATGTAATCCTAACTTAACTTTTTATGGGAAGGAATTCAAGAGAAGCATTTATACTAAAAACAAGAGTTAAGATAAAAAAATTTTTTATAGCAAACCATTCGGTTAAGGTTAGGACAACGATATAAACCAGGATTAACAGAGTTTGGAAAAATGATGGACGCATTCATCGAAAGTAACTAACTCGGAGTACCATTGACGCTCCTATTTTGGAGAGACCGAATATGGAAAATAAAAATTTGACAAACGATTTTAACCCAACCTAACGGGGTACGAAAAGGTGGTTAATGTACTCGCCGAAAGGAAGTAATTAAGAACAATGCAATCATCCTGGGATTTTGATGAGAAAGAATGTCAAGGAATGTCACCATGCGAGTAATTCCCCCACAATCTGCCAGGGTCCTTATCGATGATAACTAACCGAGGAAATAAGTGGGCAGGAATAGCGCGGTAACCCTTGAATCTTGACGAGACAAAGTGTACGGCGACTCCCGCTTAACCTAACAGGGTCCGGGACGGTGGTCGTCGCGTCGTCGCCGGCTCGTCCACGTGAACGGCCCTGGCCGTCGGCGGCGTACCTTGTGTCCGAGGCAGGCGTCGGCGTCGTCGGGTCCAAGTCTTCGAGGACGGCGGGGGCGCACGTCCGCCTCGGAGGTAGGTTAGTAAAATGGCGTCGTATCTATCTAGGCGGTAGGGCAGCCCTTGGCGCCGTCCGCGGCCGCGGCTTCCACATACCCAGTGATGCCACCTTTCCTCGCGGTCGTCGGGCGCCGGGTCGCCGGCGGGTCAGAGCTCGGCCGAGAGGCCGCGTCTCGGCGCGCGCCGCCCGGGTGGCTCTCTCGCCTCGGAGAAGCGTCGGACTGTCCTGGGTGAACTCGCGGTCACGGGGTGACGGCATCTCTCGCCGAGCCGCGAGGAGCCTGCGGGCGACCTAGTCACGCGAGCCCCCCACCCTCGAGCCTCCGCCAACCTGGAGCCTCGCCGGCTCGTTCGAACTCCTCCTCGGGCACCTCGACGCGCGGAGCTCCGCCTTCCTACGCGGAGCGCGCTCGGGAACGGCGACCGAGAAGACGCTCGCCGCCTCGACCCGAGGGGCGACGCGATCGATCGACCCGCCGGTCCCGCCGATCAAGACGCGCCAGCCGAGACTTCGGCGAGCGTCCTCCACGTGGAATCGAAGAGATTTCGACAGGAATTCGACTCGAGTGGATTTTTCCAGGTTATTCATTTCTCGGGCTTTGCGTTCCCTGAAGTACGCCCTTTGTCGACGCGGCCGAAGCCCGCAGGAAAATATCGATTAGTGAGCGCCGCGCCGCCAAGTGGAGGTCACGCGAAACACGGAGCCAAAGTGCCGCAAAGAGGGCGTCTATTGCGTATCTTTCCCGGGAGTGCTCGCTTATTGCACTTTCATCTCGCGTGAGGTTATGCATCCGATTATGTATTCCTCGAGTGAAAGTGTGACATCTCTAGATCGAAAGACTATGTTTCCGTCGTCCTCGAAATCCGAGATTTATCGAACTCGAATCCAGTATGAAATTGATTCTAAATTTACCGAGGTATTCGTTGATAGCGTGCCATGATAAAAGTGTGGATCAGTTTCGGTACAGTGATGATAGGTGGCAACGAGTCGCGAAATTTGGAGCATAAACACTCTCTGCTATTATTTGCTGTTTCCTGATGATAATCTGCTTGTGATGTACATTCATTTTTGACGTGATACGATATTATACATTTCTAATTGTATTTTTGGAAGCCTTAATAAAAAATGAATGCACCACCGACATTCGAATCATTTCTTCTCTACGAAGGTGAAAAGAAGTATGTAATCCGTTTTGAAAACCCTTCGATAGTTTGTTGATGTACTTCTTAACCTAAATGTGTTTCTTGTAGGATTATAAAGGAGCAGGACACGAAGGTTCCCAATGCAGCTATATTTACAGTTAATAAAGAAGATCATACACTTGGTAATATGATTCGGAAGTAAGTACTACTTTATTGTAGTTTTATTTAATCTATAAATTAATAAATTTATATTGATGTTTTTTTAATCATTTAATCCTGGATGACTAGTTAATTCGTCATTGGAAAATGCTTTTCTAGCATGTTCAATTTAATCTTAAAAAGTTTGAAGGTTTGTACGGGAACTTTTTCTCTACCCTTGAAGAATGATTACACCCTACTACTGTAATTAATAATGAATTAATGCAATTAGTTACAGGCTAAATATATTAACTGTTAATCTTAATTTTCAGTCAACTGTTGAAGGATCCCCAGGTTTTATTCGCTGGTTATAAAGTACCTCACCCTTTGGAACACAAATTTGTAATCAGAATTCAGACGACTTCTGATTATACGCCACACGAAGCCTTCACTCATGCTATTACCGATCTTATTTCTGAACTTTCATTATTTGAGGAACGATTTAAGGTAAGACAAATAACAAAATGTATTGTAAATAGCTGTAACTGTATTGCTATAATGTAATTTGTGGAATATATTCCATGTCTTCATTCTTTTTTCAGGAAGCGATTAAGGAAAAGAAGGAAGGATTGGATTAAGGATCTTAATGTACGTTTCAATTAAAATGATGTAAAATAAGCAAACCTATCTGTATATATGTTAGATTTATATTTTAAGGAACCATTAATAATTCGTGCGATGGCATTTTTGACGGTCGTCTTTGCACTACAGTTTGATCCTTGAGTATTATTAATGTAACATTATTTGGTAAACTTAACAAAATTTGTATAATTGACTATAACTAATCACATTTTCCATGAATATCCGTTGTGTAGAAAGGAGTGGCATTGCAAGCTTTCTGGCAAGTTTAATGCAGGTTTAATGTGACCGAAGACTTTACTAGAAAATACTTTGAATCAGAATTCAATAATTTAGAGATAATATAACTCTGTACAATAGTTGTTCGAGCGAAGTGTTATACGTAATCAGTAATATCTGGAGTAATTGGCGAAGGAAATGCAACCCTTCGGCGAGAGTAACAACAGTAATAGACTCCGTAGTTGTATACAATTAATTATTAGTGAGTTCTTGAGGTGATTATTGGCACAATGTCATTAGATGTCAATTGTTCATTTTTGTTATTTTCATAGTCGCAACCGACTTTATCTATAGATTATCATCATTTTGTAAGCATATGAATGATGATGAATTTCTCCTTTATATCGAAAGGACTTCGCAGTCACAGGATTAATTTTATAATTATAACGAAACTAAATCGGCGAGTTAACTTTGCTCCATCCTGTACTAGGATTATATTTACTAGTAGTTATTTTTGTTTGCAATGACTATCGATTCCTCGAATTACGAGAACCCATTGATAAGTATTCTTGAAAACGTAATATACACATCACACGTGCAACCCGTGCAGTAAAGAGGAAAAAATAAATTACATTTGTCGACAAAGAAAGTCTGAATAAACGTTTTCGCAAGTCGCAGAGCTAATAGCGGAAATACTTTTTAATTCATTAATCGTAGTACTTGCGTCAATAAAAGTTATGCAATTCTACTTGCTTATTTGTTATTGCAGGTATTATCGAGGAACTATTCTTTCTGCCGAAGCTCAATGTTACGCGACAATTAATAAATATTAAATAGTGCCGAGATTAATATAAATAACTGATTTATGTACACAAACGAAACGTTCTTTGACATATGGAAGTCCGTAATAAATTTGCGAGTCGACGCAAATTTGCGAAACCAAACATCTTAAACGCTCCTTAAATGTTAAAGAAATGTGCGCATTCAGATGATTTAGAAATATCAACTAATTCGCTGGCATGAGTTCTTGTCTAATTCTTTTGGAAGAATTGGATCTATAAGTGAACGCTATTATCACTAACAATTCCTGATTTTTCAAGAAGCCCATGGTAATCATCTAATTCGTTTCTTTTGACGCTATTACTAACGCCAGATTCTTCGATTATTTTCATTCATCGAATATCCTATTTAGCACCGTGCACCAGCAGTTAATACATTTTTTTCCTGATATTGAGCAAACGCAGTGGTCAACTTTCACGGCAAGTATTCCAAACGGTTGCAATTGTAAACAAACTCATAATACGTTTTATCACAAAATCACGGCTTTACGTGGATCCAGTCCTTTAATTTGTTTATATTTTTCCGCGTCTACTAAGCAATTGTTATTCAGGGTGTACAAGAGCTTAGTACTTGTTTATAAGTATCGTAAAGACGTGATGTGAGAGGCAAGTGATAGAAGAAAAAAATCCACCTTTCGAATATCTCTCAAAATATTCTAAGGTAATTCATTTTACGTGAGGGAAGACACGCTTAAGAGTAGAATTCGGATCTTAAGTTTCAATATAAAAATATACTCTGAAAATTCAACGAGTTCTTCTAACCGGTTACCTCTGGCAAGAAATAGGTTAAAACGTTTCCTTATCGTCGCAGTTAAGAGTATCGTGTCCGAACACTGTAAAAGAAAAACAACGATGTATTACTAATGTCTCATTTCCGTACACGCAGTACACGCGTTAGGACTAAGGCATTACGCTGATTGATTAAGATGATATGAAATTCTTCATTTTCGATTCTAAGCCTCCAAGAAGCGTAAAACATCGGAAACCTGCACGGACTAATTCTACTATAAGAAGTATCCGAGTACTTTTTAAATTCTGAAAATTAGCTAAAAATAGTTTATTTAATTAGATTTTTCTTAGTATAACTATACTCACTTTCGCAATTCTCGCAGTAGGGTCTTTCGATGGGTGGTTTCTTCGTTTTCGTGGTCGGAGCAGGATCGGCGAAGTCCTGTTCTTGTCGAGGGCAATCTTCTGTATCGTGCAAATCAAATCTGTCGCAGATGTCGCAAAATAATCGCGGCGCAGCCGCTCGTTTGTCCAACGTCGATCTGAAATTAATAAAGATGTACCACGGGAAATTATTTTCCAGAATTGCCGTTCGAAATCATGCAAGATGTTACAATTAAGATGTTACAGTTAATTGTTGCGCAATATGAGAGCTTGACGCCATTTTGGTTCTGGTTTGAGCTAAGTTAAACAATTTTATCAAAAATCCGAATTTTTAAAGGATAATTCGTAGGTGCTCATGAGTCATGTGTCGAAGTTTCAGACGGTTCGATTCAATACCCTTAAAAAAAAGTGTCTTATTCGAATCGACTGATTTGAGGGGGTTTTACTTCATCTTAATATGAATACGTCATACCTGCTGTAATCATCCGCTTCGTTGGCTGGTACGCCCATTTCCAGAACTTCGATCTTGCAAGTGAGCGCTTCATTTTTCCGTTGCATGTCGACTATTACAGAATTGAGGAAGTCCACTTGACTCTTCACGGTCTCATTTTCCTCTAGCAACTTCTGTATTGACACCTCTAACAATTGCAAACAAATGGAAACGTGTAATTAGATACCTTCCACTGTAACATTTGGCAGATTTAACATTAAAATGCAGTTGGTAGATTAAATTCAACGTATATTTCTATAGCTGCAAGTACCCACAAAATTATTCACATGCTTAGTAAAATTCTTAAATTTCATAAAGAACAAACAAGAAAATAAAATGTTAATTGTAATTAACCAAGTCTTACCATTGTTGTTCTGTGTAACACCGTTTCCTTTACCCTGTATTGCTGCATTGTTTGAACTAGATTCCAACTGTAGCAACAATTACATATAATCATATAATTATTTCCCAACCGACGCAATGAGTAAGAAACGGTTTACATTGTAAGATGTTCACGATTATGATAAGAATGCACGAATTTTGGAATATAATAAGTTTAATTTTTAACTCGCTAGACCGAGCAAAGCTCTTGAAACTTATGCCTGATCCACGTGCAAAGTTATTTCATGCAAATAATAACCGAGATGAAATAGGAAAAACAAGAAAAGGTGCTTTCATAGTTGAAGTGTTGAGTTGTCGTGACTATGCGAAACACCAATTACTCACGTAATAATTGTCCAGAGGTTTAGCCAGTTCTGCAAGAATCTGCTTGTCTTTCTCCCTAAAATCATAGGACATTGCAGATAACGAAAAAGCTCATGAAATTAAATAAAATAAAGAAAACTCAACAGCAGTAGATAACGCAAATAAGAATAGAAGAAAAAGCGTAGACGAGTAATGTTGTGCTTCTCCTAATCGAGAGGATTCCTGCTCTGCGAGATTTAGTTTCTCGGTTTAGTTAAAAGTAGTAGATAACGTAAATAAAAAAACAAGAAAAAGCATAGGCGAGGAACACAAGTAGAACGCGTGGACGTTGAACGTACAAACTATTTTGTGCTTCTCTTAACCGAGAGGATTCCTGTTCCGCGAGACATAGTTTCTCCGTGAGATCCTTCACCATTTTCTCAGCTTCCGTCTTTTTACTTTTGGCTGCACTCGAGATGACGTCCAATTCCGTTCGCGTCTCTTCAAGAGTTTTCTCCAAAGAACCCTTAGCTAATTTTAGGCTCTCGTACTCTCCACGAACTCTATTAATTTCGACTTGCTTCGCTTCCAGCGACTTTTCGAATTCTTTCTTCAGTTTGAAAATCTCGTCCTGCGATCTCGAAGTCTCCATCTGGGAATTCTCTAAGGTCGTCATCTTGACGCTCAGCTGATTCATGGCGTCCTCTTTCGCCTTCAACTCGTGACATAGCTCATTAATCTTGCTCGTAGACTTTCCATTTTCGTCTTGCAGTTCGACGATTTGTCTCTTCATCTCATCACAAGTATCCTGGAAAGATTTCCGCTCAGCTTCGAGCAAACTTCGCTGTTCCTTCAATATCTCCACTTCTCGTGTGGACGATTCCTCGATACTTTGTCTCAGCTTTAACAGAGTATCGTCTTTTGCTAACGACTCGGTCTTTGAAGCAAGTAATTCTGCTTCCAATATCTTTACGGTGTTCTCCAAGTTACATTTATCCGAGCTCGTTTCTTCGGTTTCTTGCAGCTTCTTCTTCAAGGCCTCTTGCGACTCTTCCAAATCGGCCTCTAATTTTACCCGCGATTTCTTCATCGCTTCGACGACATTATTCAAGTCTGCTATCAGAAGTTTGTTCTGCTCTTCCAAGCCTCTCGCTTCGGATAATTTTGTTTCCATAAGTCTGGCCTCTTCGGTGGTGTCTGATAATTTTTTCTTTAGTTCTTCCACGGTGCCCGTCGATTCCTCCAAAGACTTCTTAAGCTCGTCTCTTTCGGCTGCAATCTGGTCCTTTTCTTTTAAAGAACATTCAAGTCTCGAGGATATTTCCGAAGCTGTGGACGAGTAATTTGATTTTAGATGTTCCACTTCCTTAAGGCTCTCGTTGTATCGACTTTCGAGAAGACTCGCTGCTTCTTCTAGTTTCTTCCTTTCCTCTTCAAGTTCTGCTATTCTCGTTTCTAATCCACTTAGTCTAAAATAAACAGATATGAAAAGCACATTTAGGGTTCAATTTTGGTTTCTGAATGCAAAGAACTAAACAACAAATCCCTTAATCCCAATAACCCTTTGCGGCCGATGCCGCCATATTTATATAGGCTAAATCTTTCATATCGCTTTAAAATAAGAATTTATGAGACACACGAATCATCCCATTTTTGCATTACTTATTACAGCTCAGACAAATTGAATGATATCGAATATAATATCTGTAAAGTATCAAACGTAGTTTCATCTGAATATTTTGCTTTACTGCAATTCGTTCCTTCTCTGTCAGCTCTTGAACTTTAACATACGTACCTTGAATCTTTCTCAGACAATTCTGACTGCAGCTTCACCTGAACGTCAGCTTCTTTGGTGACTTTCTCGTTCAGTTCTTTGATTAACCCTTCTCCAGTTTCCCGATCAATTTCCAACTTGGCTTTTACATTTCGCAGTTCTTCAACCTCTTTCAAAGAGGATGTCAACTGCAATTCAATATCATTCCTTTGGTTTCGAAGAGTTGCCAATTCTTCGGCATGAGACTTCTCCAAAAGGGCATACTTTTCGGCAGAGGTAATTATTTCTGCTTTCGCGTTTTGCAGCTGGTTCGTCGCTTCGGAAAGCTCGCAAGTTATCCGCTGCAATTCTTCTTCCGCGATCTTGTCCTTCTCTACGATCGCTGCAAGTTGCCTTTCGTTTTCTTTCTCCTGATCAGTGATCTTCTTATGAAGTTCAGCCTTTAATTTCAGTTCTTCGTCGACTCGAAGCCTGCTCTCGGTCAACTCAGAATTAAGCTGATCTACGGTCGCTCGAGCTTTCCTTAAATTCTCTTCAGCTTCCTGATATTTGCCCTGAGTCGTCTTCAGCTTACCTTCCGCATAGGAGGCTTGTTCTCGCACTTCTTCCAATTCCTTTTCCTTCCTCCTCGCTTCTTCGATGTATTTTGACAATTGGTCTGATGAATTCGCCGACGAACTAGCTAGGTCAGCTATCTCTGATTCCTAAAATACAAAACTCTAATACATGACATAATCATTTTCGCGCCATCGGTGGCGCCGCGGTCCATGGTAGGAACAAATAACGAATCTAGGGGATTATTTAAGGGCTATTTTGATGTCTTTATAATCATTCTACTGAAACGACAGGGAAGAATTTCGTATTTTGCACCAACCAACTTTTCCCGTAGTTTAGTGAGGTGGACGGTCTTGTCGTGAGATGTTTCCAACTGTTTCTTTAAATCGTCGATGACAGTTTTGTACTCTTGAGCTTGGTTTTCCAACTCTAACTTTGAAGTTTCATGTAGAGTCATCTTTTGCTGTATATCTATGAATGTGAATAAAGCGTGCAAAATGATTACAACAGGAAACTTTTCATCGTACTATAATATTGCGAATAAAGAGCAATTTCCAGGAAACCGGGTAGAGTTTCGCGACAAATACACTTAAGAAGTTTACATTTACAACCCAATATAATAAAAGAAATACAAGCGTTCGATTTACCTAAATTTTTCTTCAAAAGATCTCCCACCTCCTCATCTTTTTTCATTATAACGGAATCTCGAGCGGCGATCACGTTTTCTAATTCCTTCAACATTATCTCTTTTTGCGCAAATTTCTCATTCAAATCTTGCAAGCACTTATCCTTTTCCTTTATCATATCTTGAAGGCGTCTCGACAATTCTTCCACTTCCATTATTTTAGCATTGTGTAGATTCTCCAAATCGGCTTCTCTCAGTTTCCATTCTTTCTTCAGTTCATCGGTTTTTGCCACGGATTCTTCAATTATTGCGGCCAACGTTCCTTTCTAGATTCCCCCAATGAATAAACAATTACATTGGTTTTCGAACAGAAGTTCCTAGCAATTTTACGCACGCAGTCACGAAATGCATAAACTAATAAATACATAAAAAAAACTAGTGAAATTTGTTATCGCTGTCTTATGTAGTCAAGAGATTCCAAATGTTCCAAAATATATGAGCAATCGTGTAAAAGCTTACCAACTGTTGTTCCGTTTCGGAAGCTTTTCGAATAACATCTTCGTTCTTTCCGCGAAGTTGCTGAAGTTCATCTTGGAGAGAAATGTTATTTTCCTCTACCGACTTCAACTTTGTACTCAATTCTGTAAAAGTGCATTTTCCACAAATTTTAACATGGATTCATTTCGTTAATAAATACTGTTCCTCGCAGTTACATGCAATTGTTTAATGAAAGTTTATACCTCCGACAGTCTTCAACGTTTCTTCCAATCGCCCATCTTTGTCGTTTCCAGAGTCTTGCAAGACGGATAATTCGTTCTCGAGCCTCTTTACTTGTTGATTAGCGTTTTCCAGCTGAGTCTTCAGTTCTGTTATTCGTTCATCCTTTTGCTGGAGTTGTTCCTGGAAGCTGGCAGTGAGGAGTTCGATTTTCCTCGTGGTTTCAGCCTTCACTTCCTCCAGAGCAGTCTCGCGGATTTGCAGATTTTTCGCAGATTCAGTCTCTAACTCTTTGGCTTTCTGTATCATGGCGTCCTTCTCTTCGGCGATTTTTGTATACTCTTTGACCATTTCTTTAACGCGCTGCAGCTCTTCTTCCAATGCCGAGTTCTTAGCGTCGAACTCCTTCGTCATGCCATCGATTTGGGAACTTTTCTCCTCCAGAATCAGTTTGAGCTTTTCTATCTCTTCGATTAGAACCCGTCTCGAGGTTTCCATCGAGGTCATCTCTTCATGGTTTTGGTTCAGCCTATCTTCCAGGGTCTTGAGTTTAGCAACATATTGCTCCAGCGATGTGTTCTTTTCTTGCAATTCTTCTTCCAAAGCAACCCTCTCTTTAGCAAAAACCTCATTTCGATCACGCAGCTCTGAAAAAATTAACAGTTATGAACCCACACTGTTAAAAAGATTTTTTAAACTCATGTGTCTCTAGTACAGAAAGTTGTACTTTTGTTGTTAATTGAAAATTGAATATTTACATAGTGAAGTTCCGACATTTATGAGATTGTTCATTAAAATGTTATTGCATCTTCGATAACTTTGCATCACCTTGGAGAACACTTTGCTCATGAAGCGTGGTCGAAGACAATTCGCTTCGAAGACGAGTCAGCTCTTCCTCCGCCTCGAATAATTTCGTACTGTCCTGTTCGAGTCGCAATACTCGTTCTCTTTCTTCCATAAGCTGCTTCTCGAGGTCCTTGATTTTTGCTTCGTTCAATGCATTTGTCACCTGGCGAAATATTTGCGTTGTTTTAAGACGACGGCGTCGCGAATTGCATCTTATGGCTCCGATAAAGGCGAGTCGGCCATCTTGAATTGCAGAGTCAGAGTCGAGAAAATTGCATGAAATTTCCGGCGAGTATTATATTGCATTTTTCACATTTTCTTCGAAATATTACTGTAAAGTTCGAAAGGCGAAAAGTCGATTTTACGCGATTTCTTTACCTCTGATGCCACAATTCAATAAACTCATAGTAGCTTTTCTTAACGACTTCCCACATTAACGTTCTTACGCCATTTTGGAGTTACAAAAAATATATAAAGAAAACCTTGATTTATTATATAATTTACTCTTGACCAAATCCGTTAGATAATTTATGCCCCTTCAATAAGATAAAAATTACAACCGTAACAACAATTGAAGAACGATACATGTATATGAATAAATCTTTATCGAAGCTTAAGATAATTCAAACTTTCGTTAGATCTTGTGGATCATTAAGACGATATGAAAGGATCATTCTATATATATATATATATGAAACGTCAAAATATTTATAAAACTTTTCTCCAAACAGGGTGTACTGAAGAATTTTGTTTATTTCTTCCAGACTAGAACCAAAAATACATTTTTGTTTGAGAAATGAAATTTTAAGAGCACCGCGTTCTTCCTCAGGGTCTTCATAATCACATGGTGAAGTTTAAAATGATTCGGTGTATCCAGTTTGAAGAAAAGTGTTTTACATATTTTACGTTTTATATATTTAGAATGACCCTTTCGTATCACCTTAAAGCGCTACTAGAAATGGTGTTAGAAATTCACATAGTTTGGCTATAAACAATCCTTGAACGCGTTAGTAAAGAATAGGTGATTATTCACTACTTCTCAAATTATGCGATTTTTAAGGTGATATGAAAATGGTTACACAAAAGTCTCGTTTATGAAACTTTTCTCTGAACTGAGTGTATGTACACACATTGTAAAGTTTGAAACGATTCGGTACACTCGGTTTGGAGAAAAGTTTTATAAACAATCGACTCCTCGAATGCCACTTTCGGATACCCTTAATGTGTTTAATTAAGCTGTTAATTTTAGCCGTCGAGTGCAAAGCGATTCCATCAATTCGAACTACAAACAGTGCCTTCGAAAGGGTTGCCAAGTGCGTTCACTTGTGATTTATAACACTGCAAAGTGATTAACATAAACAATGAGAAAACCACACGATGAATAAATAAACTTAAGTAACGTAAACAAGTAAAAATTGCAGCGACGAAAATTCCAACGATATTTGAATAAATAAAATAATATCAAATTACGGGAAATATCCTAAATCCCTTAAAAAATTATATAATAATTAACGAACACTCTTAAAGTATTCATCTAAATTAACGAAATATGTAAACAAATTTATCGTTTGATTTCTACCGAAATATAAAAACGAAAACAAAAAGAAAAACATATTTTTTGCATACGAGAGCAACATGGACTTGAAATTCATTGACATTGCAAAAATTGTTTGGCAACGATATATATTAAATTTTTACTCATATCGATTTTCTTATCAGTATTAATAGATTTCGACTGCAATGGCCATTGATCTACAATTACTAACTGGTACCTTCCTTTTCATAAGTGTAAGGTCACAAGTAACACCAATAATAATTTCAATCTTTGATATAAGGAAATGCAATTGCCATTATAACAATACATACATAATTCCGATATGCCAAAGATAAAAGCAAACGAAAAGAGATAGAACAAATTAATATGGGGTGCGCTTCACCAAAGGCCATGTTCGACTCGTACAAATAAATAAATAAATAAGAGAAAAAATGCAGTGACATGCAACCAAAATACATTACCAACGAACGAATAATGAATAAATAATGAATACGTGAAGAAGTGATCGAACTGCGTCGTGTGCAGTTCTTCATGGAATCCTATAAAGCGTTAGTCCGGAAGATCCCAGGAAGCAAATTGTCGAGTTTTTTAAGGCAGTTTCTGGTGCAACTGCGGTAGACCCGTAAACGATAGGACTAATATGACGACGAAAAAAACTGCGCAGAGATACAATGTCAGCACCTGCTCGGACTTGAAATTCTTCCAGTGGATACTTACATTGTGCTCACTTTTCCGTTTCTGAAATTAAATCACAATTTCACCCGATTAGCCCTGACACCGTAGCGTTAAGAGGATAGCTTTTCACGTTTCCTTACAACCTGGAAGGAGTTATCCAGAGGACCCTACTACCAGATAACAATAAGTCTCTTTGATAAAGGTACACTGAGCGAAAAAAAATCACTTTCTACAAATCCACGATCACGCGGTAAAATTTGAAACTAATCGGTAGACCCAATTAAAGAATACTTTTACGAATGATTTGACCTCTCAGATATATAAACTAACCCTGTCATATCACCTTAAGGTTTCCACTTCCTGCTAGATACAAAATTGCCTTCGTTTGAGCTGCAACACCGACGATTCTCACAAAATCTATTTCGCTGGAGCGGTGAAATTTCCCGAGCAAGAAATATTTAAATTGCCGCAAGTAATTAATTTTACCTAGATAGTAAATTTTTCGCTCAGTGAATATAAATATCCGTGATAATTCATTTCTTTAAAGCAGCCATCACCAGACTATAAAATGATACGTTATAGAGCTTGTCAAATTAATTCAATGGCGATTGTTGTATGATACACTGTCTGAAATATTCACCTTGGTTCTCAGTTTATTCTAACGTGATTCTTTTAAATCCAGAACCAAAAGGAGGGAAACGTATATACAGTAGTGCAATAAAATTATTCTGAATTAATGCATTCAGTACTTATCATAGTAATTCAATTAATATTAACAGATGATTAGTACACTTTATATGTATTAAGTACAAATCTTGCAGTTTCATACCCTTACTCATATCTTATTTTTGTGAGCGCTTTTAAGCGTTTTTTAGTTAATCAAACCATTGTTAAAAGACGCTTTAAAGAAAATTTGACAAATTGTATAAGTACACAGATTAAGTTAGGAGGAGAAGATAATATTTTTTTATTAGTTTCCATCATTAAAAAAAAGTTCATAAGTATATATCTGTTATATACATATAAATACAGCTGTTTAAATGATGTACAAAAGTACATGAAATAAATAAATAATACATGTGTTACGTTCACAGAAGATGCAGTCGAAAATGTGAAACCTGATATGGAAAATACTATAAATAAATATTGTAGGCGTTACAAAGTATATTAACGTTCACGGTTCCGTCTTTGAGCATTTCTTGCGATCGTAACACATGTAAGATTAATTATTATTTCATGTTATTTTATACAATTCAAACAGTTGTATCAGCGACACTACCGAGTATAACAGCTATGTACGGATAATCTATTTTGCAACGACGCAAATTATCTTTACCTAAAATATTTCGTTCTCCACCTGACATATCTTGTATAAGCGAAAACGAACTAAAAGTGTTATCGTTATCGGAGTGGTTAATCATACCTGAATATCATCCCGGGTGAGGGACTCCTCTTCGAAACGGAAAAGTAAGTCTTCGTACTTTCGTCTTTCTTCTTCCAATTGCATGGCCAAGGAATTCTTCTCGTCCAAGATTTTCGAGTAAGCGAACTGAGCTTCTTGCACCATCCTCTCCATGTCTTCTCGATACTGAAAACACGAGGAAATTCCCTTTTTCAATGTAGATTCTACAGGAAAGATTGATAAGAATGTGGAATATAAATAAAGATATTTAAATACGAAACTACATCGATGTAAAACTGTTGAAATCGATACGTCGACCGTGAACTTGAGCGACTTGGTTGTATAATGGTAATTATACAACTTATGTAGCTTCTTGTATTCAAATTACAATATCCTGACCACCTGATTCGCTTGACTGACAAATTTTGTAACAGAGACGAAAAAGGAGACATAAAATATGGAAGTACACAGAGTGATTCACTTAAAGTATTATGAAATGGTTATTCTATACATATAAAGACGTATAAATATTTATAAAACTTTTCTCCAAATTGGGTCCACCTAATGATTTGAAACTTCGGCATGTGATTATGGAAGACTTAAGGAAAAACGCGATGCTCGTGAGATTTCATTTTTCATAAAATATGTAATTCGTTCGCTCAATGTAAGTACTACTAAACAGGGTTGTACGGTGACGTGTCATTGTTACTTAAAATACCTAATAAATTGCGCGACAACAATGGCGGGACTGTAAGTTCACTTTTTCAAAATGGTCAAAGTATACATCACTTGTAAATAAACATTCTGGCGATTTTTTAACCGAATGGAGGGACGCCTTCGCACCAGGAATTCAATCTATGCAATCGGACAAATTAACCCTTTCGTTACGAGCGCCGACTTTAATCGATAACAAATTCTGCCAAATCCGCGGAGTATCATTCGATTGTATTGACCCGTATTGGATTAATCATCCTAAAATTACATTTTGAACATACGTAAAACAGTTTGGCCATCGAGACGAGACGAGAAGACCAGCTATTGGGATAACTTTTAATATCTTAAAAATTTAAGAGTAGACTTTCATTTGGAAATTTAATAATGGAACGATACGACAAAACAGTTGTTATTTAACACTTAGAAAAGTGTACATACAAAAGGCAGTCAAGGAGGCGTTGTTCAGGTGGAAGACGTAAGTTCGAACACCGAAGACTGCCAAACCGCAATGTGCAACCCTTTCGGCGCGTTGTGGCGTTCAGTGGTGGACTGCCGTAATGAAAGGGTTAAGAGGATCGAAGTGGCAGCTTTGTTGGATGGCGAGGAAACAATGCGTGGATACCTTCTCATATTCTTGTCTAAGGGTGACCACTGCCTGCTCCGCTTGATCCGCTTGACTGGCAGCCTTTGTAACTCGATCGCGTTCCAGATCTCTCTCTTTACGGAGGATTTCGATTTCCTGTTGCCTCTCCCTCGTGGCCTCCTGAAAATCCACCGTTTCGTTACAAACCGATAGGTATTACTTACGACTCTACTTATAAGTACCGCTTAAGGTGAAGTGAAACACGTCGAGGAACTTGATCGACGTCGATAAAGGAGATTTTTCTAAATATCTACGTTGCCGACGTTCGTTTTTACATTGACAGAGTTGTGTCGAATTATATTGTATATTGCACCAAATAGCACACTCCACCTGTCGTTTTCGTATAATAATTATAAAGAAATCGAAGTAAAACTTCAGAAATCCTCTTTCACGGTTTTTTCAGACAACGGCCCCGAGTTATACATCCCAAGCAATTCATTTACTCATTTTCAATCTTTCCTATACTTAGGTACGGCCTATAATATTGTCTACATGTATGTTGTATTTTGCACATTTTAACAGTTTCAGCTCCCGGGCGATACAATGGCCATTGTATACGGATTAGGCAGATTTGCGTCTTCCAACTCTCTTTATTGGTTTATTGAGATGATATGAAAGGTGCTGAGAAATTTAATCGAGGTCCATAAATTAAATTTCATTTATACCCTTTTTGGTGGTAACTTTATTTTGAATAATCAAGTTCTATATGTCGCTTCGGTAAAATAATGATGAAGAGATCGATGTAAGACTGTCGAAATCCAGTGAACTTATTACTCTAGCGACTGTTTAGGAGCAACGTCGCCATCTGTAACGTTTAGCTGCAACTAAACTAATGGTAAGAAACATTACTATAAATATTGTTACCGTTACTACCCACTCGTACAAAAGCCAGGAGGATGCTGAACTATTAAAAAATAGTTGCAGCTGCCAATTTATAATAACTCAAACGATAAATTGCGTTCCTTAACAAAAATAGGTTTAACAGGGTCAAATCGTTCGATTTACCATCTCGGCGTACACTTCAATATTATTCACGTACGTGTTTCTCATCAAGTTCTCACTTTGTAGATTATTTGTTTAGAGTACTAACGAAATAATGAATCTTCACGTACCTAAGTTTCAAATACCTCGATTAATAATTTTGCTCTGAATGCATTGAACTTACAGAGGGCAGCACTTGACGTTTCTCGGAGACTTCGATGCGCATCGCTAATGATAAGGTTTTTTATAAGACGTTATCCCGGACGATAACAAATAACAAAACGCGTAATTGATGTAAATTTAAGCTGTTTGCGTCTACTTTAGGTTTTCATCCATTTCTTACCTTTCTTCTACCGATTCGACCCCATTTTAGGGTCTTTATGGCATAGCATTTGCATTATCATTGTTATCACGTATCACTAATACTGTAAAGAAATTAAATGGATGTATCGCCGCACATTCTCACGTAATATAACACGTTGAATTTGATATTCCAGGAATTTTGACGGCATTAAAAATAAGAAAACCCTGGAAAGGACTATTTTAGTAATGGCACTTTTACGTTAGAGAAATAAATTCAACAGCGACTGTACACAAATAAAATAAACTAAGCAACTATACAATCTCTACTAATACGTGGCTGATAATACATTTGGGCACACCATATCTACTTTAAGCTGGAAAATTGTCGACACACGTGTGTAAGATATGTTATGGAATTTATACCCACCTAGCTTACAGTCTGCTGTAAGGATTTCGGATGGGATCGCGCAATCTTTTATTGTTATCAAACAATACAAACAATATACTCTCCTCTTCCGTGTTTACCTGGCGCCCGAAACGACGCATCTTCACTCATTAATTAAACTGCAGGTGCTTTTTTACGAGGTTAGGACTAAACAGGTACTTTAATAAATAAACAATAATAAATTAAACGTTAAATACCGCGAAGTCGCTCCATCACATCGGTTACGCTTTTACATTTACTTTTAAACTACTTTACCGAAACTTTAAGACGCCACTTATATTACTTCAAACATGAATTTCGATCGCGTTAACCTGAATTTACGACCCTTTAACGATAACAAACGAAAGATACAGAAAAGCACTAGGCAGAGCAGTTACACGGGATCCGTTTAGAACTGTTGAGATTCGTGAAATTGTTTACAATCGGCATTAGGAATGTGTTAAACATCTAAATCGTGATCCGATTAGGAATAGAAACGGTGTAATTGCCCTTTAAGTGAGAACATACAAGTTGACCACTGATTTTTACGAGGCTACTGATTTTCAAGCGCATAATTTCGCGTTTCATTATCCTCGTGCAGATTCGATGCATCAACGAGAAGGGAAGCACGTGGAAATGGAACTGCAATTTCATCGGCGCCGTAGTAGCGACTTCGACTCGCCAGAGGGCTCAATTAGTCCTCGTGGTCAACTTGTACGTGGTCACTTGTCCTAACGAAGAGACAACGGAATCAGGACAAGGTCTCACCTGGAGCGAGCTTCTCGCGGGTGTAGAGGTGCGCAAGCCGGCTCTCTGCAATTTCACACATTTAGGTACAACGGAAACGGGAAACTAAACAAACTAAACGTGCAAGATTCCTCGGGATTAGTATCACTCCCACGTATCGATCATGCAAATATATACATACGCATTGGTGGACAAGAATGCCTCATTTGCATACACTATTAAAAATCTCTCGATATTTCGAACACCTCCGTATATGTGCCTTCTGAAATTCGTATAATTGTTAACTAAAATTCCGAACAGAATTGTAACGTATGTATACGTAAATGCAGTAATACTTTTCTCTTTGTCGTACAAAAGGCATTCGTGTCCGCCATCGATTTCACCGATGCGTTCTTCCTCTTGTTATTGCAATAAAAAAAAAACAAGGCGATACCTCGTAGAATCTCCTACACTTGGCGAGGGTCTATGTCTGTTAGTATTAATTAAATTTTACCCCGATAGTAACGTGCAATAAACATTTTACAGGACATTTATTGCACGTTACCAACGGGGTAAAATTTAAAATTAATACTAGCAGAGACCCTCCCCAACTGTAGGAGATTCTACGAGGTATCGCCTTGTTTATTTTTCATAAATATATTTTGTTATAAATATATTTGAGGACAAGATGTCCCTCAGAAGGGAGGGATTCGTGAATCCCTGTCGCGCTCGTTGTATGGAAGACATCAAAGACACGTAAGAGACGCGACAAGACAGCAGAAGCTACAGGTCGTCCTCATTCCGGCATGGCGAACCTTACCCTGGCCGTGGACGATGCGGAGACCCTGGAGACGCTGGCAGCGGTGCTCGCGTTGGTCCCGATGCTGGAGACCGACGCGAGGGATTCCCTGGAGCCCAGCTTCCTCTGAGACGTGGTCAAGGAGGGCCCGGAGGGCTTGTGAATGGCGCACATCGTCGATTTCCTGCTGGACGGCGACCGACTTACTTTGTGCAGCGGGGCGAAGAGGCCGTGCTTGGGTCGGCACTCGAAGTACCTATATGAACATCACCATCATCAACGTCATCAACGGTCTGGGGAACGAATGCCTCTGGCTTGACACCATGAACGTAAGAATATATGGACGGAGCCCAAAGTCCCATCTTAAGGGGATGTGAAAGTGGAGTCAAAGAGATTTCTTTATGATACATTTCTCCGAACTGGGTGAACCGAATAGTTACAAACTAGAGCAATAGGGCAACCTTTTGTCGTCGATGGATCCATCGTTCTTGCCGACTGGCTCATCCAGTTCCACGCCGCACCATTCACCAGGGGCGAATTCCGTGATTCCCATAAACCTAAGGACTCCGGTTTTGCTTCCCTGGTTCGATGACACTATCACCCGGTCTCCCAGCTTCAAGTCTTTATGGGACACCGAGGACAGGCTCGTCGTGGAGGCGTCTAGGTAGAAAGGACATAGTCACAACGGAGTTACCCAAGTCGGGGTGCTCGCAAGAAATTAAAAGTTATCCCAGTGGCTGGTCTTCTCGTTTCGTCTCGAAGGCCAAACTGTGTTACGTATGTTCGAAATGTACTTTTAGGATGATTATTCCAACACGGGTCAATACGATCAAAAGATACTCATGATTTCAGATACCGTTTGGATAAGAGACGAAACCGATATAACTAGCTCGGAGGTTCCGTACTCTAGAGCTTTTAGCCTTACTCAAGGAAGTCCGGTCCAGAGCACCCTTTGTACTTTGCGTCGGCGACGTTGGACTCTTCGGCGAGAACAAAGACGCATCCGATAGAGGTTGCCGAGTAAGTCTGGTCAATCGCGAAAAAATTCCACGTTTCGGCTCGCATTGGAAGTATCGAGTCCCCGCTACCGAACCATCGTTCTTCCCTAAAAACCAAAATTCATTTATTGAACGCTTAAGGTGATATGAAAGTGTCACATATACATACCAAAATACTGTTAAATAATTCATGCTTACATGACACGATAAGACAATTATATCGTTGAACTTCTAATTATAGTACATGTAACTATGAATGTAATACATATTTAAAAAAATATTCCGAAATTAATCTTCTATCAGTCGCGATAAGTGACAGGGTGGAATTTAAAGTTCACGAACCAGACGTGTTATACACGCTACGCTGATACGAGTTTGATGAATTATTCAGAACGTTTCTAGTTATCCACAACTGTAATGTCATCGTGAATGCCATTAGTGCAATGAACGGGCATCGAAGTGTCGCCAATATATCTTCTCGGGCAGCAAGACATCATTTATATGTCTATTACACGTCTTCGATAGATATTAAAGTGATACGCATGCAAAACCGCGAGGATGGATGGCCTACACTTTTTAACTTTTACTACAATAACATTCGCCAATATTGTGTTTTCACCATCCTTATACAGAATACGTTTATGCCAAGTTTCGTCGAAATCCCTCCCCTGCTTCTACGAAAATTAATATAAAAATTAAATTTTCGCCAAATTTTGGGGAGTCGTTTCACCCCCTAAATGTGAACCATTGCAGATAAAAAAAAGACACGTATCTCTTAGATTTTTGTGTTCTTCAACATGTATGAAAATCAATCAAATCGGCGGCGGACACTTGGGAATGTTTCCTTGTCAGTGTAGCCCAGCTGAAAACGCTATTAATCAAATATATGCTACATGTACTGATATAAGTGTGAAGTAGAGCGTTTCTATTGAATACCAGAAATTGAAGAACTTACCGATGGGTTCGTCGAGAACGACTCCAGCCCATTCCCCAGGTGCGAATTGGGTGTCTCCGATGTAAGCGATGAGCCCGGGTTTCGTCCCACCGACCCATACTCGATCTCCTATTATGAAGCTGTCCGTGTCCTCGTTCAGTACCACACTGGTATCTGTCGAACATTCAACAAAAATGTAGATCCTCGACGTGTTTCACTTCACCTTAATACTTGGAAGCCTTGCCAACGAATGAAACTTCATGCAACTTACCTGAAGCTCGCCTCGCGCCAGCCTCGCTTAATCGGCGACGCTGATTGTCCCACAAATGGTCCATCGATTCGGCTGAATTCCATGCAAACACAATGCAAACGTAACGCTACACGTACACCAACAAAAGCTAACACTTACAGTAAACCTTTTCCTAACTTTGAGATATTCAACAGACCACCGAGGAAAAGAATGTCATTGGGCAGAAATTTGCGTAGGCGTAACCACACGATCAGTTATCCAAAGGCATGAACACATTATATGTAGTTACGTTCAAGGCGACCAGGACATAATTTCATTAAGCTTCTACCACGATTATAGCTAATCAAGTATGCTGAATTTCCAGCATTTATGCAAATCTACCTCTGACTGTGGGAGCAACATGGAGCGAGAACATGCAAGAAAGATATCAGGTCCAGCTAAGCCTTTCTGCTATTTATATTCTTTTCGTCCTACTTTTTTCAATTTCCCCATGATAGGGAAAAATGCGGATGAGAGGCCTTTTTATTGTTGAGGGTCGCCGAAATCGATTTTTTACCCTTTCACCACTTCAACGCCAAACATAAGGAATGACCGAGTACTACAAAACGAGACAACTTCATTGAAATAAGAAGTGCGCTAACACGATAATAAGTGCACTACCTGACAAGCATCAAGAGATTGTTTTTGACAATCTCCTAGCCGTTGTTATTTTTTTTTTTATCTTACACGAGAATCCCCTCTAAATAATACCGATTTTCTTATTTTTGGCAGTTTGAACTAGAATGCATGAGCCAGTTGTTTTAACAGGGTTTTTTATGAAATAATGAACTTGTAAAAAAATGTACTTGGCGTAAAGTCATTTGGGAAATTTAATTTTTCAAAGCTTTTCGCATCACCTTAAAGAACGTTCTCTTGATCGCCGTACAATTATTCTTATACAAAGACATCGAAGACAGTCACGGAATTCTAAATGGAATAAAAGAACGTTAACATTGAATAATTCATTACCTCGGCCAGTTTTTGGCCATTAGTGTTCTTTATTATGCATCATTCGTTCTTAACGATATTATTTGTACGGAAGACCTTGTGCATTCCTACGTAGATATTAACTTTTCGTAAATTCCCAGATATCTCAGGATTTAACGTCTCATAATGTCGCGTTTACATCACGAGAGAATCTCGTTTAATGGTGACATCAGACATCCGCAATTATTTTCTGAAAACCCGTTTTAGATTTCTTTTCTGAATGACCAAACGTCAAGGGCAGCCTGTCTACCTCGTAGTAACATTGAATCGACAAACGAATCCATATTAAATTAATATTTCATTCATTACAACAAGAGTACATTTTTTTTTTAATATGAAATTTGATGAAAATCACGTTCGTCTTTAGAGCCTCCATAATCAAGTATCGAACTTTCAAATAATTCGGTGCACCCAGTTTTGAAAAAAGGATTAGAAATATTTTTACGTTTTATATATATAGAACGACCCTTTCATATCGCCTTAATGTTGTAAACACTATTCACTAAAACGTGTATTACCGTTGTGACGGACAAAATGAATGGATAATCACTGAACAGTGCTAGCTAACAGTACTTAGGTAAACGTGTCGACGATCCGCAACGTTGAACGGCAATGAGCAACTAATGCCGGCATTAGACACGTATTAGCATATCGCGACACGAATGTATAGCGCATGCGCATTAGAGGCGCGCAGGTGCTACCGGTCAAACTAGCAAAAAAGACCCTCACAGAGTTCTACATTTCACAATTTCGAGGAGAGAGTTTTACCCTTTCGCACCTTGCGCGCAATATTTATTGCGTTGCTAATTTTTTAAGAAAAATGGCTTTAAGTCAAATTGTTCAGTCTACAAGCTCTTTTTTTCTCTCAGCATAGGGCGGGGTCCGGGCCATGAAATCTCCGATCTCGATCTAGGGGGCCGATCTAGCGGAAGTCTCGATGCACTCTGGGGCGTCTCTATGAGATTATGCAAACCGGCCATTATCATCCGGAATGGGCGTACTCGAGCTCCAGGTAATCAGATCTCAACGTTTCAAACGAAACGGAAGGTCGGCCGGTTTTGTAATAAAACACGCCTCGGCGGTCGCGTGGGACATCGGCGAGTTTGGGAAGAGGAGCGCGATTCACCGAAGGGAAGAAATCGTTCGTTTAAGGTGATTTAAAAGTGTGACATATACATACCAAAAAGTCAAAATATTTATCAAACCTTTCCCCAAATACATCTTTCTGGCAATAAAACAACTCGATCGATTTCGTTGCAAGAAATAAGGGATGCACGGCATGGCGCAAATCGGAGGATGCGTATGCATCGGGGTCTCCTGCAATAGGGTGGAGGCATCGCCGGCGAGGCTTTGAAATGCACCAAGCACGCTTCGATCTGGCTGACAATAAATATTGTGTTGCATAAGCGCATGGCGTCATGCGATGACTGTGATGACTGCGCTGACCGTGCTTTCTAGGTCTCTAGTCCCGTGCCGAGAGCCACGGATGCACCAATAAGGTAAGATACGTGCCCTCGATGTGCGCCACACTTAAATGCAGCTCGAACAAGAACCTCGCCCATGCTCGACATATTTCTTGCGTTTTGCCATTAACCCAAAAAATCAGGAAATTCGTTCACCAAAGTTTGTGGATGTAGCCCTACGTTCTCGAGTGGAAGAGTTGTTAGGAAATCAAAAGATGGTCAGGATAGACCGAGAGTAAATGCCGAGCAATTGTAACGAGCGTTATAAATTTTATCTTTAAATTTTTAAAAACGTATCGAGACGACGGAAGCATTCCGATAGCGTAATTAACGTCTTAAGGACTTCCATAATCACAAGGTGAAAAGGGTGTAAAAAAAATATTATGTTATCGGCGTCGATTAAATTTCTCGGTGCTTTATATCACCATAAGGTGATATCCCTCATACGTCCCTTTCATATCACTTTATGGTGATCACCTTATGGTGATATGAAAGTGACGTATGAGGGATATCATTTAAGAAATTTTTTCTGAACAGGGTGGAACGAATCGTTTAAAATTCTATAATGTAATGGAGACCCTTACACGCGATCATATGTAATAATTACAGTAATAACATATACAGTAATTCCACGAGCTGCATCCATATGAACAAGCTGTAAGTCAGATGCAAAAATATTCCAGACCACGTTCATGTCCGAAAATAGCACATCAGCAAATTAATTAGCCGACATGAATTGCAATTACCTCAAAATAACTTTAAGAATTAAATCTCAAGTGGAGGTGGACCGAAGATATATTTGCATGCGGGAATACAACCATAAATCAGAGTTTGCATTTTGAACAGTAGAATATGACGTATTCTCAATGTCTTTGTACCAATCGAGTCCCAATGCGGGGGCGTGAAAATATTATCATCGCATATCAATGAATTATCCACGGATCTGTTACGGCATGTTAAACTGCCGGAACTTAATTATTAAAACGCGGAAACGATCGTGCGAGGCGAAGAATCCGTGCTTCTCTCCGAGATTCATTTTTTACCCTGCGTGGGTATTTGTTTATATAAAGCCTCGCGGTAAGCATAAATCACGTTGTACTTGATAAATGACCTACGCGATAACTATGACACTATGTGACAATAAGAGATACCACAAAATGAATCTCACTGACAAGAAAAATGTGCGTGACCGCCACGCGCGTTTAAGGTGCTGTGAAAGTGGCGTCAAAGATGTCTCATTTATGAAATTTTTCTTCAAATTTCGTGTACCGCATCGTTTTAAACTTTACAATATGAATTCGGAGGCTCTATGAAAGGTCCTGACACTCATGAAATTTCAATTTTTTTTTTACATTTGTTTATAGTTATTTTACAAATTTATTTATAAAAAATGAAATTTCATGGGTGTCAGAACCTTCTGTATAGCCTCCATGTACACGTTGTAAAGTTTGAAATGACGCATTGACCCCAACAAAAACATTTAAGTTAATTTAGTATAAACTATAAAACAAAGATGAATGTACCCGCGACATATGTTTGATAAAATAATAAAAAAAAGTATTTACATTAAATCGCAAGATACTTAATGTTGAAACAGAAGTCGATTTTTTTTACTTTCAAGGGTGTCGCACCTTCTTAACCGCACTTTCCACAAGGAGGAAAATACTGTTGTATCCATTACATGCGCTTACGTGTTAAAATATTGCTGCAATGGTCTAATAATGGGAACCTTGAAACTTCAAGCCACAATCTTTGATGGGTTCAATTGCAGCTGAAGAAAGAAAACCGGGATTTAATTTTGGAAACATTCTAGCTGAATAAATCCAGCTCGTCATTCTACAAGGGGTTAAGCAAGAAACATCAGGAAACTCGGTAGAGTTCCGCGCCAAATACATCAAGAAGCATACGCGAACGGCACCGAATACTTAACACCAAAGCTCGGCACTTCAATTAAATAAATACTTTTTCCTCGAATAAGATAACTTATCATGTATTCATGTTAAGTAAAATGAAAGTACGTTCCGTTTTGTAGAGCCTGTAATTTTTTCAGATTTTTTAGAGGCATCCGCTATGCACTACGCCAATTTGAAAATCTTCAGACTACCGTACTGAATTAATTTCGCCTAGAGAGTGAGATTTTCGCTCAGCGTTCTCTTGTAAAAGCAAACGAGCCGATCGAGCTTCTTGGATTCGTACAAGTTGTTGCGGTCGATAATTACCAACTGGACAGAAAGCACTACGCAGACGATGCTACTCGCCGGGAAGTTGGAGAGCGACTCGGGGTTCGCATCTCCAAGGTGCTACTCCGAGTGTCCCGATCTCTTTTTCTCTCCCTCTCGTGGGCGTGTGCCTTGTATGACATGCATCAGCTAATACATGCGATACTAATGCGCGTAATACCCCTAATACCACAGAATAATTTCTAAATATTTTTTTGTAATCTTTGCTAAATATCTCAAGGCGATAGATTTTTTAAGATGTCTTGTAGGTTTCATTTGAAAATATCTAAAATGTTGAAAGTCTCAATGGCGTACTTAGTTTTAATAATTTATAAATATATATATCAGAATTTTTTCATTTGCGCCAGCTAATACATGCGATACGGATACGCGTAATACGTATTAGTACTATAACGAGTATTACGTGGATATCTTGTAGTTAGTAACGCCAGTGAGCTTATCCAACTGGAAAAATGACAGGCTCTACAAAACGGAACGTACTTTCATTATGTCACATGAGTCCATGACAAGTTCTCTTATTTGAGATATAAATATTTATCGAATTGAAGTGCCGAACTTTGGCGTTAAGTATTCAGTGCAGTTCGCGTATGTTTTTAAATGTATTTGGCACGAAACTCTACCGAGTTTCCCCATGAAACTTTTCATTTTTCATACTAAGCCTTCAAAAAGCGGAAAACGGCAAAACGAGTATAAACCATGCCAGATTCTAGTTCATAATAAATAAATAAATAAATAACTAAATAAATTAAGTTTAAGTTAATTATAGATGAGCATTTTAGTTGAGTAATTTTTGTAGTCGTAATTCAATTTATTTATTTTTAGCTTTCTCACGTCAATTTAATTAAGCACAGTAGAAATGCATATAGCAATGAAACATAACAATGACATTCCTTGTTGAGCAGTCTTATTTACCGAACAATATTATTATCAATGAAAGTTTTATGAGTTCAACCGAATCAGCACAAACACATATAGCCCAAAAACAACCACTCACACTAACGTTCAACTTCAATTCAATAACTCAACAATGATAACGTTACAAAAATAATAACTCACTCATAGATAATCTCGGAGGAGAAGGTGGAATTGCAGGCTTCGGTGGTAATGTACAGCATGGCCTTCCGATCTTGGATGGAGGTCGCAAACCCGACGCCTTTGCATCACTCATTTTTCACAATTTTAATCGATATCCACTGTGCAATAAAAAAAAAACACTTTTTGAGGCATTAAGAATTGGTATCCCTTTCTATTAATCATTATTAACCTTTAGCGCTGTGTTAGCTCCGCTACAGAGACAACCGTCATAATGTTCCAAAACTTGCGGAATGCTAAAGGTTAAAGACTATCACATAATAAAACAAAAATTCTTTCTCATTGCTTTCACAGGTCTCTGCCTGACAATCTGACTCTGTAATACAAGTACAAAACATGTACATGTTTTATTTTTTTTTCAAACACAAAATCGCAGCCATGAAGCAGGTTTGCTACAATTCTTTTTCAGGCAATCAGTATATCAGTCAAATATATTATTTGACTCTATTAGTGACGCAGTTACAGATATATGTTACTAAACTAAAATTTAAAACAAATGACGTTATGTTTACTCTGTGACTAGGTCACATTATTTAGAGGACTTCTAATACATATCGATATAACGATTTAATTAAATTAACCTCTAACTCATTACTAGCATAACTGTAAAATGAAAAGTTGACAATAATCACGTGTCGTGGTCGACGAGGTATAAAAAATTCAGTTATACGAAAACCTTAAAGAAAAAGTAATATAATTCGTACTGTCAACGTAATCCAAAATATTAATTAATAACAGAGTATAATTATTACGGAGAGTACATATTTAGTTCCTAGTCAAACTTATTCGAAAGTGAAAAAATCAATTACGAATAGAACAAATTACAAAGTTCAGAAAAGAGAGGTTATCTTTACGTGACCGAGCCAAAGAATAAATACAGAATTGTGAATGACACAGTGACGAAGCGATACCTTAATAAATAACGTCTGGCACCTTTACATTACTAATTAGTATCTCGAAAACTGAAACGCAGATATTAGGCCATCACTATTTTAAAACTTAACACACGATAGCACTGGACAGCACCTTGCTTCTCTCACTTAATCTACTTAGCACATTTACACATCCTACCTTACATCGATTTTACAACTACCAGTGTTATAACTACTAGTATTAAGCAATGTATAAACGTCGTTTTATCCTGCTGTTGTCACCACACTGGGATTAAATGGCGTTTACGCCCTGAATACCACTACAGCTCGAATCTAGTGAAAATTCTAAAAGTGAACATTTCCCGCGATTCCGTAATATTCACTATGGTACAAATATGAAAAACTTCACGTGACATTACTCGACCAGAAACTCCGAGATCTCGAACCGAGTTTCCAGTGAACTAGTTATAAATTAGTTAAACTCAGGTTAACCCGTTTACAATCAGTTTAAAACTACTATAAATCAATTACACTCGATTCTCAACTCGAATTAATCAGAGTGTAACTAGTTTATACAGTTTAAACCTGCTGTAAACCAATTAATCTCTAGTTAAGTCCAGCACTGGAAACGAGCCTGAAACTAGAGTTAATCCCAAGTAAACTGGTTTTAGCCGGTTTAAACTGAGCGCTAGTTCGTCAGGGCCTGGGTTACTGCCGGGATTGGGTAAAATATCCTAGGTAATTTACGTAATTCTTTTTTACAGTAAATTACTAGGTATTTTACTTTACTAAATGAACATGTTTAAATAAAATAATCTAACTATTTATTAGACTTTTTCTCCATACAAATATATTATATTCGGGGGACTGGAAAGTAATGTTGTTTCTGCACATTGAATTTAATTTAAGAAAACGATATTACTTTCCGGTCCACCTAATATTTACAAACACTACAATATAGTACAGGGAAGAGCATATTCAATATCACTGACATTACCTTCCTTTATCTGCTGAGCTTTCGTAGTTAGATACGAGTTCTTTTGTTTATTTACTAGCCACTCGGGAAGTGGACTGTTCCAGTTTTCAGGGGGTTCAGTTCGTTTCTCCCAGACATTATTACCATAATGTGCAGTTAATCTCTCTTGCCTACGTTTTTTTTCACTCTCAATTAAATTTTTCTGTGAAAAGAATATAACGTCATTATGTAAATAATAATCTCCATACAGTTTGCCTTTTGTATCATCGTTACAGTCTTCTTCAGTATTCAGCCAATCTTTCACATGTGTTTGTCTTTTGTCTGATAATTTAAGTTAAGTCACATAATTAGCAGCATCTACTTCTATTTGTAGCAATTAAAGTCTACATTGACAACTATGCATCTTATAGAATTAAATGTAATATTACATAATTGAAATTAATACGTACATATGCAGTCTCATTTCCACTGCTGAAAAATTTCTGACAATTACTGTAATCTGTTTTCCATTGTGAACATTCTATCATTTTACCAAATATAAAGTACTGATGAAATCGAGCTTTAAGGCTTCGACAATCGGAATACTCTTCTTTGTAAACTTCGCATGGTCTAATCTGAAAAAATTAGAAATGTTGACAGTGTAGATAATGTTTAAAAGAGTAGTTCCACTGAATGTTTTATAAATTATGCGTACTATCCATTTTTCATCGTGTATAATAACTTTATTTTCACTCATCCTTGTATGATTAAAAAAAACAAACTAGAACATAACCTCGAACTTTAATGCTCGCGTCCTTCATCAGGGGGTGAACACTGCCGTGTTTGAATTTGAAACAATGTTGCCAACGCATGAAGTAGAGGACTCGCTAGATGGTTTCTTAAATACCGCCAGAAAACCGCTAGATTGAAACAAATCACTAAATTGTTACATGGAAAATAAGAAATGAAGAAACTAAGGTAGCCTTACTGGACTCTTAACAATTAAATGTGTACGTACATATATAACAATGTATTCATATAATACAATTCTTCATCTGGGATTATTTTCGTATGTAGGAATGTTAAGAAATAACATGTTATTCCGTTTATAATAATTTCCTAATAAAGCAGATTTTAATTGACGAAAAAGGAATTAAAAGCAATTATCTGCAGAATATTCGATGGATCTTTAGAAAGAAAAATGTATGAAAAGAATGAAACTGGAAGCGATGCGACTCGATGAGTTTTAATTCCTTTTCTTTTCACCTTGAAATATTTTCGGTCGTTTTTGCCACCTACGAAAGCGCATTGTTAACTGGTTAATCTTGTGATTTATTAGACTATAGGAATTGAATTTGAAGGAATATCAGCAACCGGTAAATCCGGTTTCAATGTTTAGGAATTTCTAGGAAGGTCCCAAAGATTCTGTATACAATGAAGTTTTGTTACTTATATATTAAGCATATTGATCAATTTCTCGTGGAGTCCTGTTAACGCGTTGGAATTAATTTACCTTCATTTGATACCTCTCTTCTTGCGAAATAAAAGTCTATTTACTCAGCCGTTTTTTATACCAATCGTTCCGTTAATTTTGCACAAGGATCTCCAGCTGGGAATTTGATTACCCACCGAATTAATTAACTAGGGTGCATGTAAACACATTTTTTATATTCATATTGCACAAGTGCCGATTTCATGCCGCAGTCGTTTACAAGTATTCATACCATTATTCTGAAAAAATGAGAATAAAATAATATTCCTTCTTAAGGTGACACGAAAGATGCTAAGAAATGTAATCGACGTCAATAAAATAAAATTCATATATACATGATATATAAAATGTATATAGATGACTTATAATAAGAAAAATTAAATTTCACATTAAGGTGCAACTAATCTATAAATTAGTTGGATAGGAGAGGGGCAGATTAGCCCCTTCAGATCCTATTATATAAATTGGGCTTGTAGGAAAAATCAGGAAATAAATGGAAACGAAAAATCGGCGCTTTTCCGTTAAAACTGTGACATTTTGAATCCTTTCTATTCTAACCTTCCCCGGTGTATATATGCATAATATCCGAGTGAATCACGGTGGCGGAGTTAAGTCGATATTAACGGTAAATAGCGAATTTAGCGATCGGCAGACAAGTCCCCACTCGATTTTCTTTCCCTTTCTTCGGTTGCTCTCTCGGGAGAATAAAATCGTTCTAGTAGGAGGCGAACGCTTGCGTTTGCCTTTCAGTCGGTTCAACGGCGAGTATCGACGTTATGCTCTTCCTTTCGATACTGTTCTTTGCTGTCGAGCTCTCATCGATCAGAGCAGAGGAATTCAGGTAACGGTTTATCGATGTCTAAAAGCATATTAGCTTTTTCCTATATTCTGTATCCCGTTGCTAGCACGTCTTTCTGGACTCAGAAAGATTCCTAGAGATTCACGATCATCACATGACGAGGAAAATCGATTTACAAGCAATTTGCTGCATGAAATGTCTGCAACTTATTATTGTATCCGGGCACTCGGTACACACTTCTTCTCCAATATGTACGCATTTACGAAATAAATTTCAATAAAAATTTCCCACACCATGACTCAAATATGAGCTACTGACGCGCAATTGTTTATCAGCAATGCGTGAGATAAATTTAGCTGCACGTATATATTTAGCTGCAACATTGAGACATTGCGTGTACTTAACTTTGTCTCATATTTAAATACTTCTGGTTCGTCATTGTGTCCTGCAGATATGAGTTCCACTTTCAAAATTTCGATTTTATAATAAAATGTTTGACTTAGCCCAGACCGGAATAAAATGGCGACGAGTTCTAATATTTTGATCGATATACAATTATTGAAGACTCTGATATGAGGAACAAAAGTGTCGGGACAATTGTGCAACAATTTAGAACACTCTGATAATCAAGAAACTCACTTTTGTTCGGGATAAAGGCAAAAAAAATGTCTTATGCGCTTCTATGCTAAAACGATGGTAATATGAAGCCCCGGAGAGAACATTTAATTGGCACTGAAATCGCAGATGGCGCAGGATGGCACTTAGTTGTTAATTAGAGCATCAAAATCCATGAATTCAGATCTTTTTTACAGAATAAATTTCTCGACATAACATTTAATTTCCCTCTGTGCAAATATCTGGAAATCGTTTCGTTTCAGCTCGCCATGGCATTACGTATGCGAAGCTGGGCTCTGCAAGAAATTAGAGATTACCAGAAATGTGACGTTCCCGTTATCCCTAGGGACGTGTCAACTATTTTGTGGCGAAGCCGGGGGACTTTGGCCAAAGCCAACCGGTCACTTGTCCTTGGGGAATTTTGTGGTCCAACTGAACCCCGATGATATAGAATTGCACGAAATAGATCCACTGTCGCGAGCGGGTACTCTTCTACAACGAAATGTAGAAATCTTGAAGAAGGACATTCGCACTTTAGGTGGAAAAAGTGTAAAGGCAGGCGGGAAAGGATTAATCATACACGTGGCCAAGACAATGGATGCAAACGACGTTAAGCTCACTTTAAACACCACAGAAAATTATACTCTGAGCATTAATCAGCTTGAGGATGGGAAAGTAAGTGTCGGATAACAATCAGATTAGATACGTAATGTTCTTTCGGCTCGATATTGTAATTGATAAAAAAAAATTTATTAAACTTACAGAAAAATCTGTAAAATGTACCGATTTTATCTGTTAGAATAGGGACAGCAGATCGTTTCTGTTACTCGATTCCGCAAAGATTACAGATAACTGTACATAACGGAATATAGAAAACTAGATATGGAATATTACGGAGTCAGATGGGAAAATATGGAAAATACCGAGGGGGTATTCACTCAGGAGATCATGTATTTTAACGCTCGAAATCACGTGCAAATCGGCTAGAAATCGCAAGTAGAAATCACTGGAAATCGTTAGAAATCACCCAGCACTTACAATTTTAAGGCCGAACGTCATTTGTTTCCGAATCGCATTGTTGTCTAGCGAATGAAATCAAAGTTTTTACCGATTTCCGAGTGAATAGCCCCCCAGAAAATACATTCACTTGAAACTTTACAACGTGAATATGGAGGCTATAAGGAAGGTCCTGATCCTCCTAAAATTTCAATTTAAATATCGTCTAGAAAACTGGCGAGTTTCGACTGTCCTAATACCATGCAATGTAACGAGAACGCCTTATCGAACTAACGAGAAAATTGTAATTCAGATCAACGCCTCCATCACGACGAAGACCTACTTCGGAGCTCGTCACGCTTTGGAGACACTTTCCCAGCTAATAGTGTTTGACGACCTGCGGGGAGAAATCCAAATAGTCCGAGATGTCTACGTGGTCGATGGTCCCGTCTACCCATACCGAGGGATCCTGCTGGACACCTCGCGAAACTTTATGGACAAGGACTCAATTTTGCGTACCATCAAAGCTATGTCGATGTCGAAGTTGAACACTTTCCACTGGCACATTACGGACTCTCACAGTTTCCCTTACGTCAGTCGCACGTACCCAAACATGTCAAAATATGGTGCCTACACTCCCAGCAAGGTCTACACCCAACGAGACATCCAGGAGGTTCTGGAATTTGGTCTTCTACATGGAGTTAGGATTCTGCCGGAATTTGATGCTCCTGCACACGTGGGCGAGGGCTGGCAATGGGTAAGAACTTTCAGGGTATGGTTGTAATCATGAAGCAGTATAAGGGCTAACAGAAGGAAATCTTTTTTACAGGTCGGAGGAAATACAATATTGTGCTTCGCCGGTGAACCTTGGAAAAGCTTGTGCGTGGAACCACCCTGTGGCCAACTGAATCCCTCCAGCGAGAAGGTTTACGAGATCCTAGAAGGGATTTACCGAGATATGATCAAGGATTTCAAGCCAGACCTGTTCCACATGGGTGGAGACGAAGTCAGCGTCTCCTGCTGGAGGACTTCGGAAGACTTGAGCAAATGGATGATCAACAAGGGGTGGAACAGCTCCGATTCGAGTTACTACAAACTGTGGGATTACTTCCAGGTAGTGTTTTTAAATTCTCTAGAATTTAAGATAATAAAAAAAGGGTCAGCCTTTATTTATCGAGAGGTTCAATCGTTTGTGAAAGTATTCCCGAAAATGGATGTCCCGTTTCGTTTCAAATTTGACCACGTAAATATGAAGGACCTACCTAAGATCCTGAACCTCGTGAAATTTCATTTTTTATAAAAAATGTATTCATTTACCATGGACTAGAACCAATATTGCGTGGTCCGTGCACATGTTTGATGTTTTACGCTTTTTTAAGGCTTAGAATCGAAAATGAAAAGGCTCGTCCCGTGGGTAACGCGTTATTAAAGAAAAAATTAATTGCCGCTAGCGTCACAGATGGCACCATAGGTCCAATAGAATATAAAAAAATCATGAATCTACGGGATGAATGAAATACACTGAAAACATTATTTCCAGGAGAAAGCTTACGAAAGGTTGAAGAAAGCAAATGACGGAAAGGATATTCCGGCAATCCTGTGGACCAGTCATCTCACGGATGAGAACAATATTCAATACTTGGATCCTAACACATACATCATACAAATCTGGACCGATGCAAAGGACTCCACCATAAGGAGATTGATCAAGAACAACTTTAAAATGATCTTTTCGAATTACGACGCTTTGTACCTGGATTGCGGGTACTCTAGTTATTATTAGCAAAGATATTTTGCAATTTTCTTTTATTCTTATGTCTTCGTTTCTTTACTTCTTCTCCTTTTTTTTTTCTTTCTTTCCTGGTTTTTAAAGACTTGTGCTTTTTTAGAATTTCTATTTTCTAAGATTTTCTAGATGGAATAATAAATTAATTCATCATACGGCAATATTAGGCCCAACAATAATAGAATTATTTTTTACAGTTTCGGAGCATGGGTAGGCGAGGGCAATAATTGGTGCTCACCGTATAAAGGGTGGCAGACGGTCTATGAAAATTCACCACTCGCCATTAGTCGACAGAATGGAATAACACCTAATCAACTGCATCTTATACTTGGTAAACAATTTTTAATTAATAGTCAATGGACCCGTAACTGGTACATGGAAACGAAGTATAATCACGCACCTATCAACTATTCTATGAATCAAACTCTTTAAGCATGAACTGTTTCGTACAAAAGCCAAAAAGGTTCGGAAAAAAATATACACGAAATTTCGAAATATCGTATCTTAAAAAAAAACTTTCACTACTTGTATACTCTACTTCGAACAGGTATTTTTTTTAACAATGTCGATTTTACCCATGTAACAATTTTTTTAATAAAAAAATCTCGGCTCTCAGGTGGTGAAGCAGCTCTATGGTCCGAACAAGTAGACAGTTCATCGGTTGATTTCAAACTCTGGCCCCGTTCAGCAGCCCTCGGAGAGAGACTTTGGTCAGAACCAAGCTCGACATGGCGTCATGCGGAGCACAGGATGTTAAAGCATCGAGAAAGATTGGTTCAAAAAGGCATTGGAGCCGATAGTTTGGAACCGGAGTGGTGTGCTCAAAATCAAGGCAGTTGCTATGCGTGAAAATGCAGAGCAATCCTTACATGACGGAGAGTAAAACTGAATCGATTGATTTTCTAAATCAGCCCCTTTGCAATGTGATAATTCCGACGAATCAGAACCAAGTCAATTAGATTGTACTTTTCATCATTGTTAAATAATCGTCTATTGTTAATAAAATTTAATATTAACCCCTTAATTATGAAACGGCACTATAGTGACTTTCGGATGACCAACGTTTTTTTTACAAAGCACCACTATAGTGGCCCCCTTCATTCCCTTGCATTCAAAGCGACAAATGAATATCGTACTCATATAAAATATGAGCATTCCACGGCCGAACGGAAAGAACGTCAGTAGGGCTGTTGCGACATATATACAACTGATAACACAACTGAGATATTCATAGGAAAATAAAGCTTAGAAGAAAAAAATTAAACATTCTGCTTAATTTTGAAATAAAATTACGTACTACTATACAACTTATTCAAACGGAACAACCACTGGTTAATGTCAAGTTTTATCAACAGCATTTGCATCATCTTCTGATTCTTTATTAGATTCTGCTTTTATGGGTTCTAGAATAGTCTCAGGACTAACTTTATCTGCATTAATTTCACCACTTTCTTGTTTATTTGATTGCAGAAGTGATGCATCACCTTCAGTGGGACTATTTAATTTCGATTCTGATGATTGTGTTTCTTCTGTAGTATCACACTCAACAGGAGTATCCTGTCCATTTGTATTATTAATGGTTGCCAGAGGTTTTGTTTGAACATCTTTAGTGGACGTATTGAGATCTGTTTTCATGGTCTCTGCATGTTCGTCGGATTCATTTTTAGATTGTGTAACATCATCTTCATCTTCTTCTTCTTCTTCAGAATCACTTTTGTTATCCTCGTCCGTATTTGTGTCAGTTGGCGTTGACTTCAACTTTTTAGTCTGCCTCTTTCTCTGTTTCTTTTTCAATCTCTTAGCACGCTTCTTGGCTGTTACTTCGGCTGCTTTTTGCTTATTTTCCTCAAGCTTCTTATGGTACTCTTCATCCATAAGTTCCTAAAATTAACCATACTTAAACCTTTGATTTGTTTACTAATATGTACAATAAGTAAACATGGATACAAAGTAGTAAATTTGGTATACATAAAAGATCCATTGAATTATGGTCTTTTAATGCGGTAATACTCGGTAACATATATGTAGGAATATAATGAAAATGAGTATTTTTAAAATATATATTATACCTTATGGCTCTTCTCTTGAATAAATTTCTGACGAGAGTATTCTTTACGACGTAGATGTCTATACACGTGAAATTCACCGCTTCCTGCGCCGGCACTGCTACCCATTACATTTCGCACAAATTCCGGTACAGTTGGAGTATTCTTTTCTTTAGGGCGCTCTGGCAATAGAATTGGCTTTTCCTGTTATACAAGTTAAGTTTCCTTTACTAGTTATATAATAAAATCACTGGCCAAGAAAGCCAATACATCGTCTCTTCTGCATAACTTTTCACTTTTATCTCAAAGACCACATTGACACTAATCGTCTAAGTTGAACTAATTCAGGATTATTAGATTGACATGCAGAGATTAATTTATATTAAAACAAGCTGATATATCAAAAAAATGTACTTACAGGATTTTTCATTAATTTCATTAATTTCAATCTTTGAAGGTCTACGGCACTCTTAGCAACAATAGGTTTCTCTACTTCTTTATCATCCGACTTAGTATCGGGCATTTTTATGCAGATAAATTGTTAACGACTGTGAAGTTCAATAGTTTAAGTTAAATCTTTCTTCTTATTTCACTATGTCAAATGTAAGGTTAGGTGACACATTTCCGATTAATTCTGACGTCTCCTAGAGGCACCTAGAGGCCCATTGGAACCATAGATGTATCGGAAATGAGTTGGGAGATTACTCACGGGAAGGGTCGCGCGATTGCATCCTGTGCTGCCCTCGGTGCAGAATGCAGGCAGATCATGCACTTGCCACTGATACGAATACGAACCCGCAGTTGCCCTGACAGCGCGTAATAGAATGTGAGCCTCTGGTTCCACTCGCAGATTAACTAATGGTGGAAACGTACCCAATGGCGGATTTATCTAATCCGGTATTAAATAAAAACTGACGGTGGAAACTTGGAGTATCCGATACGAACACGTGTGTTTCGTTTTTAACGATGCGAAGTAGTAGGTAGTTGTTTATCTAAAATTTGTGAAAGCGTAAAATAAACGAAGAATATAATTAATATGGGCGTAGAAAAACAGGAAACCCATCGTCCAGGAGGATTTAAACAAGTCAATAAACCACATAAAACTGGTAGACATCGGAGTAAAGGTTCCATTGGTCATGAGGTTGGAGGTGCGTAACCGGAATATTGTGCATATACAATGTATTGTTTTGTATTTATTTACACGTTTAATAACATATTTTTATTTGTACTATTTTATTAATATGATTTATGGTTTAATAACGAAATGTTAAGAATGTGATTATTTTCTGCTAAGTTTTCACATAAGATCATTTTCTTGAAAATCTTTTGTTTACAGGTAGAATAGGCGTCAAAGCATTAACTAAACGCGCTCGCCAAGAATTGGGTAAAGAAGCAAGAAGACATCAATCTCAACAACTTCGACAGAAGAAACGAGAAGCAGTCTTAGCTAAGAAACGTAATCTTGGAGGATCTTCTAGCGCACCAATCCTTGTTGCTGTAATTCCGTTGCATGAGGATTTAAATCCAAAAGATATCGTTAACTGCATGAAACATGCAGACGAGTCAGCAATAGTAACAGTTAGTCCAAATGACAACACTCATATTAGGTATTCCTTTGTACTATTTAATATTCAACTTTTAAAAATTGTTTCATCATTACAAAGTGATGGAAATATAGTAACCAGAATTGTGTAATAGCATTTAGTGAAAAAATAATACAAAAAATAATTTTCTTTAACTTAAAAGTTTCACTTCCATCAAGCATAGTTTCCACACATCGCTTTTTTTGCATTAATGTATAGGTGATTCCCAATTTCCTAATTCCGTTATATTTAATTAATGATAATTGTGATTTATTTCTTAATATATGTGTTGTAGCTTGCCCCGGTACAAACAGCGGTTTACCTTTGTTACTCCACCAGTTGGCAACACGTTTGCAACATTAGATGCAGCCAAAGTTGCTAATACCGTGCTTTTTGTTGTTTCGGCAACTACCGGACACTCGACTGATTCCAAAACTGATATCGTTGACTCATGGGGTGAAGAAATTATCGTTGCTTGTCTTGCTCAAGGCTTGCCTAGTACCATAATCGGATTAATTAATTTAGAAGATATACCTATAAAGGTAAGTATTGCACATTACATTATACATGAGTTTTCTTTTTAGTAATAATCATAGTATATGTTAATATTTAGCATTAGTGTTTGAAGAAAAGTTAGTAAAGTAATTTTCAAATATTAAATACCGATTGACACTTATTCTATTGTTAAATTTGGAATATTAAATTAATCCACAGTTTGATTTCATAGAAGCGACAGGACTATAAGCAGCAAGCACAGAAGACGATTTCAAAGTGGCTTCCACAAGAAAAAGTGCACTCACTGGATAAACCCACTGATACACTGAATATCTTGCGCAGAGCCGGATCACAGAAGCAGAGAAATGTGGCGTATAGAAACAAGCGAGCCCATCTGCTGGCGGAACAGATTAAATATACATGCAACAGTGATGTACGTGTATTATTCTGTTCCATACATACTTTACTTATGTTGTAATAATGTTATTCATAATTTATAGGCTGAAAACTATGTGGGGACTTTGGAAGTATCGGGTTATCTGCGTGGTATACCTTTATCCGTAAATGGATTAGTTCATGTACCTGGTCTAGGTGATTTTCAAATGTCGCAAATTGATGCCCCAGAAGATCCTCATCCTCTGGAAAAACGGGAACTGAAAGGACGATCTACAGTGCAGGAAGATTCCATGGAATCGGAAGTTCCTACAAAAGTTCTGGAACGTGCTGATCCCAGTAAACAGGTATTTTCATTTTCGTTCATTTAAAAATGATCATTTTTATATCTACCTTGTATTTAAAGATGTCACTTTTTTTCTGTGATCGAAACAATTTATATGCTTCGGAGTTATCAAAGCAATCTATCAGTGGACAGTTATAGAATTAATATAGTCTTACAATTAACATACTTCAGATTAAAATTGTGCTATCAGATATTTTTTATTCAGTATTCATTGGCTATTCAACAGGAATCTCTCCAAAGTGAAAATGTCATTGACCCAATGGACGCGGAACAAACTTGGCCTACGGAGGAAGAATTGGCGGAAGCGGAGATGGAACGCAAACGAAAACTGATAAAACGCGTGCCGAAAGGCACATCCGAGTATCAAGCGGCTTGGATTCCTGATGACGATGCTGGTTTGTTTGTGGTTCATTAAATTCATAAAATAGTATAAGGAGACAACGCCAACTGTCGCTTCCATAGGAAATGACCCCAGAATCTTAGATTAAAGTGGGAACGATTTCAATACATGACATTGGATCTCCTTATACTACTTCTTGATTAAATCTATTACAGTCGATAGCTTTCTTTCGATGGCAGTCAATATAGTGCTATCTACATTTTCAGATGAATTTGACAATTCTGCATCCGAATCCGAGGACGACTGTATGTCAGTAGAAGCAGCACAATCCGAAGAAGATAGTGTCGCTAATGACGACAAAGATGAAGAGTATGAAACGATGACCGTATCAGAGGCTGCACCGGATGAACAACGTTACGACGAAGAAATGGATTTACACGAAGAACGTCAGGCCATGGAAAAAATAAAGCGTAAGTGACATTATAAACTCATAGTCTTTATCTGCAAAGTTCTGGGACATATGATAAAATTTCTAAGTTTCGTAAAAAAACAAATCGGTGAACGAAATTGTTGGTTCAACAAGCATGAAGTCCTTTAATAAACTCGTAAAGAGAATAATAAATCAATTATAACTAAAATAATAAATAAAAACAGTGAAATTTGTCATCGCTGTCATACAGCGAAGAGGTATAAGAGAAAATGAATGAGCGATAATATACTTGTTAATGATTTGTGCGTAAGAAAGGTTCATGTAAATATATTATCGTTTACATTATACATTATTTTTTACGCAGAGGCAAAATTAGACGCAGAATTTCCTGACGAAATCGACACACCTCAGGATGTCTTGGCCAAAGTCCGATTCCAGAAGTATCGAGGTCTGGAGTCTTTCAAAACCAGTCCTTGGGACCCCAAAGAAAATCTCCCAATTGATTATGCTCGGATATTTCAGTTTCAAAACTTTGATCGCACCCGCAGACGTATATTCAAAGAACAGCAAGATGTGGAAGGAGCAATGGTCGGTTAAACTTAATTTTACGTATATTCTTAAGTGTGTCAAAGTTTCAGACGGTTAATGTCCGTAAAAAAAAAGTGTCTTATTTGAATCGACGGATTTGAGGGGGGCTTCACTTCATCTTAAAAAACACTACAAGCTCTTTTGTTTTCCATGAGCGGTTATTTAAATTGTTTACATTGACGTCATTATTTACAGCCCGGTTGGTACGTGACTCTTCACATAATTGGCGTCAAAAAAGAACTGTTCGATGCTTATCGTACAGCCGAAGATCTGCCTTTAGTTGTTTTTGGATTATTACCACACGAAAACAAGATGTCCGTATTGAACGCAGTCCTGAAACGCACGAGTAATAACGCAGAGCCAATAAAATCGAAAGAACGATTAATCTTTCAGTGCGGTTTCAGAAGGTTGTCTTCGTGTCCGATTTTCAGCCAACATACGAATGGGAATAAACATAAGGTAAATTTTGTCTCTTATTGTGCCTGTGATTAGTAGGGCCTTAAAAGTCTATGCAATTATTTTCTAAAAGTAATGTTTCGGTTTCAGTATGAAAGGTATTTCCAGCCAGAGAGTACAGTCGTGGCGAGTATGTTTGCGCCAATTATGTTCCCGCCGTGTCCTGTTCTCTGCTACACGACGAAAATGGTACGTTCCATGCTGCGAATGTTAATCTTTCCAGAAACTGCCGTGACGTGTCTACGATACTTTAACTATTGTCTCGATTTTTCACTTCATAGTTGTATCGGTAATCCTGTTGTGATAAGTAACTCATACTACTAACTCTTCTTTGTAGGAATTAATAGCCATTGGAAGTGTATTGTCCGCCAATCCAGACAGAATAGTCATCAAGCGAGTCGCTCTAAGTGGGCATCCCTTCAAGGTGCACAAACGATCGGCGGTGATACGATTTATGTTCTACAATCGAGATGACATAAATTGGTTCAAGCCTGTGGAGCTGCACACCAAGTACGGACGCAGAGGCCACATTAGGGAACCCCTGGGTAAATATAGTTAAAATTGAAATTGCAATTAATTCGCGATCGCAAGCAGCGTTTTACGAAAACATTTCCAAGTACCGGTGCGTGTACGTATTGCATCTAATGGAAAATTCGACATGTCATGTAGCTGGCTATTTGTAAAATCTCACTTTTCTCGCACCCTGTTTTTTAACAAAATACATATTTATAATAAGGTGAATAATAAATTGTGGATCACCCTATATGATGTAAAGAAAACACCACTAATTCGCTGTACGAATTTTTGTCAACAGGCACCCACGGACACATGAAATGCGTATTCGATGGCCAGCTGAAATCGCAGGACACCGTGCTAATGAATTTATACAAGCGAGTTTTTCCTAAGTGGACATATGAGCCTTTTCTATTTACTGATGAAATGTACCAGTCGAACGATGTAAATATACAGTAAAGTTACAAAGGCAGTAAAACCATATTGTCCATCGCAATATGGTATTTTACATTTTCCCATATAAATACGGATGCATTTAAAACACTTGCTCGTTGATACTGAGAGCTACAGGTACTGGATCGTTGAAATACTCTTTTTATAGTAAATTAATTTTGTTATTTGATATAGAAACATTTATTCTACAGTTAACCGATCCAAGTAGAAAAACATTAATTCAACGACCCAACACATTCATCTTACATCAAAGTATGAATAAAAAGTCATATATTAGGTTGTAAAACAGTGTATTCTAAAGCCTTGTCACCAGTTATCTATACATTGAGTACGAATGTAATTATGATATATATACACGTCTTGGTCAGTGGCAAAAATGATATAAATGGAGGAAGATGTAAGAAAATTATCTGACAGTTTTAGTACAGATTTCAACACGCGCCGATGCCGATTCGACAAAAATTGTATAACGCGTTGGTACACTTCGAAGAAAAGTTTCATGAACAATTGATATCTCAGATGCCACTATCACATCCCCTTAAGTGTTAAGACATGTCATAGGAAAGTACACTGGTGCGAGCTCAAAGACTGCCGGCACTAACCAGTACGAATTAAAATCAGTTTCACTTGATTTCATTTCGTCGATAATTGTTACGCAGTCCTTAAAGCAAGAATCGATTGTTATTTATGATATATGAATATATATAATTTATACTGGTCAAGTGAAGACGAGACAAAACGTACCTTTTGAAAACCTCTAACCCTAGATGACTAAACCATCAATGAGTAACGATATCATTTAATTGTTTTGTTCATCATTCTTATGAATGATTAGTTATCTAGGGTTAAAAAGCTATACGAGCCATTTTCTTCATGTCGAAGCAATACTTTGTACATCATTTATTCTTTTCCCTCATATTTTGGAAGGCAGTGTCTAGGTACTTCCTGATAAGCAAGTATGTTTCAGATTACCCTCAAATGTTGAATATGCAACATAGGTAATCAGTCAAGGATTGAGTTTCATGAAATTTCAATTACCTAATGTTAGATGACAAACATGGTGTCTATGACCAATCATTCGCACAAAACGCGTTTCGCATTTAAGAAGAAATTCTGTGTAATTACAAAACGAGATTTTTAATTACCTCGTCTTCATTGCTTTGGACCTCTCCGACCTGGAGATCTTCCAGCAATTTCCGTCATTGTTATTCAGGAAAGCACTCAGTCAGAGAAGCAATTGGCGCTTCAACCTTTCAATAAAAATTGAGTTATTTCGACCCAATGTCATCGTATTAAAAAATCTGCACTTTACACATCCAATCTGGTACTTTACCGTATTCTCACGTAGGTAATTGTGGTTAATAGCCGGAAAGAAAAAAAAATGTGAATATTTCTTGACGAGACATTTATATTTTCTATATACATTCATGTGACATTGGATAAAAACGACCCAATTTCCGGTTAAGAGTTAACATGAATCTGAGCGCTCATGGAATTTCACGGGGGCCACATCGATATAAAATTCATCCTCGCTTTAAGTAGAATAAAAAAGCAAATAGCACGTACGCAAATATTTAATAAGTCTACAACTTATCGCTTAATTTAATAACACGATCTAGAAGGTTCCGCTTCTCTCGAATATCTCTTTATCTCTCTCTCTCTCGAGTCTTCGCAAACTTTGCAGAGATTAAAAAAAAATGCACATTCCTCTGCCAAGATCGATTCGATTCGAGAATTATGTTGCGATGCGAGGCGCCTGTTGCACAATGTCACTCTTCATCACAAGTTGCATTCAGTAACCTTTCCTTTACTAGACTAATCCACTTTGCGATTTCGCGAGTCATACAGCTCTTTTTTGCAACAGCATTTTACAGCACTGATTTATAAACTAACTGGATAGCTGATACCTATTTGTTCTGTACGGAGAGGGCTTCGACGAATTCAAGGCACCCCAGCGCCATTAGACATGGGCAGTGGTACTAAGTAACGTGTGCTCATGTGCAAAAGTTTTGAACCGTCAATTCGCGAAGGTAAACGTTTAAGATATAAAAGAATAGAAGAGACACCATCCACGTGTAGAATGGTGCGTTGGGCATAGAAAGCTTCGACTAAAACAAAACGGTTACCTCGTTTCTCGTGAGTATTTTAATGAAAATAAACAATTACTTTGACACCTCTTCTACTATCTGCAGTTAGAAGATGCGTTGTTTTCCCACATGCGCAAATACTGATATTCGTTGATATGCCCCTAACCAGAGGCGCTGTAGTCGCATCAAAACGTCACGTTATTTTGTAGGGCATCAGCTATCCAGTTAATACATAGATCGGTGATTTATACCCAAAGTGTCTATCCTATTTTGTCTCGAGAACGGATCCCTCGATTCCTTCTCAAGATAGTACGTATTCTTCGCGCGTTTTCCGTTACCCTTTAAAATGCTTGATAAGGTAAATAAATTAACAGTACTGTTCTCCCGTGCAGAATCGTTCGAACCGCAGGAAGGGAGCCATTTTACGTCCCTGAAGAGTCGAGAGTCAACATCGCCGACCGGCGTGGACGAAACTCGTGTCGCTGGCACGACGCGACGTCTTTCTTCATGTAGAGAGGTAGAGCCGATGATAGTCATTGGCACCGAACGCACAGTTGCACTTGGGACATTTCCGCTGGCGAGTTTCGTAGCGCGTCCTCAGGCAATCCCAGCAGAAAACGTGGAAGCACTTGGTCAGGACTGCGTCTTTCCGTTTGACCTTGCACGAGGGACAAGTCAAGGTCTCTTTGTACTCCCGCAACTCTTCGGCCATTACTTCGTCCAGAGTCTCCGCTAGCTCGATCTTCTTCATTCTCTCCACCTTCCGCCGCAGCTGCGCTATCTCTTCCTGTAACAAAATCAACTGGATTAATGCCCGGTTCCTCCAACGTAGGTTAAATCATTGATTACCTAACCGTTATTACAACCTTATTATAATACTTTTACTGTAAAAAAGATGTACCAAACTCTCATACCTGTAATCTTTTCGTTTTATAAGCTTCGGCTTCGAGGGAACTCGTCTTCTCTGCTACGACTTGCTGCGCCTCCTTCATCTGGGAGTGGTACTTTTCTGAAAAATGAATTCACTGCATCAGAAAATAGATGTTAAATGCACAATTTTCCCTGCATGGCCGATTTTCGGATTTTCATTAGTGATTCTATGTAACGGTACCGTAAGTAGTAGTAATTTGAGTGAGCAATCGAATGCCTTTACGATGGGAATTCCTTACCAAGATGAAGCTTAAGGTCTGCCGCAGACTGTGCGCTCTCGATAGCTTTGCGTTTGTGCATCTCCATTGCTTGTTGCCTAAGGGCCAGCTCCTTCTCCACCGTAGCCAACGAGTTCTGAAGCAAACGTTCCTTCTCCTCCAACTTTCGAACCACGACATTCGCAGCTTCGACCTGAGTAGTGAGCGTCGACACCTGTTCCTTCAAAACGTCCTTTTCCTCTCTGGCTAGTTTATGCAACTGATTGCTCTTGATTCTCTCGGTCATCAGCTTGAAATTGGCGTCGTCCTTTTCCCGCAACTGTTGTATCAAACGAGAATTCTGTTCCTGCATGTCCTCGAATGCTTGGCCGGTCACCTCCATTTCATTCAGAAGGGCCTCCTCCTCCTGCAGCCAGACGCAGTTCTATTCAGCGTTACATTACCGTTCGTGCCTACGCTATCCATTGAATTTTAATCCTACCCTAGACCTGACCACGAGTTGTTATATCACATCAAAAAACAACTCGAAGTCAAGATGAAGAAAAGAAAATCAGCTGAGGGCTATTAAGGTGAAGTGAAAGACGTAGATGTACTATTCCACAGAGCATCTCTCTAGGATAATCGAGGTGTATGAAACATTAATCTAAAATAAAAGAGAGCCAAGCAGTGACGATTTTAGTGAAGCAAGACGGCAAAAAAAACTAATCCTTAACTGGTCAATAGGATTAAATCAATCAATCGATCATAATGGTTCCAGGTTTACAATTGTGAACTCCAAGATTGTGTAAGAAATTTCACTGCTTTGTTATTAAGGAAACGATTAGTGCAATGCACATTACCTTATCATGCGACTAGTACTCAAGGAGCACGCAATCTACCTGTTTTTGTGAGGCGACTTGTCTCTGGAGAGTATACGCTTGTTCTTCTAATTTCTTTATTTTTATTTGCGCGTCCTCATCGGCCAATTTCTTTCGCTCCTCTCGTTTGCTTTCCTGCAGACACGAAGAACTTAAGGCATGTAAATCATGTCATGATGTAGTTGATGTGATAACATAGATTAACCCTTTGCATGCCTCGAGGGTGACTCGACATCAGCAATCGTCATGTCAATAATTGGGAGTGCAAAGGGTTAAAGAAAAAGCAAGTACGAATACCGCATAATACCTGTATCTTTTTTATTTGCTGTCGCAGTTCTTCAAGTTCCGCTCTCGTTTTACGCTCCGCCGCCATTAACTGTACCTTGTCACGCTGTTCTTTTCCGACACCTTTGTACATATCTAACAGTAGCTTCATTTCTTTCATCTCGTTTACAGCTTTCCTGTTGAAGTATTTGTCATTTAATGTTATTTGATCGCGAACGAGGAGCAAATCCGATATCAGACTGGCGGAAAAATAGAAAAGGTACTGAGAAATGTAGAATCCTCGATATACACGTGAAATTCTCACTTTTTAAAAAATTTGTTCATAATACTTATACGAGTCGCAAGACACGGACGTACTTGAGTTGAGCTTTCAAGTCTCGAACAATTTCCGATTCGGTAACTTTCGAGTCTTTGGATCGGTGGGTAGGATCTCGATGTTCTGCTTTGACGGTCTCCTTCTTTACGTCCTTCTCTCTTTTAATATCCTTCTCCTTTTTGAGTGTAGGCGACGTTAGAGTTAAAGAATCCGGAGTTCCTTTATTCCCATCACCCTCTCCTACTTCAATGGTTTCAACTTCTTCGTCGGCACCGACTTCCCTTTTTATCGCGATGCCACTTTCCTCTTTGACCTTAACAAATTCACGTTGTTAAAGCATTTTAACTTTTACCGCCAATTGCCTACCGAAGCCTGAATAAATGTTAACCTTTTGAATAATTAATATGTACCTGAGTGGATCCTGGGAGAGAATTAGATGTGTCCTCTTCTTTGCCACTGCCATCGGAATTACTACCTTCTTTATTTTCTTGAGCTGTTTGTTGGCCGAGTTTCGTCGTTAATTCTTCTATTTCCTTTTTCAACTGAAGAAAAAAAATAACATATGCAACATGATGGATGTAACATTTAAAAAAATAGCTTCCTTAAACGTAGACTGTAAAAGACTTTATCCTCTTAAATCAATTAAAAGAGAATCATACGTACTTTAGGTATCTCAGTAGACGCTTCCTTGTATTTCCTTTTGTATCGATGCACCTCGCCTTTCAATTGCTGATTATGATTTTGCAACGATGTAATCAAATGTCTCATCTCTCGGTTGATCGGGCCGGTTTGTTCGTTCGCTGCCAGATTTTGTTCAAACTCTATTCGCAGCATCTCGTACTCTTTACGTAATTGCGCGAGGACATCTTCTAATTGAATGCACTCACCGCGCAGTTTCTTTTGCGCCATCAATTCTTCGCTCTAGATGGAAAATACGATTAGTCACTCCATTATTAAAATACAGACTAAAGGAAGACTAATTTAGACAGGTCAAAATGGACTTCCCATGTGTTACGATTGCTTATCGCACCATACGAACTTGAGTTTTCGCGATCTTAATAATGCGATTAAAACACTGTAACACGTACCTCCATCATTTCAATGTGACGTAAATGTGCATTTTTACTTGACTGCAACTGCTGGCGTGCATCGTCAAGCTGCGTTTTCAATTGCATGGACTCGTTGTAAAGTACAGAAAATTGAGATTGTAAACATTTGTATTCCGTCGTCTCAACGATCACAGATTCTGGCAGCTGACGAATCTGTAACGCAAACATATTCGATTGAACCTCTCGAATTTGAAGAAAAAAGTACCACAAAGATAAATATTATGATTAATTAACTTTAAGCTATTAGTTATCTCAACAGTGAGAAAATGTTATATCTCTAGAAAATCATACAAAGATCTCGAAAAAACAGAGCAGCATTACTCCATCAGAAATATTTAATTCAAAAATTGTGAGAAAATAGATAATTCTGAGCCATAAAGAATTGTTCTCTTCGACGAATTTTCCGAACGTCTTTCATGCGGTCCATGACTTGAATACTTGCAGCTAATTAATTTACTTACATCCATTTTCAACTTTTCCACTTCTTTAAGGGCATCGCGATGTTGCTGGTGTAATTTATCTAGCTCTTGCAATCTATTGTTTGCTAATTCTCGAGTTTCCTCCAACTCTCTTTGTAAATCCTCTAACTGGAACAGCATTCAGGAAAATATAATTATGTCCTGTAGTACTCACAAAAGATACTAGTCTAATATAACTTTAATCGGAAATTTGTAAATAATAACATTTTTTTCTAATCACGAACACAAATATGAATTCATGTAACGCTTTACTTTTGTTTGTGACACACTCGATGCTACAAGAGTGCTTGGTTTGTTGCTACCCTTTTCATCGGAACCATGAATCTGCTGAAATGCCTTTAACTTCTCGATAGCTTCACCAAGATGATGTTCCAATTTATCGTTCCTTGCTCGAACTTTATTCAACTCGTATTGTAGGTCATCCACTTGATTTCGAAGTTCCGCGGCAAGTGTATCTTTACCGGTGATGGTATCTTGTAACTCCGACATCTGATTCACAGAACGATGGATGACTTTATCGTTACAAAGCATCGATTACTTTTTATTACTTCACAACAATTCTACCACAAAGAGTTTCAATATCTCACCTTAAGAGATATAGTGTGATACTTTTCGTGAAGCTGAATATTTATTGCCTGGAGATTCCTATTTTCCGTCTGTATTTCCGTGTTGGCTTTACGTACGACTTCGTCAATATTAGGTGCATCATCTGAAAATGATTGTTAATTACTATACTGAACACATTGTTTTATTTAGTTGACTTGGCATAAAACAAATAAATGTAAAGTTAAATGTATAATTTTTAAACCATTCTTTAGTCTTTTACGTTTAATTTCGTCGCAATGGTAATAAAACAATGTACACATATGGATGCATGCAAGTACTTAACAAAAATATTTACCTCCATTGAATTCACCTTTGAGAGCAAGTGTGATTTTTTCATTTCTTTGAGAAAGCCGATCAAATGCTTGCACAACTTTAGAAACAGCTCGTTTTGAAACCTGCACACGATTTGCCAATTTATCATCCAGTTCTTCCTTGTCCCAGGATGACAATTGCATAAGAAACGACGTTGTTGCTTCGCTTTCATCTATTATAAGTTAAAAAGAAATTCACATATAATACTTTTCATTTACATGCAGTCCTTCCACGTCTGTTGACATGAAACATCAAAATTACCATACTTTTATTTTCCGATTCATCTGCTGTCTCTGCATCGAACCTCTGAAGCAGCACACGTATATCTTCATTTAATTGATTCCAATATCGATTAACGACGTTAAGGACTGCATCATCTTGAGTTTGTCGCTTCTCTAGTTGTTCAATGCGTTGACGTAATTCTGCTTCCATTCTATGTCTTTGTTCTAACCTCTGCAATAATACCAAGATGATTTTGTGTACAAAAAGGTATATGTAAAAGTTTAAACACATTTTATTTGTAATAGCATTTTTCAAACAGTAATAATTCATAAAGTGAGAATCGAATCCACTTGACATTTTGTAGTTATATATAGCGGATGTCTAACTCTTGTTGAAACCAAAAATTTTTCAATTCATGCAGAATTCCTTTGCAGCTCAAAAAATAAACAGTTTTTGCACTAAATTTTTGTCTAAAATTCCACTATTTTAGTTTTTTCCCATATTTATAGATAATTTTAGTTCCAATGACAGCAGTACTCATGTATACTAAGAATATGTTTATTGTATCTATTTCAGACTTCTGCACAGCTAATTTTATAATTGTGGAGAAATTGAATATTTTTACTTGTAAAATGAACTACATAGTTCCAAAATGTAATTAATTATACCTAGAAAATTTCAAGCTAATAAGATATAGTTTCTTTTAATTCCTTAAAATCACCTTACCTTATGGCTACCAACACTAAGAAGGCCCTTTAACATTCATTATTATAAAAAAATTACTTTTCATAAATATTATTTTATGTACAATTCTATTACTAAATTGTATTGTTCGTCAACTTAAACTGATGTATAATCGTACCATAAAGGTTCCATACATTATTACGATTCATAAGAATAGAAAATAAACATAACGATAATGATGTAAAACAATTATTATACCTGAGCCAATTTTTTGTTCTGAAATTGCAAGACCTTCATATCCATCTCCTCCAATGTGGAAATGGGTCCGATCAGGATCGGTTCGAACTGAACCTTTTTTATCGGGGGCTGGGACCCCGAGTCCGCGGTATCTGCTGGACGCTTCGACATTTTCATCAAGATGAAAGAATCCCTGTATTTAAAGAAAAAGTCAGTATTCTCAGAAGAAATACACGATCACCCTCCATTGAGAATGCAGAGTTTTGTTATTGATTGGGATAGAGGGGTCCGTACCTTAGAAAAATAAAATATGCAAACAGATGGCCAAGGTGTACCTCCCTAATCAGACGTATCTACACCATTGCAACATGTTAAACATGGTCATCAAGGAATAATACCGTTACTTGAAAAACGAAGATAAATAAATTACATGTTACTTTTTAAAGATAAACATCCATGATCCGAAACAAACTTGGAACGGAAGACGCCATTGTAGTAAACTGGGCAGCTATTTCTTAAGCCGGAGTCCCACATAGGCCCGGTTCCACGACCCGAGTTAACAGAAGTTTAACTGCTTTACTCCAGATTTAAACCTGCTGTAAACCAGTTAAACTCTAAATAACGAGTGGTGGAAACAGGACCTTGTTTCCATCGTTGATAATTATTTAATACCGTATTTGATAAATACTGCTTAATGACTACGTCTCCATCGTACTCCAAATTTGAGATTTATTGAAACCATACCCAATAAATCTCTGATAAATCAAATACTGGGTCGGACCCGATAAATCCCCAATTTCGTGTATGATGGAAACATAGCCTCTGATTGGCTGCAGGGAAACAGCGGAGGAGGCGAACTTCCGCCATATATTCTCTGTAACCAATAAAACCGTCTTTTTTGCGCTTCGTCGATCCGCCGCTTGCTGTTGTAGCGCTGATGAAATATCGGCCTTAAACTTGTGATCTAACCTTACCTGACTTGACAAGGACTTTTGATCCTACATTCATTGCATTCATAATGGGTTGGATTCCGTAACCGTAGGCGAGTAATAAACTGTATGTATGCATTGTACATATAAGCATCTACGTTATTTTAGAAATTTTTCCTCTTGTCGTATTTAACCCTCGTCGTAGAAACCAGGTATGCCCTTTTCTGTTATTCAAACGCTTTTAAAATCCTTTTTGTTCAGACCAGCCGGTGATTATGGTCAGTTTTTTGCATTAAAAAATTTTTTTTAAGCATTCAAGTACGTTTCTTTGAACAGTCAGGAAAGAATGCCACAACTATCGCAATTAAAAACCTGTACGGCATTACCTTCTTGTGGTATTATAAGTATACCGTTAGTTTTATTATTTGTTTAATTTTTAAACTGTTGTAGGAAATTACATTACTTTTCATTTAAATGTCACTAATTGTGTGAATAATTTTCTCAAAGTGTGACCTTTGATGTAAGAGTTTATTATGCGCTACTCCTAGTTTTTCTTTGTTTACCTAGCTTTAATTTATGTTCCATGATTCACCCTCAGTCGAAACATCTAATCTCCTTTTGTGTATTTATTAAAAAGATAAAAGTTAGAAAATCACTGCGACTATTAATAAAAATAATTCTTTCCTTCTAAGAATTTTATAGTTCATAATATTATTTGTATTCTACATTTTATATTTTAAGTAAAAAGTTATAAATCTTTATCGTACAATGTGAAATTTATTACTAACATTATTAAACTTTCTGCCCATTGCATAGTAGTATCAGACGTTTAAGTTCATTATTTTTCTTAGTTTATACTCATATATGTCAAATCCACTGCAGGTAATGAAGTATGAAAAGCCCTGTAAACTGCATAGTCATCAATATTTTATAAAACAATTTTGTTAAGTAATTCACAAATATGTGCTGACAGGATAAATATTTGCAGTTTCGATATACAATAAATGCATAACTGTAATTCTGGAAGGATTTGTGCATTTTATAATGCATACATGTATTAATTGCATATATCGTTCTGTAGATATATACTCTACTCTGTCTTAAGCAATAAACTAAGGCCTTGTCGATCATTGAAAAAAAACCTTGGTTTTCTAACTTTCTCAAAGCATTGCCGTAGCTTAGGCTTATTTTAAGACGTCCTTACTACCTTGAAATGCACATTAACACCAGGTATTAAATGACAATGCAAAGGTGAATTGCATTAGTGAATGCTTGTTCTCTTGGTTTCCTAATGGGGACAGAATGTCAAAAGAGTTACCTATCTTCTGTGGTACACGTACCAAGGTAGAGATTACCTTATCACATTTGTCTGTATTCAGTTCCTGTTATCACGTGTATTTATAGTGTGTAAGACAATACTGGCATATCTAAACTCCAGCCTTCAAGAGTAACGCACTCTCATGTACCAAAATGGCAAGAATGTTTTTCTGTTTTGTCAATATTTTCTACAAATTAATAACAATTTTCAAACTACCCTTAATATATGCGACTAAATTATTTTCCTGCACGTAATTGTTGTTGTTGTTTTTTACATAAATGCAATTGTTAAGTGTAAGATTTCATTTGGAAAATTTGAGATTGCTGTAAAGAGTGATTTACTTTTTGCAGGGAGTATAATTGCGAAGATGATTCCTGTTAACATCTATCATGAGTGAGCAATACTTTTGAAACGTATTCTACGTTATCAGATATGACCACGTGGGGAGATTTGAAATCTTTTAGTGGGGGCGGTGCTCAGGAAATGCAGTGAAACGCAGACAAGAAGAGTTTATGCTACGGCGAAGAGCACGGAAGAGCATGGTTCAACAAAGAATTCCAGGTTTTGACAGTAAGATTTCAAAGTCATTTAATTTCAGTTTGACGTGTAAATGAGTGGTTGCTATAGTATGTTTGATACTGCATGTACTCCTGTGTATTATCTAAATTAATTATTAAATTAAAACATTACAGCTGGCCGAGGTGGTCGCCGGTTTGTTCTGACTCTTGCGGCTGGTATGGTATTTGGATTTATGTCGGCATGTCTGTTGTTGGCTGCTACGAAAGATGTACCTCACATGTTCAACTGGCTGCCAGGAAGTTCAGTTCTCGGTAGAGACCCTCATCACTATTCGGAACTTGAACCCATGGTAAGTCATTCCATGCAGGAGCTCTTCTAAAAAATAAACATTTTGGATAAAATTGGGGTTTAGGGGACCCAACATAACCTTGACGTTGACATGTGCTGTCGAGGTCACCTTCCTGCGTTACTTCTATAAGGTTTTAACCATCGTTCAAGGTTAAGGTCATCGCAGGTGGATCCCTTAAACCCCAGTTTTACCATATTCTGGATTCTTTGATATAATAAAAATTGAAATGCTCTGATATAATATCCAAGTATATGTTTGGAACCATTTGCCTGGTACCACTCGATCACTAGGCAGGTCCTGATATGGAAGTCAAATTCCATGGAGAAGATGAGGATTTCCATCGTGGAGAGGATAAAGTGGCTCGAGATCTGGCAAAGAAGGTGCGAGTTTTGTGCTGGGTGATGACGGGTCCGAAGAATCATCAATCCAAGGCTCGTCATGTCAAAGCTACATGGGGCAAGCGCTGCAATATTCTTCTCTTCATGAGCTCGGCTGAAGGTATCGGATTTAGTGTCAAAATGACTCAATTTCCGTTTAGAGGTTTAACTTTTACCTATTCCTTAGGTTTGTTTCTTAAAAGTTATAATTATATTGCTTGAAACTTATAATAGTATATAAATATTCAATTTTATAGACGCAAGTTTGCCAACGGTAGTCCTACCGGTTAAAGAAGGTCGTGACAATCTTTGGGCGAAGACGAAGGAAGCGTTTAAATACGCATACGAGAACTACAAGGACCAAGCGGACTGGTTCATGAAAGCCGATGACGATACGTAAATATTCGTTCCTTACTTTTCATCATTATGATTAATTCAACGAATTTCACGCTGCGGTCTTGAATTGCCAAAGACAGAAAATCATGCAAAAGGATATCTTAAGGTGATCTGAAAGGCGCTGAGAAATTTAATCGACGTCAATAAAATAAAATTCATCTATATCCGTTTTGGTGATAATGCCATTTTGAATACTCAAGTGATAACATAAGCTGGCGCGTCACGTTTCTCTTTCATATCACCTTAAGGTGATGTGTAAGTGGCATCTGGAAGCTCAGTCGTTCATAAAACTTTTCTACAAACTGGGCGTACCAAATTTTTTCAAACTTAACAATACTCGCCCATACGCCAAAAGGGCTTAGAGTTCAAAGGGTTAAAATGGTTCATTACATTGGTAAGACACCGAAATCCTTTTAAATATGACAACCGTTAAATTTTGTCATTCCAGCTACGTGATCGTAGAGAATTTACGCTACATGCTTTCATCGTACAGTCCGGATTCGCCGTTGTACTTTGGATGTCGCTTCAAGCCCTTCGTGAAGCAGGGCTATATGAGTGGCGGAGCAGGGTACGTCCTGAGCAAGATGGGTCTTCGCAAGTTCGTACAAGAAGGCTTGACGGACAAGTCGAAGTGCAGGGCCGACAACGGGGGTGCCGAAGACGTGGAGATGGGCAAATGCCTGGAGAGGGTGAACGTGCGCGCAATGGACACTCGCGACGCTCACGGCCGCGGCCGATTCTTCCCTTTCGTGCCAGAACACCACCTCATCCCGAACCACGTGGAGAAGGACTTCTGGTACTGGAAGTACATCTACTACGACACCAAGGAAGGTCTGGACTGTTGCTCGGACAGCGCGATATCCTTCCACTACGTGTCGCCGAACATGATGTACGTTTTGGAGTACCTGATTTACCACTTGAGGCCGTACGGAATTACACATGGCGTGGAGAAGTTACCATCACCGGTTCAGTCGGCCGCAACGTTGACCGATTACTAGCTGTTGATATCTACGGAAAAGGAAATACACTTGTCCAGTAAAGATCAATGGTTCGGTAACGAGTACGGGGCAGACTCCAGAATATGATGTGAGGTTTGGAGTACTTGTTCTACGACATGAGGTCGTACAGAATCACCCATGGCATGGAAACACCACCATTGCCGGTCTAATCGTCGGCAATATTGGCTGATTACTAGCCGTCGATGTTCTCAAAGAAGTAAAACCCTCGCCCAGTAAGGATCGATGATTTGGTAACGAGGATGGTGCAAGGCAGAAATATCGGTTCCCTGAAAGTTGAGCCAGAGGAACGGGAGGAACATCTACGATGCCAAAGAAGAGTTGGATTGTAGCGAGGACTAAGGCAACGCGTTTGTGCGTGTCGTTAAACGTGATATATGCGTGTTCGAGGATTTGATCCATCGTTTGAGGCCATATGGAATACCGCACGGCGCGGTATGGACTGACTGACTTGTCAGCTACGCTAGCCGAATACTAGTCAACAACCCTTCTTCGCATCGATTCTTTTCATCGTCGTACGGTTCGGTAGCCAATAATACGATCTAAATATCGATGTAAATTCTGGTAATACCAAAAAATTCAGGGTTTCCATAGAAGCCTAGATCCGATGTTGGCTGAACCTAGCGACATTAGCTGAAGCTACTGATACAACAGGCCATGCGAGCGATTGAGAGATGATTGCAGCGCCGCCATCCGGTGACTTTAACAATTATCGAGGATCAAACGTCCGTATCCTTCTTGGCTTCTATGGGGACTGGTGAATTCTTTGGTAATAGTCACTGGGACTTCGTTAGAAATTATAACGTCGGTTCCCAAATATTGACCTAGAAAGTACATTGTCAAAGATGTCAGACATCGATGAAAAAATAGCACCACGTCTTTTCAAACTCTAATATCCGACGAGAATCATCGGTGTACACTTTATGAAACACTGTACTCTTCGGGGATGTTCTCTATTCCTTGGCCACGTTTGTCGAATGCTAGTCTCCCTCCTTTGTTGGACAGACTTTTCGTTTTCTAAAAACCAACAGTTACCGCCTACGATTACTGATCGATAACAAGAATGTCTAGGTTTCAAGCTAAGTTTGAACGGAGTTGGAAAGCTTGGGAGGATATTTTTTAAAAGTGCAGGTGAAGATTAGTCTCGATCAGATATGTGTAGATGTGCAGAAAAGATACATCGATCACTAGAAATCCTTCGGGGATGTTTAGGGTAGGATCGGTGCGTTGCCGAGGAACCTCTGCTGGCGTGAGGGAAAATCCGATTACTCGGGAGTCGGGCCGAAGAGCCAAAGAGGCAATTACGAGTCCGAAGGGCGCTAACCAAGTCTCGATGTGCCGTCAACAACGGCAACGAAGTACGCAAAAGATGCTAGTCAGCACGCAGCAGTCGATACATTATTAGGACGTAGATAAGAATTTAGCACGTAAGGGAGGGATGGCGAGAGCGAAAACGTTTCGTGCCAGTGCGAGCTCAATTTTAGAAGAATATCTATTACACACAGGATTAAGGTGACATGAAAGGGTCATTCTACATATATAAAAAAGTGCAAATGTTTATGAAACTTTTCTCCAAACTAGGTGCACCGAATTATCTGAAACTTTAACACGTGATTATGGAGGCCCTAAGGAAGAACGCGATGCTCGTGAAATTTCATTTTTCTAAAAATGAGAGTTCACGACGATCACTTTATTCCTTAGGACCTCCATAATCTCGTGATGAAGTTTCAAATGATTCGGTACATTTCATTTTGACAAGTCGTCACATTTTTCCGACATTACGTTACATTTCGTAAGAGCGGTTTTTTTAACTAACAATGGACTTAAAAGTAGGAATGGGTATAGCGTCTCTTAACTAAAAGGCACTTAAAAGCGCCCATAAGAGTTAAGGTATGAGTAAGGGCCTATGAAGGTACAGATTTTGCCGTTAAAGACGACAGGAGAATCCGCAACTTCATATTAAACAGCTTAATAAAAATTCTGCTGCAAATAGAATTAACCAAATTATGAGAAATAGCGCGACTTAAACACCTTCCAAAGTTACTAAACATCATAACTAAACAATTACTACTGCGTTTGTATTCGTATACCAAAGTTTCAACCAATAGCGATCACGTTTGAAATTCGTTTCTTAATTTTGGGGAGAAAATTGTAATAACTTCAGACATTCCTTGCTTCGAACAATTAACGCGTTTCCGTTAAATCATTTTGTTAATTTTTGAAAATATTTTAGTCAGGCCTAATATTTTGGTTAAATGAACAAAAGTATTTTAATGGCGTAATCTACCGTAATGTTTTATGTAATCAGCCAAAACATTTTTCCATGTCAACCAAATATTTGAATGTCCACGTAATAACCATATTTTATGGTTGAATCGACAAAAATTTGATCCTTAACCAGATATTTTTCTCCGTGCAAAAGATAGGAAGCGTTTAGGAATGTTAAGTGCGTTTACGAGGTCTTGAATTGCGAGAATTGTAAGACTGGGTAAAGTCATTGTGCGTGACGAGAGGACGAAGCCGAATGTCTCGCTGAAGTAGAAATAGATACGTTTATATTCAGTGAAACTTTGTAATGAACATAAATTTTGATATGTAATAATTAACTAGATAGTAAATGAAAAACTAAGGGGAGTAAATGGATAAGATTCGAGTATCGGACGGAAGTTAGGATTAGTGTTTTCTCTAAGGAACTTTAATACTCGGTTCCACTAACGTCGGTCAAAAAGCTAATCCTTGGTTATAACGAGCTGCACGTTCCACTACATTTTAACAGTGGGTTATCTCTAACTTTTGAAATCGCTAGAACCAGGGATGAGTTGGGAGTAGAAATGAGGGGATCCCCGCGTAGGGCCGCCATTGGGAGGTATCAGGTGGCAAGTGCATGATCCGCCTGCATTCTGCACCGAGGGCAGCACAGAACGCAAGCACCCATCCCATTTCATGAGAAATCTCCCAACTCATCTCTGGGAGTCTATTACGTAAAGCAAATTGAGCGAAAATGTGAAAAATGAGTAACTCACGGTATTACGGAACGTGGTGAAAATGCAAGACCATTCATATAGCGAATACGTAATTTTACTAATAAACCCACGTGAGATGAAAGTGCGAAAAGTGAGCGCTCTCGTAAAAAATACGTAATAAACGCCCTGATAAGGGACTATGCAGTTCGTCTTCCTGGTCTCTAGTCTCCATGGCTTGTTTTCTGTCTGCCCTGCCCTGTCAAAAAGTGCTAGGAGAAGATTTCGAAATCATGGAGATGTCTTACCCCGGTTTATGAAAATATGTAAATAATTTAAAACATGGTGAGAAAATGAGAACACAATCCTCGGATAAAAGGCTACAGTGATTCCGTTCCTAAAACGAAGAAATGGAGGATGGCTGGATGTTAATCACATCTTTAGATGTCTATCTCGAAACTTAAGTCCCATGATAGATTTGTGGTGTAAAGAATCCAGTATTAAATAAATGTTACACTCGAGAATGGATGTGACATTGCACAGTTACTGGTAAAATTTACCCGATTTAATTAAATTAAAGCAATGGATAGTTTGTCAGATTCTTCCAGGTGTGAATTGGATTCCGTTACTTCGTCAGACTCTTTACAGTTGATCACTGATGAGTTTCATCTACAGCATGCTTCGACACCTGATATATCCAGCATAGTATCTTCAAAAAGGATCTCCTCTCTAGAATTAGAGAATGAACGACTTCGTGTTGCATTAGAACACATTCGTTTAGAATTGGATGCCAAAACTGCAGCTAACCGTGGCTTAAAGGACAAGATCACGGAAATGTATTTAGAAGCACACAATGCACTCTTAGAACGGCAACAGCTGCAAAATTCTATCAAAGATGCTATCGCTCGCTTCACTGTCGCCGAAGGTTCGGTTAAGTGGTACAAACATCAGTTACATAATATGCAGGCAGGTAAAAGAACTTTACAATTAGAAATTGACACACATCGTGAAATTGCGAGACGGAAACAGCGTGCTTTGACAGAATTAACGGCAAAGTGTAATCAGTGGAATGCAGAATATGCAGAATCCGTGGAGAAATTTAAGAGGGAAAATAGAATTTTAAGGACGGAGATTGAGGCACTGACTTTGGATAGAAACAAAGACAATAATTTGCATTCCAATTTTCAAGATTCCAATTTCGAGGCTTTGTCGATTAACTTATCTGAGAAATTAAGAGCTACGGAAACAGAGCTGAGAGAAACTAAAGAAGAATTCCAATTGATAGAACAACGTCTTTTGTGCAGCGAGGCAACAAAGTCATCCATTGAGAATGCATTAAGTAATAATTGGGCATTGATATCATCGATGGAGAGTACTTCACAAAAGTGCGAATCTGAAAAGAATGAACTTATGGAAACTCTCAAGCAAACGAGAGTCGAAGTGCGACATTTAAGGGATGAAAAACAGAAATTACAAATTACTCTACTGTCGGCAAAGCAGGAACGAAATCAAGTAGAAGAAGCCATTGTTTTACTTAGATCGCGTTTATCTAAGATGATCACGCAATACAAAACTTTGAAGAAAAGAAATGCTGAAGTTGAAGACAAGTTAAATTCTATGGAGGAACTCAAGAACGAAAATAAACGATTAAAGACTTTGTCTTTCGCAGCAAATGCATCGCTTTTCAAGAAATTAAGGGAAGCGAAATGTAAGAACAGGAAATTAGAAAATCAATTAAGAAATATACGAGTCAATGGGCATCTAAACAACATGGTATGGCAGCTTGCACTTGTAAACTATTATTAACTAAACTAGTATTAAATCGTGTTTTTTTACAGAAAATAAAGACAGATGCTTCGATGAGAGAATGCCTTAATCAAGCTCTTCAACGAAATAGAGTACGTTACACTTTTTACATGCCTAATTTTTAAACTGTGCACGATACAAACGAGTTATATAATACATGCAATATACTTACTGAGTATTATTTTGAATAGTTTATAAAATTAAATTGAAAAATGAATGATCGATTCAGTCAAAATCTTGTATTTATCCAATCGGTTAAAATATTATTTATTTTAATCATGTTTTAAATATTAAAAAAAAATGGGTTTTCATTTTAATAATTGTCAAATGACAAACCTAGCATAACAGTCACTCGTTATGAACTTTTGTTATGTTCTTCTGTTTACAATGTCTTGTTATTTGGTAATATGCATAGAATGAAGTATAAGCTAACTTTAAATAAAAATGAAAAGCGTGAATGAAAATGTATGAAATTTATGAATCTTCAGGAATTACAAGATCAGCTACAATCTATGTTAATTACGAAAACTCCAGATGAGAGTATCGATGAAGGATATGGTGACAGTACAGTGGGAACCATGACTTTTGACTTATCACCACATTTGCTTGAGCCAACATTACTCGATAAAGTCAATCGAGTATTAGCTGAAAGCAAGGATTTCTTAGCACCGATGGAATCGAGTCTTAACGAGTTGCAAACTAAATTTGAGAATTTTATAGGTAAACACCGTGCACAAACTGCACAATTATTTTCTACGAACAGACATGTTGACTCGATGTCATCAGTGGAAAATGCAGAGTGCATAACATAGCAGATACAAAGATGTAAATAATCTATGATGTATATAGTGACAAATCAAATGAAGCCGTTATTTTTCTTATAAAAAACACTATCGTATTCAGAATGATAACATTTTGGCTAAGGAAATATTAAATAGTATTAAAATAATTTACGTTTTTAACCCTAGAACTACCAAGCGAGTCGAAATGACTTGTTTCAAATGGCTCATCCTCTACAAAAAAAAAATCTTCCGGTCGCTCTAGTGTTAAAGAAATCTACAAAATTGGTCATATACTCTCGACACTAGTATGATCTTGGTCTATTTTTTTTTCCATGAAAAATATGATTTTCAAGATTTACAAACGTTTGTAAACTTTATAAGACATCGTTGAATTTGTCATTGCCATGAAAGTAATACTTCAAGAACTGATTTCAATTTTATAGTCGCTGAAGAATTATATTTGGGATCAGTTTTCTTCTTTCCAGATTATAATGGCTACCAATAATTTCTTAATATCGTTCGTTTTTAGAAAAAGTATTACTATTGATTACAGACACATAGATGAATATAAATTAAATTATGTGGAACAGATTTATTAAGTTAAAATGTTGCATAATTTTCAATTGTAATTTCTTTGCTACAGCTTTCCTGTCATGCTACATGTAAAAGTGTTAATTATTTAAAACTATGTCAATTTTCGGTTGATTAATGTCCTATCGTTCTAATTGGCAGCTGTGAACTTTAGTTTTGCAATGCTACATGTTTTGTATTACAAAGGGTGTAACTGGGCGACAGTATTCGTAAGAACATTAGTGACTTCCAAATGTGATATTATACAATCGTAGTTCTACAACTAACATCTAATTAATTCCTGTATATTTTGTATGTATCCCTAAAAAAAGGAGCTTTAAGAGTAATATATTCAATGCAGCTATTTGTCTTTAGCGGTCACATGTATTGCATACATTTCCATACGTAGACATTATTGTAGTATATTACCTTTATAAGGAAAAATCTCTTGATAAGTTATTATATGGCGTGTTATGGAATACAATCTGTACTTTCCTCGCGTCGTTAATCTACTTCGTTATTAACCGTTTGAATGTTTAATATAAATGTTCACGTTGTACGAGTAGAACGAAATTAAGATATCTTCGTAATGCACGTTGTCGGTCCCGTGATTGCACTTTTGAATGAGCAAGAAATTATTTCTAATTAAAGATCTTCTTTTACTATATATACATTCTTCTTGTGCGCTTCTTATGTTTAATGCGCGTATAGTTTTACATTTAGCAAAATAGTTTTAGAAATAAAAGAAATGTACAAGGCAACGATAAAATATGTGACACCAGAGTGTCGGACAAGGAATGCAAAAAATACCTTTACAGAATTGACGTTGAAACAGCAGTCATGTTTATTGATTTACATCACGATACACGTTGGATCGTATCACGTCCGATCGATGCTTCAATCCCGAAATTTGCATGTATGAAAAAGAAGAGCTTAACAAGAACGAACGAAATTTCTCCCCACGTATTTAAAAAATATCACAGTCAAGCACAGTGCAAAACCACGGTTGGCTAACCCTTTCCTGAAAGGGCTAGGAAAAGATTCAGAGTGATTTCGAGACCTAAAACGATCTTTTAAACTTAGTAACATAACTTAGATATTACATTTGTCATGCGTGTACGTGCAAAATGCGGTTACGGGTGTAAACGTTGATACGATGCCACTTGGATCAATGACCGACTGGGGATTTGTAATTGTACATGTATGAAGATTGGTATTGGTATCGACTGGTATCATGCGAAATAGAACGAGACTAGTTGCGATGCAAATCTAACACTCCTAATATTGTTCCGAAATTACTTCCGTACCGGCGGAGCGAACAGAAAACTACTGAAAATCTTATATCGTTTGTAATTCTCTTATGCTTATACAAAGAACTCATCAGCCTTCACAGAACCCCAGGATACGGACGTTTGATACGGCGTAGATCCAGGCTTCTATGTAAACCTCTGAATTGTTTGGTTTGAGGCATCCAAACCAGACTTGACTATCAGCTGGCAGCACAGTATTTTTATGGCGATACTGTCTGTGGCTACCAAGAAAGAATTCAGAAGTCCTCGAAAGGATAAAGACATTTGATGCCTAATAATTAGTATACCTAACGAATGGTGGCGCTGTAATCATCTCTCTATCTCTTAATCCGATTGCGACATACAGGGCGTGGCAAAATTAGTGGCCACGATTTATACATCACTACCCTCAGTGGAAATGACACGTCTTTAAATAACACGTTCGATCTCTGCTTTACTCTCTTTTGATTTGTTAACCAATTTCGAGATCATCAAGCGTCAACATATGGTCCGGAGTTCTATTAAAACCTCTGAATTCTTTCACTTATATCAAGATCCTCTTCTGTAGGATTAAGTATCACATACGAGTAGCGCAGTATTTCATAATTCCTTCCTTTTCAATTTCTTTTTTCCATTTTCACTTCCTCTTCGACTGATAGAAGGTTCTTAACGTAATCGACTGCCAGTAAAGTACACGAACGATCTCGTGCATGTGCCGATAAATGTTCAAATTCGGGTTTATAATGTTGATAAAAGGCAGCCGAGAATTACACATTTGTTAAGGTGATATGAAAGGATCGTTCTATATACATAAAACGTCCAAATATTTATAAAACTTTACTCCAAACTGGATGCACCGAATCATTATAAACATCAGTATGGAGGCCTAAGAAAGAACGCGATACTCATGGAATTTCAGTTAATAACAAACTTTATTTTATTTATCCCAGACTAGAACCAAGGACACATATTTTTATTTTTGAAAAAATAAAATTTTATGAGCATCGCGTTCTTTCTTAGGGCCTCGATAATCATGTGAAGTTCCAAATGATTCGGTGCACTCAATTTGGAGAAAAGTTTTATAAATGTTACGACGTATTATATATAGATATAGAATGACCCTTTCATGTCACCTTAAGTAGCTGCAAAGCATTCAAAGTATATAGATCAGCGGACATCACCGAATGACCTCCGATCGTCCGATTCTCGCCGATTCGTTGCTAGCAATATCAACGCCTGCGCAATGAATCCGAGTTTCGCTACCTTTTGATTGGTTGCTTATTCAGTTAATTTGCCCACTTCGGACCCGTTTTTTTACAGCAAAGACAGAGGACTCCTCCCCTATCAGTGTCGAACGATCCGGCACCTACTCCTCGTCCCGTTCTTTCCCGAATTATCGGTATGAGATCGCGCTCGAGCGTTTCCGGCATCTCCGTAGCGCGCTCCTCTTCCGCATCCTCGCGATATATCAATGCTCCAGAGAAACGATACTTATAACTGTACCACACGTAGACGATTTAAAATTAGACAGCTATTGTACGATACATCGAGGATTATGCTAGGGAGGGCGCGCGCGACGTCGCCCACGCTCGGCGAGCACGATGATCGGTTTCTAGCGCCGAGTTTGTCGCGAACCCATTGTCATCTGGGAGTGGACTCGGCCTGCCGAACTCTGCCAAAGTGACGGCGATAATGGGCTCGTTCGCGGCCTCGATTACGTTGGCCGTGGTTGTTGTGATGGGGTTGTCTGTTCTGACACTGCGTGTGATTCTGCTGTTGCTGCGACTGCGAGTTCTGGGGAGGAGGCTTCGAGTTGACCAGTCGTTGCATCGGTTGTTGCTACAATTATTCCTTATCGTTATCACTGAGCCTTATTAAGGGGATGTGAAAGTGGCATAAAAAAGTTATAATTTTCTCACCAATCGATTCACAGATTGTACCGATTGATTTGGAAAGTTGTTCAAGCTCGTTCCAGCTGGGCTCAGTTCTTCTTCCGTAGTAGCACCAGGATCGTCATCCGTTCTTACTAACATTTTCACACCCTCTGCTTCGGGATCGATGATCCCACCGCGTTGTTGTTGTCGCAAAAAGAGAGCAGCCATTCTTCGCTGCAGTTCCCTCAGCTCCGTTGTTACACTGAATTCGGTTGCAGCCTCCACATCGATTGGAGGTGGAGCCGACCATAGACTCTCGACGTCACAATTTATTGACTCCCGACAAACGGGACAGATAGCCTAGCAAAAGTAATGTAGAATAATAAAAGTGTGATATCAGGTTAAGGTGCGGTATCTTCAATAGTTGTATATCGATCGAAATATGAGAGCTTGACGCCATTTTGGTTCTGCTCTAGGTTGTCAAAAAAATTTTTTTTTCTAAAATCCAAATTTTGAAAGTGTCAGGGCAATTCTTAGGTGATCCCAAGTTATGTGTCTAAGTTTAGGACAGTTCGATCCAATACACTTTAAAAAAAGTGTCTTATTCGAGTCAACTGGTTTGAGGACTTCATCTTAAGTTATCTTTAGACAATATACTTACTTGAAATTTATTGGTGGAATCTTGCTGCCATGGTGGTAATTTTTCCTGTTCTTCCCTGTAATAACGTTCCGCAGCAGCCACGTGTGCTGCTAAACAGTGGGAGTGGAAATGATGGTAGCAATCGGTTTTGGTAAATTCATCGCCTTCCCGAAATCCGTAGAGACAAACGGCACACTGACCAGTTGGTAGATTACTTCTTGTCAAATGTTCTCGTACCAGCTGACATAAATCAAGCCACATTAATCATCAATAGCCATACAAAATTATTGATAAATATTAATTGTACTAGTTACCATTGGATTTAATTTCAGAAGTATTGACAAGAAAATTTAGTTAATTTACTTTTACTTTACAAAATATACTTTACATTTTGTTTAAAAGTCACTGTAATTTTCAGCTTTAAAATGATACAAGACTATGGTAAAGAAAAAATTATCAATGCCTGTACCTCGATTAATTCAAACATAACAGGTTGGCCTACAAAGTCCCTGCACTTCATTTCAGTATCCGATTGAATTTGTTGCACGGTGTCTTCGTGTAAACCTCTTGGATTTTTGAGGTCAACGGTAGGAGACACATCGGGATAGCCAGGAGGTAAATGTACGACGAGTCTGACGCAGACATATTGCGACTGAGAATCTTCCCCCGTTGATGGAAACACCAACGTTTCTATGCATTCCGGCTCTCCCCTTAGAATGCAAACAAAGTATTATAAAAAACTGATGAACTTAGTCTAAATTAAGGCCTTGTTCATTTAAATAAGATGGAGTGAAACATTCAATGTAAAGATAACAAATTCCGGCAGATCAAACAGATTCTGTAACTGGATGCACCAAATCATTAGATACTTCAGCATGTGATCATGCAGGCCCTAAGGAAAATCATAGTGCTCTGTAGGCTGTGGTGTAATCGCGCTCCTTGGCATTTTTAGACACGGAATGAGACAAGCGCTACCGTGCTGCTTGCCGTTTTGGACAGTAAAAAGTTAGATAATCCTGCCTTACTGGACTTGACGTTTCATACATTTTTCATATAATTAAAACTATTCAATGACTTTGAAAGGGTTAAGAACCACCGAACCAAACGCTTTCCCAAACTTATTTCATCCATCAGGGAAAGTAAAGTGAACCATCGGAGCGCTTACTTCTCGTTCTCTGTGATCTTAAGCTCATCGTCTAGAAGTATGGCGCGCAAAGCCTCCACTTCATCAGTGACCCTAAAAAGAGAAACGCAAATTTGAGAATGACAGATAACCCTACTTCGAAGTTAACAACCATTTCATATTCGGATGTCACCTTTCGTCCATCCCGACGTCATCTCTACGAGCGACATCCGACATCTCTGCGAACCGTCGTGATCGATCGGAAGCGCGATCTAGCGAACGGCACCTTCGATAAGCACCGTTCCCTTCAATGGGCTCCTTTAAGTTTCCTTCAGGACCTGCGATACCTCAGGTCCTTTGACGTTTATCTAAGATTGTAAAAGACCGCGTTCGAAACGCGAATTGACCTTTGCGAGCCGCGTTCGCTGAGTCTTCTGCTACTGACCGAACGTAGCAAGTGCTTCTTCAAAACGTTTACACCCTGGTTCGATCGTAAAGCGGGGTTCTCATGAAAATAGCACCTATTCGATGCCAAGGATCTTAGGCCGCAATGACTACGTTTCCATCGTACTCCTAAATCCAGGATTTACCGAGTCCATTTTTTAATACAAGCGCCAAATTAATTCATTGTTCCTTAAAATATTTCCGTGTTTACATATATGCTAAAAGACGTTTATAACCTAGCCGAGGCTGTATATCGTCCATCTACGGCATTCTTCATATTGGAAACGTAATTTACTGTTTTTCTACGATTTTCTACGCTAAAGTATCTCGTTTATGTAATATACGTGAAAAACCTCGAAAAATGGGGAATTACCTAACTCTGTTCACAGGCACGGTCGCGCGATCGTGTCGTGTGCTGCCCCCCGGTGGCAGATGCGGACGGCAAATGCACTTGTCACCTGTTACCCTTCAATGGCGGCGCAACACAATTCTGGTGGGGGCTCGCGCATTCGCGATGGTAAATACAGAGTTTGAAACTTTTTTTTCAAGGGTCCATGACGTTTTGAGCCCGTTTTCGGGCTGCCCTGCCCTCGGGGAATTTTTCTCCCACCTGCGACCACGGTAGCTCGACGAGGAAGGTTGTTCTCTTCAAAATTGTATTGAAAAATGATATTCTAAAGTAAACGTTTCGCAAAAAATATTTAAAATGTCTATTAAATATGTACAAAGTGTACGATATTCGTTAAGTATATAAAAAATGTAAGATAAATATTGTGTGCTACCGGGGAGTACTTTACTTTAACATTGAATTACCCAGGTTCAGCCTCCCGACAGGTATATCGGGTTTCGTATCTCCGGCGTAACGGTCTTGATTTCTTTCCGGTTTGGAGAAAATTTCATTTAGTCTCCGGAACAGGAGGTGCACGGAGTAAAAATACTGCAGATCGGTTTCTGATTTCTCGCAGATACGGAGTCGGCGAGAGGGCTTCCGCAGTGGAGGATGGTAGAGTGCAGCGACTGACCGTTCTTTTTTCCTTTTAATCGAGGATCGACTCTCTCCCTGGCAATGAACTTGGCTGAGCCGAGCTAGTGTATCCGCGGCTACGACGCCGGCAACTTCCTCCCGGGTTTCCTCTCGGCGGTGCCTCGACTATCCGATTCGGGATCCTCTCTTCACCCGGGACCTCGTTGGCCGAAGGAAGGGACCAGTTCGGATCGAGATTGGACCCTCGTGGACCTTCCGGAAAATGTTCTTCAGGTTCGCCATTTTCGTCGGTCTCGGCTCCGTCGTGGCCACTATCATTTACCTCACCCCCGTTCCAGGTAAATTATTTTACACGGTAGAGTATATTTCTATTATTGGCAAATCGAAGATCGAGGACAATTGTAACAAACGTTACAAATTTTGCCCCTTACTCGTACCTCACTTTTAGCATCGCTTTTAAACCACTCTTCGTTAAAAGGCCGTTTTTACGAAATGCATGACGACAACGTCGAGAAAATGTGACGACTGCGTTCCGCGTGTCCAGCGTTTTTTGTATGTCAAAAGTTCAAAGTCTGCTGAACTTTGCCGCAAAAATGGAAGGGAGTTTGAAGGAATAAAGCCAGAACCAAAGCCAAATTTCTTGGTTTGCCAAGAACGACATAAATTCCACTTCAAAAATTTCTGGTATTTATTTGATGCCCTGCATTCACTTCGCGAGCTTTTGCTCTGTGAAAAATGTCTTTCCTACATTCCATTTTTCATGTACGATTATGACAATTAAAAGCTATCAAAATTTGATGCATGATTTTTTTTGTTTGTGCGCGATTTGCTTACGATTGTTTGTTTAATAGTCAACGCAATAGATGGGTGATTTTAGACTGCATTAATTAGATAGTGGCGTAGAACGGTTTACGATTGTATTCTTCGTTCTTATGGGATGCTTAAAGTTTAGTGCAGGTATAACTTAATGTCCATTAAGTAAGTATTATGTGAATTATGGTGTGTACGAGGCGCATTGACTACTTAATAGAAGTTTTACGCACTTCCGACGACAGCTTGACCTTCTATACTTAGATCGCGGTGTATTTATTTAGAAATTAAAGTGAATATTGGCGAAACTTTCTCTTCTATCAAAAGCATTTTTTTTTTTAATTTTCATTTAAATACCTCTCTTAATCATCGATATGTATGGTATTCGTTATATGGCGATGTCTTTCAATATTTGCACCGTCGACTGCGCAAGAGGAAATTATGTGAGGCGTTTTTTCTTTTCACGCCGCTTTCGAATACGTTCAATGTATTCGGACTTCAGTCTTAAGGAAATGTGAAACTAATTACCGGGTATATCAAGAATGATATGATATTTTCAGTACAAGTTTATTATTCAGCCAACAAACGGAAAGGCCGGAAAATAAATGCTGCAACACGGATTGATAAAAATTCGTTAATAACTTCATAAAATCATATCAGGTTATTACTTAAAATACTCGGTATCGTTCGAATGACTGGCAAAGGTTATTAATGCAGACACCTCGGCTTGCATTGCGTGTACTTTAACGCATCGACACGGCATAGTACATTTCTTAAGGTTAACGACCTCGGATATCTGAATTGCACGATTTACCGTACACTTAAGTTTCCCCGGGCATCCTGGCATAATGATCTATGAGTCTTTCTTTTTAAGGGTCGCATTTTGTTTTTACTAGATGTACGTTTCCTTCTCTTAAGGTGAAGCGAAACACGTCGAGAAACTTGATCTACATCGGTAAAAAAGGTTTTTTGAAATACCTAAGTTGCCGACGTTGGTTTTAATATCAACAGCTGTGTCGAATAATATTGAGTATTGTACTAAATGGCATAACCATAAATCTTTATGCACATCGTAAAGCATTATGTTTGGTTTCACGAAATTAACGACGAATCATTAAATGAATTTGCATAGGAAAAGTATCCATCCGATGGGTGAAAGTTGTCCCGCATGTCATGAAAACATGGATATCGCATTTCCGTTTCCAAGTCGATTTTAATTTATGTCTATATGGAACTGACCGTGAAATCGCCATGATTCGTCAAACGCTAACCTTAATTAAAGTGCTAAATTTTATTAAAGGTAGCGTTACAATATTCTGTAAACTTTAGTAACATATAAATTAGTGAAATGTAAAGTTGACTTGAATTTTTAGGGAAAGTGGCGCAGCCAGAGTCAATTAATGAGACCCCAGTGGCTCTTTACGGAAATGGTTAAAATAGTTGCCAAATTAGAGAAAACGCATACCACGTTCTCTTTTTATTTTCATAAGACCCTAATTAAAATGTTAAGTAGAGTCAGGTGGCGAATGGCTTGAGATATTTAGCAAAGACTACAAAGAAATATTTAGAAATTATTCTATGCTACTAGGGATTATTCTTTTCGCGCAAGAGTCGCGAGGGGAAACCCCTCGGCCGACCTTTCTCCGTTTTCCCACGGATCGAAACGATGAGGTTACTTTCCCTGTCGATGCTGGCTCGAAGATCACGAGGTTTCCGTTTCACGAATCGGTTGACTGCGAAAAAGTCGTTGGCTCGGCGGTGCAGCTAGAAAGCAGGTGACGTTTTGCCGACGGCTAAGCCGCGACGGTGATTCAATGCCGTTTTATCGGCAACGACTCAACCTTCCTCTTACACCAACAACTTTCTACGCTCGGACCAAGCCAGACATTTTTTTTTTTTCACTAGAGAAATTCTGATTATTTGCATCCCTGCTGGATTAACGTTTCTATAGATCTTTAATGTCCCTTTAAATTACGAAGCTCATTTTACTTTATTAGAGCCTTCAATAGTAGAATATCGAACGAAATATGAGAGCTCGACGCCATTTTGGTTCTGCTCTGGGCTAAGTTAAAGAAAATTCTCTTTATAAATCCAAATTTTGAAAGTGTCAGGACAATTCCTAGACGCTCACGAGTCACGTGTCAAAGTTTCGGACCGTTCTATCCAATACCCTTAAAAAAAGTGTCTTATTTAAATTGTTTGTTTTGAGGGGGGTTCCACTTCACCTTAATTAGAGATCGTAGAGTCTCGGCGCAGCGATAGTCGTTTTTTTTCGAGTTACTCATAGGACGAAAACCGGAGAGTCGTAGGTTGGCAGCGAAAGCGAAATGATTGGTCCCAGTGGCGAGAAAAAGGAGAAAGGTCGACCGTAGAAAGTGTTCGAGCAGCTGCTCGGCTCTTATACCAACGAGACATATTATACAAGTTCCTCCCCGCCGTTGAAACGGCTCCGATTCTCCATCCGATTGACCGTCATGGCTTTCGACTTAAGTGACGTTAAAGTGACCGACTTCTTTTTAACGCCAACGGGTGTCTTAGAGACACGTAATGTATAGCATGTTTCATAAAGTCTCGGTATTATCGAACTCATTACGTTCGTTACTTCGATTCTACCGTCAACGAAACACTATCTACTCCGCCATTCATCCCTGCACGCCTGAACGTTGACATTGATCTACTTCGACGGATTGTGTGCAACTTTCTTTATCCTACATTCTGCAAATAAAAATGTTGCCGTTAAAATCAGAATAATAAATTCAATTCGTCTTTTATGGCTTCTTTTAAGGATTTTCTATAAAAGTGGTTTAAAAGCGAGACACGAGGGTCGCTTTTAACGGTGCTCTAAAATATGTCTCTTAACGCTAAAAGTGAGATACAAGTAAGGAGCATTCGTCAAGGAGCGAAAGCGAAATCATCGATGACCGAGGAGAAAAAGGAGAAAGGTCGGCAAAGAAAGTGTTCGTACAAAGATCCATTGCGGTCGACAGGCTGCGGACGCATCGCGCGCTCTCGCGGCTCCGAAACGAAATCCAAAGATGCGACGGCGCCGCGGCCGACTTTCACTATTTCGCCGGCCGTTTGGAATCGGTCGGCGGGCGTGAATTTTCCCCTAGGGGCCCTCTTTGGGCCGTCGGCCCCCTCATCCTCCACCTCCCCGCCTACGGGGAGACTCTCGCTTTCCGCTGGCCCCTCCGAATCCGCCAGTCGGCGACGGAGGCGCGCGGCGGTCGGGCTCGTACGGAATTTCGACGCGGTCCCGTGTGGCAGCTGCAGTTGCGCACCGGCACCGTTATCGTCGCTTCTACCTGTCGGCCGCGTCGCCGGATGTGCCGACGCGAGTCCCCGGAGGTGCGGTCGAGGCGCGTCGACTTGACGCATCTCTGCGCGTGCGCCATCTCGGATGCTTTCTTGACGCGAGGACAGGCTCGTATGTGAGATGCCGGGGGCGTGAACCGTCCGACGCGTTCCGTCTCGATGTAGAATCGTGAAACTTGCCCTCGTAATCGTAAAAAAGAATATTGTTTTTACAATACTCGTATAACACGTGTTTTCGTCATATTTTTCTTATAGACATATAAAACGTTTCGTTTCATTTTAATACAAGTATCTTTTAAATATTATCTCTCGAATGCGTTATAAACGTTTTAGAAGTATTTAAAATCAGAATCACACGTTTTACTCCCATAATGTAATAGCGGAAGGAAAATATTGCAAGAATTTCTAGCGTTTTTTTTTATACCAAATGAAGGGTCAGATAATAATGGTCCGTTTTGGGTTGTTAAATTACACGTTGCGTTATTTTCTCCAAAAGTGAAGTGCAAGCCAAAAGCTCGGTGAAAACTGACTTTTGCAGATGGCACGAGTACAACGGAAGCACGATCGTTCTTTTAGGGCCAGTAGAATTTAAGGAGTGCCGGTCACCTCTTGTTATTTATTTGATAACAGGAAGTACGTAGACAATGTACTCACCGAAATATGAACGTCGTCTAGTTTCACCAGTTACCTACATACTGCGATGTGCCGTCGTTGTCTTCATGATCGTCGCCGCAGCGACTTTTTTACATTTTAGTCATTATAGTCCCAGTAAGTCACAGATCAGATAAACAGAAATAACTATAATTAATAATTTTTAAGGGGATGTGAAAATGGCATCCGAGGGATTAATCGAATAGGGTGTACCAATTTATTTCAAATTTTATCACGTGGATAAGGACACCCAAAGGTAGATCCTACAACTCGCGAAAATTTCATTTTTTATTAAAAATGTGGATAACAGCTATAAACAAATTACTTTTTTTTACAAAACTTTTTTTTAAAAGTTTCCCTCCGTTTATGTTGCAGAGCAAACATTTCTATCCTGCGACAGGCCATGTCATCATCTGGATTGGCCAATGATCTGTCGCGTGAAGCTCACGCTCGAAGTTTTCCAATCATTGAGCAAGTAAGGTTCGATGATAGTTGTATTGTCCTTTGGAAATAAATCCACCGAACATCCCCGATTAGGCCATATTAGCCCTTGGCGTCCATGTACTGGGAGAAAAATAACTGGTTAACTGAACAGTCTGGTCTGGGCTGAGTTAAAAACTTTTGTTAAAAAATCCAAATTTTGAATGTGCCAGGACAATTCTTAGATGATCACGAGTTATGTGTCAAAGTTTCGGGCAGTTTGGTCCAATACCCTTAAAAAAAAGTGTTGTATCCGAATCGACTGACTCGAGGAGGGTTTCATCTCGCCTTAAAATCTGTTTACGACCGGTTTTTTCGCGTAAAGATTCTTTTACCCGAATTGAAACTAGGTCAACTCTGGTTTATATTTATCGTCAGGTTAATGGAGAGATTTGCTAAGAATTGCGTCATGATGCAATATTACGTCAACCACGTAACTGCATGTAGAAGCGACATGTTCCAAGTCCAGACACCGTTATGTAACCGTTAAGTGCAACCCGGAAGAGTCGGCCGACTCGCAGGGTGAATCGATGTCGGCCATTCCTACCTTTCGCGTATCAAGAGGCGTATTAAATTTCTCTCTAATCTTTTGACAGATCGTGCGGTGATTGTCCGACCAATCAGACGGCTTGTGTGGCCCAGCATTGCGTGGCTACCGATGGACATCGTCGAGGGCTGCTGACCGCGAATCGACAGATGCCTGGACCCACTATCCAGGTGCAATTTTCGCATGGAATTTTGCTCCATCTTTCGGAGGCATTTCTCTTTCAGCGTAATCGATACCATCATGTTGTCTTTTTAATCCGTTAACCGGGTATGACGAAGTTTTTCGGATCAGGATTAACTGGATTGGGATTAACGTTTTCACGTAGCGAGATTATTGGCAAAGTTTTATATTTTCTGTCTTCCGGCGAATTGGAGATATTTACCACGTGGAAAGATAACTGATTGTCGGTAATTTATGATTCATTAGAAACGGTTAGCGGTTTTCAAGAAATAATTAACGGCGTGTACTGGTTAATGGTAAATTCATTATTACCTCCGGACAATGATCCGTACTCGGCTCATTCTATCGGACATTTAAGACAATACGCAAATCTCTGTAATACACTCTTTCATGAAGGAAGTTTGTAGCAGGGTGGTTCATAACGGTGATGCGATTTATTTGAAAGAAATTCATTTTTAGGTTTGCGAGAACGATATTTTGGTGGTGGACATCGTGAACAGGCTTCCCGGGAAAGCTGCAGCCATTCATTGGCGAGGACAGCCTCAAAGTGAGACACCGTGTATGGATGGGGCACCATTGGTTACCCAATGTCCCATTCCGAGTTACACAACCTTCCAGTACAAATTTCGGGCATCTGCCCCGGGAACGCATCTCTGGCACGCACACGCGGGTTATTACTTTATGTTTATTCATACTTTCCCTTAACTCATGTTCGTGCATCTCCTTTTCCAGCAAATTAATGTATTAATCTGATCTATACACAAAGTGGATAGCTGATATCTTTTCCCATATAGTCTGCAACCATCAGTCATTTTTGTGAATGATGTTTGGAGGAGTTTGTTGTGAAGTCATTGATATGGATACGGTGGAATTACATTAATACGCCGAAAAGGAAGACTATGGCTATTGTTTATGTTTAATAAATAGTTCTGAAATCTTAACTATACTAACTGATGAAATAAAATTTTATTTATAGGAGCTAATATGGCGGATGGAATTTTCGGTTCGCTCATTGTGAGGCAGGCCGATTTGCGAGAACCACACAGGTCGTTTTATGACGTTGATGACCCGAATCACGTTATTCTAACCACTCAATGGCAGCATCAGTTCCCTACGAATGCACCGAGTGCTTCGGGACCTTCCAAGTCTACGGTTATTCTCGTAAATGGCAAAGCTCGTCATCCAGGAGGTCCAGTTGTACCTCTAACGACATTTACCGTTATTCCTGGAAGAAGACATCGGTTCCGAGTCGGCAATGTCGGCGGAGCTGGTTCTTGCCCGATAACCATGTCCGTTGATGGGCATCGACTCTTGCTGATAACTCTGGATGGCCATCCCGTAACTCCACAACGCGTCACGTCCATTACGCTCGCCAAAGGTTTTCGATTCAAATCTTTCCTTTCTTACCTTCTACTCGCATCTTGCGAGATGAAAGGCGCGAAGAAATTTAATCGACGCCGATAAAGTAAAATTCATCTATAGACTTTTTTATTGTTACGCCATTTTGAATATCCCAGTAGTAACGTAAGCTGGCGCGCCACGTTACCGACATTTATATTTATATTGAAGCCTGTTACACTCTAGTTTCAGAACCTACCTTAGGGCCTCCATATTCACGTGGTAAAATTTGAAACGAATCGGTACATGCATTTCGGAGAATACTTTCATGAACGATTGGACCTCTCAATATATATAGGCTTATCTTTTCATATCACCCTAAATTGACCTTAATTTTTGTGTAGGTGAACGTGCCGACTTTGTGCTGAAAGCTAAACGGCCGATTTCTTCCTATTGGATGAACTTTAGGACGGACAAAGACTGCGACTCGTCTTTAATTAGCGGAAAGGCAATCTTGAAGTACAAGGGAAGTCTTGAGGAGGCACCAACCAGTGGAGAAGAAAAGTATATGATAAATAACGATCTAGAGGAGATTATTCAAAATGATATTGGTTTCACGTCCAGTTCCACAAATAAATGTGCGAGTTCCGAGAAGCTATGCATTTCTGAACTACAAGCCATGAACAAAATGCCGAAACTTCTGGCTAAACCGAAGATGGACGTCACTTTATACCTTCCTATTAATTACAGGATACAATCCCCCGAACGCGCAGGTTAGTCGCGATAATGAAAATAGTGAGGAATAAATTAGCGACCATCGTAAACTATTTACGTACTATAAACGAAATTGAAGATTTCCATTATCAACTCATTCGCCTTTTTTAAAATCTTTATCTGCCATTGTATGCTATGAAAGAACGAAGTTTTTCTAATTTTACTTCCTTTGGAACGTAGGTTGTTTTGTTTTTTAATTGAACTACAAAAATAAGGATTTGATGTTCCAACGAATCATTTACAGAATAGGGGAGGAAATAGCCTCGTTTAATATATGGAGAAATTTGGTAGAATGTCGAGCCAAATACATTTGAGCGAGAAACTCGTTTTATAATTGTATTACTTTTCAGGCACTAATAATGTGGAGACTCGAATCCTAAATGTTGATAACGCTACTTTCACGTACCCATCTTCTCCATTATTAACACAAGGCCAGGACATCGTGGGTACGGTATTATGTTCCGTAGCTGGCAATGATGGGATCGAAAGTTTTACCGGAAGTCCAGGCAGCTGTCGACGTGATAATACTATCGATGATTTCACTTGCGAGTGCGTCCATATACGACGAATACCTTTAGGGGCTACCGTGGAAATCATTCTTTTGGACCAAGGTAAAGAACCTGCAGCAGTGTCGAAATGTATTGGGTATTGTACTAAATGGCATACTCCACGTGTCGTTTCCGTACAATAATTATAAAGAAATCGAAGTAAAACGCCAGAAACCTTCTGGTTTCATGGAGTCGACTGATTTGAGGGGAGGTTTCACTTCACTTTAACTATGTGAAGAAAACTTAAAAAAGATATATGCCCCGGTAATCGATTTATCTTATGTATTCGTATAATAACTATTCATATCTCTTTGACAGCCGGTTTGGACGATTTAGTTTACCATTTACACGGGTATAGTTTCCACGTCGTAGGCGCCAGAGAATTCGGTCGTAGCATGTCTTTAAAAGAAATTAAAGATATGGATACGCAAAGATCATTATTCACAAGGGATTTAGAATTTGCTGTAGTAAAGGATACCATCAAAGTTCCCAAATTTGGCGCCGTTGCTCTACGATTTAAGGCGAACAATCCTGGTAAATACAAACCTCGTATTTCTCTTTAAATATATAGCTCTTCATGGAATATAAAAATATAAATTTAATTAATAATAAATTGAAGAAATTAAATTGTTCCTTTTTTGTAAAGGAGAAAATACTTAATATCGTAGTTGTAATTGTTTATTTTTGTTTAAGGGTACTGGTTATTGCGCGACGAGCATGCCTTGGATTGGACCCGAGGTTTGGATGTTATTTTACAAGTTGGAGAACCCGAAGAAATGATTGCCGCGCCTGTAGACTTTCCTAAATGTGGATCATTTGTAGGACCTGACTACTTTCTCATTTGAGTCTCTAATGCGGAAAGTATAATGTAAATAATTGTAAATATCTACTTTTGAACTGTTAGATTTGTAAGAGATCGTATAATTTACGAAATTTGGTTAAAAGTGATTTTTTTATTGTTTGATAAAAGTCAAAATGTTATGATCGAAAGATGACGTTGAAAGTGTTCTATTAGTTATTGTAAAATTGATATCCTTCTACGCGTCCGATTCGGTTTCAAATACACAAGTGGTCAATATCTTTTACAATACCACGCTAAGCAAAGAAACAATAACGTAATAGCCTCGAATTAAGGTAATATGAAATGGACATTCTATATATATAAAACATCAACATATTTATAAAATTTTTCTCCAAACTGAGTGCACCAATTCTCTAAAACATTTATAAAAAATTTTATAAATATTTTGACTTTTTCTTGTATATACATCACACCTTAAGAAGCGAGAAGATGTGGAAGGTGTATGCAAGAAGACGTTGGTACTATAATCAATTTAATGGCACTATAATTTTTAATGTTAGGACATTCTATTGACAGCTTATAATATGCGCGTATACGTACATATACATGTATATAACACGTGACATACACTGGCGGACATGAATGCCTCCTCTGCAGATACGGCATCGCCTGTGCAGGATGGAAGGGCATTGATGTCTCCCAGTATACACGTCGGGCGGTGCTCGTGCCACCACCCGAGCTTAGCTCCGGCCAACGTATACGCGTCTTTACGAACGTGCGTGTATATATTCGTTTTCTCCTATTTCACAAAAAAGACCATTGTCGCCCATGGCACGGACGCAACGGGCATCCGTAACTCGCCAAGTCTTCCTCTTTCTCACTTTCGCATCTTTGCTTCCCCGGCAACGCAGCGGCCTCCTTCTCTACGCTTCTCCGTCGGAAAAAGCCGTGGATGCCTAAGACGCGTCTAGAGACCCTCTGACGACGAAAGTATCGATTCGAATCTCGAGACGTTTTTTAAACGGATACGTTGTACGGTTACCCGACTAACGAACAATTGTCGGTAACGTTCCTACAACGTGTCGGATGTCAACGAATTTCTCAATTTCTATTTCCCCATCCACCGAATAATATATCAGGAATATTATTAAAAATATTCGATCCGTCGTCCACTCGAATTGAATACCGATAATCGATCGTTGATGGATTATCGGTTAGATTGTCCTCGAGTAATTTGAAAGAGAAAACAATGCCGTAGAGAAGGTCTCTATCCGTCGCCCCCTCCAGATCTTCGATCGCTAGGTAACAACACTTTACAAAACTATATACACTAAAGCTTCGTCACCTATCAATATACTTTGTCTAGCTAATAACATCTTTTATTCCGTTTCTTCCCCCGTCCCCTGGTTCGGCCCTCCGAAATACTCCCGATAATCGAGATGCGACGCGTGTGCAGCGTCGAGATGCGCGCGCAACGCCTGCGCGGCATCGAAATGAAAGAGGCGCGTCTGCGCACTTGGCCGCTAGCGTATTACGAATCTGTAATAAAGACTTTTCGTTATATTCCTACGAGACTACGCACCTACTTAACGTCCACCGATTCGTTAATGGTACACGTCTTTTTTTAATTCGTCCGTATGTCGCCCCGATAACGTTATCACATTTCGGGTCTTGGGCATCTTAACAACTATAATATCTCTTTCTCTCTCTCTCTCGCTTTTTTCTTTCGCTCTCTCTTATTCTCACTGTCGCGCGTGTGGACATTGTCGGATCGCCTAGCGTTAACGATTATTTTCTTTTTTTATTAACTTGAAAAAGGCGAGAAAACTCATTGTCCTCTTGCGATTTGGATACTCGGCGCGCTCGGTGCTAGTTTTTTCCCTCTTTCTCTTATTTCTCTTTGGTTAATCATTTTCGAAGGACCATACGAATATCGTTTAGCTGGCGCAAAACTAGTGCGAGGATTTCAATCGGTTATTTTGAGTGCATCCCGGAAGTTGAAAGTAATCGTAAGTGCGACGGAAAGATTGATATTATCCCTTATCACTCCAACCGGCAGCAATACTGTCAATTTCTTATACCTTCTAATATTCTTGGAGTGATAAGGGTTAAACGTCGTAGGCTCGCAATTTCGTTTCGTTCAAGTGGCCTTCCTAGAATAACGAGGAGAAATTAACGTCCATTTAACTTATATTTATAATTCCTCAAGGAACTTAAAAGTGGTTTTCGTCATGATGGAGCTCATTTAAATAAATAAGGAAATTAATAAGGTTATAAAGGGTTAATATTTCGGGGCGAAGAAAGTATTTTCGGATAATATCGCATTGGAACGAACGAGGGGCGCACCAATGGCCTCTTCTAAAGATGTACCTTTCCTCGATTGTGATTACGAAACCATAAGGCAAAAAAGAAGATTTTCGTTAAAAAAAAAAATTCAACAAAGCCATAGACTCGATTCTTACAAAAACATTATCTTCAGGTACGCTTTCAGTCTTCTTGCAGTAAACATGGCTCGAGAGTATTCGTCTTTGAATAATTTAATACGATGTAAAGAAAAATTTAGGCAATACAACAATTTCTCTAATCAACGATTTGTACATAAGGTTTCGCAGTGTTAGCTAACGATCCGTTACAGTCCGCTTTTTTCTTTTTTGCGAAACTTTTGATATCATCCACTGAACATGTTTCATGAAAAGTGTATAAAAACAAACGTCAAATTTAGAATATATTACTTGTACAGATTACAAAATATAATTTGATAAGGGGAATTTAAATGCTGGGAATATTCTGTCGTTTTTGAAACGTCAAATACATGTTAAGGGGTAAATGGCAAATAACGCGTTTTCGTCAAATTTGACATAACAATTGTTATATTTCTTTAAAGGACATTTCGTTTTCGGTACTTATCAGCAATTTGAACTTTGCGTGTATTCTATTTTCATTCTTTATCCTATTTTATGTCATTTAAATATTAGCATTCCAACATTCGGGACAGAGTGTTAATTAAACCTCTCTGCAAGTAGCAACAAAGGTTCCCTCCGGTTGAACTAACCTTTTGTATACTTATATTGAAATATTCATCATACCATTGTTCGGTATAGTGAAACCTGCAGCATTTGATTAGATATCTTCTTGTGCAATGTAACTTACGCAACGTGTAACTACGTACTGGAAACATTATACGCCGCATAAGAAATACAATAAATATACTTATTACGAGGCAAGCTTTTCTACCTATGCATTTGGTATCAAATAATAACTTTAATAATACTATTAACTGCACTATACACGGACACATAGTAAGATAATATCACCAAGTAAACATAAAAAACAACATTAAGCCGGTTAGAAATGTGACGATAATACACAATGTCAATGAAAGGCTTGAAACTGAATAGTTTAGACGCTAAACTTTACACGAACAATACGGGAAATATGATTGTAATATATAATAATAATTTTTCTTAAAGAAAGTAAAAAGAGAAAAAATACATTTGAGCAGTTCTGGGTGTTAAATTCAACCCTACCGAATTCGTTATCAGCTGATAGAACGTAACTTAATCGCGCATTACGAAAGTGTAAATTTAGATTGTTAAAAAAAACATGTACCGCGTAACTATTTGAAATGAAGTCAGCTGTGAAGTTGAGAACGAATGTAATGAGAAATTCAAGCCATTAATCGTGATTTTTCCGATATCTCATTCGAAACGGCCATATTCGCAGAGATAAGGTGCGCCCCTTTTTCGAGAAGAGAGGAGAGTCTGCCGATAGTTTGCGGTTCTCGTCGGAAATCAAACGAAATTGTCGCAATGAGTAACTGACCTTACGAGATCTAGGAGTTACGACTCGTAGGGCTGATTTTTGATTACATTTTACGGTCTTAGCTCGTTTAAAACAAAGCCAGGTTCGACCGCAAACCCGGTCACGTGCCAATAAGCTTCGTACGTTCGTTAACATAATTCTAATCGCTAGATTTCACCACTAAACGCATAAGGCTCTTATTCGTGTCTTTCGCCTACGAATCCGCTTTTAGGCCAGCTCGTATGCTCTTCATCCACCTTAAATTTCTTTACAATCCGCAATATCCATAAATCCTACCTGGCTTAATTTATTCCTTCCTCTCCTATGCCACTTCCACATCCCCTTAAAAGCTGACCTAAAAGCGGGATTCGACTACGGATCACGTTACGTATTCCTATACTCTCCACGTTTCGGTTCAAGTTTGCATCGGATTGCGAGCTGACAATACACATTACGTATAGCTTAACGTAACATCGCTAAGACTGGTCCGTGCGGAAGATAAAAATGTACGAACCAAAGATCGATCGGCAAATCAATGCCAACTGACGGTGGAACAGCCTGCTGTCCTCGTGGAGATTACGAGTACTCATTCGACTAGAATTAAATGTTAGAAATATCTCTCGAATCCCCTAGAAACTCGCATGTAATTAAAACTCCTCGACTTAATTAATATAGGTCTGGAACGTAATATAGAAACGTATTAAAAATAGAAGTGCTACTCATACGTAACGTAGGCTTTTGAGCTCTCTGAGAGGAGTATTACTCGTCATTCTTGGCCTGGCACCCAGTGAAACGTATACGTATACTGGGAGACATCAATGCCCTCCCATCCTGCACAGGCGATGCCGTATCTGCAGGGGAGGCATTCATATCCGCCACTGTACTCTGGGAGACATCAATGCCCTCCAATCCTGCACAGGCGATGCCGTATCTGCAGGGGAGGCATTCATGTCCGCCGTTGTGCACCGATAATCAAAGTGACTCGCTAATATCTTTGAGGGCTGTACAATTGCAACAAAGACTTGGCGAAACATTTTGTTCAGCAAAAGAAAATCTCTGGAATCAAATGAACTCTCGCTCGAGTCGAGACGTTCAAATCGCGTTCCTCCATCTTCAAGATTTAAGAAATAACTTTTTTCACTCTTCCCTAGTCCGTTAGATACCAAATTAAAATACGAGTATTCATGTATTAATCGCTTACGTTGTTCGATTTACGTATACCCTGTACCTATTTATTTCTAATAGATACAGGGAGAGATCGAAGTTCATTTTCATTTTTTTTTAATGAAACGAGTAAGATCAAAGAATTCCTATATTCGTCTCCGTTTCTAATTTGTCTTTACCTGTTAATAATTCGCGGCTTTTCCACGTAATGCCGATTATAACGTGTATGGGTAGACTCAAAATCGTTCCAAGTTTCGCATTTGATGTTCGATTAAATGGATTTAGGACTCACCTTCGTACGGACCAGACTTTACTTCTTTTTTCGCGCGTTTTGTTTTTCCTCTTTTTCTCCTTTTTTACATTAGAATATCCACGAGCGAGGAGACCTAAACTTAAGTCGAGCTCTCGTGTGTCAGAGTTCGAATATTATAACAAGTGCCTTTCGATGCACCGTACAAGACTTCTCTCGAGTGTCCAGAATATGAAATCAATAAAAAGTACGTGATATTCCAAAAAAGAGATTATTGCTGCTATTATGTCATATTATAAACTTACACTTTATCTCAGGTAAGCGTACCAGGTCAGGAACAATTATATGAAACTTTTATATCACGTGGTTTTGATTAAATGTACTTCGCATAAAAATATCAAAGTATACGCAACAATTGTACATACCACATTTTTGTTTTGTGGCGATATAATACCCACGTCTGTGTAGGTGTCCGTTTCTATGTTATCGCCGAATAGAGCAAAGTTTTTAAGAATGGGCAATATTTAAGGACACGTCTCTTGAAAGATATTAAACTTTGTTGAAACGACTAATCTGCAATTTTGTTGTTATGTACTTGTTTGTGCAAAACAATATGCACGAAAGTAGGTACATTCCGAAGACACAGCAAAGGGTGAACGAGAAAAATCGTAGCGATTATCATCAGAAAAATACGACGCATCAACTTATGATGATTAATTATAATGATATTACAACTTACATAGCTGTTACCCCACAAAACTAGATCTAGGGATAAATTATAAAAACATCTGAACAATTTAAAAATAAATAATATCCCTGTGTTAAATTCAAATCAAACGTAAATTAGCATTGCAACATTCTACAGGTATCTAACTTGTGATTGTATCGTGACAATACACTTTCTCACCTTCCTTCAATTAATGACAAGGTAAACTTCAAGGAAAGTTACCACGTTTTGTCGGTACAATATAAGTTAGAATAATTACTCAATTTCCTCGTGAGCAATGATTAACGTTAACAATAAAATAAATAATATAGATAAAATAATTAATCGATGGCAACTCGACCGGTTTCAATCAGCGGTCCAATTGTTTGCAGAATGTTTAACAAAAACCATCATTATTGGCCGTTATATGAATACGCAAATCCTTGGCTGTAAATCCAAGGACAAGCGTTAAATCCAACGGATAGATGTCGCCTCGATATAATCCTTAACTAGAGTACAATTAGAATTAGAATATTTTTAAGAGTAACTCGAGGACTTCGGTGGCTGGATCTTCAAGTTCCGGGGCAGTTTCGGTTCAAGAAGATCCGTAAAAAGTCCTAAACGACCTTTGTTTAAAACTACGTTAAAATACAATGACATCTCTACTCTTTAGAATAGTACGTTATGTATTCGTGTATATATATATACGAATGTAGATACGTGCGCGCGCGAGTTGTGTGTGCGTGTGCGCGCGCACGTGTGTAACGATATATACAGGATAAGTCTTGTGAAAGGTTTAAAGTCGGTGAGACTTATATACTTTAAATGCACTTCCGTTTTTTGACGAAAAGTAAATTATCCCAGATAGACAGTGATGCAAAATTTGCATTAAATTTGCCTCATATAGTAGAATGGAATAAATCATGAGGGTGTCGCTTATGAGTCCTCATTTGGAATTAATATCTGCAGGACACAATGACGAACCAAAAATACTTAAATATAAAACAAAGTTAAGTATACGCAATGTCTCAATGTTTGTACGCGTATGTACAGCTAAATTTATCTCACGCATTGCCGACAAACAATTGCAGCGTGCGTAGCTCATCTGGGTGGTTTTCCTAGTTGAAAAAAACGCACGAACTTATGCACCAACCCAATTAAATCCCGTCAATTTTGAACCTTTCATGAGATTCATTCCGTATATACGCACATGTGCATATAATGTTTTCCTTAAAAGTACTTTAGGCTGGGCCGAATGTAACGTGGCGGAGGCATCAAGTTCCTTGATAAAGAACTGGTAACATTTAGCGGACAATCGGTTATAAATGTCAGCTAAGTTTTCTGGGAAATCGAAAACTTATAATTATAACATATACCGTCTGACGTTCAACCGAAGCGATGTCCAAATTTGCTAAAATCTTAATATCCACAATATCAACAGTCCGGTCAAGTCAACGTGGTCGTTGCTTATCACCGGAGAGGGTATAATTGAGATTGCAGAAAGAATTGCACTCCGCTTGCAACGCTACAGCTAATATCCACATTTAACTATCAACAAGTACTCGACAGTGAGCGTTAACTCTACGTTAGCGTTAATTCTAATTTTTAGGAAACAGAGAGCGACATCTATGCGTGAAAAATGTGACGAGCCGATTTTCCGATTGGACAAATAACGATGACATAAGACGAATTTTGGTCGTCAAGTGTAGAGGAAAATTATCCGGAACGCAACTATATCCGGCGATAAATGAATAATAAAATATGATTTAAACGTATCGTTAATACTTATTGTCCTGTCATTTTCAATCAGAAATTGACGGGGTGGAAATGTTATTTTTCACGTTTAGTATCTAACCACGTGACGATATTTTTCCACAAGTTAGGGGTTTGCGAATTGTTTAAAGAATCTGCAAGAATCACGGTTATCTACGTTTGCCAGATAGCTTTTTCTTCATTTATTAAATTATGACTAAAAGTATACTTATATGAGTATTTTATACCGTGCATTTGTATGGTTCTCTGAAACTGCATGACATGAAATGATCCTCGCCAATAAGTTCTCATATGTAAGGAAAATTAAATCTTTATGGATTTGCAAAGTTAAATTGTTGAAAAAAGAAACGATAAATATAGCTTCGCGTATAATCTAAATGATGCCAAAATCTTGAATAAAAAGAAAAGTACGCTACTCCAGGGCTAAGAAAGGACGACGTTACCAAAAATTGTCACGGGGCTCATGTTTGACAAATTTTCGGAGACGTCCTTCTAACCCCGAGGGTACTTTCAAAATCAAACAAACATGCAGAAAAATCGCGCGTTTCATATAAATGATATATTATAATATTGCTATAAATTTCTTGCGTAATGAACTTTGAGTGGTAATTTTTCACATGCAAGATATACATATTCCACGTGTCCTAAAATGTACAAGTTATGGCAACCGTAGATACGTGAACACTGATTTTTCCTAACTCAAAGATTTATCTTCTAATGAATTAATTTAAATTTTATACGACTGACGCGATACAGTATTTTCAGGTTTTATCACTAATAAAGTCATGGTACGGAATCGAATAGTAAAAATAGGCTCGGGTCGTATAGTTAATATCGCATAGGCACTTCTCGTTCACCCGTTCATAATTTCGGAATAAAACCAAAATTAGATACATTCAAAGGATTTGTAACATTTCAGAAGGATAGTCATCTTATCGTTTCGTACTTTTTATCTTTAATAGACATTGAAATATCTCTATAGGCCAAATCGTTGAATCGATCATACCGTTTCGGCCGATTCGTGAACTTTTTAAATTACAGATTTTCATCCTACGTGATTCTGATATTGCACATCCTTGATTGGGTTTTCGTGGATCACCTTTTTTAATTCCGACGAACGATAAAAACTGAACGATTGCATTGAATGATATGCCGCTTTGGAAGTAGAAATTTGTTGGATAAAAAAAATGAAAGCGTTCCTATGTCGAATATCATATACTTGGACACTGGAGAGGAAATAGACGCGGCGAAGCGGGCTCGATCAAGATTTCCTTTTAAATATAAAGTCTTTAAACTGATTACTCAACAGCAAAAATTACAAATAGCCTAGAGTCGCATAGGTCTTTACGTAGGGCGCATCCACTCGACAGTTTTCCCTGAAACAGAAGAACCAGTTGTCGTTTTCATTCAATCATTCAGTAATTATAGCACAAAAAAGCAGAACTCGTCGTCCATTTGCGCATTTTATACCAGTAAATAATAATTAATAGTTGCATAACATTATCTACGCTACTTCTGCGACATTCTAGTCTTGAATATTGATTGAAGATAAAACGATCGGATACGGATAGATTGCCCTTAAAGTTTTTCTCAACTCGAAGCAACTGCTGTAAATGTAGAAGACTAACGCGTAAACTAACATATCGAATTTTGTCGTCTGGCTCCGACTGTCGATGACACTATTGAAGCGGGGTACTTACTCGTCCTCCCATGGGCACACCTCGTTAACATTATTGTCTCGCTGCACCTGACCGGTGGCAGCGGCAGCTGCCTGCGCCGACGTCGCTTCGGGCTCCCAGACCGGCACGACTTGCGCCTCTTCGGCGACCTCTTCCGCTTCCGCCGCGGCGACCCCGGCAACGTTTTGAGCAATTTCGCCCAAGTCGTCCTGACCGACCTCGGCCACGGAGGCTTTCCTTTCGCCGACCTCCGAGGCCCTCCGCGAGGTCCCGGCGGGGCTCGATAGCAATCCGCCCTCCACCACGGGAGATAACGCGATCTCTGCCTGAAAAGGTGAAACCCAAGAGGGCCGTTAATATTCAAGCACCCAGTTTGGAGAAAAGTTTCATGAAAGATTGACTTCGTCCGCTTCTACGAAAATTAATATAAAAAGTCGAATTTTCGCCAAACTTTGGGGGGTTGTTTCTTCCCTTAAATGTGGACTATTGCAGATAAAAAAAAACACGTGCCCCTTAGATTTTTGCGTTCTTCAACATGTATGAAAATCGGTAAGATCGACGACGGACACTTGGGAAAGTTTCCTTGTAAGGACGAAACGTACCTCGAGTTCACCGACGACGAGGGGCGGCGTCGTCGCCAAACCGGGGAGGTTCTCGGTTTCCAGGGAGGGCGAAGGTTGGATCCTCCGGACCAGCCCCGGCGCCTCCTCGAGGACGATGGAGGCGACGCCGGGGTGCGCCTCCGCCGGCGACGGCGACGGATTCACCAGGTCGAAGGACTGCCGAGGCGAGGGGAAGGTGCAGGAGGACATCGAGGCCGAGGAGCGGGCGGTGTCCGAGAGCTTGACCCGGGGCGTCGCGGCGACCGCGGCCAGCTGGAGGCCGCAGGAGCGACGCAGCCGGTCCGACGCCTCCGCGACGGCCAGGCTGATGTCCGACGAGGAGCTGCAGGAGTCCAGCTGGGAGGAGTTCTTCCGCGACTGCAGCCTCGGGTCGGGCCCTCCCTCCAGGAGCGTCGGGGCCAGACTGGGCCCGGGCCCCGGCCCCGACGGCGGCGCCGCGTCCCACGGACACACGTCGTCCGCCGGCGCCGCCTCCGTCGATCCGCCGGCGTCCCTGCTGATAACGAACGACCGATTGTACCATTTGCGAGATCCGGCCGGACGGAATCTGGATTTGGACCATGGGCCTAAGAATACATGGACGGAGCCCAAAGTTACATCTTGGACCGGGGGGACAAGCCGGCAAGTAGAAAAAGGACACCCTCCTGCTTCGCGATTCCTGTGTGCTCTAACTTATTTTTTTTTGCCCCGTCTGGACGTAAAACGTCATTTTTAACCTTCGTTATGCTACGGGTGGTATAAAATTGTCCTTCATCCCCTGTTTATCCGTTCACAGTCCGCACCGCTCTTTCCTAGCTCCTCTTAAGGGATCATATGCAGTTGTCATAGGCGAAATTCAATTCATTTCATTCATGAACGATTGAACTTTCGGATGCCACTTTCATATCACCTTAACTGCATTTATTCAAATAGTTTTCAAATTAACAAACGGGACATATTCGTCGAAAGATAGTTTACACGGATCAATGAATTTTAGAAGGTATCTGCTCGCAGGATTAGAAAGTTTATCAGTGCGAACAAACGAACTGGTTTAGGAATGGTGCCATTTACCATTTGGCATATCTTGATATCTGTAGTTGAGGTGTAAGTATCGGGTCTTTCGTTCGTACGAAATTCTAAATCTGTATTCATATATAAATTGCTTAGAATTTGAATTATTTTCTTGAAGAAAGACTTTTTGAAAACGATCAGCATTCCTGCTTTGTACGTTGTACGTAATTAACGTTTGTACGGCGGAAGAACAAAAAGGCGAGAAGTCACAAAATAGTGCAGGTAATAACGCGGAAGTGGGTAGAAAAAATGAAAAGTAAAAGAGTGCAAGCAATATACATAGCAGACAAACCATTAATAAACACGTAAATGTGCCTTGCCACTTTGGAAAAAGAGGAAACGAAAAGAATATATGCACACAAAAGGCGATGAAAAATAACAGAATCCGCATAAATTTTATAGGATTAGCCCCTTTTATATTTCCGTATTTTTATTCCTATCTAACGAACGTTTAACGCAAAATGTACGACGGTAAACCAAGTGTGCAATAAATCGGTTGGAAAAAATGGGACAGCACGGAATCTCATTTTGAAAAGGAAATAACGTAAATATTCCATCATTCTTTCTAATTGTGATTTTTAATGTTTAAATATTAGCCGTTTAGGATGAAATCTCCAGTCGTTAAGTTCGTTTTGCTTTTCAATTGCCTGTTTCTTTCCACCTTATGGTCCGGTTTATATAAGTTCGTTTTAAGCTTACAATAAAAAAAAAAAACGCTTAAATTAATATGGTACAATTGACTATAAAGATATAAACGAGTAGGTATGTCTGAAGTATAAGGGAAAAACCGCGCATCGGCCAACTCACTCGGATAAGAACCAAAATTAGGTACACTGTTAAAAAAATTCATACACTTTTAGTACACAAGGTTGCAGTAAAATTATAAATTTTATGTCTTAAATGTTACACATTTTATTTGAAAATATGTTATAAAACTAGTACACCATGTCTGAATAAAACATCCAAGAAAAATGTTATAAAATCGTGACTTTTTTTAACAGTGTATTTGCCAGAAGAAGAGTCAATGCAGGAACAAATAATCAAGAATACACGTACACACACGCATTAACGACAATAAAGAGATTGGGTTATCGAATAGTCGTCGGAAGACGAGTGCGACACCATCGATCATAAGAACGAGACGATGTCGGAGAACGCTGGAGGTTTAGTCTTGAATTAGAAGAGATTTGAAAAACACCGATTCACAACCACTTAACAGAATCGAGTATATAGTAAGTGAACCACTGACACAAGAATTTAACGAGAAGCATCGTGCGTTTTCGAGTGGACTTACTGAATACTACGTGGACTAGGCCTTGAAGGAATCTTTACGAGACGAGCCAGATCTCCCCTGAAAACATGCCACGAATCAGGGGACGTTTGACTCCTTCGTCAAGTTTTTTCGCTCAACTCGTGTCCGCTCAAAAGCCCTCAAAGCTTCTAAAATCACAGCCCCACGTGGTCGATCAAAATATAGGAGCTCGACGCCATTTTGGTTCTGGTCTGGGCGAATTTAAAAATATTTCTTCATCGATCCAAATTTTCAAAGTGCCAGGATAATTCCTAAGCGCTCACGAGTCATGTGGCAAAGTTTCGGACAGTTCAACTCAATACCCTTAAAAAAGTGTCTTATTTGAATCGAGTGATTTGAGGGGGATTTCACTTCACCTTAACTTGTCGAATCTTGGAGATAATAACTATTTTAATATTTCAGCCGTGCGAGTTCTAGAGGAAACTTTATTTTTATGAAAATGCACCTCCGCAAGGTTGTGACAAAAGAAATGCGCAATATGCGAATATCGTTGAAAAAACTCAAGTGACCTTTACACCGCAAAAAGGCAAGTGATAAAAAACGGCTCCGTTCTACTTAAGCGTCCTCTGATACCACGATAATCGATAATCCTTGAACTTTTCCTTTATTGTTAATACGTGAATCGGAACAATGCGTTATGATAAATATTTCTCTACGGAGGACCTCTAAGTTAAGGGATCGCAATATATACGGAACATATATATGTGATACATATGCGAAGGGAGGATGAAAAATCTATTTGAGCTTTTCCTCGTATCGATAAAGTAAGAAATTTCTCACGGGAATTAATAATTAACGAGTACACACCTGTACGGAATGTCGGTGAGATTCGATTGGCTGTGAGAATGGGGAACCCTGGGAGTCATCGTTACGTCTCGAACTCCGCAGAAGGCGAGCTCATGTGCAGATCCCGAGAGGCTTCTGTCGCTTCCTCTCCTCTTCCCGCCACTCGTGCCGATCGTCGAATGCTGTTGCTGCAAAGTCCCGGTAGCTGGCGCCGTAGTTGACGAAGTTTTCTTCTTGGCCTGCCCACCGAATCCGAAGAACCTGGTACCCCGGATTTCACTTTAACCCTTTCATTAGTCAACGTTCAAGCCGCGTCGATACCCCGGTTCTCGTAATCTATGTTTGAATCTAAATGGTAAATTACCAAACCCTCAGAATTTTCGATACACCGAAAGACCAATACCGCAACGTTAATGTGACAATAACAAATAAGAACCACACAAAAATACCAACAAACATACATACAAGAACAAGTACTTGTAAAATTGTCATAAGAAGGTTTTTTCGAAATAGCTTTCCTTCAACATTCTTCAAATTCACAATAATGTCAATTAAGAAACACGGTGTCAGATATAATCTCTGATCGGATATGCGAAACCTAGATTTAAGATTTAATACTGCGAACGAACGGGGATAGCGTTAAGCAAAGTTCACTTGGAGCAGGCACTAGACTATATTTGTATCTAGGATACTCAATATATTTTTTATATATTGTTATAAAATTATATCTGTATAATTACCTCCTGTTGAATAAACAAATGTAAAAAAAGAAAAGGTTCTCATAAAGTCACCGAAGTTAACGACGTCGGGCGCGGTCGCTCCTTGGATGGGTCACCATAAAGGAGGGGCATCGCGTAGCGTTATCTAAGGTATTCCTCCGTACCTTTGAAGATGGTATCAACGATACGACGATAATATATTTTTCGTAAATTACCTTTTTTTCTGCATGGGCTGAATCCCCGCGGCCAACAGATTTCTGTAATGCTCCGACCGAACAAATCTCGGGTAACAGTCCTTCTTGAGAAGCAGCGCATAGACGTGCTCGGCAGCAGAATCGAACGTAAATCTGCTGGGGTTTTTCATTTCTTGGTGCACCTTTTCCATCGTTTTGCCGTCGATGTTGATCTCGCACGGTGCCCCTGGCGCCAGGAATTCCCTATGAACGGGAAGGAGGAAATTCAAAGATCCTTTCTTTGTCGTTAAGATGATGCGAAAGTTCCGTCAAAGAGGTTTCGTTCATGAAATTTTTCTCCAAACTGAGTATACTAAATCGCTTCAAGCTTTACAATATAAATACGGAGGGTATAAGGAAGATCCTGAAACCCATGAAATTTCAATTTTTCAAATTTGTTCACTGATATTTTTTAAATTTGCTATAAGAAATGAAATTTTGCGAGGGTCAGGACCTTCCTTATAGCCTCCATGTTCGCGTTGTAAAGGTTGAAACGATTCGGCACCCCCAGTTCGGAGGAAAGTTTCGTGAACGATTGACTCTTCGGCTGCCATTTTCACATCCCCTTAAAATATCACCGACGCGTGTAATAAACACGGATGGAACTTACTCAAAAATTTCGTTTACTTTCGCGGGTATTTGCGCTTGGAAGCTCCGCCTGAGATCTTTCACCGCAAGCCAGAACCGAATGTTCTCGTGGCTGTACTCCTTCCTCAGATAATTGGTAAATTCTTGCAGACCTGCGTAAAATGGCGATAAAGATCGATAGTTTCCCTCGGGAGCTGGATGATTCTTCTACGGTACCAACCTGTCGGATCGGACGTTAATTCCTCCAAAGACAATGCCCATCTTTTCACGCGCTTTTCCGTAGGAACTTCCACCCTGAAGCACGTAAGGATCACCGTTATACCGCGTAAATTGATAGCTATGTCGAGGTCGACATAAAGCTGCCATTAATTCCGTTTATATCTAGTTATAAATGAAGTAACCGAATTACTAACAGCGGGCTGTTTAGTTGCCAAAACATCTGATCGTCCGTAATCCAGGGATTCGAAGGTTGCGGCTGTACGATCATCGGATCGTACTCCATGTACGTTTCGAAGTACGACTTCAAATTTTCGATGGCACTCGACACCTTTATTCTCGTTCGAGTCAAACTATTTCGTAGCAGATCAACCTGTAAAGAAAATAAACATGGTATGATATATATACAACGGATAATTTCTCTCGAGAGTTTCGTAGCCAATTATAGCAAAAATGATCTCTTAACAATCGCAAACGCGAAACAATCGTCCAGGATGAGCTGGGAAGTTGGCAAGGCTCGGTAGAATAAGAGGGTAAGCAAAATCAGGCCAATGAGAAGAGAACACACGAAAGTGCTCGTAATGGACCATTTGCCCAAGGGAAAGCTACGGATATCGAATATCAGTTTATCTCAGCTACCGACCTTATTTACAATGGTTGAAAAATCTAAATTTTGAAAGTGTCAGGATAATTCCTAGGTGCTCGCGAGTAAAAATTTCGGACGGTTCGATCCAATACTCTTAAAAAAGAGTCTTATTCGAGTCGACAGATTGGAGGGGGGTTTCACTTCACCATAAGAGTAGTAATCTAAACCGACCTCGCGTTGCAGATCGTTGAGGGTGCGCTTGCGAGGCGGAGGACCCGGAAGCCCGGGTCGGGCTCTGGTTGGCACCGGAACTACTTCGAGGCTGCTCAGACATCCGGGCGGTGGTCGATAAACCCTCCAAAATGCACGTTCCTGCGAATCGCTAACGATTTTGTCGCCCTTCTTCCGATCCTTCGACAACCGCACCTAAGAACCAAACGGATTAGGCGAAATGTCCTCTCTTACTTTGGCTGCTTCCAATTGAGCGTTTATTTGAAACCGACGTAAACGCCAACTAAAATATTCTTTTCAAACTTGCCTCCTAATTTCTTTTATCTCTTTCGATATAGTTTTTAATATTTCTCTCCGGTCTGAGAAAGCGGAAAATCTTGTACATCGTAAATTACAGGGGGGAAACGTAGTACTCGATGAGACCGTGCGCCATTTGAAATGTTCATTTTATGCTTCATCCGGCGTCATGTTCAGTGCTGTCATTTGCATTGCCGATTATCAAGGCATAATTAATACCGCATGGCTAAGACCGGGCAAATTGCGCGGACACCGTTAGGCTTTTATTTTCCCGGTAAACCTAGCATCCGGTGTTTTACTGTTAATAGCTTTAAACGGTATGAAACAAATGTGCGTACTCGTATACCGTATGATACCATGTATCCGTTTCCATGCGTGTAAATCGCTCGGAGGGAAGGATAATTTGACGTAATTGCTGGCATCGCATTTTTTGCTCCACATATACACCTGTGGAGGAAACGAGGACTCGATTTCCGAGGGCGAATCGGTTAAAATCGATTATTCATTAGTAACCGTGAAGACCGATTACTAAATCGATCATTCATTAGTAAACGTAAAGACCGATTACTAAATCCAGGACCGAAGTAACCAGAGATGTAAGATAGCGATCGACTCACCTGCTCTTCCGCTTGAAGTTGTATGATGTCCCATTTGTTTTGTAAGTTCTTCCGCAGGCTATTCAAGGCTTCCTGAAATTTACGAGCGAACAAGTTCAGTTTCAAACGGTCAACTTTTCAGGAATCACCGAGTGACTTATCGGTTGTCACGGCGTTTCGTCAAAAACATCATTTTATCCCTGTTCCGATTTATTAATTATGGTTCATATCGAATACCGACAACCATTAAATCGTACACAACGCAAAGAATTAAATAATAACATAAACACTATGTAACGTTATACCTCATAGTGTGCCCGTTTCACAAATGTAGCAAATAAAGACCATAAAAAAGGCTGAAGACTTTTTAGACTTCGACGTACCGTTTCCTTATGAAGTACGCAAGTAACAATTTTCCAAGTGTGGTTATTTTTCGATAAAAGGCAGTACTTGCTTTGTTTACATGTTTGCTTTTGTAGTTCATGAAAAATTAAATAGAATTCACCGAACGGAAGAGGTCACGTTGGACGAATTCATCCCTGTTGTTCAAAGAGTAAAATAGAAGTGCCCGAAGCATTCTTTGTAGACATATGACTTACGATCTCGTAATCCTCCAAAGCGTGTCGTTGTTTGTTCCGTAGAGTACGTTTCGCCAGATAAATCGCATACTCAACGTTGTCGGGTGTTCTGTGCTGCCAAGGCCAATAGTAAGGTGTCTAGAAAAAGAGTTAAAATCTTCATTAAGAGATCTTGTTCTCTATTTGATCGACTGAATTATAAATTGTAACGCACGTCGGCAAGATACAGAAATTGTGCTCGAAACTTAATGAAACCTATTCGATTAAGGTGATATGAAAGTGCAATATATACGTCCCAAAAAGTAAAAATGTTTATACAACTTTTCTTTCGATACTTTCATATCACCTTAAGCTTTTAATAGAACGATGTTTCAGGTGAGCAAGTTCTTGTTTCGTTTTGTCCCTGTTATGCCGTCCATTTCCCTGCTTACGGTAATAATAATTTCAAGAAAAGCAAGAAACGAATCCAAAAACGTATGAATATCCCTTTATTTTCAACGACCAGTTCGAGATTTCCGTTCCACTCCGATTCCTATGGAGACGTATCCGATAAATCGGTAAAACGTGTCACGATCGTTTGCATGAAAGGAGAAATTTCCAAGTGGGTTAATTGACCGGCAATTTGTCGTTGACGGTGAACCGTCGGCCGCCTTTTCTTATCACATTCTGTCTATGAAGAATATTATAATACATTTTTAAGGATGGGTAAAGATCCATTGCACATTCAATAGACGATTGTAATTCAATATATTATATATTATAAATGACTTTTGCTACCGTATCGTTCCATTAAAATGCTCGGAAATCACGTAAAAAATTGAAGACGTCATTTTGACCGATACGCAGCGGTCTCTAATTATAAACTTACAAAAAAGAAAAAAAATATGAATTGCCGGAACGTTTGCCTATTGTTCCAAGACTGGACGACGCATAGAGAATGCCACCTCGCTTTATTTATGCATTGCAACGTATAATACAATGACATGGGGAAATATCCTATATGCAGGATTTCCACTGCATCCAGTGGATGACGTTTGTCACCCAATAACCAGGAGAAAAGCGGCGTGTCCCGCCCGACATTCAATTCGATCCTATAACGAGATAAACTCCTTGCCGTTTGTTTCCTGACCTTGCTCTACGTACACTGAGTGAAAAACCTAGTTACAATATACTGACGGGGGAGTACCGTGGTGGCCTTCTCGCGTCTGAAAAATATTCAGTCGCTCGTGCTCTTAAATGTATTTGGCGCGAAACTCTACCGACTTTCCTAATCGCTCAGAAGTTCCGATAGCATCGTAATCAAGATGACGATGGCTCACCAAGAGAGCAACCTCGGTTAAATCATTGAGTACCTAACCGTAGGTTAAAGTTAAAGCCTAAGTTAATCATGGGCTAAAAACGTAAATGTTCCACCACACTGTAACTGAGGATTAGCTTTTTGACCGAGGTTAGTGGAATCGGGCGCGAGAGACGTCCAGTCAACTGCAATACTTAAGGTAAAGTTGGGTAAATTGCCCACTGTTTTTAAACATGCCAATAGCAACGTTTTTGGCAGGGTATTTTAGTAAACGAATTCATATTTCATTTATCTGTGAAATTCTGCACGCAATATACACACATAAAAGTATATAAATATCGTTTAACCCGGTAGACGTTCAAATCAAATATTCCTTACAGCGGTACGATTTAAACGACGCATCTTGTAAATTGTCCCACCAGGTGGGTAAATCGTCCTTTTTTATTATAATATGGCTGGTAAAAGTAGCTACTTTACGCACAGGCGTAGGAAAAAAATCTTACCTCACTAATCTCACCTTAATATACAAAATGTTGATTTCAATTAATTAAACGAGTCTAAAGACATGCACATAACTGTACCGTAACTGAACTAAATTTTAACAAATACCTATATACCCACGTTACGTTCAATTAGTCGAAAGATATTAGCGCATTTTTATATAGTTAATTTATAATTGATCGAAAAGCCTTGGTTAATTAGACAATAATAAGAATTTAATATCGAGATCGGCGTAACTTCAAATCGGCACGTAGAGTAGCAACTCCGATCGCGACGTAACGTCAAGTTGAAAAAGTTGACAAAAGTCGATGAAAGACAAAGCACCTAATTAGAAAAACCAAAAGAGAAAAATAAAGAGGAAGAGCTGCGTTATTTGAATAAGGATTTACCTGAAACCTATAAAGAGAGCTGTCGTCCTTAACCGTGAGAGTTTTGGAGTCGTTGACCGGGAAGAAGTAACCATACTGGCAAAGTTGATTAGCGATATGGACCGCCTCTACTGTCAACAGAATTATTAACTGTTATCCTCTCGCTCGCAAAATTGCACACTCTAAAAGGCGATCGCATGCACGCTTCATGCCCAAAAAAAAAAGAAAATAACTCGATCGCGTTTACCTCGAAATTCACCAAAATTATTAACAGAGCAATCCCTTAGATTTCGTAGTTACTTTCCGACGCCGTTTGCTTTCTTACGGGTACAAACATACAGCAAGGGAGTAGAAAGAATAGCGAATTCAGTTTTATCTTAAAAACATGTAGAGTAAAAGATTTTTCATACATTGCACTACCTCGGAACATAATCGTCATTATATTCAGCAGTTAAATCGTTTTCCGGAAGTACCTCTTAAGGGGATGTGAAAGTGGCGTTATCTAACACTTTTATATCACCTTAAGAGCAAAACCATCATACCGTCGTATGAACGTTTGATCTAACGTTACCGTTTTACCTCATTTAAAGGGCTTTACCATAGAACCCTTTAGCCGCAGATGGCTTTGTGTAACGTGATCGTAAACCCCACAGCCATAAACATTGATCGCCGTTGAACCAGTGTTATGGCTATCATTTTTGTCCCGACTGTTGGCGATTTGACGTCAATCAACCCTTTTATAGAATTTGACCACGCATCGTTGCATCGCAAGTCAACGTAAATTTATTCGATTAGGACAGGACATCATTGTCGAGTTACTTTGACGCGTTGCCCCTCCTTCAAAGATAATTACCGTCTTTTTCGGTATCCACGCAAATTACCTCGGTAGCTTCATTACTCTCGGGCTAGGTACTTAATCGCCGATTAAAATTAACCACCGCCTCGTTATTAGCACCGATTACGTTTCTAAGTACCCTTGATTGGATTCAAATAATTCGTTATCGATCTAAACTTTCGTCCGATTTAATTCCACCTTAGAAACAATTTTGGAACTCCTCCTGACAGGACGATGCAAACATCGTGAAAAATGTAATTCGTTATCACGTTGCCTAATCGATTCAATCGGTTTAAAAATATGTCGAGGATATCTACAGGAGCATCTCCAGTCGCAGAAACGGTGAACCCTATTAAGATTCCCTTCCAGCACCAATCTCCTTCGTTTCCGCCTTATTTCCGTTCGACGGCCGACTTAACGTGGCAAGTGCCAGAGTAATTAACTACGGTAATAGACGTTCGATTGAGTTTCCTTCTTATCGTTCGTCTTGAAAGCTGGCGATCTTTCCTCTGCTTAAAATCTTATCGCAATGAACGACGAAATTGATCGTTCGATGATTTCATATCTACCAAGTACGAGATAATAACTGCTTCGCTTTACGCCCCATTTGTAATTATTACTATCATATATCTCAAACGTCATCGTGAGAAAAAAATGTAAATTTTTAAATCATGTTAATCACCATGTTGTATATGGAATACGCAAATCGGCATATCCTAAGGTATTCCTAAACGCGCACAAATTGATTTGTGTTTTATTTACTTGTTATATTAAATTACCGGACTGACAAGGGAATATGATTCATTCGCGATGACCGATGCACGATATTAACGTAACGATGAACGATATCCCGTGGCGATTTATTTCATGGAAGGAATGCACATCCATTCTTTACAGAAAAGATACGATGGCATGGAGAGCAACAAAAGTATCGAAAATAGCCAATACATTTTTCCGACGGTCCATTTCCTCCTCATCTGGTCTAATATATCGGCAGTATCGACAAGTTCCTATCGATAACTCGCCCGAGGAAATATCGATAATTAATCGGTTTAAGATGTCGAGACCTTCCTCGTTCGATTTGCAATAACTTTTGGCATCAAAAGCGAATTCTGAAAGCAAAGCGATACGAAATGGTTTCGCTACAATTCAGCCATAAGTCCGATGAACCTCGAGGTCAACTTTCGAGTGAATTGAAACAAAGAGTTGACTTTACTTACACATGCACTTGAACCAAACTCGTAATAAAGGGCAAAGAAATCATTTGTAGCAGTTACGCCATTCGTACACTAAACGAAGAAATTACTTTCTAGAATAAAAACGTTCTTGCATCAAAATAAATTTTTACATACTACCATCAACAAAACATGTTGCAAGATCGATCGAATAAAGTTAATATGAATTTGAAATAACATTCAAATTTTCTAATAGCTTCTCCGAGTTTTTTTTTTATTCATTTCCATTAATTTTCTCTATAGAAACGTCGTAGAGTAAGACTTTAATAATATTCTGGGACCAAATTAGTATTAGAATTTCACTTTCGGCACTAATCTCTATCGAATTATCGCGATGTTAATATCTCGTCATACCTGATTCCTCGATGGCAAGTCGCTCCATCAGCCACTCGATTAGGTCGTAACCTGGAACATACAAGTAATACGTTAAAAACGGAAACTCAGTGCATGCCGGTAGATTCGAAAATGACAAGAGAGGGACAACCCGTCCGCATTTAGCACCTCTATAATTATTTGGTAAAATTTCAGACGAATCGATTGACGGCATTTTTAAGGAAAGTGTATCCGCGGAATTTGCTTGTCACCGAACAGTAAAGACCATATTTCATGTCGCCGTATGACGAACAAATGCACGCTCGTGACAGCTCGTAACAAGTAATTGAACGGCTAATTGGGAGCGATATTGAAATCGTCGATTCCGGAACCGAGCACGAAGCAGCTGTTCTCTTATTTTCATCCGGCCGTTTTCCGATTTCGATTACATCGACCTCGCGATTGGATCTATTGGAAAACGAGCCATCGAATCTCCGCATCTAGCGGACGACAATTTTTCGGGTTATTGGCATTGAAAATATTTCGAGAAAATATTTCGATAAAGCGAAAGCGAATTCGGACCCGGCCTCGGTGTCCCGGAGGTGGCCGAGTTGGACGGGCCTTTGGTCGATCGGACAAGAGAAGCATGGATCGACACTTACCCATGAAAGCCGAGGGTATCGAGGTGAGGAATTGTTTTTGGCTGCGCACGGGTACCCCGTTCTCAGGGTCTTGCATCTCCCGCACCAGCCCCTCCATCTTGTCAAAGGCACATGGCCTGTGAACGCGTGGGTCCTTCTCCCTGTGTTGTTGAGTGCCGGAAGCCTCCATCGCGTTCGGTGGTGCCCTCCGCGCCTCTGGCAGGAGCAGCGGCGACGGGGAGATGGGCCGGAGACGGGCCTACCCGAACTCCATGGGGCTCTGGCCCCATCCCATCCCGGCTCCGGTCACCCCCGCACGTCCACTGCAACGATCAACGAGTCGTCCCTCTTTAGACTGCCCCTCGAGCAGGGTTAGGTAATTGCGCGTATTTTGCGTTTATTACGTAAGACAAGTAGTTTACCGAACAATTTTCGCCCCATTGACCGTAAACCCGATACCTGTCCCGAATTTGTTCATCCGGATAACAAATGCGTCGTAAACGGAATAGTAGGGCTATAAAGGCATATCCCTTCTGTCGCATGTAGGAATAACGTAACTTCTGAATGTCTAAATAAAGAGATGTATCTTTATGTTCCCTAATCGCAATATCTCAACGTTTATCGACTATTCTCCTTGCACGCAAATCAGGAAAGTATCCGTCTTAAAATGCTAGACGATTCGCGTGTGAGAAATTGGACGACTCGGGACACGCTCCTTCTTGTCACCGAGACTCGAAATACGAGGTAATATGGGGGAAACGGGAGAGATACCATGTTTTATTCAAACATTCATAACTTATGGCAACCGTAAACGGGAAAGAAAAGATACGTCTCTATTTGGAGATCCCATTAAGCTCGTTTTTTCTATTTTTCGTTCCATTCGGGACCGAGACACGCCAATTAGTTTTGCTCGCGTCGTTTTTCATTTTCCCCGACGATTGCAATTGCGCAGGGCATTGCACCTACACCGAGGCAACGCAATTTGTTTAACAGGCGAAGTAAAATACGACATTGCGATTGATCCTCCTGCAGTCGCCTGCAGACCGAACGGAACGATGCAGCCATGTTAATTATTTTCTTAGGAATACGCTGTTAAAAAAATGTATATACTTTTAACGGTGGTACTGGCGAAGATATATATTGTACATTTTATTTGAAAATATGTTATAAAATTAGTATACCATGTGTGAATAAAGCTTTCAACCAAAATGCCATAAAATTGTAATATTTTTTTAAACGGTGTACTAAAAACGTTGGGCAGGAAAAATAACTCTAGCGCGTTCCTCGCAAAGTGGTAGGAATTTTTAAACGTTCGTACAGTCAACGTTAATTGAAACGTTTCACCTAACCCCACTTTCCCCTGGAATGGTTCGTCCGATGTGAAAATAATTACGCGACGCAGGAGGAAATCGCTCGGCTCGCGGTGGACAAAGGGAGCGAAAGTGTCGCGGCGAGCGCACCCATTATTAATTGGCAGAGTCAAGAGCGAAAGAGCACCCCTTCGTATGTCCGTAAACGCAGTCGCGCCGCCAGGTAAACAAGAGTTACCGATGTTTAAACAGGCCTTCCTCCAGAAGTTTAATATCCTCCTTTCGGCATCATTTTTTTCTTTCTCTCGCTTTTTGCGTCCAGATTCGAGCTATTCGACGGTCTAGAAGAACTCTTTGACGCCACTTTCGCACCACCTTAACGAACGGCTTCCACGTACGTGTAAACAAAGGCGAATAGTCAATTGGTTACCACCAATATTTACAGGGCATTTCATTTCCCACTAAATGGGTGCTTTGGATCGTGTTCGCGCGTGGGCCGAAGACGTAAATACTAGGTCTAGAAACCGGACAATCGGCGCGTTACTTTGCAAACAAAAAGTGTTACATAAACTACCGTCGACTGGGTTAAGGGAATGCGAAAGTGGCATTACAGAGGTCGATCGTTTAAGAAACTTTTCGTCGACCTGGGTCCCCCGAATAGTTTTATGAACGATTGAGCTTCCGGATGCCACTTTCACCCCATCTTAACGACGGGAATTAGATTCGACCAGCGTCAATCGATCAAGGGGAAAGGAATAACGCCATCGTTGCGATAAGACAAATCCGAGTTTGCGATTGAAAATTTAGCCCGTTGTCAAAGTCGTACCGAGTGATCCGGAGCTACGGAAACAACACCCATAAGAGATCCCCTCGGACGTACAAAAATGAATTTCGTAATTTGTTAAAGTCAGAAACTTGCAGCCAATTCCACGGCAGTTCGTGTTTTCCGGAAGGGCGATCGCGAGGCGCAATTGGACCGGCGAAAGAGCGCATTTTCGTCTCGTTCCGGCACGACAAGAAAGCCGAGTGGGTTCCAAGGAACAAAGGGGGTGCGAGCCGTCCGCCCCGCGACGCGCACGTGCGCGGGGGCGTCCTCCTACCGAATTCGAAGTACTTACTCGACGAGTCCGGAGGGCGAAGAGTCATGGGCGCGGGTGGAGGCCCGCCGGGTCCATCGGGCCCCGTGGCGCCCGCTGCCCGTCCGCTCTCGTCCACCTCCGTTTACCCGCCGGCGGGCATCCTCGTCGCGATGCGCGCACACGCGCCCAGGGGGAGAGAGAGGGAGCGAAAGGGGGAGGGGAACGAAGAGGACGGAAACGGAGAAAGGGAGAGAAGGAGCCACCGCACCACACCCCCGCTTGGGAAGAAGACCGAAGGCGGCGAAACGAGGCGACGTCGCGCCTGTCGCGTCTGTCGCGCCTGTCGCGCCTATCGCGACCACCGAGCGGCGACTCCGACGCGACTCCCGGTTGGCTCTAGAGGACTCGAACGGCGACGAGTCTTGCGACGACGGCCGACAGCGGAGACATGTCGCGACTCGTCGGGACGAGCTCGGCTTCGGCCGGGCTCGGCCGGCCTCGGGCGGCCTCGGCCGCGAGCCAGCGCAGGAGCTTGCACGAGGCCGCCGAGGCGCCCCCTGCCGCCCTCTGCGCCCGCGCCGCCCCGGCGACGGTCACCGACCGCGCTTGCGCCCTCCAGCTTACCTCTGGCCTGGGGACTTATTGATCCGGCGCCGATATAAATGCGGCCGCGTCGCGCTCCGCTTTCAAACTTCTGCCGGAGCCGGACGGGGTCTCGTTTCGATCTCGATCGCGGAGAGGACTCGCTCTGGAAATCGTGGATTTTAGCGCTCGAAATCACGTGGGAGCAGGGAATCGGCGGAAATCATTGAAAATACTGTCACGATTTTAAGGCCGAACTTGTTCCCGGATCGCATTGTTGCGTAGCGTATGAAATCAAGGCACTCGCCTCGAGGAAAGGAAAATCGTTTTCACGGATTTGCAGGTGAACGGCCCCTCGGAGAAGTCGCTAGATTTTCTCCCTAAGAATCCACTATAGGTCCGGGGATCGACTAACGGCGCGAATAAATCGATTTTCCGAATTTAATGCGTTAAGGTGACGATAAGGGTATTTTAACGTAGGTGACGTATCGATGACATTTTGGAAACGAATTTGTCATCTCACGTTTGGACGTGAGAACCGACAGAAATGACGTTACGTTTTTTAAGGGAGCCTCCGCTCATCGGATCCATTCCCTCGTCGCTTTCTCTCCTAAGAGAGAGAGAGAAAGCACGTTGCACTCGGTCTCGTTAATTAACGCTAAACCCTCCCGTAACGAGCAGGGCATTCGTATGCGAAAACGAGAGAGCGTAATAGAATTTTTACGAGAAGACATTTCTAAAGTGTCCGACCTGACCAAACATATAAAACTAATATATACCTTCCGCACCTCTTTATCATCTAAATGTTACCCAGTACGAGCGTTTTCAAGTAACATTTCGATGGCTGAGTCCGGGGATTCGACGACTGCTCTGGAGGAAATGCTAGGAAATGCAACAACTAACAAACTCTCGAAAATATCCGATCGAGGGCACCGAAGGACTCTCGAGAAATACAAAACGAGCGAACTCGAAGCTGCTTCGATTCGCGTTCGCGACTATATTTACGAGGTGGAACGATTAAGGGCACTCGGCGGGGTCACGAAATCGCGGAAGACAGTCCTTGGGATTTTCCGTCCGTCCGGAAATGGAGAGATAGGTATACGGATTTCTGACAGCGAGGTTGACGCGTAACGGTGCCTTTATCGAGTGCCGTTCCCAGTAAATTACCTACCGTTTCTGCGCACCAGGATATCCGCCTTCCGGAAATGTTAGACAGAGGCGCGCCGCCGCGTTTCCGGTCTCCACGACGCGATTCCACGGTTCTATCCAAGCTTGCCATGATTCTCTGGGAACTACTTAAAGGGCTATACCACTGTAAAGGTAGAAAAAATTACACATTTTCGACCATTTTTTTTTCCCTCAAAAAGTACTGCACATAATGGTACAAACTTTTTTTTTCCACGTATATATAGAATGTCCCTTTCGTATTAAAGTTCCTATTTTTCTTCGTGTAAGATCGACGGCGACAACTCGAGTCGAGCTGAAACTATGACACGGCCGGCGTAACTAGATTCGCGTGCTGAAACCGACGTCCACGTGGTCCGTTTTCCTAATTAATTAGCGAAACCCGAATGTTTCTCTTGGAACTGCCTTTCAAAGCCCCTGCGGAGTAGCCGCCAAGTGGTGAGATCGCTCAACTCTCCGGCAAAATTACTTCGAAGCGACGCCGCTCCGAGCGCTGTGACGCAATTTCACTTTCGATCGCGAATCGAGCGAGGCGATGCGATCCGTAAATCGAGAGCCGCGATCCACCGATCTTTTACGAGTCTTGCGATCCTATCGGTGACCGTAACGGCCATTTTCATCGATCGAACGTAACGTTCCACGGCGTGTTTATTGTTTTTTTAAGATAACATGACCGGAATCGTGCACCATTTGCAAAACAACCACACGATAAACGATTTGCCTTATGATAGCGAATATGACCCTTATTCAAACCTGACTCGTAGCGTTGAAAGACGTATTTTAGAGTACTTTAGTGGAATATATCAACTTACTACTCCTCAGGATTTGATACATAATGTATATTTAACTTACTCGTTAGTACGTACAGACATAAGGTGAATCGTTCACCCTGCAAGGAGCGCAAGGCGACCTAAACGACGTTAATTAGAGCCACTTTACGAAGTTAATTGAACAATTACGTTTAAGACATACGCTCAATGTAAGACGAGCAAGAAATTCTTGGGTCGATGAACGATTTTTCGAACTCACGGGTGATCGCGAATGTTAAGACTATTTTAGTAACTATTTAGAATGTCGAATCGAGACGAGAACGCGGAAAAGCGCAGGGAGTACTCGCTCTCACGGGGGATATTCCGTGAGACGTTCGACTAATCTCTATCGGATTAATTTGATCTCGAGGGACCTTCTAGGAAGCGGTTAGCCGCTGCCGAGAAGAACGTCAAAACCTTTGCCACGGGAGCGACTCGAAAATTGAGACTCGGATCGTGAGAAGTACCATTTCGGAGGTTTCACCGCGCAACGCGGATATCTACAAAGTTTCTACAAAGGTAGCGTGACGCGTCTTGACCTTTAACTTACGGAATCATTCGCATGCCGTGATGCAATCGCCCCAAGAATTCCTTCTCTGTACAAGTAGAGAGAAGCAGAGAGTGCTCGTGTCCAGGGTTTCGCTTAGCGATCCTCCACCGAAACCGTTCCACGCTTATAATTAGTACGGGCACGCTCCTTGTTTCACGTAAGGTTCGAACGTTACGCCGTTCAAAAAAATAGTTGAGAATTTGAGAAGTTGAGAATTTCATATACGACTTTCAAACGTTGACCAATGAGACGCGACTTCGCAGCAGCAGGAAATTTTACATGCGTATCTATTCGTACGCGAAAAAGATCCCTATGAATTCGAGAATCGGGTCCCAGGCTTTGCACGACAACGGAAGGCACAGCTTTTGCGGCCTCTAGAATCCGCGGATTCGAACATCACCGAGGCCAAGAAGCAACGGAACCGAGGAATCCATCGGCATCGCCCAGAACGTCGATCGGAGATGAATCCGCGTTAACCAGGCATGCAGCTGGCAATTTCCCAGAACGGATCGCCCCACCACGGCAACATCGTAACGCAACGATAGTTTTTTTTTTTTAACGTAGGCGGTTGTTAAAAGATCGGTGTAACCATGAAATAGGATAAGGAGACAACGCCTATGGTCGGTTGAAAGTGGCCCCAGCATCTCAGATTTTCTCTGATCCAACGATGCTAGCGCTACAAACGATAATCCGCGCATGATACACGGAATGTGACGTTTTTAACGCGATCAAGAGTAACGGCCGGGGTAGCGGACGATAATTTTTAATCGCAAAATTTCATCGAGGAGGTGCTCCCAGCCCTAGATCGAAAAAAAATCTGAAGATCTGGGACCTCTAAAGTGGGGAAGATATTGATACATGACGTTGTATCTCCTTATCCCGTTTTGTGGGTGTAACGTTCAGAAGAGAAGCAACGATCGATTCGGCCTGTGCATTAAGGTCGTCTCTCATAAGTTGCGGGCGATGGTCGTGCGCAGGGTTGGGTAATTCCTCATTTTTCGAGGTATTTGACGGATATTACGTAAACAAAGTACTTTACCGGAGAAAATCGTAAAAAAAAGGTAAATTACGTTTCCAATATGAAGAATGCCGCGGATGGACGATATACCGCTTCTGCCAGGTCGTAAACTTCTTTCAGCATATGTAAACACGTAGATATTTTGAAGCAAAAATAAATTATATCGGCGCTTGCGTTGCAAATTCTTAAAAATTTTTACGTTTCCATCATGGTGGGTGCCGTAGATGCACGATATACGTATTCGATTGGTTACGAACGTCTTTTAGCGTACATGTAAATATGTAAAAATTGTAAAGAATTAATTAATTTGTTCAAAATTCTTTCGACTTAACCCCGTATAATATCAAGTTTCTAATTGGATTCGTTATTTTCTAGAAAACTAGGGACGTATTATACTTGGTAATATACGCGTAGAAAAGCACGTACATTACGTGACGTATTATACCTACCCAACCCTGGTCGCGCGTCGTCCCCGAAACGGTGGTCTCGAACCCAGAGGGGAGAGGCGAAGCGCGTGGGCTCCGATATCGCGGGCGTTCGTGCGCCAGCTTCAGCTGTTCGCCGCGCGGCGCGCGTCGATCGCTCGCACGCACGAACGGCGCGTCGAGTACCGCCGGGCGGGGCACCGTCGGGGCACCCGGGGAGAGAGCGGCCGCGATGGCGCCCACGACGCACCATTTGCCGCCCGCGAAGGGAAAGGGGGAGAACGAGACGGAGAGAGAAGGAGTGAGCGAGTGCCGGCGACCGCGGAAGGGGACGGCAGGAGTCGTAAAGCGTAGCTCGACGCGAACGGCAAGCGGCGCTTCAGTTGCAGGATCGCAAGCGCGATGTTTGCTCGGTGAGGTGGCGGGTCGGTCGTTAGTTCCGGAGTTTCGTCCACGCGCGCGGTTACCCCGAAATCGAGAAAAGGAATCCTCGGGAATCGATTGACCGCGCGTGCTTGCCGTCTGCTACGAGCGACCATGGAAAGTTAGGTTAGGCGAAAGGATTTCCGAGCGAGGTGGTCGTCGTCCTTCCTGTTCTTCCGGGCTGCGACGTACGCCAGGACGCATCTCCGGTTGCCGATGAAGCGAGACGATCGGTGGGAGCGGCATGTGCGGACTCCGAGGATGACGTAAGGTAAACTAAATCCCGACAAGACGGCGAGTACCGAATCTCAGGGGTGTCGCTTTCTTGTCGCCGCCAGTCGGTTCGCGACCACGGCACCGACAACGTCGTGGCGAAGGTTCTCGCGGCAGTCGCGCCATTTGTCATCACCTACGAGGCAACGCCATGAAAAAGGTCGTGGCAACGAAACTGTGAAACTTTCCTTGGAAAGTAAATAGCCGGGCGAATTGAAGGGGTTGGTACAAACGGTGCCGCGAGTTCCTTATCGACGTTTTCGCTTTCTTCAATTATTAACGGGTACTTTGTTGCCCACGTGGTGTACACAAAGTAATACGACGACTAGTTGAACCGGTGACTGCTGGGGTAAAGTTTCGTAAAGCGCATTCCTCCGATTAGTTCGAAACTTTATTCGTAATCAGTGAGTCAATATACGTAGGTATACAAAGTTAATGAAAGGTACGCGTTTTTCGGAACTATATCCCAAGTACACTTACAGAATAACGTAATTTTAAGAAACAAAAGTATTTGTCCTCCGTTCAGGCGATGAAAATGACGCCTGGTACCTTAAATGTGATCCGGAAAAAATTATCTTGAGCGTTGTACTAAAGGTTAGGTAATTTTACGTTTTTCGAAATTTTTAACGTATATTACGTAAACCGAGTAGTTTGCCGTAGAGAATCGTAGAAAACCAGGAAATAACGTTTCCAATACGGCGGATGCCGCAGATGCACGATATATATGTATCCGCAAGGTTATAAACGGTTGTTTAGAGTACGTGTAAACACGCAACACTTTTACGAACGAATTAATTTATCTTCAAAATCCATTCGACTCAACCCCGTTTAATATCAAATTTCTAATTGGATTTGTCATTTTATATTTAGAAATAGAAGGGCGTAACGTACTTTGCGTGGCAAACTAGAGACGCGTTATACGTTGTAATATACGTGGAGGAAACCACGCATATTACATGACGTATTATACCTACCCAACCCTGCGATTGAGAAAGGAAGGTACCGTAAAAAAAAAAAAAAAACCTTGACAACCTGCGCCGATCTGCGGCAATAAATGCAGCGAGGCGCATAAGGGACTCGTGAGGTCCGACTCGAGGATTCGTCTACTACCTGTCGGGGTGGATGCGTTCCCACGATACGAGGGCCCCGGTCTCGCGGATCGTGCGTGCGGCCGGCGCGGGGTGGGGAGGAGTGGCGCGGGAGGGGGGAAGACGGAGGAAGTCGTGCGGAGAAAGAGAAAGAGATGAAAAACGCGTGGAGAAAGAATTAGAAAAGAATCGGCGGGGGGGGAGGAGGAGACAAAGAGGAAAGGAGGGGCACATATATTTATGTATGTACGAGTAGATTTCCCAGAAAGGTCTCGAAGAAAATCCTCGACACGAATTCGAAGCATGCGATAAGGAGACGAAGGAGGCGCCCTTTTGTTCACGGTAGTCTTTCGTATGCATCGAAAGAAAACTCTATTCCTCGTCTAATTGTGAAAGGACACACGGTAAAGCGTTGGGTTTATTTTTTCTGGGGTATTAAGCTCTGTAGTTTGTGGTTTCGCTGGGCTGTTAGAAACGTTATGATTATTTTATAAGATTTTTGTTGGAAGTTTTGTTCAGGCATGGTATACTAATTTTATAACATATTTTCAAATAAGATGTATAACGTGTATTACAAATTTAGTACATATGGGTATTATATTTATAATAGATATGTTATAACATTTGTGTCGATCGGTACTTAATTTTAAACGGTTTTTCTGCAAACAAACAAATTGATGTTCACACATTTTCTCCGCACTTTCACCAAATTACAAGACGGTGTTATAAAATTCTAAAATTTACCTAGAATTTTATAATAAATGTATACTAATTCACTGTTATGACATCAATTTTATAATTTTACTGCAGCCTTATGTACTAAAAGTGTATGAATTTGATGAATATTTTGAACAGGGTGGAAAGGGCAGTGCCCTTCCGCCTTTCTGGCGTAAGGAAACGGTGGCGGGGGCTTCGAGTCGTTTTGCGGTCGTTTTGCGGTCGTTTTGCGCGGAGAATCGCTTGGGTGTGACGTTCAAAAGAGCCAATTCCGGTCGTGCTCGGGAGAAAACCTTTCGGTCGTGGAAATTCTGCCCGAAATGAAACTCCCCGGGAGGACGGAACGAAGGCACGAATATAAAATGCATCGTTTCGGAATAGAACCGGTTGCAGAGGATGAGGTCACTCCGCGCCGTTGGATCAACTTTTTTTTTCCCCCATGTGCCTTGCAATTTCTGAATCACTTGATGGCGAATGGTTATCCTGGCAAATGGTAGAGCGTAACGACGGGGTCGGTCACTCGGTTTTCAAATTGAAAATTGTTAAATATCGAATACACCCCTCCCTCAATTTACGCGGATGTTTTCAACGAACGCCGTTATAATTCATTTTTAGTACATTAGACATCGTTTGGCAAAGATCTTTTAACTGTCGACACGAGAGCCTTACTCGGAAAAAATGTTGAATACGAACACAGCTTGACAAACGATCTTTATCAAAGCGCCAATCACTGTGAGAATACCAACGAGAGTCGGCTTAATACCATAATTGACGATTAACGAACGAGTTCAGTGTCTCCGGAAATTTGTGTTAGGTGCTAGACGGTCATTGACCTCCCGATAACCACATAATGGGCTTGCGGTCTGGTATACTTTTACAGGCAATTCGAAGCCTAAATTCTTTCCAAAATAGTCATGTCGCGTGAGCGAGCGCGTCGCCATTTTTATTTATTTTTTTTTCTTTTTCGTCTTTGCCCGTGAATGAGTACATAAAGCGATCTCACCGTGTCGAAGCAGACAACCGCTTTGCGGGGTTCTTTCTCCGCTCGCTACGATGACGCATCCTCGCTTCCGCGTCGGATTGCATAAATAAGGGTCGGGGTGCAAAAACTAACCTATTATTTCGCGCTGGGACCCCGAGGCGTCGGACGTGGACAGGGTTGGGTAATTTCCCGTTTTTCGAGGTTTTTGACGTATATTACGTAAACCACGTAGTTTACCGGAGAAAATCGGAGAAAACCAGTAAATTACGTTTCCAATATGAAGGATGCCGCAAACGTGCGATATAGTAATAAATAGTATTCCAATTGAATTCCTTATTTTCTATTTAGAAATAGAGGGGTGTAATATACTTTGCGCTCACGTAGAAAACTAGGAACGTATTATACGTTGTAACGTACGCGTAGAAAATCACGTATATTACATGACGTATTATACCTACCTAACCCTGCACGTGGACGTGGACGCCGTCGTCGTCGCGGTGCTCGGGCGTCTGCTGGACTTAACGGTAAACAATCGAGGACATTGTAACCTCTAATCAGCGGGTGCGCATTACGTGCAGAAGGTATATTTAATTTTCTTACCGACAGTCACATTCCGTACTGTCCGTCCGCGACCCTTCCCTGTTGCGGAACGACGTCGGGCACGTTTGCCCGGGCAAATTCAATCGGCGAATCGGGAGAGTCAATTCGAACGTATCTTTCATTTTTCGAAAAAAAAAAAAAAAAGAAAATATCTTTTTTGGCTCTTGTCCGAGATAAGTACATTTTTTTTTGTTTCGAAAAAAGAAATTTCACGAGCAGCGCGTTATTCCTTAGGGCCTCCGTAATCGCGTGTTAAAATTTCTGATAATTCGGTACACCCAGTTTGGAGAAAAGTTTCACGAACGAGACCTCTTTTACTCCACTTTGCATCGCCTTAAGGTCGTCGCTTTCTAACCCAGGTCTGTACCTGTTTATATCTCCGAAAGAAGAGTGATCGCATTTACAAATCGGACTCTCCTACGAACATGACTGGACTCTGGACTTTCGCTGTCCTGCCCATTCTGCAAATTTGCGGATTGCCTAATGCGAACTCGGTGTTTTAATCGGGGCCGAGCTATGAAAAATGGGTCAGCCGAGGAGTCGAAAATCTTCCTTTCGTAACGCTCGCATTCGCTTGTTTTTTCTTCGAATTACAATTGAATTTCGACCGTTGACGGCGATGAGAACGACCGCGGTGATTTGCTAGAAATTAGTTTTAAGGTGTCCGGTACTCGGAGTTCATTGGCCATAGTTGACGTTTTCTTAGACGGGGATCCGAGGGTCGAGGACCGTTCACAGGGTGACACGTTTGGATCGATAGTAACTATAACACGAAGACCTACTCCTCGCGAACGCACTCGGCCATTCCATCACGCCCACTTATCTCGGTAGCGTTCAATTTTTATAACGTTCCAAGAAGCTAACCTTGCTTTCTCCGTCGGTGCTCCCGATGCGTTTTTTTCCCGAACCTTGGAAGCTAATCTAGTACCGTTTGCCCAGTTTGTATCATTTTCTAGTAACATTATTTTTATTCGGTTCTCGCATTTGCTTAACCATTTGTCGCTTTGAATACATGGGGATGAAGGCTTCGTGAAAAAACGTCGGTCATGCGGAAACCACTATAGTGGCGTTTCGTAATTAAAGGGTTAAAGCTGAATCGCCTGAAATTTGACTACATCTCTCATCTTCTCGAGCAGCCTCGCCTCTTTATTTGTTCCTTGGATTCTTTACCTCTTCCTCGGAACCTCTAGGCGTTATTTGCTAACGCATTATGGCGACCTTCTTTCTACACGGCACACTTTTATCATTGACTTTCTCTTATGAACTTGAAAACGTACTCGGACTGCGCTCGATACCTTCACGATCGCAGTTACGAGAACGTGCTGCCTATTGTTAAGCGATTGAAAGTCTATCGCAAGATTAACGGTATGGTTACGGAGATGCTCGGTGACTTCGCCATTCATTTTTTATTCCCCTTAATTTTCCTTACTTTTTTTTTTTTCTCGTTGAGGCTATATTATTCATCTGTCACATATTCATGTGCGCAATGAACTCTCAAGAGAACAATGCGTAAGATGTGTAAGTGGGCCACTGATTTCATTTTTTAAGTCGGGAATAATTCGAGGTTGAGGCTTGGCCACGTTGTGCGTGCATTACGTATGCTCGTGGCTTCACGACTGCGTGGCGCACGCGATCGGAAGTATTCGATCAAACGGTCTCTTGGCGATTGGCCACGCAGCTCGGTTTTACTCGTCTTCCCGATCTTTCGGTGGATATTTATCGTCACCCCATAAAGTTACCGTGCTATACGATACGGACGACGCGAAGCAACGTTTGCGCGTATTCGCACCTACTCGAAACTTCGCGGCTGTGCCGAGAAAAAGTGGTATACATTATAATTACGGTTATAAAATAGGCGCCAGTCCCTACACGGGAAAGAAGAAATGGTCAATTTTAGTTCTGGTCCGGGCTAAGTTAGACAATTTTTCCCTTTCGAAAATCCAAATCTTGAATGTGTCAGGACAATTCTTAGATGATCACTAGTCACGTGACAAAGCTTCGGACAGTTTGGTCCAATACCCTTAAAAAAGTGTTTTATTCGAATCGACCGACCGAGGGGGGTTTCACTTCACCATAAATTGTTTCCCTGTGTCGTCGATGGAAGCGATTTCCAACATTTCCTACGTACTAGTTAGATGAAAATTGAATCGCATCTCCTCAATGGCGAATATCTTTTTTTTGCAGGTGACGGGCGAATCGACGGGGCCGTTGATTCAAGTTGCTTCCACGTTGGGACCGCAGAAGACGAGATTGTAGAAATTCCGCCGAGCCGAAAAGTGGAATTCTGGGGGAAAGGAAAGGACGCCAAAATGGGAGAACGCAAGGGTCCGAAGGCCCTGGAGCTGTGGTGCCGAAGGATCACCGAGGGGTATCCTGGGGTAAACGTGCAGAACATGACCACCTCGTGGCGAGACGGTCTCGCCTTCTGCGCAATGATCCATCACTTTCGTCCTGATCTCATGTGAGTGAACAACCCTCATCGATCGTTGGCAATTCTCGGCCAATTCGCCACACACCGGTAAAAATGACGAAAAAGCTGACCAAAACCTTAAATATTAAATTTGTACATTGGGACTGTCGATTGTCAAATTGGGAAGAGGTAATTCGAATATTTATTGCCAGAAGGACGGGAGCCTGATTGTTACGTACAGTTATGTACCTCGATATCTAAAATTGACATTTGTACGAATTAATGGCATTGGGGTCTAAGAAGGAAAATTTTACCGGGTTTGAGTAAGGGTGATTTTTGCCAATCATGCAGTGTTCTCCTTGCGAAGGTTGACGCCTACTTTATCGGCACTTCTCGTGATAACACGCACCGTTTGCTGAAAGTTCGCATAAGACCTTGTAGATAGAAGAAACTGGGACACGGTGAAATGACAAAATTTCAATCCACGAGTTTACGGGGTTGTATGCAGTTGTCATAGTACAATTATTGAACTTAATATGTAATTTCTTTTGTCAAGATATATTTAAAAATTGGCGAAGGCTTTAAGCAAACGAGAGTTCGGTCTTTCGAGACTCGGTAGATCTGGTTCTTGCGTATCGACACCATCGGATCTTGACATTTCGTAACTGACATCCGTTTCGTTCTTCCCGGGGTGTGAGAAAAATCTTGTTGGGGAGCCTCTTCCGGTCCTTGTTTCGGCTCTTGTTTCGGCCCTCGAAAGCGGGAGGTGCTCCAGGTTAAGCATCACCGAGCCTAATAGTCGACCGGGGAAACTCCCTCGAGTTTCCGACCTCTTACGAAATTCTGCCCGAAAGGGCCGAGTTAAAGACCACGAGGAGCTTCAGCCAACGATAACTTTTCCGAAAAGGGGGATAAATGTCTTTAGGGCATACGCGTCTTGAGTTTCACGTCTTCACTTTCGAATTTTGTTTTTACGGGATGTATTATTTGCACACATACATGTATGTTCATGCTTCTGAGTGTTTTGTTGCTTTTTAGTTGAGTTCATGAAAGCGATCCACGCTCTGTGACAATGTAATGAGTATTGAATTCCGTGATTTTACCCGCGTCTCTTCTGTCAGCTACTTTCTCATTTTTATTCAGAGCGTGCTACTCTCTGGGTCAGAACATGAGACCCAGTAGCATATAAAGCTCCATTTCCACCAAAATGTGCACGAACGAATTCGGATGTGTGGATTGAACGTTTTCATTCCGTTTATTAAGGCGAAGTGAAACCCGCCTCTAATCAGCACGGACACTTTCAAAATTTGGATTTTCGAAGGAACCTCAAGTATATAAATGAAAAAATTAACATTCTCATAAATTCTCGATATTCTCGGCAACTTGCGGTATGTTTCACGGTTACTTTCTTGAATTTTATGTTACCAAGAATTTTCGACCTCTGGATTTGACGCGATGTAATATCGAAAGGGAGTTTACGATGCGCCGAGTAACGTCATCGGCTGCTGGCGGAATATACCGCCATTCGAGTGATTTGCAAATGCACCGCGTACCCACGATCAGATCGTCGGCAAACTTTGAAAAAAATCTCGACGTGACATTTAAGACGTCGCCCTCGGTAGGCGCATCTAGATAGAGGATGTGCAACGTGCTTGGAATGCACGTGTGGTAACGATATATTGCACTACGTCGACCAATAACCACATCCGCGCTCGGCAATCGTATCCCATTCTAATGCGCTTACCATTTACTGCATCATGGCAAATTGTATCCACGTTGTCCTCGTTCTTTCCAATCTTTTATTCCACTTGCAGGTGATAGGAAAGACGCCGAAAAATTTAATCGACGTCAATAAAATAAAATCTATCCACATCCTTTTCGGCAGTAACGGCATTTTAAATATTCAAGTGTAACGTAAGCTGCACTGAAAGAAAATTCCAGTTAAATGAACTGTTATTTAATTAGCTTTCGTGGTTCAAAAAAGACTCTGGTACTATTTATAGTAAAATTAACGTTTTTCTCCGAACTAGGAAATCTAGCAACGGTCTAATTATTCAGTTTCTCTCCGTGTACTATTATATTAATCCAACTGTACTAGAGTAAATAGAACCGATGTTGGCAACACTGCTAGGAGGGGTCACGGGATGACACTTTTCACATTGTATCGGAGTCAATCTATTCTTGGCGAATTCGTAGATTGCGGATGAGATCAGTTTGCGTTCAACGGACGCAGGTGCGTGTCACGTTTACATTGTTAGAAACTGTACGCCACGGTGCCGAAGCATTTCACAAAATGAATAAGATAAGCCATCTTTTAAGCTTGCCGTATAGTTTGACAATTTGGCATCGTTTCTCCGGACAATCGCGTGCTGCTTCTGCAATGTTTGTACAATTTCGGTAAAATTCTTGGTTACATCTTGAACGGAAGTCGGCCCAGTTATTTAAGTTTCGAAAACAATATGACGTTAGAAAATTTTAACTCCACCGGTATTCGCTCCGTTGTTGTCGTTATATTTGGTATAGACAATAATTTTTATATTTTGTCATATCTTGGAAAAACGGTGATCCACCTGTGGCCCAACCCTGGTTGCAATTTGTAACTAAGGTTCACATTAAAAAAAAAAAAACGACCAAATTCGATAAAAGTTTGGTCCGAGGTCGACTTTCTTTATTTAATTGGCAGAATCTCTTAGAAAAATCTTTTGTATCGGGTTGTCCGGAAAGTTCGTACCGATTTTTCCGTCGTATCATCTAACGGTATCAAATTGTTCAGTTTACCAGCTCTTTTTCTCCCAGGGCAGATTATGCAAAAAGGAGAGCCAAACGAGGATACGGAAAGTGCCGGTGGGCAACCATATACGTCGAAAGATAACAATGATCAATGCTTATCGTTTCAGAGACTTCGACAGCCTACACAAGGATGACGTTTACGGGAATAACGAATTGGCCTTTCGTGTCGCTCAGCAGCATCTGGGGATTCCGGCACTTCTCGATGCAGAGGACATGGCTTCCTGCACGGTGCCAGATCGATTGTCGATCCTGACTTACCTCGCACAGTTTTATCAGACCTTCGGAGGTAAGCGCCCTTATCAATTTTACCGCTGCGCTCTTAAAGAAGCGAAACATTTTAGCAGCAACGATCCTCATCGCTCCGAGAGAAAAATCTAGGTAAATTAACTAATTTTTAACTAGTTTCGAAAAATGAAATTTCACGGACAGCGCGTTCTTCCTTAGAATCTCCGTAATCACGTGTTAAAGTTTCAGATAATTTGGCTTTAGACAGTTTGTAGAAAAGTTTTATAAATATTTGGACTTTTTGGTACGTATTTCGTATCACCTTAACAGGGTGAAATTGGTCAGTTTAGCAGCTCTTTTTCTCTCGGTGCGCCCATTTTGTATCTAGCGATCCAGATGTGGACAATCTCGGTGGCCTCTATGCGGAGCTACTCGACTTTCTAACTTAGTCCTGCACGTGTGCATATCGCAATCACACGTGCGTGAAGAAACGGGCCAGTTAATACGCTCTTTCCCGATGCACGAGGAGAAATTTTAACGATCGATCCCATGCCGACCGGATGTTTGCCTTCCTCCGAGCGTTTGCCGCCACCGACACCATTCGGATACGAATACTTTATCAGCCATACGAAACGTACATTGCCCGTCCGATCGTTTAAATCGTTTGAAAAACGTCCAGCTGTACATATGTCCGAGTACGACACTTTTGTACGAAACTATAACGACTCCGATAAAATACAAAACATACAATTTATACCTATTAGGCTTTTATTTGGAAATTTAATAATGGAACGATACGAGAAAACGGTTGTTATTTAACACTTAGAAAAGTGTACATACAAAAAGTACTCCAGGAGGCGTTGTTCGGGTGGAAGAGGTAACCCCTTTCGGCGAGGTGTCGCGTTCAGTGGCGGAGCGGACTGCCGTAATGAAAGGGTTAAAGAGAGAAGGTCCCTTTCTCCGCTAACATTTAAACGTATACACATACCATAGCGATGTCTCCTCCGTTTATATAAGCTCTATGACTAACACGCGGTCAAAAAGAACTTCCAACGAAGTGGAGGTACGCGCGAATCCTCATCCGGAGTTCTCGGAAATTCTTCCGGAGATGATTTGAGCATTTCTTTTTCAATTGTTTTAGCCTCCTCGCCCAGCAGGCTGGCTACGAACAGACCGACCGAAATGCCCGACGGAAGAATCGCTCCAGTCCCGACGTCTCCTCCACCCAAGGTACGCCCGCACTTCGTCCCTCGATCGGTTTCGGTCGCTGTTCTTTCCCTTTTATTCGCAACCCGTCACGCAACCAGCTTGCCTTGACCGCTATTTTTCTAATCAATTTTATTACGCGCTCCATCGTCTTCGGGAAATTAACATTGTGTCTGGTCGATCAGGGTCGACCAGAAAGCTTGCAAGAGTTTTGCCTCTCGGACGCATATTAACCCGGATGGAAGGAAACTTTTGCGAAGGAAAAGAAACCAAAGTACGGAGGGCGATAGGAACTCCATAATAGGAAACGAAAGTATCATTTTTAAGAGCCCCGAAGTTGACTAACTGTGTCGTCGTAAGGTGATTTGAAACTGGCAGTTGAGGGGTCAAATCGTTTATGAAAGTTTTCTCCGAGTTGGGTGTACCGAATTGTTTGAAATTTTACCACACGAATAAAGAGGCCCTAAAGTAGGTCCTCGAACTCGTGAAAGTTTATTTTTATACACATTTTCTTTATTTGTAATGAATTAAAACCACCAAAGTCAACCGGGAAACTATGGAAAATACTTTCATGAACGATTGTAAGGAAATGTTGGCTTGTTCCGTGGGTAACGCTTGCTCTTAGAGGGAAAATTTATCTGCAGATAAACGCGACAGATGGCGCCGCTGGTCAGAGTATCAAAAATCATACATTCAAGAGATCTCTTTAGTTTTATTTCGCTCTCTTTATAATCATTCCATTGAAATGGCATATTGAAGACTATATTTCACTTGTAACTCTCACTTTAGAGTATAACCGACGTCAACATAAAATACAAATGTGCACTATAAAGTACACTGTATCCGTGGAGAATTTCTCTCCACTGATCGAGATGAATTACTTCTCATTTTAAGGATCATCGTTGAAGATCATTATAGCTGCATAAAATACATTCAATGCAGGAGAATTTAAATTGATTTTATTTAAGTATAATAAATCACTTAACCTCGCTCTCAGTGAAGATGAATTTAATTTGATAAACAGTTTGTTTCGATTTAGTAGCCATCAATATTATAAACATTTTTGCACGAAAGCGAAAGCAGCAGAAAATACACGAGAATGGTGAATGATATGACACGTCTCACGTTTGCACATTTTTGTTAATATTAATATGTTTTGTGTTAGTTGAAAGATCCGGAGGAAAAAGAGTACCACGTTAAGCTGTAATACATTAATTTGCGATTTTTAGAAACGTTGTTCTTTAATTTTAGTTTCCGCTACCGTTGATTTTTTTTTTATGTAACTTAGATATAGTGCCCACCCAGTAATAATAACAAATCTTTGACTGTGGCTCTAATTATAAGACAGCGACAAGATCGATACTCCCTTGTTTTGTCCTTTCATTTCCGAACTACATTCTTTATCACTTAATATTTTTGTTCTCCAGGAGGAAAGCTTGGACTTAATGGGGCAATATAAACCTGAAATATTCTGCTAGAAGGTAATTGCTTTGTCGTTATCGTTTTGCCTGCCCGTCGTTAGATAATAGCGATTTGCATGCCCGGTTCTCACCTGCTCTGGTGCTTGCGTAATTTTAACAGGCATGTTAACAAATACTCCTAATCATTCTGGTCAAGTTTTCAGTAGATACTGTATCATTGCGTACGTGAGATGTCTTTCCGAAATTCTCCTAAGTTAGAGCAACGAATCGATCTCTGCTTTCCAAGAATCTTTGCTTACAAGTTTCAGATAATTCATGTTTTAGTAACATTTAACAATTCCTCATTGAATGTTATCAATTCCTTTTTGTCGTTCAAAGAATAGCTGTAAATAAATGATACACATATTAGATGAGTTTGCCTTTTCGTGCGACAAACTCATCTAATATGTGACATTTTCGTACTTGAAAAATGATCGATGATTTAAAAAATGGGACGGAATCATTAACCAGGCACAACATACATCGACTAATGTTTTAAAACTGTTGCTTTATTTGAATATGAAGAGTTAAATGAAATTGTGCGTTTTAACGGTCGATTTGCCCACGTTCGATCCGTCTCCGCATTGTACAGTTGTGGATATGAATGCTTTCTCTTCTTACCGTGACGGTACCATATTCACAAGGAGAGTATTCATGTCCGCCGGGGTATAGGACGGATACGGAACGGATATGGAACGGATACGGAACGGATACGAATCGAGCAGGTGTCAATGGACAAACGTTGTTTTTCTGAAAAATACTGGCACATTCAATGTTCACGCGAATCGAATTATGAAAAATTGCAATGAAATATTCCTGACGAAAAAACAGAATCGTTCATCAGGCAATCTACAAATCTTCGGATACACAATTTTATCAATTTCATGTTCATACGAGGGGGTTTAAAAAGGTAACAACAAATTCAATATTTTTAAATACATAATCAGAGGTACAAATGATGTGTCATTTCTTTACATAATCACCTTCCTTTTGCGCTGTTGCATAAACTTTTGTTCCACTACAAACAATGCTTTTGAAAATGTCTTGTGCTAAAATGCATCACTTTCTTGGCCTCGTCATCATTCCCAAAGCTTTGTCCTCTAGAAGAGTCCTTCGGAGATCCAAAAACGTGATAATCAGAGGAAACAAGGACAGGGCCATATGGGGTTTGCCATTCGATCTGAAACCTCAATCTCCAAATATGTAGTGTCAAGAACTGCAATATCGGACGGTGCAAAAAGTCAAGACTCGAGGTGAAAGAAGCGGCATTTCCTGACTGAAAACATGACCAAATACATTTTTCCCTAATGAAATAAAAAAGTTGATGCAAGGCGATTACGTATAGAGAAATGACACATTATTTGTGTATCAGAAAATATTTAATTTGCTGTTTCTTCTCGAAACGTCCTCGTATAATGGCAACGTAATTTCTTGACTTTCTTTATCAAGTATCGCTATAAACTTCTCTTTATAAGTATCTACTAATAATAGCGTTAGTAGCGTCGGTGGTGGCCGGTTGAGACATTGATTTTTTTTTCTCTGGCGTATTATGTCGAAGCTAATCGTAATCTATTTAGCACGCTATTACCAAACTTGTAGATTTTGCACGAAAATAATCGAATATAACCAAATAATTATCGATAAGTATTTGAGAAAGAGAGAAATCTCGATCGTCGACTACAATCATCCGTAGAACAGCGAACATGTGACAACGGGTGACTATGGTTTTTATGGTGAAAGGCAAGCCGAGTCCCTCTTTGCGGAAGTTATCGACAGATCTGCGGTCTTATTTAGCTCGTTTGAAAGTTTCGCGGACTTCTACCTGGACCAACGAGGCTGTAGACGTCGTGACGTAATTCGATCGGTTTACGTAACGAACGGCGTGTCGTGACCACCTTAAGATCTTGCAGACATGGTATCTCTGCCGGAAGAAAGTCCACTGGCTGTTTCCGTGGTTGTGTAGACAAATGACGCGACAAAACTACGAAAGGGTCTGAAGTATTACAACACATTCGAGGAAAATCGAAGCAGGTTTTTCATGTCATTAGTATTTTCGACAGATATTTTAGATATCTCCAAATGAAATCTACGAGACATCTTAAAAAATCTGTCGCTTGAGATGTTTAGCAAAGATTACAAAAACATATTTAGAAATTCTTCTATACTCCTACGGCAGGGTATTCGATGATGAACAGTTCCATATGGTTTACCAAAATATAACTCCATTGAAACTCATTTACCGTAGGTCAACGCCTTTCCCTCGAGATATCATTTTCATTGAAAGAACCATTTTGAAAACGTTCGGTGGAGTTGAAAAGTTCTATTCTTTGTTGACTCAGACGGATCAGCGAGTGGCGATGCGGAGAGATGCGTGTTCGATCTGCGGACTTCCGGTATTCCTGGCAGAGAAGTTGGTCATCTCGAGGACGGTTTATCACAGGACGTGCTTCCGGTGCGCACGCTGCAACAACCAGCTTACCCTCGGGAACTACTACGAAACCGAGGATGGTCAATACTGTTGCGAGACGTGTCCCGACGAAGAAAAAGCATCATCCGATCCGATTGCAGGTACTACGCGCAGAGTCCCCAAAATTCTTGACCATCCGGCGTCTTCCGAGGTCCGGATGTCTCTCAGCGACGAGGAAAAGTCGGAGAGACGCACCGTGACGTCAAAGGACCCTGAAAAATCGGAGAAGCTCGACTTCTGGGTCAGAAAACAATCAAATGGCGCTTCGCAAACTGCGAAAAGTAGGCTGAACTTTATGACGGATTACTTGCTCTCGGGAGAAAAGGACGAAATTTCGGTTGTTCGGGTCCCCCCAAGTTTCGCGGACGACGGATCGAACTTGCAGCGTGATTCCCCGTTGACCGCATCCAGCGATTCTATTTCTTCGCTGACTGCCTCTCGCGAGGACATTGCGGAGGAATATCAAGTAACTGAAAATGGTCGCGTCCCAACGAGTGGCTGCGCCTCTGACGGAACGTTCTGGAATCGGATCGGGAAAGCCAACACGGATAGTGATCGCAGCGCCCCCGTCGAGCAGCTTCGGAACGAAAGTAAAGCACAAGACGGGGATAATGGCGCAGGTAGCGGAGACTCCTGGAAAGGGTCCAACGAGGGTGATGTCAAGAAAGAACGCGGCAAACCCCAGAAAAATGAAACTGGAAACGGAGACGCCGATAGTGACCTCGGCACCCCTAACGGGATGCGTAGGAACCAAACTAGGGAGTGGGACATTAAGAACAAACGTAGCGCCCTCGATGACACCCCGAAGGAGAATGTAGATAGTTCTGTAAATAATTATTTAGAGACTAACGTTAACGGTACGCAAAGCGATAATCAGTTACTTCCTGCTATTTCAACCCCTGACGCGAGTCGCGTCGAGTTAGTTTTTAAGAAAAGTACCAAAGACGCGCCCAAGATTACCGAAAGCAAGGACAAGGGAGAAGGGAACTTGTCGCTGGTGCAGAGACGGCTCAAGATGTTCGAAAGCCAAGGCGATAAAAAAGCCGAAAGGACGAGCAGGATCGTGGATGCTGCGAGAGTTACGGAATGCGGTGCCGAAGACGTCACGGACAGGGGCACTTCGGAACAGCAGCCGAGTGCTCTAGGACAATCCCTAGCCTCGTCCAATTTATCGGAGCAAAAGGAGTCTAAATCTCTGGAAAAGGTTCCTGTCGACTCGCCGAGAATTCCTGAAAATACTTTGGAATTGCCCGGGTGGAGGGAATCGGTGACTCGGCTCGCGGACGTTCATCCTTTAAAAGCACCCGAGAGTCCTAGCGGAATAACGAAGAGGGCAGAACCTTCGGAGATTACTCCCCCGAAATTAAAACAACGATTGCACAGGTAATTATGTACCCTCTTACCCATATTATCAAGAAACTCGAAGCGTAAGAATGAGAGAATGTCTTCTGCACAGGGCCGATAAAAATCATGATTTTTTAATTATTTCAGGAAAAACGTGGTGCTCGTGAAATTTTATTCTTCAACAAAAATTGTTGTTATTTATCCTAGACTAGAACCAAGATAAATGAAATTTCACGAGTATCGCGTTCTTTCTTCGGGCATCTATAATCACGTGCTAAAGTTTCACATGATTCGGTGCCCCCAGTTCGGAGAAAAGTTTCATCAATGTTTTGACGCTTTATACATATAGAATGTCCCGTTCGTATTACCTGAAGGCATTGCAGCGCTTATCGCCCTAGTATCATTCAAATGGAAAACGAGATGCATTCTCTTAGGTACGGGCGACGCCAATGTATGTACACAAGCAACTGTGATAAGCCTTGATTGTTTTACCGTGGCATTATGATTGCGATCGGAGCAGAATTCTAGTAACAGCCCGCGTTCACTTATGGCAATCACTGCGTATGGTAATCACTTGATATAACGAAACAGAAGAGGTGCGCCATCTCATCGAACATTAGTCTACAAATACTTGACGCATTAAAAGAACTTCCGCAAAGCGAATCATTAAGTTAAATAACCATTTTTCGTTATAATTCTGTATTATTAGCACGGACAATCGGAGTGGGGCACTTAAAAACTTAAATACTTCTGAAAACTATCCGGAGAACTTGAATCCCTTTGGGAGCGACGACGAGGACACGTCGGAAGACGGGACCCGGCAACGGTCGAGTCTAGATAATTCGAAGAACACCGAAGTGTCGACGAATCCTTTCGACGAAACCGACGATGAAGAATTCATCGAGGAAGTGACTCCTCCTCGGCCTGCTGCTCGAAATCGGGATGCATCTCAGGCGCCCACCAAAAGGAGGCTTCAAGCACCCCAGATAAATTTGAATCCATTTTGGAGCGACGACGAGGAACACGACGATGAAACCGTTTGCACGGACCAGACCGTGTCGGTACCAATTCCTAAACCACGTTCAGTCAAGTACGTATCTTAGTGTTTTGTATAGCAGCAAACGCGAATACATTGACGGCATCATATTCACAATGAAAGAATTCATATGCGCCAGTATATTAGGGGGACCGGAAAGAAATCCATTATTTTTATACTTGAAGTTTGGGACAGAAATATTGGATTCCTCCCCGTTATCCCTTCCCATTTTTTTTTTTTTTCTTTGGGCACCCAAAGACAGCTGTAGCGTAAATATTGATAGTACAACGAAAAAGTACATCGAGATGCCGTGTCTTTAGACTATATTGGGAAGGACAGCCATAGAACGCGATGACGGTATCCAACCGATATCACAAAATCGTAATTTAGTGCAGTCATAAACGAAACTAATCAATCGGTAGGCAGGTTTCCGAGACGAGTGGATATCGGCCAAAGACTGACCTGAATCGAAGCAGTGTTTATGCCTCCAACAATTCGATAGCCAGCACTGGATCGAGCAGCACACCTGGCGGTACCTATCGGAAAAAGAAGCCAGCTCCTCCACCACCAACCACGCAACAAGTCTTTTCCGACGAGGGCGGTTCCACTCGGATTTCCACCATCCCGTCCGACGATTCCCCATTGGCCAGTTTGCCGGTAAGAACCGTACAATCTCCATACTTCGTTATTACTACATTATAAAATATCAGGGGACTGAAATTCTACGAGAACCAAAATTGAATTATTATTTTGAATTCCATATATTTACAGAATTCTTCTCCTCGGACAACACCGCGACTGCGCAAATCAAGACTTGCCCCCCCGCCGCCGACGCCGACCAGCGTTCCATGCATCACTTCTGCCACTCCAATATCGGGCTCAGATGAATCACCGATCACAAACCCACAAGAAATCGACGCCGACAAGCCAAAAATATGGGATGAACAGAAGAGTAATAAAGACGAAGCGAACAGAAGTAAACAATCCGTGGTAACCGTAATTGCAGAGAAAAATGACGAGGTGCACTCGTACGTCCCGCATCCGGACAAGAGCGTACAGGGCAAGTGGAAGAGGAAAAAGGGTCCAGCGCCATCTCGGCCAATTCCCCATAGACGAAAGGTAAGACCAGAGATGCCGGGCGATGGTAACGTTGAACGTATATATAGGGGATCAATATTAAGATGATATGAAAGAGTCAGCCCATATATATTTGAGCGATTAAATCGTTGGTGAAACTATTCTCCCAATTGGGTGTACCCATTCGTTTCAAATTTTACCCACTTTCAGAGCGCGATTCTATTAAAATCAAACTTTCTCACAAATCGAACGTACATCGTGTGCTCGTGTTAATACGTATAGTATATGCTGTATATTGAAATGCACATATAAACCAAATTTTCGTGGGACTAAGTCTCACTCTGTGCTTGGAATGTTATAAACGTTCGGTTTAATTACGCAAAACCTCTATGTATATATGTATATATTTGTTTTTAACAAGGATCTTGGTTTTCAGATTAAAGTAATGTCCATGAAAGACGTAAAGTTAGAACTGGATGAAATTGAATTGCAACAGCAGGGATTGGAGAAGCAAGGGGTGAGACTGGAGCAGCTTATTCGACATAAGTCGGAAAGTGGTCTAGTGACCGAGGGTGAGTTGTCCATTATTTTACCTCATATAATTTCTTGGGAATGGAAAACAGTCGAGGTCCGTCAATGTAGGTACAACGTCCCACTGACACTCATCACGAAGTTTTAACATCTCAAAATAAATGACAAACCTTTCAGATTCGAGCTTGAGTTCATACGTGGAAGAACTAGTGCTGGAACTTTTCGCACTCGTGAATGAGAAAAATGAACTGTTCAGAAGACAAGCAGAATTGATGTTACTCAGACGACAGCAGAGATTAGAAGAGGAGCATGCCGAAGTCGAGTATCAAATTCGTTGTCTTATGAATCAACCAGAGGCGACGAAGACTGACTTTGATAAACAGCACGAAGAAGGGTTGATACAGAGGTAAGCATAAACAATGACATCATTTCAAAGATACATTCTGACCTACATAATTGGGTTTCGCAGATTGCTAGAGATAGTAGAAAGACGTAACCAAATTGTCGAATGCCTCGAAATGGACCGACGCAGAGAAGTCGAAGAAGATCTCAGTATAAACAGACAAATAGGATTGTTTGTAGGTAAGAAGGCAAACAAAACACCGATTAAAGGGGAATGGTACTACTCGGCAAACTCCGAGGTAACCATGCTGCCACGTTACGGCAAACGGGAGAAACTCGCGTTGTTGCAAGCGCCATTGAGTTTTACTTTGATTTCTTTATAATTATTGTTCGGAACCGACACATGATCAAATTTCTTGACGTAAACACGTTTCTTCAACTTAAGCATTGAACAAACGATGGTAATGTTGGACCGCTGTGATAGAATCACAGGCTATCAATACAGACTTTTACTTATCTTTGACATTTTTTATGAACTGCACGAAAACAGCGCTTTAGTAAATGGAGATAATTTCACAATCACTTACAAGTCGTTATTTTTTTCAAGCGAGAAGCAAAGGAGACCTCGCACATAATTGTGAACACTCGAATCGCTCAAACAAACAGAAGAAAGGAAAAGTCAAGGAGAAAAAATCAAAAGGTTATAAAAAGGATGTTGACAAGGACATTGACGAAGCGGAAGCCAAACTGAAACATGTGAATAAAAAGAAATGGTTTTGAAAACGCGAACAATGTATGCTGTTGTCAAATGATAATTGAACATAATTACTTATCCTAAGGACTATCTGATACTTTTATAAATATTTTTAATGTTGTTTTATATGTGAATCAGGGTAGTTAAATAAGAACGATAAAAGTACTGATTCGGTAGAAAGACATTTCATGATTTTCATTAGGTGTATTTAAAGTACTTATGCTGTATGTAGAGTTAAATATTGATTTCTTTTACATACGTCAATTTGCGTACATGGAGATTGTTCATCTGCAACAAACTGCTACCAAATGTTATTCTTATTGTTTTCCATTACCTTTTTTTGTTATATACCCATTAAAATGTTCCTCTATCGTTATTCTTATCAATTATTAATTATATTGTATCTGTAATGTATAGAAACTCCTCGTACACGTCTACTATTAAATCTAAGGATCCAGGGTCCTTATTTTTTTGAATAAACTATTTTACTGATAATTTTGAAAATTTTAATTGGTGTAACATCTGGTCGCACAAATACACGTAGATATTCTTTCTTGTCTTCCTCGAATGCAAGGTTCTGTCGCTCTGAAATAATTGTTACCACTTCAAATTTATATTAAAGAGAAAAATCATGAATTGCATTATAACGATATGCGTACTCTACCTAATTGATCCAAAAAACGAGATATTGTATCTTCATTGCGATTGGTTATAGCAATGACGGCATAACAATTTGATCTACTTAGAAAAAATGTTAATGCTTGAATCAAAGCAGGAATGATGTCGTAATCGTATACAACATCTGCAGCGAGTATTACATCAGGTGTTATATGATATTCGCTTTCATTTTTTTCAATATTTTCCCAAGGTAAGTCTACTACTTCGACTTGATTTCCATTGTAATCCAAATTCAGTTTGGAAAATTCATTATATGTGTCTTTTTCTAAACATTGACCCGTTGATTGTCCAAGATTCCTCCGTACATTTCGACACAGCATGTCAAGGACTGCTGGATGACAGTCCGAAAATATGTAATGTTTTGGTAAACAGCTATTAATCACAACAAGTCCAGTTAATCCAACACCTGACCCAAGTTCCAGTATTGTCTTTCCTTCAAGTTTTTTATCATTTGTAATACACCACTCTGCTAGACGTGAAGCACCCTATTATAGCAGAATATTCACAAAGACATCCATGTACAAAATGTTTAATTATGTATAACTATGATATTATGATCATGTAGAAATAAGTTTACCACTCAATGGTGGTTTCTGACATCATTAAACTCAATATGAATGCAATGACTAAATTAAAGAATGAAATATTTAAAAGGGCAGGCCTTTACATACTTGCCAACTGCACAATCCAGTAGTCCCCATAGAAATAATATTTGTACTTTCACATAATAAAATGCGTACAACAGATCCTTTCCGTGGAATCATGTAATGTTGATAATGCGTTTGTGATTCTGATTCCGTATAGGAAAGCAACGTGCAATACAGGTCATATATATCGTCGTGTAATTCCTCGCAACTTCTTTCTAACTAAATTAAATAAAATCATGATTTACCACATACTTACTAATGTAAAATGACAGATGCAAAACTATATAAAGTAAATTAAAAATTGATTTCCCTTTTCTATGCATATAAAACATTCGGTCTGGCTATAGACAGAATTAAAATTTTAACGCATAAAAAAGAAAAAGAACAAACATTAAAAAATCCACATAATTGTTTGAAATTCTATTACTCTTCTAGTCATATATCTATAATAGTAATACTTCTAGTATTACCACGAAAGTGACAGTAGTATTGCAAAGTGTCAAGCACCTTGTTAATTAGTAGTTTTAAAAATGCCTTTTGATATGACCGCTTTATTGGATATTTCCTAACTAGATCATCATTTACAGTATTATCTAGAATAGCTTTTTGAATGTCCAGGGTCAATTGACATTCCTCACTGTGCCCGGATATCTGGAAATCATTATTTGTCGGATTACAAGGAGTAAAATCAGAACCGAATTGGAGAAAAATGACAAACTTTAAACCACGTACCGCAAAATTAAATTCAGTTACTGGCGTACAACATAAAAACTGTTTTTGTATATATTCAACGTCAATTGTTTCCGTCATTATGACTTAGGCCATAGACCCAGGAATAGAGAAAGACTGACATCCTTAGACCATGTACACATATATGGTCTAAGGTGGCAAGTGCGTCAGCCGTTCGCATCCTCCACCGAGGGGCAGTACAAGCGAATCGCGCGACCCAGCCCGTGAGCAATCTCCCAACTCATGCTTGGTAATCCATGGGCAAAGGTTGCAGTACGGTGGATTCGTTATGCTTCCTTCGGCCATGCAGAGACACGTTTTCCTGGTAAGTATCCGAAGACATCGAGTTAAAGTTGATATCTGTACAAAATATAAGGTCTATTATTAATATCTGTAAGTCTAAAGTGTAATACCGAACAGAATCATTACTTACAAAAAGTTCAGACTTTATATTAAATTAGTTAGAATAAACGACAATGTGTTGTTTTTTGTTTCAAATAGACCAAAGTAAAATGATAATGAATGAGAAAAATTAATATTATAATTGTTAAAAAATGAGGGAACAACAAGTTCTGACTGCATTTGAACTTTAGCTCTATTATGTTTTACAATTATAATTATGTTAATAATAATATTTGAAATGATGATAATAAACCGATTCATGATTTAATGATTATTAGTTACATGCACTACCAACTGAGAATATGGCTTTAAGTAATAAATGTACAAAAGAGTTTGAGAATACATAATGAAGGAAAATTGTTGTCCAGGTTTGCAGTCCGTGGATCCGTTATGAAAGTATGCAAATAAAATTGAAGGTTAGTACTTACTCTACAGCTTGGATAGATTAGTTTCTTTAATATATGTATTTTTTTAATTTTGAAATTATTTCAATTAAATTATAAATAATCGTAAGATACTGCAGATGATGACAACAAACCGAATTTAATGAATACATGATTTTAATATAACATGCACTACCAACTGAATGATTTGTATTCAACTAAAAAATGTGAACCATTTTTGTAAAATATTAATTTAAACCACTTTCTTTATAAGGTGGACTATAACTGGAAGATCATACAACATTTCTCATTGTGCTGAGAAGGTACTACAATTTTTAATCAACTATTCCTGATTAATTATAATCTGTATGCATTTATATAAAAGTAATGTAAATTGTAATGTATTACATGTTATGTAAAATAAATTATTTTGTTATATGTAGATTTCCCGAATCATTTGCACTGCACTTTTCCTATCTACCATAAAATAAATTATGAAATGAAAACGAGGAAAGGATAATTTCATGTTACCGTCTTTATTGAAAATTTGAAGAAACAAATATTGCAAGATTTGATGACGACAGCGCTGTATTTAAATAATAAATATACATGAAGTATAATTGCGTAATAATTAACTATATATATATAATATAGGTATATAAATACAAAAGAAAAGAAAGTTATATGCATCTTAAACAAAATAGTTTACAAAATAGATAGTTACTCTGTCAAGTTACACATATAAAAACGTTCCTCCATTCTCAGAATAATATATACATATATGTGCTGCCAACAGAGTCCCATTGGTACGTGATAAACTTAATATTACTTTGTGAAGAAAAGAATGGTATGCTTTGTCACTGGGTAACCGATATAACGTTCAAGCCACTTATCACAATATAGATGAGAAATGGTTATTATAATTCCGAATGTGCTTTATAAATTTCTCCTTGTATAAGGTTCTACCACTTGCGCGATAAGGCTTTTATCACTTAGTATTTGTAAAATGTTAAAGGTAGAAAGTATTCCTTATAACGATATATTCATCCTACTTTTGGAAATTCTTTCACAATCACTTTTTTCAATAGTTATCCCAAACGCGATAATGATAAAAAAAGTGAAATCGAAAAGAGATGAATTCGGTTGACTAAAACAAAGCAGTCGATCACAAAATGCAATGCATGGGATTCCGCCTAGCTGTCTATCTTTCTTTTCATAACATCATTAAAGTGCTATGAGATATTCCTATGTGAGATTATCTAGAGTAGAATAAACTACAGGAGATGTAACGCAACAAGCAAATTTCTTTATTGGTTGACAAATAGTCTGATTTACTATCATAATTGATACTTTACAAAACCTCTATATTTTGGATCTTTGTAGGACTGGAATGATGCTCCAAATTTCTAATGGGTACCTAGATGAATATAATCCACCTTTTAAGAAATGTTAAGCTTACTTTCAGATCTTTTACCTATGTACAATTTTTATGTATCCATACAACGCGTAGATCCACTTCTACATATGTTATTTTATTGCCACTTGTGTAAATTATGACACCGTTCACAGTGATACAGCTTTGACATCGAAGTGCAGAGTTGGGCAGGATTTATTCAAAAGACGAATCAAGAATAATATTATAAGAGAGTCATTTACTTGAATAAAGTAAAATAAACTTTTTATTCTCAAGTGTGTAATTTCTTACCGAACAAACCATCAAATATATTATTGAATTTTCATTTGAAGAAGATTCACAGTGTCTTTTAGAAATTAAGAACTAATGGTGAAAGTCGGATACTGAATAATACAAATAATGAATGACGAATAACGTGAATAACGAATACCACGATCAACGAATAGAAAGAATACGAAGATAATTTTATTTGTTTAATAAAATGTGGTTCGAATAATGCCCAACTCTGCCGGAATGCGACGAATTTGGACGCCCGTACTAAATGTTGCATTTAAACCAAGACTGAAACAATACGAGTGAATTACAATATAATGTATTGCTTTTACATATGAAACATCTATTATATGGAGCATCATTCTTCAGAAATGAAAAACTACGGTTGAGCGATTCACGACCTAACTCGATGATCCTAAATGTCTTATCCAAAATAAAGTAATTCTTATGACTGTGCACACTCTTATCTCTCTTGCTCTCCTCCTCTCTCTTAATACATATGTACACATTAAAGTATCCTAACAAAAGCCAATCACAAATGGAAACTGTTTTTTGACAGTGACTATGTAAATTCAGCCTGTCTAGTCTTCTGCAAAAAACGAGTTCATGTAACTCCGTACAGAATACGAGTTACAAGGTAAATCATTTTTGTAATTGTGCTTCCCATGTGCTATAGAACCAGCACGCGAAAAAATTGATACAATCAATTCCTGAAAATACGAGCCTTGATCTAAAGTTTATTATTATTACTAAATTAATTATGCCTCGCGTACATCTCAACATTTTCTTTTTTAAAATAAACATTGATACGCCCTTATGAAAAAGGATCGGATCAAGTTACTGTCAGAACAATTAAAGCAAAACATTATCGAATATCAATATCTACGTTGGTCGACGTTTCTTTAGGTTGTTACATTAATTATTTTAAAAAAAATGATATCACTGCCAAAAATAAGCACTGATAGCATCACACTTCTAATTTCTTCTAGTAGCGGTTGCCATTATAAGATTTTGGAAAAATGTAGGAGTTTCTGAAATTTCATATATAATCTCTATTGAAATTAGAAGCGCAATAAATAATGTGTTGAAATTATGAGAAATAGAAAAACTCTTAGAATCGTGCTATGCTACCTGAATGGAAAAATCAACACATTTTTTTGTCGTATATAAACAATAATGTTAACACACTTTTTAGTTTTGAAATTTGGCTGTCCTGCATGCCATTGAGTTATAATTCTAAAATATTTGTGATTGACTTTACAGTTATAGGTAGAATTACAATTCTTACACATTATAATAAGCAACCATGTTGTCGATCATCTCGCGACTCAATTCAAATGAATTTAAATATTTTCGACAAACGTTTGTAAAACAGATTTTCTAAGAACTACTTAATTTGGAACGCTATCGATACCGAAAAAAGGAAAAAACCATTTCTTTTGCAATATTGCAACGAATCTATGACGTATATCCAGAGTGTTTCTATTCTTTATCACTTGGTACCTTAAATGTAATACCCCATAAAGAAACAAAGAAAATAGTGGAGGTATTCAAAAAAGAACTTCGAAGGAAACACCTAATGCACGCAAATGTCGAATTATCCGGGTCAACAATGTAATCACACATTTAATATTCCTAATCGTAAGTAACATTTTGAATGTCAACATTCAAGTGATAACCATTTAATCGATTCCGAAGGCATAATAAGCTCACTTCCGTTCAACATTTCTCGTTTAAGGGGGTACACAGACTTGACGCTGTCAATTCTAAATAACTTTTCCAGCTTGATTTATAAACAAAACTAAGTAAGACAATTTCACTTGTAGTATATGAAAAAGAAAAAAAAAAGAATTTTCACCCTAATCATTAATTTGTATTTATATCGGACCGTTCGAAGAAACGCGGAGCTTTAATGGAGTACAATTTTGACTAAACTATTTGTTAGAATTAAATGTCATTAAACACAAGCGACATGTATACTAGTATCTGTAGGATGAGACTCATTCATTGATGTCGAACATTAATCCGTTTCTCCAAAGACCTAACATAAATATAAAATAATGACTGTCCATTTTTTTTAATTTTAAAGTTTTTACAGTAGCAGTAATGATATACTAAAAGTAGAAATATTATCCTCGTTTAGTTTATCCATAATGCACCCAGAAAAAAGAATTAAGATTTAAACGCGTTAATTTTATGTACCCCTTTAATTAGAGGCCAACGACTTCTAGACAAGATCCATGAAAAGAGATTCAAACGTTCTCTTAACTGCTCGAATCCAGTCGGAACTGTGCATGTATAAAGACGCTAATTGAGATTCTCCTACTTCATACAAATATATTTACACGCGTGAGCACCAACTGCGAATTAAGACTTGTCGTTTCGTCACGTTAAACTAAATCGAATAGAGCCGATGCCATGAATCGAGCGCCACACGATATGCGTGCCGCTCGATTCATGGTATCGGTTTTATTCGATTTATCCAACATTTCTTATTTAACGTTAAAAGCATTCCGACTAACGACAGTCTTTCATCGTGTACATTTAGTAGGCACTATTATATTAGGTTCTGTAGATTCAGTGTAGCAAGTAGTTTCGGATCTGAACTGATTTCCAGATATCATTTTCCACAAAATAATCTATACCTATTCTGTAGTTATTATCCTTAAAGCATAGATTAATTTCCTGTCATTTTGAAAAACAGCAGATTGTATGTATTTTGACTTGCTGCCAATTCTCGTAATAAATGAATCCGATCATTATGGACGTCTCGATGAAGAGCTTTCCTTAAATCGTTGCCGTTCACGAATGCCTCTAAAAGTCCGTCGCTGCTACTTTGCGACAATTTGTTATATTTTAAAGATTTCTTTCAAAGTATAAAGCTGGCATGGCATTCAAATCGACGAGTTCCGAAAATCATAGTCTAAGAATCTGCAGTTTCCGGCCTAAAGAGATGATCTTATTCGATACGATTCACCAGTTAGTGGTAGAATTTATCTAACGTCTATGTAATGTACATCCATAGATACATTCAACTTAATTGACTTATCACAAAATGGTAATAAGTGCCGGTCAATTCCTACGGAAATTTATGTGCCTTAGCTGCGATACACCTCTAGCATTTTTACCCTAAGCAAAAGACTTCTCTGAATGTTTTGATCTTTGGAGCGTTGCAGAGAAACCCAGAGGATTTCTGGATTAATCCAAAATACATTTTAAAAGTAAGACACGAATCGTTTTGCAGTGGGATTATCTTAAAAAAGAAGAAAACGTATAAAATCTACGGACTTAACAGCATTTTTGGTCCTCTCGACTGATAACCAGTTTTCAGCGAAAGCGGTGCTTAACATGACTCTGTCCATACTAAAGCAGATGTAGCATCCTTCTGGCTCAACCAGGTATCATAACTTCATTTCCCACAAAACAATGTATGCGTCGTTGCTGTTAGGGTCTTTGAAGGTATAGGTAGATTTTGGATTTTTATCGCTAACAGTCTGTCCATTGAGTTGCCTCCAATTGACGTATCCTCGACCGCCCATTAACGTTAAAACGGTACGTTTCGGTTGGTCGAATTGCTGCACACTCTTGCTAGGTTTCTTTCCATTTGCCATAGGCTTGTCTACAGTGCCCGTTTCTTGAATCGGAGCAGCGATGCTGTTGCCAGTCGTGGACAAATCGGAAGGTCCATTCCTGCTGGCCGTGCTGCTGTTTCTGGAGAGCTTGTCAGCCTTCAGCGAGAGATTCTCATCGGAGCCCGACGAAGTGTACAGAGAACTGGCATGGGAGTCCACCGACCAGTTGGAGAGATCCAAGGACCTGGGCCTGGTGATTTTCATTTTCAGTCTCCGGTCCAACGTGCTGACTTTGTTCGGAATGGCTGCCAGCTCTGGATCGCTCCGCCTCAACGTTTCGTACACTGGATCGATGCCCGAACTGTTCTCATTTTCGTAGTCTTTAACGTACATGAGTTCCCCGTAGAGACCGTACACATCACAATTTTCACCGGAGCTTTGCGAACTGGAAATGGAAGTGGACAAAAGTCCCCCTCCACACCCGAGCCCTCGCGGTAGGGTCTTGGAGCCCCTGTATTCGTTTTCCTTGCTTCGCTTTCTCCTCAGCAAAACGGGACTACCGGAGAGCTGTTGTTTCAATTTAACCATGTTATAAGACAACGAAGAGTCCAAACTCGACCGGTCTCTCTGCTTCGGCGGGTGCTCCGCGTCTTTATTCCTAAGTTGTACGCCTTCCTCTTCGTTGGACTCCTTCTTCATTGAACCGATCATGCCGTTCCTGTTGCTCTGTATAGCCAGCAAGAACGTAATCGGGCCAAAGTGAGCATGGTAGGATATATTGACTCTCCCGCTAATAATCGGAACTCCTTCCAGCCTGGGAAGCGGTATCGTGAGACTGATGCCTACGTTGGTACCTACCCACAAGAGACCCTTGCAAGCCATCAATGCGGTCACCGTAACGGGGGTCTGATTGTTATTCAGATTATCTCCACACGAATTCGTAGATGCGTTAGACTTGGTCACCCTCAATACGTTCGAGGCAATATTTATATCTTGCAAATGCTTAAACGTTTCGGTGTGATAGAGGCACACCGTGCTGGAATTCTTCAGCGATACCCACAATCCAACTCCGGAATGAGCCATGAGTTTCACGTTTCCTACGTGTTCGTGTTGAGCACTAAAGTTCTTGGTAATTTCCCCGGAAATGGCGTTAAGGACCCATACTTTTCTTCCACATGCAGCGTAAACGGAAGTATTGATGGGCATCAGGCAAGAAACCGGATCACTGCCTAATGAAATAACCGTAGGGTCTCTCAATAGCCAAGTACCATCGAACTGCCTTCGGAACATTAATAAGGAACCCGTTCCTAGCGCTACGAATACGTTATCGCAATGGTACTTTATCTGGATCACTGGGCCCGAAACCAGACAGTTGCCCAGTTCTTCCTGCTTTTCCGGTTCGGATGCAACGTAGATCATGATCTTCCTAGAGTCCGTGCCCATCCAAACCAGGTCGCTGGCTAATGTCAGTGGATCGTTGGACATGCCCTTGACAAACTCGATCGCAGCCACTCTCGTTTCTACAAGGTCGAAGGTCGTGATTTGCTTCAGAGATGTCGACGTTGCCGTAGTGGACTGACCAAAAACTGTTACATGACTGGATACCCCGTCGCCGGTGCAAATCCAAAGATAGCTCTGATTTCTTCCTCGCCGCCTCGTTGGCCTTGGATTTTGAGACGTATAGTAGCATCCGCAACGGACCTGTTTGTCATACAATTCAAAATCTTGTACGGGATTCTTACTTATGAAGCGCTCTTTTGATTGTACTAGACTGCTCGAAGGAAATGGATATTTCATTCAGGGAGACCTCAAATCTACTCTGCATAATTACCAAACGTCTGTCCGAAACTTTGACACGTGACTCGTGATCACCTAAGAATTGTCCTAACACTTTTAAAATTTGGATTTTCGAACGCGAGGTCTCCGAAAGAAAATTTAACAGACAGCGGAAACGAAACATCTCTCTTAAAAGAACTCACTTCTGATTGATGTTGCGAGCGATAGACAGGTTGGGAACTAACAAAAAGAGGCATCTTGGTAGAAGGTCTTTGTTCCTGCTCCGGCACTTCCCAGGACGGTGAATTATTTGGATCAAGGGCTAACTGCGCGAGTCTCAGCTCGGTTATCCAATCCTTTTTCACAAGTGGATTTTCCGTTTGAAAGGTGTACATTTGCCCTTGTTTGGTCATCAGCTGCAAGCAACAACTGTCAGCCCAGACCATGTCTTCGTCCTTCTGCTGGATGGATGACTGGATGGACTGTAGGATCTGTTTCATGCTGTCAGGAGTCAATCCCTGCAGAGATACGCGAATGGATCAAACGGTTTTATCGCATCTGCTTAGTTGTTTAAGGACGATGTCAAAGGAAGGTGATGAAACTTACATCGTAGGTTCCTTTGAGCTGTGCGACTAGGTCATTTATCCTGGACATGACCTCGTAATCGTGCATGAGATCATTCATTTCAACGCAAAGGCTATCGGCACCGGCCTGCCCGCCTTCCCCGCTTCTATCGGACTTCAAGCTTCCTCCTTTATTAAGGCCAGCCGTCAGCAAGCGACTAAGAGTCGGTGAAGTGCTAGTGTCCTGAATCTAAAAATAACGTTTTACGGATTTATACCTTTCCTCAAGTATATGGGTATGGTTATCCGATGGAACACTTTGAGAACAAAATATTGGAAATTCGACCCTTGGCAAATATTTGTATTATTGAAGCGTTTCGCTGTGCATTTACTTTTGCAGCAAGCGAACAGACAACTCAAGTGTTTGCTTTTCGAGTAAACATTTTGGTTACCTCTATATCTGAGACCGGATACGTCCACTTCAAAGTTAGCCTCTCGCTTCCGGAAAAGTCTTCTGCTGACCTAGGCGCCACGGAGACGCAGACTACCAGGTCGTTCAGCAATAACAGTCTTCTTCTCTTCGACTTTGTAATCATCCCATTTTGATTGAACTCCTGTAAGAACGATTCCGAATAAAACGTGCAGGGGTAAGAGAACATCGGAGATGCGCTAGTTTTCCCTATGCCCTACCAACTGTGTGACGTTGTCTTCCCTTATAAGATATCGCGACGACGAAGAAAGCGGTCGATGCGACAGCTTTCCGGAAACGTGTCGCAGCATTTCCTTGAACGCCTGGAATTGCTCCGCTTCGCGTTTCCTCTCGTTCAACATCTCCGCTAGGCTTTCGAGTTGCGTCAACGCCAACTGCAGCGACATCCGATCGTGATGTCCATGCGGTGTGTGTTTTAATAAATCCTATAATGGATGGTGTAAAAATATCCGGATTAGAATCGTTAACTTTTTCAATACCCCTATCAACGCGCATACATTTTTGCGTTTAATTTTACTTTTTATCGTTTTTATCATGCTTATTGTTAGCGATCGACACTTTTGTTATTTTCTCTAATTCTTCTCAACATGATCAAAAACTATTCCGGACGCCAGAAAATTAAATAAAATGTATCCCTAAAAATTGTTTATTAAAGTCTGTAACTAATAAAATACTAAAGCTTCGTCCTGGTACTACGTGGAATTGGGATCATTTCTAATTTGAAGAAAAATGGTCCCCAAAGTAATGCGTATTTAGCATCGACGTCGTGAGTCAATAAAATTAATCCAAAACGTAATGATTCTTGAGTGCGAAAAATCTGTCAACATAAGAAGAGGCTTACTTGTAGAAATAATATAAATTGAGGAAACCTCTGGACAGGCTTGACCATCAGTCCAAAGAAGGACAATCTGTCATGGGCACTTATTTGTTTCACCTAAAACAATGTCATGGTTCGATCAAACTCTCTTATAAGATATTAATACATAATAGATAAAATCAATAATTCATATCCAATAACTTTCTTAATACCAATTTTCAAAACATTTTCTTATTCAGCTCGACAAGATCGGACAAGTTTCAGAAGCAAATTTTCTTTTCGGTACGGATTAATGCCATTAAGGTGAAGTGAAACGCCCCTCAAATCAGTCGATTTTTGGTTCTGGTCAGGTCTAAGTTAAAACAAATTTCTTCATCGATCCAAATTTTAAAAGTGTTAGGATAATTTCTAGGCGCACACGAGTCTCGTGTCAAAGTTTCGGACAGTTCTACCCAATACCCTTAAAAAAAGTGTCTTATTCAAATCGATTGATTTGAGGGGGGTTTCACATCGCCTTAAACATCGAAGGGGATTTTCGTTATTTCAAGAGATCACTCCAAACGTAAAATAATAGCAAATAGCTTGGGTTTTTCCCGTGAATAGTATTTACCTTGAAGAAATCGGCAAGTGCAGTCTTTCGTTTTGATTCTTGCTTAGCCAACTCCATCGCTACAGAGAAGTTGTTAATGAACCCGCTGTAAATATCCAGGACGATGGCCTTGCTAAAACTCGCGACGAAGACGTCTCCGAGTTTTTCGTCTTTATCCCACGAGCGCACACATTCGGCTAACGCGATTCTAAACAAGGTGTGACACTGCAGAATTTCTGGCAGCCTGTGAAACAGCGTAGCTATCTTCGACTGGCTTAGGATGGGCGGCGAGGATTCCTCCAAAGGCTTCTTGTAATCCTGGAAGAGTAGAGCTAATTTATTCGCTCAGGGTATATTAACAACCCGTTGTTGTTTCAGTTATCACAATTGTAGCAGCAATGCCATTTCACTTATCTCCGCGCGTTATCGGTTCTTTTTTTATTCACCGCACTTACATTAACAAGCCTCTGCAAGGTAGCTACGTAACTATTTTCCGAGTGTACAATCGCAGCAACTATGTGACGTCGTTTCACCTGCTGAGGACTCAAATTGGAAGGTGCGGGGGGAAGAGACGGTGGAGCTTGCCTTTGCTGCTGTATACATTGAAATTGTACTATCGCTCCATTCTCTTCTTCGACCTGAAATTGAAGGTACGATTAGTGAACTTTCTTTCGAATGGTCACAAATGAGTATGTCAGAGAAAATATTTGAAGTAAGTCTATCACATTCTAGTTTTGTACAAAAAGACTACCAATTCTCTCCGGATCAGTCGTTCTTTGAACCGAATCAACTCTTCGGTTTAAGGTGAAATGAAAGGGTCGTTCTATATATATAAAACGTATAAATATTTANGTTTTTTTGGCAAGCCTTTTCAAGCAAAACTTTTCTCCAAACAGGATGCACCGAATCGATGGAAACTTCGGCATATGATTATGGAGGCTCTAAGGAAGAACATGGTGCTCGCGAAATATCATTTTTAATAAAAGAAAAAATTTGTTTACTTGTTCCAGACCGAGGTTAGTGGAACCGGGCATTAGTTTAGCGGTACTCGAAATATGCAGGCTCTTAGAACCGATTCATTTTAGGACTGGAATGTCAACGGCATAGTTTACCCATGAGAAGCTAGCTTCGTTTTACCTCACAAAGTTGAGGCATTTGCGGGGGTTTGACTGGTCCCGTGAGCGAGACCGTGTCGGTAGAGTCCACGTCGTACTGATGAGTGGAACTTCTGCGAATGCTGAACCACCGAGACAGCCTGCCTTGATTAACGGGCGAATCGAGGGATTCCGAGTTGTTCAGCCTCACGTTTTGCGACCTCCACTTGTCGCAGAGGGTCCTGGCCTTGTGTAGAGTATTTCTCAACTGACAGTTACTCCTGCGGCAAACAATTATTTACACACGTCAGATCGGCGCTTCCTTAACCCTTCCCAAGTTATCACGAAACATTTTCGATCGTAAGAAAATATGTGGAACCTCAAAATCACTAAAGTCACGAAACTGACGACAAAAGTATGCAAAATTGCACTAACGTTAATATAAAAAATATTCTGCGAAGTTAAACGCTTTGAAACGTACTTCAACAACCTGCCTAAGTTCGTTGTAAGAACTAGCCCCGGTCTCCCCTAGGTTTTTTTTTCTTTTTTAACGTTCAAGAGGCCACGTAGAGCGCCATTGGAAGCGCAGGCAGAAGTTGCAGCCAGATAGTTTCTTACTTAATACTGATATTGCTCTTTTCGCTCTCGTCGTCCGAAGAGAGGTCATGATCGGAGGCGGAGCACCAGGAGTCCTCGCTCCTGGCCGACTGCGTGGAGGACTGCGTGGACCTGCTCGCCTCCAGGGGAGGATGCTGCTGCCCGACCGTCTCCATCTTGGCCGACCCTACGTCGTCCCAAGACCTGCACCTTGACCGGGGCTCATCTAAACATTCAAACGAGTTCTCTTCTTAATTCGTAAGGTTGAACATTGAACCCTTGGATCGTTCATTCTTTGTCCTTCTCGAAATTGAACTTATTCGCCAAGAACGAAAACCTCAATTCCCGTTCTATCACAATAATCATGGCTTCTTCATCGTGCATCCTACCGTTACAATTTAAATGGAAAAAAAAAAATGCTCTTTAATCGAAATCGATTTGCCGAACAAAATCTACACCTTCAACAAGGCTCATTCAAATGGACGAGCAAATTGTCGGCGTTAATCCCAATTATTGATGCACTTACGTAGCAGGATGTTGTTACTTATGGACACTGTTCAACTTCCGTTTATGGAGTATATCTTTTAACCATTTTATCATAAGTGCTGCATGTAACATTTTTATTTAAAACTCGCATACTTTTTATAGGAAAATTAAGTCTATCGCCAAACTACGAAATCTAGCAACGGTTACTATATTTTTTTACCTTTTGGGTGGAGTATAATTAACTATTCTCCGTTTACTATACTTTTCTAATTCGAAAATGGTACAAGAAACATTGCTATAAATATTGCTACCGTTCGTACAACATTCGTAAAAAAACGAGTAGAATGCTCGACTATCAAAAAATAGTCGTAGCTCCCAGTTTATCGTCAATCGGACGATAAATTACGTTCCTCTATGAAAAAGGTGAAATTGTTCGGTTTGCCAGCTCTTTTTCTCTCAGGGTGACCGGAACGAGAGCCTCGCGGTGTGGGCAGACGACGAACAGGTTACGAGTGGGTGGCTTTGGCTTCGAGAGGGCCTTTCGAGCGGAGTGTGTCAACACACGGGGGCCACCGACCGCGCCACCTTGTCGACGGTCGCGATATTACGCTCCGTTTCCTCTTTCTCCCCGAGATGCCATCGCGTCATAGAAATGGAGAGGACGTTGCTACGACATGTGCTCGAAAGAGGTTAGACGGAGGGATCCTCCACCGGCAGACGTTTCCGGAAGTACGGCAGATTCCCGTATAACGCGTTCGGCCCTAGCGTAGCCACGATCGACTACTCATCTTGCCTCTACGTCACAGACAGCGGAGCGAGGCTGAAACGCGTTCGACCAAACGATTGGCTATTTTCCAACCAATTGTTATAGATAAACTACGCGCTGCGGAAAAAAAAAATTGTACAGGACCTTTCGACGTCGAAAAACGGTACGCGAGCGTTCGACAAGGACGGCCGGGTAATCCGTGGCCATCGATTTCGTTCCACCCTGGATGGCGATCAATATAGCGGACCTTTATTGGGCATCCCGGCACTTTTTCTCGGGATCTATCGACGGGTGACAAATCCACCACCTCCCTCTACGTTGCTCACGATCAGCCTAGCCCAGCTAGCGCCAACTCGCGAACGCCCCGCGCACTCATCCGCTCGGGTGACGGAAGTGTCTATTTATAAAATCGTTTCCGCTTATTACGCGTATGCGCGATTGGCTTTTCACGTGTACGCTTGGAGAATACCCGAGGTCTACGGTCGTATAGGTGTGGAAATTCCGATAATTTTCGGCGGTGGGCTTGATTAATTAATGCAGCTAACCCGTGCACCGTAGAAAAAGGTAGTACAGGACCTCTCGACTCCATTTTCGACCGCCTTAAAGTCTGCCGGGCTTCGGTTTACCGAAGTCTACCCGGTAAAACCAAGGATGACCGGTGCGTGGACGTAGAAGCGGGCAAGGGATGTGGGAACGTAATTCAATCTCCTATTTACTGAATTACGACACAATGGAATTTCAGGTTGGGCGGCTGGGTATTAATTACCCAACTTGAGTAACGCCGACAATGTAGATAATATTTCAGTTTACGCGATGGAAACGTAGGGAAAAAACGGGTCGGAGTTTCGCGGCCCCGTCGAGGCGACGCACGCGGCAGAGAAATTCCCGATTCCAGCGTGGCGATACTCTCGACGATTCAACTATGATAATTGCGAGGTCGACTTCGCGTCGGACGCAATGGAATTAAACTCTCCTCGTTGCGATTCTCGGAAAACAATGCTATCGGTCGATGTGGCGAGAGACGCGCGACGCGACCGCTAGTCGTCGATTACCCAGGTGCGCGTGTTGCAATTCTTCAATTAATATTTCCAGACCCTGACCCGTAAACATTGCCGACCTCGCCATTGTTTCGATTCCCTGCTAACGTTACAACTAAAACCAGACCGAACCCTTTGTTTCGTCGCCGCCAATTCCGCTTTCTGGCACACTTTTCACCCCTTATCACCCCTTATCAGTCCTCCGTGTTAAGCGTGACACGAGTCCGAGTTAACGATCCCATTAAGGTGATGCGAAAGTGGCATCAAAGAGTTCTCGTTCGTGAAACTTTTCTTCAAACCGCGTGCAACGAATCGATGCAAACTTTCCGGTGTAGGAAAGGGGTTAAGGTTGAAGTGAAACCCCCCTCCAATCAGTCGATTCGAATGAGTCACTTTTTTTAAGGGTATTGAATCGAACCGATATTTCGATACCGATAGGGATACAGGACGAGGTCGGATAGGGCTTTGTTTCTGGGACGTAACGCATGCGCAAGTGCACGGTCCAACCTGACCTAACCTACCTCCGTCGACGCGAGGATTACGTAAACGATTCTCTAGCCGTTTCGCAGTCTCGACGGCTCTCGCGCGATTTTGCGATAACGACACGTGCGCGGAATTGCCGGCAAATTACGAGTAGCGGCGGTGTCTTCAAAGCCGCGGTCGATGTCCGATACCCCCGAGTCGCCGGATTGCGTCTGTACTCTAATTAAGGACCCATTTCTCTCGGGGAACGTAAAGGTGATATAAAAGTGGCTTCCGAAACGGCAGAATATTTATTCAACTTTCTCCCCAACTGGGAGCACGGAATAGCTTGAAATTTTAACATGCAACGGAGACCCCGAGGAAGAACGCGATCCTTGTAAAATTACATTTTTCAACAAAAAAAAAAAACTGTTCCCTGACTAAACTCACGGTGTCAAATTACGAATGTATAATATTTATGACCGTGGATATGAATATCAGTCAACAAAATGTGAAAAAGCATCGTCAACGATCGAAAGTTGGCGATTCTACATGTCACGTGCACGCCATTGAGTAAAAAGTAATCTTGCGATTGAACAAGGTATATTTTTTGGAACACCGTTTCTGGAACAAAACGTCGTTAGAAAATTAACATAATTGAAGTTTCTCTTACAGCAATGACCGACAGCGGTAAAACCGAGCTCGAAGCACGTTCAGCGATTACTCATCCAAACCGTTGGTTGACCATTAACCGACAACAATGATTGCACTCGTGGGTATTGCGTGACGTTAAAAGGGCCGCTTAAGTAACAAGGGTTCAGCGATCGATCGGTATCGAGCACATGCGGAGCACGTTCACAATAATACACGTTAATTCTCCTATTTAACGTTGCGGTAAGAAGATCGTGAATTTCGTCTTCCACTTATAATAATTTTCACCGACCTCCAAATAAACGGCCCCTCGCGGGCAATAGGGATGAAATATAAAAATGGTGAAAAGAAAAGCGCAACCACGGATCTCGCCGAAATCCGTCAACCGGCGTTAAAGGAAACGCACTAACCGGAGATAAACTTGAAAACCCACGTCGAGCTCCCTCGCGAACACGTAGACGCACCAAAGGCGCAAACGCGAACGTTCCAAGATGGCCGCTTGGCATTCACCGGGCGCGAGCGGAATCCGTGCGGCGAATCGCGAATCCCTCTCGGCCAGATCGCGCCGGAAACGGCGTTTTACGGTCACCTCCGAGACTGCATCGTTTACCGGGTGTCGGCACGCAATCGGCATTGTCGAGTCACCGAATCGAAAGGTCTAATAAATCGGAAACGCTTCCTACACCCCGAGGGTATCCGCTGCCCAACTTGCGCCAATCGACGTCGTGTGCCCTGATGGACACGAATGCCTTTCCATCGTGCATTGGCATACCATATCTGCAGGGAAAGCACTCGTGCCCCTCACTGTACGGAGTGCAGAAAAAGTTCTCCTCTTTAAATGTACGCTAATTCCCTGTCAAGACGTCAATTTTTTAATTTTACGTACTAAGTGTAAGAATTTTAGGAATTTATTTTTTTTTTTGTGTACATCCACGAAATCAACAACACGTCCACGGGACCGAGAGCTTCTCCCAGGTGGGCGAGGAACAAACGTGGGAAAGTCGGCTTAAGCGTTGCCGCCGTTAACTGAAATAATTGCGCGAGAGACGCAATTATTATTCTCGAGGGGGAGTGGGATTCTCTTCGGCGGGCGTCGAATTGCGTCAATCATGCGGTTCGGCCGAGAGGAAGAGCGAAGGGCGTCGCGAGGCAACAACATTGGCCGGTCGGTCGCTCCTCTAAATCATCCGTTTCCGTTTCGGACAAATGGCTGCTCTCTGCGAGCTGGACTATGGTCGGCACGAAGAAAATCTCACAGAGTTCTCGAAGAGCTCGTATAGGCCTTTAAAGGGCGATCGAACTTTCGATTGAAACTAAATGGAAACCACGAAAGATAATTCGGCCCTCGTCGCTCCGTTTTTAAGACGACGTGAAACGCGTCGAGAAGTTCGATCGACGTCCGAATTTATATCGACAGCCGTGTCGAATTATATCCATTTGTGAGAGCCATTCGATCGAGGGTCTTATGCGCTTCTATGCGAAAACAAATGCAACGCGAGATCTCGGACAGAAAATTCATTTGACATTGAAATCACAAATGGCGCCGGGTGACGTTCCACCCTCAATTTCTTTATAATCATTGTACGGAAACGATATATGGAGTACGCCAATTAGTACAATACCCAATATAATCCGACACAGCTGTCGATATAAATCCGAACGTCAGCATAGTTATTTAGACTAATCTTTTTTACCGGCGTCGATGAAATTTCTCAACGCGTTTCACCTCACCTTAAGCCACGCTGGACCGTTTCCGTCTACTCGTTTTCCATTGTGCTCATCGGAGACCTTCGAGTCGATCGTTAATACAATTAACTATTCAACGCACGTGGCGTTGCATAACACTTAGCGTAATGCGCGCGAAGTCGGCCAACTGGACGTGCAACCGTTTCGCTCGGTACCATTTTTCTTTTTCAAAGCGATCGGCTTAAAGTATCTCGGATCGCGGTTATGACCGGCGACCATCGAATTGACCAAAAACACGGAGGTTTACGTTTCCACGGCATCCCGCGATGCGATCCAGTTGTACTTACTCCCAAGTGAGACGGTAGATCCTTTCGCTCGGTCCGTTTCGTTTTCGTTTTACGACTAACTCTCGCCCTCGCTTTCACTGGCCACCATACCGATAACTTCTCTCTTCTACTTCTTTACGCTTCGCCGCCCTGTCGGTCTTCCGCGTCTTGGTCGCGGATGCGTTTCCATTTACGCGCATCGCGTGCCCCCACTACCCCACAATTATGGACCAATCACCGTCATCGCGGTTGATTCCACCCATTCTTATCTTTCGATTCCCCGAGCCAGGTTAATTTGACAATGGGCAATCTCCACGATTCGAATGGACCTTGCATTACTTGCGGTACGGACCTCATAGAACAAATTCGATCTCGATAAGTTGGCCTAATTTTTCGCCTCGGTATGCTCTTCACCCGGATCCGATTTTCGGATAATCCGATGGAGTGAATTTCAAGGTCTAGGCGATACCCAATTAATCGTTCAATTTCGAACGGTTTGCAACTTAATTGCGTAACGTTCGCCAATGAGGAAGCATGAAGTAAGAATATGGCGCAGATCGCATTCACGGCCTCTCGTAGAAGATCCAAGCCGATGGCTGTAGATCACTCGATCAGCTTCTTGGAAGCGTGCAACGAGGATTCCTGGAAATTTCTGAGCACTCTCTGGGCAATGCGAGGTCAACTAACACATTCGGTAGGAAAATGCTCGAGACGGGAAAAGAGGGAGGTCATTCAAATTCGTCGGAATGAACCACTGAAACTCAACAAAATGAAAATTCTCGCAAGGAAGACCGAATCAGAACCAAGAACGAAAAACAACGTTCAACGTTACTTGCATTTTTGACCTCTGCGTTAACTGCAATAGACGCGATTTTGCAATAATCTATCATATCATGAGAATAAAAATGTCGTTCAAAGTCCGTGACGGACATAAACAGAATTTCGTTCTTAAACGTTTCTGGAACTTTAACCGAGTCTCTTGACGAGTACGCCTAGTTTTTCCAAATAAACATTGCACATAACAAAGATACAAAATACGAGCTATCTAAAAATATGATACGGAAATACCCAGACGAATATAGGTAATAGCTTCCAAAGGATCGATGCGAACTTAATCCAGCCTGCATCCGTATCCTTTGTTTGCGGGTCCTACTCCAAACTCGATTGGTCGATTCTAATGGTGACAATTGTTCTTTATAGGCGAAACGAATCAAGATAGATACGATCAACACCCGGAGTAACGACTTCGGACTTTAGACGCTCCTCGGATAACTTCGTCTTTCGGAATTGCATCGGAATCAACGGGATCGAATTTGCAATAAATAGAGAAAATCATATTTGCCACGATCCCAAGGGAGAAGAACGGATTCTGAAAAATTCGGAAAGAAAATCCTGTCTCCAGCGGTCGTTCCGTCAACCTTGAGACGCAAACACGGAAAAAATAAAATCTGCAAAATGTACAGATTTTACCCGTTGAAACAAGGACAGCAGAGTATGTCAGTTAGCGTTACGATAAAGGGGTTACGATTAATGGGACAGCTTTTAACCGTATCGTAAACAACGATTTCCACCGGATAGGTTTCTGTAACTTTAAGGTTCTTATTTTTCTCCGCGAACGATAACGTATGCACGAATTTCGCTTTCGCGACTGGTCGGTGCCGCTGCAAGTGTCAACGGTCCGCGAGTCTTTGTAGACCGTTTACAACTCGAATGAAAAAATTGGACCGTAATAACGATACGTTAAAAGTGTCTTTGAAACTGCCCAACCGTTCAAACTTCAACGGCATTCCAGGTGCCGATTTTGTAATAGTCGCAATGCTCCAGTAATCTTGCGGAACGTTTAGCAACGGCACGGCGGGATGCCACGCGACGATATATCGTTATCTACGACACGGTTTCCTCCAATTTTTCTCATTGTATAAGTTGAGTTATGCACCTAATTGAGTCATAACTTTATTTTTTATAAAAAAACATATGAACAAATCGTACAAAGTTATGCCTCAACCTAATACAAGGTAAAATTTTCCTTCTTAAAGATCGATGCCAGTAATTCGGCCAAATGATAATTTCAGATCGACGCACGGAACGGTAAATAACAATTAGACTTCCGACCTTTTGGCAACAAACATCCGAATTACTCCTCTATCCAATCCGACGATCGATCGTTCCAAAATAGAAATTTAATTTTTGAGGTTATGACCAACTTTTTCGTAATCCTCGCCCCTGGGCTCCGACTGTCGGACCTGGTCGCAGTGGGAGAGATCTGGGATTCTCCTTCCAAATCGGCTTACCGTGCACGGGCGTCGACAAAGCGAGGGGTGTCCAGCGCCACGGCGAACGCGTGCCGATGCCCAAACCCGACCGGGGCTCACTACACGTTTCCGGCCCGCCCTCCCCCGCCCACTCGGCCCGCCGGGCGACCGCCACCCGCTGCCGGCCCTCGACTCGCGGCTGCGCGCGCACATCCGGCGAGCAATCGGGCGGCCGCGAGGTTATCTCCGAGGCGCGCGCGAGACTCGAGAGAACAGCCGACCGCCCCAGCGGAGCGCGCACCCGACACTATCCCTCCATGGTCTGGCTGCGTCTCGGCGTCGCGGCCGGCGCGGCCGGCGCGACCGCGCATGCGCCCGCGCTTACGCGTGCATGTGCACGGCGCGCACGCGCGTGTACCGAGAGAGTCATTCAGGCCCCCACCGGGAACGTTTATCGCCCGTGCCCCTGCTTATTTATTAATCCTACGCACATACGTTACACAACGCGCGCGCATTCCTTCCACGGAACGACCGCGGCCCTTTATTCGAACCTCCAGCCTGGAAACGACGGAACCGCGCCATGGCGGATCCTCCTCGAACTATTCGATTCAACGTTTAAGCGGCAGCGTGCGCAATAATTATAAAGAAATCGAAGCAAAGCTTCAGAAATCCCCTGGATTCATGGTGTCCGATGTCCTAATTGACCGTAGAGGAAAATGGAAAATAGTACAAGGAATCGTCGGCGGTAGAGATTCCACGGTCATGGCAAGCTGGTGCCATTATCGAGACGAGAATAAACTCTAAACCAAAGGGTTTGGATGCGTCTTTCATTTGCGGAATTTCTACCATTTTTCAAGCGTACTCTTGCCCGCCTTTTCCGATTAAAGAATGGTCGCATTACGAGCAACGGTAAAAACCGCGCAAAGTCGTTTACTCACGTTGTCCTCGCCTTTTAAAATCTGAACGAAATCATACGTCTTTGTCGCCCAGGAATGGCGATTGTCCGCGTTATTTGGTGAGTAACGAGAGAATAATTGCCGGTTCCAAGTACACCGTTAACGCGCTCGATTCAATGCCTCGCACCAGTGTTCCAATTAACGGCGTAATTCGTACAAAACGGCATATATTTGTGGAAGCGAGCGGTCTTTTTTTATGCGGATAAGGAGATCGAGGGGATAAAAAGAGAATAATGACGACAATAACGACCCTTGTCCTACGGACGCTGGCCAAAAGACCGATGGACGTGACCAATTCCGAGTTTACCTCGCACGTGCCGATACTTGGGACGATTATTCAAAAATAAAATTTCACGAGCATCGCGTTCTTCCTTAGGACCTTCATATTCTCGCGATGGAGTTTCAAATGCTTCGATGCACCCAGTTTGGAGAAAAGTTTCATAATTATATGGACTTTTTTGTACGTGTATACGACACATTCGTATCACCTTAAGGCTCTCATTTTACTCCGTGCAGCGTCCACGCGTCGCGCGTCCACGAGAAGACGGCGGTCGCTCGTTAATTCGAGTCTCCCTTTGGGAATTGGTCGAGCAATGGTATAATTACTGCAACGCGACGACGCGAAAGCGACACAAAGGAAAGTAATCTGGAAGATTCGATAGGGCGGGTCGGAGAGCGGGCGGGGGCGGAAGGGAAACGCCCGTTTCTTGTAGAATAAACGTTCTTGACCCGGGGTCAGGAGATTTCGCGCTCGATCCTCGATATAAATCCTGGCGCCTCCGGTCCTGCCGCGGCTCCGCGAGGAGAGCGGTTTCCATTTATCAAACGGCCATGGCCATCTTTAAGGATGCCGGAGTTGGCCCTATGCAAACAAAGGTGGACCGAGGCCAACCTCGGTCACCGGCGCAGGTGCAACGACTCACATGAGCATGCGCCCCCGCGCCCCCGCGCCCCCGCGCCCCCGTCTGTACCGACTCTCCGGTAGGCTGAATCGGTACCCTGAGAAAACGATTTGTTTCGTTCAAAACAAATGTGCTCGAATGACCCTTGTATTTTCTTTGTCGTACAGTCGAACGAGGATATATTTCATTCAAATGTATTTGTCAATTGACCATATTTTTTTGATGCAATCAAACTATTTGCTCGATTTGAATTCGATAAATGTTTCGTTTAGACGCACATTGTAAGACGAGAAGAGATTTTCCGTTAACGGAGGCAAAGAAGCGTATAAACTTTTAGATTACAGCGATGTATTGCAAAAGTCAATCATTGTAGAAAGTAATTTTTGCGAATAATCGATTTCATTAAACGGTCTAATAAAACCCGACCCGCTTGGTTTTTTCTTTTTAATAAAATCCGGGTTCTTAATCACCCTGGCTATGACAAATTTCTTTTTTTTTCCGTGCATTTAACGTTTTAAGAAAAGAACCGTCGTTTGAGGAAAGGCACATTGAACCGCTGTTTTAAGAAAGAGAACGGTCCGCGAGACTTCTCAACCTTCTCGATCGAAGGTATTCGTGCGAGAGAGAAAGAGAGAGGGAGAAAGGGAGAAAGAGAGGGAGAGAGAGAGAATCGGTGTCTCCCGAAGACATTCCGGGTCTCGCGCGGCGATGACGCGGCCGGCACCGGTGACCAGATTCTGCGTGGGAATCGCCGGTATCGATTCCCGATTTAAGTCGCCGAGCAGGCCTCGAAGAAAACAGAGGCGGCGCGTAAAAAGGTCGATTTACCCGAGGACGACGACACACCTCCGCGAATCGGCACCGGCAAATCGGTTCAATTTACCGAGCGGTCTCGCGGAGGCTTGCACCGAGCGAAATGTTTACTTTCCAGGAGAGATTAACCCTGGAACTACCAAGCCCGGTAAAAAGCCCTGGTTTTAAGGTGATATGAAAGGGTCATTCTATACGTATGAAACGTCAAAATATTTATGAAACTTCTCTCCAAACTGGGCGCACCGAATCATTTGAAACTTCGGCAATCGAAATATTTCTCGTTAACGAAATCTCTTGAAGCCAGAAAAATTGAAAAAGAATAAAATGTATCCGAATCCTTTTTGAGTTACGAAAACCAGTTAAAGAAATAGTTCATTTACCTAGATTTTTCTGTCAGGGTAGCGCGCACGCAAAGTACTTCCGGGATCCCGAGAGACGGAGGATGCCCTCTCTCTATAATTTCTTCCGGACACCGAGAGAGCGTAAACTGTAGCAAAGAGCCCATTCCGATAAGCTCCATGAGCCCCACTGAAAGATAATAACCCTCCTTGTAGCAATTCGGCCATCCCACAGCGAAGAGCGGCGGTGCTCCGCTTTTTTTTTTCTATTTCGTTTCATACGATCTCCCCCATGAATAAATGATGAAATATGAAACAAATTATGAATGAATTATCGAGGGTGTTCCCACCGTCCTACGGTGAATTTTCTTATCAATCGTGTCGCTTCGTCCAAGTTACCGTTCAATGCAGGACAACGTTTGTAACAAGACTGTACGCGAAGGAGAGGGGAGGACTTCAAGGTCGGCCACCCCCTGGCGAGAGTTTCGGTATTATTATATTTCAGGGAGTAGGCCTGACGGAACTATGGGATGCACAGACCGCGCACACCGATCCGACTATAAAGGGAATAGAAACGAAAGGGAAAACTAAAGGGGCCGTTGTCTCTCCGTTTTTACGCGAAACGGTTGCGCGGCGCGATATGGCGATAGCCAATTTAATAACAAAAAGGTAGCCCTCCTTCTCGCTGCCATCGAGAATATCGAGGGTACGGTTGGCTCTGCGGATTCCCTGCATCCACATCCATGGACGAAACGCAGCTAACTTCGGCCTCGTCGACCGCGGTCGTGACATGGATATAAAAAGAAAAGGATGGAAGGTATTGCTGCGAGAATGGAACTCGCGACTAAAAGGAAGGCACGAGGAGCGAACGTCTTTCGTTGCTAGCCTTCTAGCGTTCTCTAAACGGATATGAACGCGATATTGAAAAATTATTTTATGTTGAAAAAAAAAGTCACGTTTTAACCCTTTGCCGACAGCTTCCGATTGAACCTACTGCACACTTCTGATAGGCTCGTTTGGGCCACAGTAGGCTGCCGGCGGTAAAAAGCCGATCGATAGGTACCGGTCGGGAAGGTGTTACGACTTTTTTTCAAAACATGTTTTCCAATGTCCTGTAGATAACCTTTTTGAGTACGCGTTAAGTACCTATCGGGATATGCAAACGTTTCAAAATTGATCCCTTTTTACTTACAAGGTCCCATGCCCCCTTAACGTCGCCCGGCGGTTGAGCACCAGTGGCCCGAGTTCGCGATTCGGCCAATCATCGGCTCGGCTATCGATTTTCGCGGAATCGGCGGGGCGCGATTATTTCGCACGAAACGAAGCGAACTTCCGAAAGCCACTGGCAGAGGATGTCAGTGAACTCCTCCGCCTCGCTTAGTCAGCGCATCCGAGGTATGCGGACGATCCGCGCGCCTCGATGTCGATAAGTCAGGAAACTGTCCCGCGCGGCATGGCCGGGAGAATTCGGCCATTTGCGACCGTAAACGGTAACGTTCGTCTTCCCCGAAGCTGGACCGACCCCAAAGCACCTCCTTCGCCTGGTCCTAAAGAGTCCTCACTCGACGAGGAAGCGCAATACTTCCGGAATGGATGGTCCCCATTGTCTCGAAGACGATCGCCCGCGTAGCCGGACAACTGGCTGGCTCTAATAATGGCTTCCAAATTTAAAATATGTTTCAAATATTGCCAAGTTTGCTATTATCGAGCACGACCCGAAGTGGCTGCATCCGGTTATCCGGATCTAAACGCTTGATCGCTATTCTTAGGTATGGATTGCCGGTCAACTGTTCGATGTCTATTATGGTATTGATTCGGTGTATCCAGTTTGGAGAAAAGTGTCCTAAATATTTTGACGTTATGATATATACA